TTCGGTGCCTGATATTTCCCTTCCTCATGGCCATCGCCCTCCGATCCCTACGCTGAATCAGCTGTTTTTTGCGATTGACAAGGTTAGCCTGCTTCTTGCTGGCTCCAACAGCAGAGCCAGAAATATTGTCACTCGACTGATATCTCTTGATCAGTCTGAGCTCTGTTTCCCTTCGATCCACGTCCATTATCTCCGCCATCCCAGCCATCCCAGCCATCCCAGCCATCCCAGCCATCCCAGCCATCTCTGCTATCCCGGCCATCTCTGCCTCCTCCTCCATTCCTTCGTCTTCAGAGGATCCTTCCATCCTAGGTATCTGCGAACTGACAACCTGGCCTCTGATATCGCGATGTTTCAAATTCCCCAAATTAACAGCCTCCCTGCAGCAGTTGTTCTCCATAAATGCCACCACCAAAAACACCATCTGCTCCAGCCTTCTCTTGATCTGTGGCACAACCTGTTGCAGCTTTGTGTCCTTGGCCACCTTGGAGTGGTTGCATATATTCTGCAATATCCGTGTGGATTTCTGGATTCGATTGAATATAGCTAGGATACTCTCGCTGTGAAGCAGGAAGAGTGAGTCCATAGTGGGCATAATGAGCTTGATTATGTGGTCTATCAGCGTGTGACCGGATTTTAGTGCCAAATGGAGGATGGTGCGCTGGAGTTGCGGATCCAGTTGCTGTTGCGTAAGCTTATTCAGAGAAAGCCAGCTTTCCGCCACGCGGTTGGCGTAGAGGAGCGCCGAGGACTGTGACCATAGCGTGGTCTTGATGGTTTGTCCGAGACTATGCAGGACAGCCTTGTAGTATGTTGGGAACGTTGCTCGCGTTGTTTCGGTTGATTGGCCGGATAAAAAGCCGGGGAGCGTCTCCGTGGCGTACCGGTGGATGAGATCCAGCCGGTTGTGCGGGTACCGTAGTATATGCTGAGCAATCACGTATTCTAGATCCACAGGTTTCACTCCATTGTCTGAGTAATTCAGAATGTTCTGCGCCAGGCGGCTGATGCACCCGTCCATAGATTCGTCGCGCTCTGATTCGGACAAGCAGCTGGCTTCCTCGGCAGCAGCAGTGGATTCGTGGGTGGATAGTGTGCGCGCGCCAATGAGAATGCGCAGCAAAATAGTGCTGTGCTGCGCTGTGGGCATCAGCGAGGTAAGCGACCAGAGATAGTCGAAGGCGCGGCGGACCAGGGCGTTGGGTTCTAGGTCCTTCAGCTCGGCCATATCTGTGTGCCCACCTTGCGCGGCCAGTACTCCCAGAATGGCTGTTGTTTCTGCTGCACCACTTTGCAAGCCGTCCCAGTGCATCACAGAGGACATCACACCTAATAGTCCGTCGATGCATTGGTCAATCTGGTCCAAATCGCCATCATCGTCCAAGATAATCCGGCGATGCGCGTTGGCGCTGTCCAGGGCGGCGCCCATCTGGATGTTGTCGCGGTGCTGTGCGCTGACCGCCAAGCAGCCCGCCAAGTAGCGCAGCAGCGCCGGCAGCAGCGGCAAAAGACCGGCCACAATCTGTATGGCCGAGCTGGCCGACGTGTTGGAGCCGAACGTTGCCAAGTTGCAGTGGGTGGGCGCGCGCACGCCAAAGCCGCGCCTGTTCTCAGTATGGCGCACGAGCTTGACGCCCAGGATGGAGCCGAGCTCGCGCACGACCAGAGCCAAGGCCGGCGCACTCAGCAGAGCTCTGGGTGCATCGAGGTCGCTGCTGCCAATGAGCAAGACGCGGAAGGCGGAGAACCCAAGCTCACGCAGATACACGTGCGGCGATTTACAGAAATCATCGCTTGCCCCGGTGCTGGCAGCACCAGCATGCGCAGTGCCGGCGGCGGCAGATGCGCCAAACTTGCGCTTGCTGCGCCCACGCTTCGCTGCCGCAGAATCCACCCCGGACGGTGACAACAGCAATGGTTGGGTGCCGTCAATGAGTTTGCGTGTGTCATCCTGCGAGAGGAGCAGCCCGCCAAGGTCCATCGTGTGCGTGTGGTCGGCCAAGTTGGATCCCTGAGCGCTGATTAACTCGGGGCGACTCAGTCTCAGCGATGCGCCGTCCACCGTGCGCATGCTGGGCGCGTCAGCGAGCTCAGCAACCAGGCCGCTGACCATCGGGCGGAATTCATGTGGCGACCCAGCAAGCGATGTCGCCATAGCCATCAGGCTGGCCTCAATATGCGGCAGCTGGTTGGCGCGCCGCGCAACGTGCGTAAGGATCTCAGCCGAGTGCTGGTCGGCAAACGCGTTGATCAGCTCGCGCACCCAATTGACTGCCACATACAGCGACGAGCACAGCGTAAGCCGCAGCTCGGCAGTCCATGTGTTGGCGTGCACAATAAGGTCGCTGCGCTGATCGGTGGGATCGGCCAGCGTCGAACCCGCAACCATGGCTGAGCAGTCGTCGGAGGCGTCGTCCGGGCGGTGCGTGCCCGTGGGCGAGATTGGGGGCAGAATGTACAGGCCGCAGACCAGCAGGGCGTCGATCTCGCCCAGAGACCCATCGCCCAGCGCCTTCTCGCATACCTGGATAAGCCTCAGCAGTGACGGCAGACAGGACAGCAGGCAGCCGCGCAGTCGCGGTACGCCCTGCTCTGCCTTGTCGCCGTCTAAATGCAGCGCGTCACCATTGTGGTTGAGGATGTCCAGAATTGTAGGCTCCTCCTCGTCCAGCCACAGCGCCGGCGCCGGCGGGCTTTGCAGCCCGTAGCGCTCCGTGAGCAAATCAGGGTCGGCCAAGAAGTGCGTGGCAAACGTCGACGACACATTCTCGTGCAGCCACGTCAGCAGCTGCGCGTGCAGGCCCCTGGTCTCGACAATGTGCGCGAGCTCGTCGTAGGTCATCGAGACGAAGGCCCACGACTGGTGCCGCGCCGAGTCCATCAGCATCTCTAACAACTGCACGGCACGGCGCAACGCTTGCAGATTGATAGACGCTGCCGACGCCGCCTGCGTCGAGCTGCCAGCAGTCGCAGAGTCGGCCACCGTATGCTCGGGTGCGCCCAGCTGCCGAAGCAGCGAGACAGTGCCAACGATGCCGATGCGGTTGTACTTGGGGTACACGCTGGCCAGCTGCTTGCGCACAAAAATGTACAGGTCGCTGAATATGCTGTCGCTTGCACCGCCCTGGCCCAGCGTCGAGAGAATGCCTAGCGAGTCAAAGATCACGCGCACGTGCTCCAGCGGCAGATTGTCGACATAGTCCAGGAGGCCTTTAATGAAGACTGCGAATGGCCGCAGCTCGCATGGGTTCCGCTGCGCCAGCCGCAAAAAGATGCGCGCTGCCGTGTCAATCTCGTTAGCGCTGCCGCTGCCGATGTGCACAGCCAGCTCGCCGGCGATCTCCTGCCGCTGGTACATGCCCATGCATGCAAACGCTGCCGCCAGGATGCCTGCCGCCACGCGGCTGCCCTGGCTGCCCAGCGCGCTCGTGCGGACAAGCCAGCTGCCCACGGCCAGCAGCGCTGGGAAGTGCGCCGAAAAGACCGCCGGAAACCGCGCAATGACGGCCTCGAACAGGACCGGCGTGTACGCCACGCAGCCCGAAACTGTTGAGTCGATCTTCGCGCGCAGAAGCGTCTCGACACGCCGTGTGTGCGCGGGTATTTGGTGCAGAATCAGCAGAACCACCAAGTCCAGCGTTGTGTGTGTGCCCACCTTGTCTGTGTCCTCAGCAATGACGCGCAGCCAGGCATCCCGCAGGTGCTTGTGCGAGCGCAAGCTGGTGGCGATTACGTCGAAGATAAGCACGTCCGGAGAGTGGTTCGCCGACGCCGCTACATCTTTGCCGCCGCCTTTTGACGCGAGCACAATGCAGTCCAGATCAAGTCTCTTGCGGATGCGCGAGATCAGCGACGCTGCGCCATCGCTTGTGACGGAGTGCAGGAGAAACTTGACCATGACCGGAAGATCCAGCGGCTCGGCCGAGATGAGATGGCCAATAACAGAGCTGCGCGCGTCTTGCAGCAGCACCGGCCCACAGTTCAGGCTGCCAAGCGTCTCCAGCAGCGGCAGCATAAGCTCGGGTGTATCGCTCAGCATGCCAGCCAGAACCTTGGACACCTCAGTGTTGTCCGAGTCCGAGATAATGTCCGGGAGCGCCGACACAATCTCGCTCTGCATCTCGGCCGGCACAAACCCTAGTGTCTCCAGAAGCTTCTCTGTCAGTTCGGCCGAGTCGACAATGTAGTCGAGCCAGCGCAGCTGCCGGAGCACCTTGATCGACGTCTTGGTTTCGTCAGCGGCCTGCTGATCTTCAGTCCCAATGAACTCAGGAAACTTGTCCAGAAGCAGGCCGATCAGCCGTGACTGCAAACTGTCGACGCCCAGAAGCAGCCGCACAAGGCTTTCTGGTTGACCGTACACACCTCGCACTTGGTCCTCCTGCGGCTGTGTCACTGGGTCAAGGTAAAGAGCGATGCTATCCGATGCCAGCAGACCCTCGATGCAGTCGCCCACTACTTGCGACACTTGGGCGTTTTGCCGGATCGCCTCGCTAAGCTTGTATCTGAAAAGCGCCGTTGACGTGTGCAGAGCGGGCGCCTTGTCGCTGAACATCTCGATACCGCACCGCAAGAGTATGTCCGAGCAGGATTCCAACTGCATTGTGAGCAAAATAATATTAACTATAGAATGTGTTGTCGTGAAATAAATATAAAGGGTGAATTGGAATTCAACGCTCGTGCGAACCTGGAATATTTCATTTTTTGATGCGAAGAGATCGATCAAAACAAAGACTGCGCATTTACACAAGCAAGTAAGCAAGTAAGCAAGCGAGCGAGCATGTTTGCTTGCTTGGTGATTTGATCGGCGATTAGGTGCGATCATTTGTGAGCTTTTGGTGTAAACAAAAAAATCTGGCGTAAAATTACACAAGTCAGTTGGGACGCGGGGATACAAAATAAAAGAATCAAAATAAAAAAAATAAAAAACGGTTTACGCGTTATCACTTTCATTTTTCGTTTTTTATTTTTTATTTTTTATTTTTTATTTTTTATTTTTTATTTTTCGCACGCTTTTATATATTTATATATTTTCATTTAAAACTTTCATTTCCACATTATGAGCAATCGGACTTCGAGGCGAGCCAAATCGCCAGCCATGCGCAACAATTTCAGCGACATTGGCGTAACCGGCAGGTACGTTTTCAACACAGAGAAAAAACAAGAACTAGAATTAGTTAGTGTTCAATCCAATTACTTTTTTTCTATAAACAAACGCATGCATGCAAACTAACACTACCTTTTCTGCTTTGTATTTTTATACCAATTAGAAAAACTGGCGTCCGCGCTGCTGGCGGAGTCACCGTTGACAACGACGGGCTCGAAAACGTAGTCGAATTCTACAATAAAACCTCGCCAACACAGCCCGCCAAACCAACACAGCCACAGCCACAGACGCTCCACGCACTCCTCAGCCCCACGCCTATCCGCAGCATCCCGGCGTATGATACGCTGATGGGGGCCCTTGACATGGGCACGCCCGAGCAGCGGCCTATTCTCAGAGTCGATGCGGAGGAGGACGAGGCCATCCCGACGCCCCTGCAAACCCGAACATTGAGAGCGCAACTTATGAACGTTACTGAGAAAGAAACCACCATTACCACCGCTGTGGCTGCGCCGGCGCCGGCGCCAGCTCCAGTGCTTGTGCTATCGCAAGCCCCGGTTGCGACAACGGGTGCGAGTAGGAGAATGACTATGGTACAGAGCAAGGTGCAGAGAGAATCGTGGGTCAATTCGCCGGTCAAGAACAGGAGGGTCACTATGGGCGTTACGCAGAAGAGAGCGGATCCAGGCGATGAGCTGAACTTTGGTCCCGAAGATAGCACGGACGAGTTGAATTTTGGACCATTAGAGACACAGTCGAGAAAAAAGTTGAACGGAGCGAGTGCCACGGAGAATAAGGCTGATGAGAATGACAATGAAGAGGAGAGGTATGTGCATGTGGAGGACGCCGACCAGAAACTGAGTCCCGTAGAATCTGCCGCCGACAATGACAATGAGGAGGAGGAGGAGCCGCAGTTCAACCTCAGTGAACCCGAACAAGATGATAACGAGGTGCCCGACCAGGAGCCCGAGCAGGAGATGCCTGAGGATGAGGTGATCCCCGATTCACAAGAGCCAGCTCCTGAAGTGTCTGAAGCAGAGCAGGATCCCACTCTCGAAGACCAGTCGGGCGACCAATCCGTCGACCACTCCGCAGAGCAGCCTCGGCGCCAGAAACAGATAAAAGCCAAGTCAATGTCTGCCGAGCAGCCCATACGGCGCAGCACGCGCGCCACGATTCAGCCCCTGGCGTACTGGCGCAACGAGCACGTCGAGTATGAGTACAGCTCCGGCCCGTTACCCGGCGTCCCCGTGCCCAAGCTCAAAAACGTCGTGCGAGTGCGCCAAACTGCCGAAGAGAAAAAGTACGCCAAGAGGCGCCGCACTAAGCACTCCTTGCCATCACTTCGTCATATTCCGCGCAGCGAGTTGGACCCCTCCGACCGCGGCCAATTTTTCTATTACGATGATGAGAACTACGGCTTCCCCGTCAAGGGCGATTCGTCGGGGCGCTATGGGCCTAGGTATACAGAAAAGGCCAAGGCTAGGGGATCGACGAAGCGCTCGCTGGATGACATGGACGACAACGACGATATCCCCGTGGACGAGCGGCCCAAGGTGGTCCTGATGGGCGATGGTGTGGAACGCACGCAGGAAATAGCCATTTCGCGCCAGTCCATCGAGTGGTCCAACATGGACACAGAGAAGGACAAGTACAAGGTTGGTATGGGGTTGTTTGTTGAACAATCAGAGGGCTCCGTGGATGCCAGTTCGGGTGTCATTTCCATGGCCGTCGGCGGACAGAAACCCGCGAGAACTGCGGGCCCAAGGACGCTGTTTTACCTGGTCACTTCGGGACAGGTTGAGGTCCAGGTGCACGGGTCTGTGTTTCGTGTGGGAATGCTGGGCCAGTTTATGGTGCCCAGAAACAACACATACTCTATTAAGAATGTCGGCACGCATCCGGCTCAGCTCTATTACGTGCATGTCAGTCCACTGGAATCTGTCACGGAGAATGTACAGAGCGGTGGCAGTGCTGCTGCCGAGCATAGCGACAGCGACATTGAATAAATAAAAGTTTCCTTCACTCTTTGTACCATTCTTTTTTTTATCGCTTCTATTTTCTCTTCTTTCGTGACAATTTAACCTTGTCAAAAATATTTTATACAAGATATTTTAATTCCGAACATTGTCTTGCCCTGAAGTGTGGGCTTGACTGCGTTATGACTGGCGGAATGTCCAAAACGGTTTTTTTATACTTGGCTTAGCACCAATGTACATTGCTTAAAATAAACCATATATATAAAAAAGTTTGAAAACATTGGATGTGTGCTTAGAAAAATACACACAATAAAAATGGGTATGCAAATGTTGCGCAGCCCGAGGACATGGAAGTGGATGATGAAGTTGAGAATCCTGAAACAGATTTCCATCCACATGCTGATAGATCGAATATGGACTAGATCATGGTGTATTAAATCAGGTGCCAATATTGACATCTAGGATACATTGTCTGTTTTGCAGTGCATTCGAATGGGCGTACACAAATGAAGAGTACAACAATAACATATCAGAGACTGGGATGTTTGCAGAAGAACAATTTCTCGCCAACGGAGTGCACAACTGGCGGAGTGCACAAGGACGGTGACCAGACATATATATAAGACGAGGCCGGCCCTAGTAGTATTTTAGAAACATCAATAATAAAACCTTTTATAAAATCACCCCTACATTTCTAACACTAGATAACTAGTGCTCCTCACACCCCCTCTTATTATAACACTCATGCAAATTTCTTTATATATAAAATAATTACACCCTTTTTAAAAGGCTTGGCATATGCATGCTCGACAAAATTGGCATGTGCATATTAATAATACCTGGCCAATTATTTGTTTAAAACCAAAAATGTTGGTAGAGTTAATAAAGCAAAATGACAAAAGGCAAAGGCTTTACAATCTTGGGAAAAGTAGACACTATTTATTTTTTAATAGACTGCAAGGTGCGACTTATTGTAGGTAATTTTTTTTCGGAGCGGAAGACATTTAGTAATGACACTGTAGATGCTTGTACGGATGAAAATCTGCAAAAAATGTACAAAATGTATTTATTTGTATAAATTGTTTTATTCACAAAACGTTAACCAACTCTTATATTATTTATATGCTAGTCCATTTAATAAAATAAGTATGCTTGGAGGAAAACGTGTCTTCAGCGACAGCTGTCGTGCTCTATAAAAATGTGGATCTAAATTAATATATTTAAGTATCAAAAATTACTTAAAGAACTGAAAAAAGGGACAGCGCTGCCCACACAGCGCTGTAAACATCATGGTGTTCCTTGATGTCAGCCAGCAATAACAAAAATGTGTATAGCGGCCATGAGAGCAATCTTGATTCTTGAAAAGGGAAGATAATGTCTTGGAATGTGTGTTGGCCACCACAACAGCAACCAGCATATTATTATCAAACACACTAGAGCCACTGCACACCTTCACTTTATAGAACTGAGGACAGGCAATTTCTAAAAAGAAACAATGGTGGCCAAACGAGGCAGTAACATGCTCTTTTTATGAAAATCACCCTGAACCAAGGGGCTAACAACCAAGGTCTCAGAAACCTTGTCCACCTTTTTTTTATTGGTTGACAGCATATTGCAAATATTTGTGCGGCTTATCCATGTTATTCCAGGCACTATGTTCAACGTCGAGTAGGTCAACGAGTGTATGTGTGGCGGATGCCAGAAAGGTGTAATGACGTCTGAGAGAGCCAAAAATGAGGATCATTAAGCACCCGAAAATTACAAAGCATCAACAGATTTTCGACTTCTTAAGTATGCTGGATGTCAATCACAGTAAATAAACTGATGGGTGATGGCGAGACAAGCTCTTTTAAAATCGGACCTAAAAATTCTACCATCCTCAACTTATCACATAGTTTATGCAAATAGGTAGAGGTCGCATTGGGCAGGCGGATGCTCCTTAGATTTGGGAACCAGTTGCCACAAGCAAGCATCTACATCAAAACGTTGAACAAAACATAATTAAAATCATAAATTATCGGATTAATGCATAAATTCAAATTCTTGGTGACAATCAGAATTACGCAATTAAAATTTTCAGAATATTGAAAATCAAAAAATAACTGAAAACGATTCAAGATAGCATTAATTTTTCCTCCTGCGCACGATCTTTACACAAAAAACAATGAAAAAACACTTTTTGTTCTCTCGTCTTTCAGTTCTTATTTTCCATCGTATATATTATATTAATTTCATTTTTCGGTATGCTTACAATGATGCTACAAGCGCTCCGAGCGCGGCCCCTCCAGCTCGCGCCCCGACATGCTTCGCTCATACACACAACCACGCATAACTTGGCTGGTGCCCCGCTAAGCGCCAAACGTGAGGAGAAAATCAAAGAGCAGCAGAACCGGCGATCCAAATGGGCCGACCTCAAAAAAGGCACGCACCGTATGCGGCTCACCGCCCTGCAGACTGCCAAGGGCGGTGGCGGTCGCAGCAGCGGCGGCCAATCGCAGCACCTAGAGGCACGCATGCGCCGATCGCGCGACCAGCGTGCTAAATTCGACAGCGCGCGGGACCATATTAATCGCACGACGGTGACGCAGGAGGAGCGCGGACTGGCAGAAGCGAGAATCCTGCGGCAGCGGTCGAGGGAGTTGAAGAAAAGGGGCACCCCCGGGTTGGGGTTCACTCCGGCACGGTTCCGGCTTATGCCGGTGGAGAACGAGACCGGTACAGATGTCGTTGCGCTTATGCAGAAGACCGATGGGCGCACGCGGAGTGTCGGAGCAAGGGAGGTTGGAGAGATGGTTGACAAGGCGAGGTTTGCCACACTGGGGCTGCGTGTCGATGTCGTCAAGGCTGTGGAGAAGATGCTGGATAAGGAGGACCTGCGGCCGACAGAGATCCAGGCGCTGGGCATTCCTGAGATCCTCGGCCGCACGCGTGTCGGCTCCTCATCCTCATCCATGGGCGCTGCGGCGCTGCCCAATGTGTTTTTGGCAGCAGAGACAGGCGGCGGAAAGACCCTGGCGTACGCGTTGCCGCTCGTGTCGATGCTCAAGCAGGAGGAGGACAGCGGCCACCAGCGGCGCGAGCGGCGGCCGCGCGCCCTCGTCATTGTGCCCTCGCGCGAGCTCGTCAAGCAAGTGGCCTCAGTATTTAAGCATGTCGGCCATGAAGCCAAGATCCGCACGATCGCCATGCACCTGGGAACGCCCCGCCGCCGGCTCCGCGACCAGGTCGCCCAGGGCCCGATCGACATCCTCATTAGCACTCCCGGCGCTGTCATTGAGTACATGTTGCGCGATCCGGTGTTTTCGCCTGCCGATATTCGCCGCCTTGTGGTGGACGAGGCTGACTCGATGATGGACTCGCACAGTTTTGGAGAGCAAACCACTCGCGTGCTGGACCTCGTGCGCAAGGCTAACGAGACGCAGGGCAGGCGCGAACAGGCAGTATTTGTCAGCGCCACGCTGCCCAAGCTTATCCGCGAGCAGATTATCCGCAGATACCCTGATGTTGTCCACGTCACGACAAAGGCCCTGCACCGCGCGCCACAGAAGCTGTCGCAGACCTTCATTGATGTGTCCAAGGACTATCAGGGCCACAGGCTCAACGCCCTGTGGTTTGTGCTGCGCACGGCGGCCGTAGACAAGCATCTAATGATCTTCTGCAATAGCAAGATTAGCGCCAACCTTGTATACCGCCAGCTGTATAGGCGGGGTGTGCCTAGCTTGCTGCTTGTCGGGTCGACGCCGCCACCCAAGGGCGTGGAGAGCTGGCGTGAGCGCAGGGAGCAGGATAATGCGGTGCCCAGAAGTGATGCGCGCAGGGCGCCCAAGGGTGCGGATGCCTGGGAGAAGGCCACGTGGGGTGCCGACCAGGAGCCCCTGGCCGAGGAGGACGCTGACGTGGAGGAGGACGCTGATGTGGAGGCGGCCCCTGAGCCCATGAGCGGCGTCAACGTCAACGACCTGCGTGCGCCTATTCCGCGATTCAACCGCGAGGAAGTCCTGCAGTCGTTCTACGGCTCCGACCCCATTCCCAGCCACTTGCTTCCGGTGGACATCAAGCTCGATGACACAGAGTCCTCATCCCAGCCTCAGTCGACACAGCAGCAGCAGCAGCAGCGCAAGATTATGGTGTGTACGGACTTGGCGTCGCGTGGGCTGGACACCACGTGTGTGAGCCACGTTGTTCTGTTTGACTTCCCAACCACGGCCATCGACTACCTGCACCGTACGGGGAGAACTGCGAGAGCTGGAACCAGGGGCAAGGTGTCGGCGCTAGTGGGAAAGAAGGACCGCCGATTGGCTGACCAAATCCGCCTAGCCATCCGCCAGGGTGGCATCATCAACTAAAGTGTATAAAAATAAACAATGATACATGTGATAACCGCAGCAGGTCTGACTGACTAACTAAATATATTATTTTTATTTGTTCACACGGTTAAAAAATATCTGTTATCTTTCGCCGTCTTTTACGAGGGTGATAACTGTTTACGTGCAATTATTTTTATTTTTTAATTTTCTAGATAAATAATGCAACCTGAACGCACAGACATCAAAAATTTGAAACTTTCAATCTATAAAAACCATCCACCTTTTTTTATTATTGCTCTTTACTTTATTTCTCCGCTCACAAACAAAAATAAAGAAAAATAATCCTGTTTATTTCAACTATTCTACAAAAGGCCTACGAAAAAATGACCGATCAACAAGTCACCCCATTCGTCAGCCTCGATGACTTTGAGCGCTACGCAATGCGCAACCTAGACCGCAATGCCCTCGACTACTACCGCTCAGGCGCTCAAGACATGCATACGTTGCGGTCCAACCAAAGCGCCTTTGACAAAATAACCCTGCGCCCACGCATTCTCCGTGATGTTTCCCAAGTAACCACCCAAACCACCATATTATCCTCCCCCGTGTCCTCGCCCATCTGCATTGCGCCCACGGCAATGCAAAAAATGGCTCATCCCGAAGGTGAATGCGCAACAGCGCGGGCAGCTTTGGAGACCAACACATTGATGTGCCTGTCGTCCTGGTCCACCACCAGTATGGAAGAAGTAGCAGAGTGCACGCGCAGCAGCGGCAGCAGCAGTGGAGCGGAAAGGTGGCTGCAGTTGTATGTATACAAGGATAGGGGAAGCACCAGAAGGCTGGTTGAGAGGGCGCAGGAGGCCGGGTATTCGGCCATCGCGTTGACTGTGGATACACCCTTTTTGGGAAGGCGGCTGCCGGATATCCGTAACCGATTCCAGCTGCCGCCGCATCTGACTATGGCGAATTTCGCTGATTCCGGCAAGCGAGAAGTAGGCAAAGTGGAGGACGCCTCGGGGGCGAAGAATGCCTCGGGTTTGGCTGCATATGTGGCTTCGCAGATTGATCCGACGCTGAGTTGGGAACATGTGCGTTGGATCAAGCAGATTGCTAGTATTCCGGTGTTGCTCAAGGGCATATTAACACATGAGGATGCCCTGTTGGCTGTTGAGGCCGGAGTTGATGGCATTATTGTTAGCAACCATGGTGGTAGGCAATTGGACACGGTGCCTGCGACTATCGATGTGCTGGAGGAGGTTTGCTTGGCCGTGCGCGGCCGCATACCGGTGTTCTTGGATGGCGGGGTCAGGCGCGGAACGGACGTGTTCAAAGCGCTGGCGCTGGGTGCGCGCGGCGTGTTTCTGGGGAGACCTGTGTTGTGGGCCTTGAACTATAATGGCCAGGAAGGGGTCGTCGAGATGCTGCGAATGATCAATGAGGAGCTGCGGCTGGCAATGGCTCTTTCAGGCTGCGTAAACGTCAGTGATATCAAAAGACACCATGTACGGGTTCCCGGAGAACCAATTCCAATGCCAAAGCTGTAGCTATAGCTCTATAGCCATTCCAGCTCATTTATTATTATTTAATATTCACATGAATGAATAAATGTTTTTATCACAATATGGAGTCGTGTTCGGCTGTTTCTTTGGCTGGTTTTGTGTCTTGGAATATCTCGGCCCGGGTGCGCTCGTACTCCGCCTGTCTCTGCTCAATCGAAACTGTCGAACCTGCCGAATGTTTTAAAGCCACCTTGACCTTGCTCCTGCCGCCATCACTCTTGACCAAAATCTTTGTAAACGACACTCTATCTGCCTCACCCGCCTCCCCGCTTTCCCTCTCGTCTTCTGCCGCCATATCCTGCTGCCCACCCTCATAAGCGACTAAATTTCCCAAAGAGCTCTCCAGGGGGACCATCTCCACACCATCTTTTTTATAAAATGCCATCTCGTCCTTGCCCCTGCCAACAACAACGTGGATCAGATCGTAGTGGTCGCCGAGCTTGTGCAGCAATAGGCGCCGGTATGAGTTTTGTTTGGACAGGAGCAGTCTCCGTTGGCTGGGTTGCAAAATGAATTGGGATACTTGCTGCTCAAATTGAAGCACGAAATCACGATCTCCTTGGTTCTGACTGAGCGCTGTGGCCAGAATGGGATCTACTGTTACCAGTTTTGAATTTGTTTGGTGCTGGGGAGCCGCTGATTCTGCTGGTTGTAAGGCTTCAGAGACGCTCATTGCTTTGTAAAGAAGAAAAAAGGAGGTGTGTAGGTGAAAAGAAAGAAAGAAAAAATCAAATAAATATATTATTCGTGTAAAATTAAAGCAAAGAGAAAGAAAGAGAAAAAATAAAAATAAAACTGCAACAAAAAATAATAAAAATAAAAAATAGAATAAAATCAATAAAAAATCTTAAAAACAATTTCAGTATTTTCCTATCCAATATTTTGTTTATTTCTCTTCATCTTCACCTCCCTCCTACGCTTTGGATCATTTTTTCTACACGCCGTAACGCTCCTCATAGACCTTCTTGGAGTAGTAAGCCGCCGATCCCGTTCCGAGAACCGACATGCTCAGGGGCACAGGTGCCCTGGTTCTCAGCGCCTTAGGTCCCATGGCAAACAGCAGCAAGGTAGATGCTGCCAGAGCCAACTCGTGTCCGTAATCCTGATTCTTCTGGATCCTTGTTCCCGCGTACCAGTACACCGCACCGATGCTGGCTCCGGCGACCAAAGACGGGATCGACCGACCCTTAGCGTATCCGATGGCTCCGCCCACTGCGCAGATGCCTGCCATGGTGTATGCTGGGTGCTGCGACATTGATTCTAGGATAAAATGGAAGAAAAAATAAAAGTGAGGGACGGATAAATGAAACGTGCTAAAAAATATAAAGAAAAAATTATGTGAGCGTTTGCTTGCGGAGAAGAAAAAGATAAAAAATAAGATAGATAAGCACTCGTTGCAAAAAGTCTCAATCTCTTGTCTCTCCGTCATCAACAGACAAGCATTATAGTCCACGCGGTTTATTATTTTGCTGATCAAAGCAAATCAACAAGCGTGTTTAAAAAATAATTTGAATTACAAAAAAAAGCCGGCTCCCGTTTTCCCTTAGTTGTTAATACGGATGGCCCTCTCGTGGTGCGCCCCGCGCTGGCGAGATACGCGGTCGACATGGTTGAGCCCAATAAACCCGGTGGCGGTCCCAGAGGAGTTCCTCATGGGCACGTCATCAGTATCCGCCGTGGCCGTAGCCGCTGCCGTTGTCTGCTGGATCAAGTCCCACAGAGACATATCATCGCTGCCCAGCATCGATACTGCCGCAGCCGCTGCCCCAGCAGCAGGCTGCAATGGCTCGGCATCGGCATCAATGCGCTGCGGAGAGCCCATCGGTGAATTCTGCCCGGTGCCGTTGTTGTTGACAACGACCATGGCCATGGACGGAGAGGAATCGACGGGCTCCTCTCCAAAGCCCTGGATGACGTGGCAGCGCTGAAGTTCAACCGTTCCGGCCGATCCGTACACTACCCCGAGGTTCTTCAGCTCCTTCTCGCCCAGACCCAGCTTGCGCCCGAGCCTTGCCCACGTATCCGCCCAGACCTCGCCAGGATAGACGCGGAACAAGAAGGGCACGCTGTGCGTGTTGTTGAGCTCGCGGTAAAAGTGAAACACTTCAATGTCCACGCCATCCCCCTGCTTGGAAAAGACATCAATGTCCATGAGCAGGTCGCTGTCTGCCTTTTGAGGCGCGGGAGATCCGTTGGCGATGCTGGTACCGTTGGTGCTCGGGAGCCGCTCAGCTATAACCTCGGCGACGCTCGGGTTGCCCATCTCAGAGATGCGCTCGGCACCGGTCAGCAAGTAGCTGAACCGGTGGTAGGAGGCCGTGTAGAAGCGCATTGGACTGGGCTTTGGCGCAGCCGCATCGGCAGCAACAGCCGGGTCCGCCTCTCCAGACCGCTGCTGTTGCTCGAGTTTGGCGTACGTGTTGTCAATAATAATCTGTGAAACACCGGTCTTGGGCACGAGGAACTCGACATGCGACTCGTCGCGCATGCTCTTGCCAACACACGTCACCCGCACCGAGCGCATGTTCTCCATCTGCGCGAGACTGTACTCAAGGCGCTCGTACATAACCGTGTACTCGGGCAGGCCGTCGGAGTTGAGCGCCGGCTGCGTGTACATCGAGTTGGGCAGCATATCGCTGAGCACAGTCGACATGATGCGCCTGACAGGCTGCCGCGGCTGGCCCGTCGGGCTGACCGTGTAGAAGCGCAGCTTGAGCGGGTCCTCCGCGCCGATCTGGCCTGCAAGCCACTGCGCCACGTTGTCGTAGGGTAGCTTGTTGCTGGCCTTCAATATTGGCATGTCGTCGGCCGCCTGGCTGTCGCTGTCGCTACCGTTATAGTCATCCTGGTCCTTGGAGGCGGGCCGCGGCACGAAGCGCACGCAGACGCGGTGCTGGATGTCGTCAAAGTACTCGGGCACCGTGGCAAGGTACTTTTGCGTACCTGGAGCTGGTGCCACCTGGTAGCAGATTATGTCGCCGGTCTGGATCTCGGCCTTGCTGAACGAAAGGCTGACATCCATTCTCTCGATCAGCGACGGCTTGACCTCCTCGTACAGAATGATCTGCGTGTCTGCGGGCAGTTTGGCCATGCTGAGCAGCGACGGCTTGATGTCCCGGATGAGCTGGCCACTGTGCACGTACATGCTGCCGATGCCGACCATGCCCATGTCAGGGTCGTAGAACTTGAGGTGAATCAGGGACAGCCCCTTGGGCACGGGCGTGGCCATGAAACCATCGGGCATCGCCTGCGTGTCGCGCAGCTCGCAGTAGAAGCGCACCTCAGGCCACTTGAGCGACCGGGTCTCCTTGATCTGTGCCAGAGTCTGGGACATAGAGTCATCCAGCAGCGGCGCGTCGCAGCGGATGGTCTTGTTGAGGCGCCCAACCATCGACCACAGGCGGAATTCCTCAGGATCCCTGCCAATGGCATTGGCGTAGTGCTCCTTGAACTCGCCCAGCGTCATTGTGCGCGGCATACGCTCGCTGAACAGCGGGTTGCTGCTGGGCTGGCGCGGGCCAAACTGGCACAGGTCAAAGCCCTGGTGGCCGCGGAACTCAAAGTTGCTAACAACCTTGACAGCCACCGTGTTCGCCATCTCCTGCTTCTCGCGCTGCCGCCGCACCAGCTCATCCTTCTCCTGCTGTATTCTCCTGAGCAAATGCTCAGGCACGGGCGCCTCATCGGTGCTCAGCACCCTGTCGCGCTCGGACTCGCGAATGTACACCAGCATGTAGGCGTTGGTGAACCGCTTACTGATCGGCCGCGCGCGAGTGCCCAGCTGCTGCGGCTGCTGGGGGTGCTGGGTGTCTTTCGTGAACTCGCCGCCGTAGTACTCCTCGAACACCTCGTCGCCCGACACTGGCACCACACGGTCGTCATCAAAGCGGAACCATTTGTTCTCGGTGGTCGGGCGCAAAAGCCCAAAGTAGTGGCCGCCGTGCAGGTCGCCACTGTGCACGAGGACGCCGTGCAGGACATAGTTCCACGACTTGCTGCGGTCGGCATCCTCCGAGAGGAACTCGCCCAGATCGATCGACGGCGGGAACTCGTGGCGGTCGTTGATCTTGACCATCGCATCGCGCATAAAGTCGTACTCGAAGCGCTTGAGCTGCAGCTGCAGCACGGGCGGGAATGACTCGAAGATCACGCCCTTGCGCGCGTCCTGCAGGCCGTGGCCCTCGGCTTGGTACTTATTCTCGCCGTCCAGCATCTCGACCTCGCAGTAGTTGGCGAACGAGTCGCGCAGCGTGCTGCAGCCCTTGACGTTGAGCGAGATGTCGTAGTAGTTCTCGACCCGCGATGACTCGTAGTTGACATTGACACAGCGAATGTAGCTCTTCATCTTACCCTCAAACAGGTTAGCGACTGCGCCGTCCACCACGGTACCCTTCATCTTGGTCTCGAGGCTGTCCTGCAACACGCGGTTGAACTCTTGTACGTCGTGCTGCATGAACGACTCGAGCGAGTCCCAGCCAAACGACTTTGTCAGCTCAGTCGTGTCTACGGGCTCGCTGCTGACCTGCAGGTTGTAGAACACACGCTGCAGCGCCAGGGCGACCGACTTTTTCGGGTCCTCATCCTCGGTCGGAATCTGGTACACAGCGTTGCGGAACTCATTTGTAAAGTACAACGACTGCAGCAGCGAGTTCATGTAACAGGTGGCGCCCTGGTTCCGCAGCCCAACATGGCCTGTGTACTTGCGCGAGTTGTAGTTGTGGAAGTTGTGCCAGAGCACGCCCAGCGGGTCCTTGACTATGCGCACATATGCGCTAATGCGCACGCGGCCCTTGTCCAGCAGCGCCGGCGAGCTATCGTCGCTGGGCGTGATCATGTGCCGCAGCTCAGCAAAGCGCGTGAACCCCCAATCCGACTCTTCGGCAGTGAACCGGTGGCTCGTCACGCTTTTCTTGAACATGCTGGGGTCGTCCATGTTGGACATGGCCAGCCCAAACGTCGCGCACGTGTACCAGTCGTCGGCCTCTCCGTGACTGGCCTTGCGCTCGATGTACAGCGACACAGTTTCGGGCGCCTGGTTGCCGCGCGGGAACAGCAGAATGCTCCAGTCACGGCCGCCGACCGTGAACGTCTGGCTGATTGCGCGGTCCGGCAGCTGCGACCAGTCCTCAATCTCCCAATGGAAGTAACCATGGCAGTGCTCCTCGAGTTTCGGCTCCAGTTTGACGTTGGCCTCCAAGAACTCCTCCTCTACAAAATCAAAACAAATGCGGTGGCAGCAATGGTGATGTCGGTTGAATGTTTAGGAATAAAAGCACGCAAAGCTATATTTTTCCCTTGCAAAGCTCTACAAAGCAGCAATGGAGGGTGCTCAAAAGAAGGAGGGGGCTGTACAACACGGCCATCCATTAAGCAAAGGGCGCACGCAGCATGCCGTTCTTTTTGCTGCAAAACGATTGGAATAACAATAGGAGGCTGAACCCTGTGCAGAACAGCACAATTAAACAAAAGGCATTCTAAGCAAGAAAAAAAGAGGAGAGAAAGGGTGGAGAAACAGTGGCTGGGCATGGCGACGGCGACGACGACACTCGCTTGAATTGTGCATGTTTTTACTTGCGTCACAAGAATCAGCTTTATCAACAACAGGCATATGTGGCATATGTGGCATATATAATGCCGCAAGCCTTGCTGTTGGGATTCCTCATCTGCTGGAATTCAATTTGGAAGAAGCAGCAAATAAAAAAGCGCATAAACGCGTGTACGCCTGGCCAGCAGAAAAAGTAAAACAAAACTTACCATTAATGGTCGACAGCCCGCTGTAATACCTGTTGGCTGAAGTGCTGTTCGAAACAATGATAGTAGCGTCGTCGTCGTTGGCACTCGGCAAGGGAGACGGTTGGTGTTGTGGCGTTTGACTATTGTCGCGAAGTGACACGACCTCGCTCGCCGTGTAAGTCAGAGTGTCATTCTCGCCGTCAGAATTGTGGTCCATCTTTGAAATACTTATTTTTTATAATGTGTAGAGTAGAAAATTATATGTAAAAAACACCTTTGAAAATTCAAATTTATTTATTCGAAAGAACAAAAGAACAGAGTATTTTTTCAGCGTATTCTGACCTAAAAAATATTAAAGCAAAAAAGCTAATTTGCAAACGGAAGTTTGCAAATTGCTTCGGGACTCCACTACCACCATTTTTTTGGGTTTTGGACCTCATCCGAATGCGAGCTCAGCGCATTTTCCCTTTTGCATTTTCTCTTTTGCATTTTCTCTTTGAGTTGTGGCACGGGACATCACAGCAAAAAAGAAAAAAGAAAATAGCTGTTTGATTGGCCGATATAACTATTGTCACGTGGATTGGCCCAGTTGGAAACGTCACTGTCACTTTTGTGTTAATAGGGTGGCAGCCATTATCTAAGCATCAAAAAGTGCGGCTGTTATGCTGTGTTCACTCAGCTTGCCTCGCTCAGTCTGCGCAAAACATGTTCGTGGAATCGAGAGATGAAAAATAAGTTCTAGAATGTTTTTCTGTGTGTAACGCATTTATGCAGCTAAGATTTTGTGGTTGTTGTCCGCTTGACCACTTGCTCAGCCCTGTTTCTCGAGTATAAAAAGGAGCACGCGCGAGTTCTGCTTTCAACTTTTTGTTTCTTTACAATACAATCATTTTTATTTATAATTTCGATGAACTGTTCACAATTTTATATTTATTTTTAAATACACGCACATTTATGCTATCGCACAAACTTTGTAGAGCCGGCCCGCTCTCTTCTTGGGCCACCGCGAGCGCGATTCGCACGACTACAGCCACAACTGCCCCTGCCGCCAGGGCGTCGCTGCTGGTTTCTGGCAGAGCGCAGATCGGTCAGCGTCGCTGGTTGCTGACCGCCATTGGGAACCGCAGCCACTATATGACTACGAAGCCTCTCACCGCTTTGGCTGCCACAGCCACTGTTGTTTCTCGCCGTGGTTACGCAATGGGTCCTCAGGGATTCCGGATGGCCCAGGAGCCGGCCGCGCCTGAGCCTGGAGAGGCGCTGAAGAAATACGGCGTAGACATGACCGAGCTCGCCAAGAACGGTAAGCTGGATCCGGTCATCGGCCGCGACGACATCATCCGGCGTGTGATTCAGATTCTCTCGCGGCGCACAAAAAACTCTCCTGTGCTGACTGGTGTTGCTGGCGCCGGCAAAACGGCAATTGCCGAGGGTCTGGCGCAGCGCATAGTCAAGGGCGAGGTGCCCGAGAGCATGAAGGAGAAGCGACTGATTGCGCTTGATCTGGGCGGGCTAATCGCCGGCACAAAATTCCGCGGCGAGTTCGAGGAGCGCCTCAAAGCAGTGCTCAAGGACATTGAGGACGCACCGGACGTTATTATCTTTATTGATGAGCTGCACATGCTGTTGGGGCTTGGCAAGACTGACGGCGGCATGGACGGCGCCAACTTACTCAAGCCGGCGCTCGCCCGCGGCACGCTGCACTGCCTGGGCGCGACCACGCTGGACGAGTACCGCAAGTACATCGAAAAGGACGCCGCCTTAGCACGCCGCTTCCAGCCGGTGATTGTCAGCGAGCCCTCGGTGCCCAGCACAATCTCGATCCTGCGCGGCCTCAAGCCTAAGTATGAGGTGTTCCACGGCGTGCAGATTGCTGACAGCGCGCTTGTCAGCGCAGCAACACTTGCACATCGCTATATTACCACCAGACACCTGCCAGACTCGGCCATCGACCTGGTTGATGAGGCGTGCAGCATGCTGCGCACGCAGCAGGAGAGCAAGCCCGAGCCGATTGAACAGCTTGACCGTGCCATCATGACTATCCAGATTGAGCTCGAAAGCCTGAAAAAGGAGCAAGACGTGGCCAGCACGGAGCGCCGCGACACGCTGCAGAAGCTGCTCGAGGACAAACAGGAGGAGTGCAAGCGGCTGACTGACCAATGGGACACGGAGCGTACCGAGCTCGACCGCATAAAGTCCATCCGCAAGCGCCTTGATGTTATACAAAACGAGCTCGAACAGGCGCAGAGATCGGGAAACTTTACCCGCGCGTCCGAGCTGCAGTACGGCGCCATCCCAAAGCTGCAGGAAGAGCTCGCCGGCCACAAAGAAAAGGCGCACGGGGGCAACTTGCTCAGCGATCGGGTCACTTCGGACTCGATTGCGCAGACGGTCTCACGAGCCACAGGCATCCCGGTGTCGTCATTGCAGCAAAGTGAGAAGAAGAAGCTCTTGCAAATGGAAAACGCGCTGAGGAGGCGCGTAGTCGGCCAGGATGTGGCTATTTCGGCCGTCGCCGAGGCCGTTCGCCTCAGCCGCTCGGGACTGCAGAGTGACCATCGCCCGATTGCTTCGTTCATCTTTGCCGGAGGCACAGGCACCGGAAAGACCGAGCTGTGCAAGGCCCTGGCCGAGTTCCTGTTTGACACCGAGTCGGCCATCGTGCGCATCGACATGAGCGAGTACATGGAGCGCTTTTCGACGTCACGTCTGATCGGCGCGCCGCCCGGGTATGTGGGTTCCGAGAACGGCGGCGAGCTGACCGAAGCCGTCCTGCGCAAGCCGTACTCTGTCGTGCTATTTGACGAGATCGAGAAAGCGCACCGTGACGTGGCCAATCTTTTGCTGCAGGTGCTCGACGAGGGCCACTTGACCGACTCTCAGGGCCGCAAAATTGACTTCCGCCAGACCATAATTGTGTGCACCAGCAACCTGGGCTCGGACCTGCTAGCCACTGACCCTGCGGCTGATCCAGACGCTCCCGAGTCTGAGGTCGTCAGCCCCGCCATTCAGTTGCAGATCAAGGGCATGGTCGCTCAGCACTTTAGCCCCGAGTTTGCCAACCGCATTGACGACCTGATTGTTTTCAACCGGCTTTCGCGCCATGCTATTCGCCAGATTGTTGACGTTCGTCTGGCCGAAGTGCAGAAACACCTTGACGATCGTCGTATTAAGCTTGAGGTCTCGGACGATGCCAAGGAGTGGCTGGCCGACCGCGGCTACGATCCCGTGTATGGCGCTCGCCCGCTGAACCGTGTGATTCACAAGCGCCTCTTGAATCCGCTCGCGCGCTGCCTGATCGACGGCAGCATCTGCAATGCCGAAACGGTCAAGGTGCGTGTTGAGGGCGAGGGCATCACCCGCGAGCTGGCGATAGTGCAAAACCACAAGTCCAACCCGAATGTCGGCGAGAGCAACGACGGCGAGCATGATGTCGATAACCACGACGCTGACTTTACCGAGATTCCTCCCGCAAAGGAGTAAGGTGCTAGCGTGCTGGTGCTTTTTTATCTTATTTTTCCTACTATTAGAATTACTGAATATAAAATATTTTGTTTTGATAAAGCCACCAATACATAAATACCAATACATCTATCCTCAAGCTGGGTCAAAGCCGCGTGTTGTCAATCGAGCAATAATATAAATACTTTCAATTGGCTGAGGCTAATATGATTTATTTGCTTATTAATTTATTTCTTAACTCACATTTACGTAGCGAAAATGCAGGAAATATATTCTCGATGCGAATGCCTCCTTTGGGATTTTTTGCTTTTATCAATCCACGCATTCACTTTTCTTCAGTTTGTCCACTGTGATATCCAAGCCACAATTATTATTATTTCTACAACAGCACCTATTATCTACTCAAATACAGCAAAGCAGCAGCAGCATCAACTAGATAAAACATAAAAAAATATAAAGATGTAAAGTGACATTCAAAATATTGTATTTGTGGTTTCATCGTTGTTTATCCATTTTCCACCATAAATTGCTATTTATTCACACATTATTTAATAAATTGCACAATTAGCTAAAAAAAACAAATAAACATTATTATGGTAAATATTTTCTATGCTACTGTTCTTGCTGCAGCCGTAATGGTTGGTGCCCGGGCTGGTATCAACGGCACCACTAGCAACCCTACTCTCTACATCTTTGGAGATTCACTTTCGGACATTGGAGGCATGAAAAACAAAACATTTGGCATAATTCCTCCATGGCCCTTTTGGCAGGGCCGCTTTTCATCGGGACCCCTGTGGAACGAGTATCTGGCCAAGCTCCTTGGCTACAACCTGATCAACAAGGCTGTCGGCGGAAGCACCTCTGATGTTTCTAGCTCTTCTCTTACAGTGTACTCAATTATCAATCTGCCCATCTATGTCCCAAGCACTATGGACCAGATAAATGAGTTTAAATCAAGCAGCCCAATGTACAAGGCTTCCTGCGTAACCGATGACGACATTGTCATACTTGCTGTTGGAGCTGATGATTTTTTGGCCGAAATGGTCAATCTGTCGACGAACAAGCTGACTGTTGAGAATTTCTCTGAGACTTTATCAAACAACATTGTGTATCAGTTGGAGCAGCTCCGCAGTATTGGATTCAAGAGAATTGTTGTCGCCAACATGGCTGCCATTCATTACACACCGTATGCAGATATACTGGGTATGAAGGATGTGGCCAATGTTACTATAAACTACTATAACAAACAGCTGGCCATCAAGGCCAATTCCTGGGCAAGCAGTGCCCCTGGGCTAAGCTTATTTGCAATTGCTGATATTGCTGGATTCATCGAAACCACACTCAACTCTTCCGATATTATTAATTCCTTAGGAATCACAAATGCCGATTCGGCTTGTTTGGGCGGAAATACGCTGAAGCTGGTAAATTCAAAAAACAGAATGTGGATGTTTATAAGCATGCTTTTTAATGTAAGCGAGACACTGATGTGCTCATCTCCAGAGAACTCTTACTTTTTTGATGTTCTTCATCCGGGTGAAAAGATTACAAGACTGTTTGGATATTATAGCAATGCACTTATCAAATTCGCTAACATTGGCAAGCAACTGCCTCCAACTAAAGCTAACCTGCTTGCCATCATCAACAAGTACAATCTTGGATCCACTGTTGTCAAGCCCGTTCAAATAATGAGATATGATCCATTAGCCCTGAACTTGGAGTAACAATACTGGTAATTTGTTGGTGTTTTATTAATTTATTTTTATATAATAAAAGACAGTGCAATGCTGTTTTTTTTATTGACGAATGTCATTTTATTTTGTTTGCCGAAAGAGTTTGATTTATAAACCCACCTCTAAAGCAGTATTATAAGGATCCATTATTATTTCTGTGATGATGTTTATGACGATTTTCAACAGAAATGCAAGGCAAAAATAAAATAAAAATATGTCAAACAATATAACATAGTCACAGCCGGAATAAACTTTACAAATAGATTGTTCTCCAGCTTTGCATATATGCGTGGCTTTTTGCTAAAATCGATATCAATGTTTATCGGAGATATACAAAACAAAGGCAAAATGGGGAGTGTGGCAACGTTTATTGCACACACGGCGATATAAGGTGTTAAAAAATTAAGGCATGGTGCCAGAGCCTTATGTGTATAAAATACAGAGATAATTTACCTCCAACCAAAGCTGCGCCCATCATCTCCACTTAAATATTTTCTCTTGAATTTATTTTTCTTATAATCGACATTTTTACTATAATGGTTTATAAAATATTTATATGCGCGATTTTCATGCTCGGGGCGTTTGCTGTTGGACAGGCGCAAACAGTAAACAATTTACCCAAGGCTTTTATGCAAAATAAACCCGACATTGGTTTGCTAATGGTGCGCCAAGACACACTGCCAGCTGCGTCCGTCTCATACAGTGATAACCAGCCCAATGAATATCCGTCGTATGAAAATTGCGTCAAGAGTAACGGTGGTGAATCGTTCAAGCGCGCGTGTAATTATTGCAGATGCAGTTATCTCGGCTACGTTGGTTGCACTAAGATGTTGTGTCCTGATCCAGCTATCAATAGCGCAACACCGCCCCGGCCAACCGGTGCAGACCTCAGCCAGTACACCAGCTACGACCAATGTGTGTCAATCAACGGCAGTTCGTCCTTCAAGCGTGAGTGTAACTCGTGCACTTGTGCAAGTGGTGGCGCTATAGTATGCACTAAAATGACATGCGTAAAGCCAAATTTGAACAGCCCCATTACTGTTGAGCTGACTAGTGCTAGCATAGATAAGGATGAAGGTTACGAGAAATGTATTCGGGATAATGGCGGTGCGTTTTTCAAGCAAGATTGCAACCGTTGTTTCTGTGGAAAGGGCGGAGTTATTGGGTGTACACTAATGGCATGTCCTTCTCTGCCAGCTTAATGATTAGCATTTTACTTATATATGTTTAAACTAAACAATTGAAAGCACATTATGCACATATTCATTATGCCTGCCAAAACTTTGTATGATGAATTGCAGGTGTTGGCCTCTCTTTTCTTTGTGGCCAACTTTGTCACCTCTGTATATCGGCAACTAGCCGAAATACAAGGCCACAGAAACACAACAACAAAATGTGTTCCCTGGCTTCACCTTTTCTTATTTTGGAGAGAATATAAAATTAGTCTAGTTATTCAATTCACTTGTTAACATATATATACCTGCTAATACCTGCTACAAGAACTGCCTCACGTGTCTTGGCAAAGGACAAAAGAATCATCCTTGGGCACTCAGTTTTTTCTTGCATTTATATCTTAAAAGTAAAGCATGGCCTAGAAGGGTTTAAACCAGCTTTCAGCTTGGCCAAAGGCCAATCTGTATTTTTCTCTTAATTTTTTGTTTTCTCTTATTGGGTTTTGGCCAATTAATAGATCGAGGACTCTCATCAGCCACTACTGTCTGAAGGAGGCTAATCCACAATTACATCGGAAACTAACTAATATTTTGATACAATTTTGGCGCGAGATCAGAAGCGCAATACCAGGCTGATAGTTGGGTTGTAAAAGGAGAAACGTGAAACAAGGGCGGAAATAAAAAAGCAGAGAATATAAATATGGTGCCCAACCCACATTCCAGGCCACTCTATTAACAGTTCCAAGCACCAAGATTATCATGATTGTTTTTATGGCCGCAATTTCCATTCCGAATATTTCTGGCTTACATCAAATATCAACAAGGCCTTTACAGTGCCCTCCCACATGGCGCTGCCCCTTTTTAGTTCCACATTGAATTATTTTAAGAAATTCCCAATTTATTTAATATACCCACATCTCGACCATTACAATAAACATTTTTACTTTTTACATGGAAATATAAATACGATTTGTTTTAAATTTATACTTTTTTTACTCTTAAAATATTTAAAAAATAATAAATACAAAATTAGTAAAAATATTAATGCTAATGGCCAAACCACCTACATATCATATTGCCTTTTGAATTTGTATATTAAATATATTGGTATCAAATAACATCAGTCTCTATATGGCAACAGGTTTTAATACTGGCTGATCGAGCCTGAATTCCTTGATCAACAGCAAAAGATTGCTTTCAGACAACGCAAATGTACCATGGGTGGCAATAATCCGATAAATATAATACCCGAACAGCCGATGCACCTGCTCCGAAGGATGAATCGGATCAAAAAAGAATCTCGACTCCGGGTCACCACACGTAGCACGATCACTATCCGAAGTCAGCAAGTATTTTAACAAATTGGCCAAATTAAGTTGGTCATCAAACATACTGAGCCAGCTGCCGCCAACACATATAGACTTAGTATCCGTAATACCCAGGGAACTGGATATGGATGGTCCTATAGCAAGGGTGAGGAACTCTCCGAGATTTATTATGTCTAAGGATATGAGGTTAATAGATTCCCGCCATTTCTCGATTTTTTCACTCAAGATGCGGTTGTAAAATCCAACGACTATTTCGGCGATTTTCTCACGGTGCTTAGACTTCATCACCGGAGTGTGCTGCAAGGAGGGAAGATTCGTGACCAGGATTCGGCTGAATCCCAGATTATACAGGGACTGCAACTGTTCAATGACAGAGTCAGATACATTATTCCCAAACTCGTAGACAGTCTGCTTGCCATTGTCTATATCTACCAAGGCCGCCGCCGCGTCATTAGAACCTATTTCCAAAACAGCTATATCCGCGCTACCAATTCTCTTGTTTTTGCCCACAGTTTCTGCAAATTCTGCAATTTGGTCTTGGGTCGATGGCGGGTCCAGAGGAATAATGTTGAGCAATTTGTGGTGTATCGTGGTTGTTTTGGATACGCCGACGGCATGGTTTTCGAGATTGTAGTTTAGCAAGAGAGAGAGGTACTCGTTCCATATCGGGCCTGAGGAGAACCGCCCGTTCCAGTATGCTTTGGGTGGCATTAGTCCATGGGTCAGGTTCTTCAGGCGGCCCATGTCGGAGAGTGAGTCTCCAAAAATGTACAATGTCGGGTTCTGAACTGGCACGGCATGCACTGACACAAGAACAATTGAGAGGAATACGCAGAATAAAAGGGGAAAGTTCATTATAGTTATTATTTGAAAGTGACAGATGAAAATGAAAATGAAGAAAGGTAAAGAGTGTTATGAGGAAATGGTAAATGAATGAAAAAAAGGGGAAATAAGTCTTTAAAATCTAGACCGATTATATTAAAAAAATCTTGCAAGATATTAGCATTTAATTTTTAAACAAATATGTATTGACGTGTCACTTGGCAAATACGACACGGAATACAAAAGACAAAAAAAGAATTGTTAATGACAGGGAGTCTGAAATATCACATACGATTATAAAGCGCAGGAGAAAGAAAAAAGAAGAAAAAAGAAAAAGCTGTGTCATTCATATTTCCTAATATATGTAGTTTTTTTTGCTGTTGCTTTGGTCGTGGAATTTGAATGATAAAAGCAAATAAAAAAGATGGGTCTGGTCTTAATTTGAGACCGCTAAAGAACAAGGTTTTTTCCCTTTGTTTTACTCATGTCCATCTCCTCGAATTAGATGCATGCGCGATTCATGTGGACAATCTGCATTCTTTGGTCTTTTTCTTTGTCTTTTTTTTATGTGCACCCTTAGGCGATACATGTGCGTTGCAAAAAATTGTTTTGTGCATGTAAAAAAAAAAGTAGGCCGCTTCAATAGACACCAACATTCATTTGTTGCAATTAAAAAATTGAGGCAGCAAAGCAAAAGCAATTTGTCTCTTTAAGCATCGCCGATTTAGAAAGTACTTTGCGAACAACACTTTAAATAATTAATTTCAAAAACAATTTTTTAGTGGATAATTTAAAGAATTTATTTGAATTGACATTCTACTATGTACATAGAATGTGCATCATACAGCCAGGGCGCGCAAGCAACTTAAAGATAAAAGAAATAACAAACTGGCAATGTAAGAAATAAAGTCAGAGTGAAATCAACTATAAAAAGGGCCATCAGCACATCAAAAAGGGGAAATGGGGTGTGAAAAATAGGTATGCATAACGATAAAAATGGGGAAAACCCGAATCCCTTTTAGATAAGGAGCTTCTCAATCTGGTTCTTAATGTTAATAATCTGGGGCTTCAGGTCCGAGGCCTCGTTAGTGGTAACGGAGGCGGCAACAACTGAGCGGGAGACACCACAGGCACGGCCAAGGGCGGTCTTGGAGTGAACAAAGACATAGGGGACGTTCTTGTCCTCGCACAGGAGGGGAAGGTGGAGGAGGATCTCCAGGGGCTCGCAGTCAGCGGCCAGGACAATAAACTCGGAAATACCGCGGTTAAGAGTCTTGGTGGCCTCGTTGGCGCCCTTCTTCAGCTGCTTGTAGTGGGAAGCCTGCTGGACAAGATCGAGAAGAGTGCTGCTCAGAGCGGCATCGGCAAGGGGGAAGGCCTTGGGGTTAACGGTAGGAGTCGACTATAGATAGAGGTTTTACAAAAAAAAATTTCCAGCAAAAAAATTAGCGAATTTGAATTTGAAGTGGGCTATTTCTGTCGAGGCTACTATTTTATGTTTTGTACGCATCGCAGAGCAAAGCGCAAAAAACATGGTTTGTTTTTTGGGTGTGTATGGTTCAGATATAAAATCACAATTGAATTCTCATGGGTTATATATTGTTGGTATAATCGAAGTGAGCTGGGTAGTGAAATCATCATGTAATAAACCCAACGAAAACAAAATAGTAGAGCGTGCGTGTTTGTAATAGCATTTTTATGAATTCTTACCATTGTGTGAGGAAGTATAAAAAAGGTGAATAACGATTAATGTAGAATAACGATTGAAAGAAAAGAAAAAAGAGCAGGAAGATAGCCGGGAACCAAATCAGCAGTCCTTTTAAACACTTTTTTTTGCTTGGTCCTGGTTGGTTTTTTTTTGATCTGGAAGATTTTTTTTGCTTGTCTCTCCCCCTTCACGAATCAACCCGAAAAAAATTCAGCAAAGAGAGGAAGAAAAAAATTCAGCATTGATTTCTTGATTAATGGTAATCATGCGATTAGCTTGATTTTTACTTTTTGTTGTTCAAAGCCCAATCGCGTATTTCAAAATTAACGGCAACAGCGAGTCCACAGCATTCGCCGACGCCTTGATAAGCTGTTGCGGCGCTCCCGCAGGCAAAACGCTGCCTACAACATTAGCAAACTCCTTTATAACTGGGCGTATAGCAGATGCCGCTATATTGATGAGCTTTGAGGTGGTATCATCATCGTCATTATCGCCTTTAGCACGAACATGAGTTTTGTCAGACTCCTGCTGCTGCTGCTGCTGATGTTGTTGTTCAAAGGAGGAGGCACTGCGCATTTCATATATTGTATCGACGAGCTGCATGGTTAGCTGAACTATTTTGGCTCTGGTCTCTGATTGTGTCATCTCTGTGTGGGCTGAGTGGGCGCTAGATACAGGTTGCATGGGTGCTTCTGCTGGAATGAGATCGTTGGGTGCATTGCTGCTTCTGCTGGCCAGTGCTGTTGATATGGTGCCCAGGGCCAGAGCAAATAGCGGGGCAAATTTCATTATGATGTATGAATTTGGATATCCATAAAAAATGGAAATAGAAAAAAAACAGGTTAGGAGAATATAACAATGAGCGGTTTTCCCCCTATTTTTCTTTGGCTTATCTCGTGTCTTTATCAATTATTTAAAAATTGAGCAGACGGCTTTTTTCATTAATGTACATGCACGTTATTCATCTTTTTTTTATTTCTATACAAACACGTAGTAGTAGCAAGTTGGTATTGCGACAAATTGGCTTGCATGGTAAACTAGTGTAATTTTAATACAAGCCGAACATTTCTTTTGCAGTAATGTCTTGTCCAAATAAAGCACCTGCCATCCACATCCGCAAGATAACAAAGGTTTCTTCACCTTATTTCTTTGTTTTTTGTTCGCCTGTTTATTCATTTGTTTGATCTAGTCTCCATAAAAGAAAAGAAAAAGCCTAATGACAAATAGAGCGGGGTGCTCTTTTTTAATGGATGGGATTGTGAAAAAGAGAGATAAAAAGGTAGAGCGCAGCGCAAGGGACATGTGATTGGCCATTTTAATTTTCGTTGGGATTTTCGTTTGGAATAGTGGATAGTACCACAAGGTCCCCAAATAAGAATAATAAAGGGAAACATCGAGGGAATAGAGAGAAGAAAATTTTTTTAAGTCTGATGGGTGTTATGTTAGTGGAATAAAATAAACGGGGAAGATACCAACAATGCGGGCGTTCGTCTTAGAGTCTTCTTTCTTTTATTTTTCCTTCATGTTTCCCCCTTTTATTTATTATTCACGCGTGTATCAGTAGTTAAATTCACATAATCCCTTTCTTTATTTTCCCAACCAAATAATTCGACACATTTCCAAATAAACAAAATAAAATAAAAAACAAGCATTATGGCGCCCAAACACTTTGCGCCAGTATGGCAACACTACGAGCGACATGAACCAACAGGGCGGTCAAAACACCACCGGGCAATATGTAAGTTCTGCAACTACGAGCTATCGGGGCAACCAGAACGAATGAAAACACATTTGCAACGATGCAACGGATGCCCACAGCACATAAAGGATGAGTTTGCTGCAGAGGAAGGGGCGACGTATGGGCAGAACAACTTTGCCATATCCACGGCTGCTATGGAGTTTGAGTATGCCGAGGACGGAGCAGGAGGAGGGTCGCCGGAGATCATGACTGTTGGTGGTGCTTTGGCTGCGCAGGCGGCGAAGCGGCAGCGGCTAATGCGGTCGATGGAGCCTGTGGGCGGCGGTGGCGGTGGCGGTGGCGGTGGCGGTGGCGGTGCGGAGGGCTTGGCTGGGCTGCCGTGGGCACCAAATGCGAATGCTGGCGCGATGATTGCGCCTGGGCGTAAGTGTCTAAAACTGTGAGCCGAAAGAGAGAGAGAGGAAGCAAGCTGTACTTTGATAAATTGAGTTGTTGACCTGATGGTTTGATTTGATTGATTGTGGTTCAAGTCGTTTTTAACTAACAATAATGTGTGACTTGCATTGTTTTTCATGTAGCAACAGCAGTGCCGCTGGCATTCCAGCCGGCATACGCGGCGGTGGTGCCGGTAGAGCCCCTTATGGCAGCAACGGCCTCGGCGGCGGCAGTGCATAGCATGGCAGTGGCATCAGCAGTGCCAATACCTAACGGAAGCGCAGCAGCGGGCACAGCGGCCTTGCCAATGACATCGATCCCAGTGCACCACGAGTCGGCGTCATTTCTGGGAGTCTACGACAACGTGCGCGGGTACTACTCGCGGCTGACGCCAATGAACAAAATGCAGACGTCGATTGGGCCGACGATCTCACCCCACCCGCTGATCCGCGAGGCCATCTCCAAGGTGCCCAAGGCTGTGCGCGAGCGGTTCTACGGCTGCGGCATGCCCCTGCCCACGGGCATAGATGGCCTGCGTGTGCTGGACTTGGGCTGCGGCGCCGGCCGCGACTGCTACGTGGCAGCGCGGCTGGTGGGGCGGGCGGGCGAGGTCATCGGCGTCGACATGACCGACGAGCAGCTGCGCGTGGCCAGCGAGTTCGTGCCCGAGTACGCGCGCACCCTCGGGTACCAGCCGCACCTGCGGTTCGTCAAGGGGTACATTGAGTTTCTGAGCCAGCTGCCCGAGCTGCACACCGGGTCCATCGACCTATGCATCTCCAACAACGCCGTCAACCTGTCGCCCAACAAGGAGCTGGTCCTGCGCAGCGTCTTTGAGATCCTCAAGGAGGGCGGCGAGTTCCAGTTCAGCGACATCTACGCCGACCGCCGGCTGCCCAACCACGTGCGCACCCACCCTGTGCTTATGGGCGAGTGCCTCGGCGGCGCGCTCTACACAGAGGACTTCAAGCGGTTGTGTCAGCGCGTCGGCTTCGTTGACGCGCGGCAGGTCAGCCCGCCGGCCATCGTGCGCATCGAGGCGCCGGAGCTGCGCGACCTGGTCGGCGCCACGCAGTTCTACAGCATCACCTTCCGGCTGTTCAAGTTTGCGCGGCCAGCGTCGGTGCTCGAGCCGACACCCGAGGATTACGGTCAGGTGGCTGTCTACCGCGGCACCATTGACGGCCAGCGCGCGCGCACGCGCTTCGATAACCGCTGGGCCTTTGAGGCGAACCGCCCGGTGCTGGTCGACGGCAACACGGCGGTGATGCTGGGCGAGTCTTGGCTGCGGCGGCATTTTGAAGTGCGCGGCGACCGGTCGTTGCATTTTGGAGGGTTCACGGCGAGCCCGCCGGCTGTGCAGTACGAGCCGTGGGAGCTGGATCATGAGCTGGAGGAGGAGGAGCCGCAGTCTGGCGATCGGCTGCCGCGCAGGCGCGGGATCCTCCCCCTGCCCACGCCGTACTTCATCAACGGGCTGCGCCAGCAGCAGCAGCAGCAGGACAAGCAGTCGGCCGTGCAGGCGCTGCATGACCAGCCGCCGTCGCAGGCCGCCTCTCGCCGGGCATCGCCCAACTACGACGCCGCGATGCCGCCGCCAACGGAGCAGCAGCAGCGCAACAGCGCCATGCGCGACCACCAGACGACGTTTCCGCGGCTGTCGTCGTTCTCCATCAGCCAGAGCAACGTGCGCGCCGATGGCGCCATTGCGCGCTCCACGGCACCGGACTTGCACGCCAAGAGCGCCCAGCAGCAGCAGCAGCCGCCGCGCTTTATCCTGCCGGTCAACCGCCTGTCCTCTTCTGCGTATAGGCCAGCAGAGTCGGCGCCGCCGCGCTTTGCGTCCCACCAGCAGCAGCAGCCGGGCCTGGCCAATGGCGTGGCTCTGTCTCCGCATGCGCAGTCAATCGGAAGTCCCGTGTCCGCAGGCATGTCGGCGGGCGCACGGTCGGTGCATTCAGTGCAGTCGCCGGTGTTCTCCATGCCGTCCTCTGTGCGGTCGCCTGTGACAGCATCCATGGTGTCCGGATTGTCGGTTTCGGCATCGCCACGCCAGCATTCGCCGGCATCAGTGGCCACCGCTGCGTCAACCAACTGATATGGCCTGCTAATTTGTATTTATTTTTCTCTCTCTCATTAAGCAACTTTTATATCAATTAATGCGCACGTATACACACTACAAAAAACATAATAGGCCCCGAAAGAGCTTACAACATTCTTTGTGACACAAAGGCAACGAACGCAGTAACAAGCTGTGAAGCCTTGTATTTTTCTTAAAGAAAAGTTTGGCTTTGGGATTTTCTACTTGTCACAAGGTGGCCTGAAAATGAATGCATAACAAGAAAATGATGCCATTTTTTTGCAACAGCAACAGCAACCGCAGCGTGGCCCTTAATGCCCTCACCCTGTCTTGAGCGCTCCATTCCGTCCATTCTTTTGCTTTACCTTTCTTTTTTCTTTTTTTCTATTATTTTCTCTTTTTTTACAACCTGCACAATTCCTCCACGCACACATACATTTCTTTAACCAGCTCTCAAATGTCTGCCGGCCGTGAAGTTCCGCTGCGGCTATCCGCCAACAGCAACAATACCAACACCAACACCAGCACCAGCACCAATACTAACACCAACGGCACCACCACCACCAACACCAGCAGCAATAACGCCAGCGCTGGTGGCAATACAGACACGGTGGATGCCAACAAGCTACACATGCTGGTTTACTCATTTTTGCTGCAAAACAACTGCGGCGGCACAGCCAAAGCCTTTGCCCATACGAGCGGCCTGGCCACCTCCGGGTACCTGACATCGGACAGCACCCCGACATACCTGACATCGTTCGACCATGTTTCTTCTGCGGAGAAGGCAAATCTGGACCCCGCGGTGTGTGGCAGGAAGGACTCTGGGACGATAGTGACAAAAGGTGACCCGATACCCGAGCAGCAGCTGCTGCTGGTTGGTGAGAACCAAGTTGACCGTGCGAATAAACTCGTCGACCACCACATCGAGTACTTGCATATCCGCCAAAGTAAGTATATTTATATTTTTCTCACTGCGCCAATGTTTGCGCTCCATGTATTCTAACCATTGCTTCTTTTTCATTATTTTCTTCTTTTATTTGAAACTTCTAGTGATTTGCTCGAGCATTGAAGCCGGCGAGCCCAAGATGGCGCTCGACCTCTTGTCAACTTATTTCCCCACAGTCTTCGCACCCTCATCTTCATCCTCCCGAAATGCCTTGCCCTTTTCTCCCGAATATACCGCCACGCTGCTTCGTTTCCGGCTCGACACACAATGCTATATTGAATTAATAGCCAACCACAAAGAGCTCGAAGCCCTCAAGTTTGGCCAACGCACGCTCTGGCAGTACCCGGATATTTTCGACTCCTGGCTCAGTCAATGTCTTCAGCAGCCGCATCCCAACATGATTCTGCGCGATGAGATTAAGAGGAAACGCGCAGAAGTCATGCAGCAGATCACCAATGTTGCTGCACTCGTTGCGTACCCAGATCCAACGAAATGCTCCCTGGCGTATTTGCTTGAACAAGACAGGCGGAGTGAGTTAGCTAGGGAGGTTAATGATGCTATTCTGGCCAGTATGCAGTATCCGAGGGAGCCCGCTTTGGTTACACTGGTCAGGCAGTTGGCCACGACCAGTGCGTATTTGGTTGGGTGCCGCTCGTCATTGTCATTGTCTGCTGCCGGGGCCGCTTTGGCTGCTGGGGGCGCAAAGGGAGCGGAGACTGGGAAGCACGAGCCCTGGGTGCTGGACACGTTCGTCAACTCGGATGTGCAAGGTGACGATATTCTCCATTGAAATGAACTGCCGAGCTTGTTTATCGGTAACGGAAAACTGCAGTTGTCTTCCTTTTTAGTACTTTATTCAATTTGAATGTATTTTTTCTTTGTTTTTATCTTACTGCTGTTGCTTTAGAGTACGGGTTATTGTTACTAGTATACAAGGGAGGATGATGGTCTGGTTTGAATTTCGGCTTGGTTGAAGTTCTACCGATTTAATCATGTGTCTAGCCCTGGATCGACGCCTCACACGCGTCGTGTAAAATTTCCATGGATTACTTGGATTTTGTCATTGACAATAATCAAAGAAAATAAACATCCGTGGTGATTACATTTCGAATGGAAGATTTGTTTCCCTTTTGGGAGCTTATATGCTTGATTTGCAATTAAGACGGCAATACCGACGGTATATGAACGGATGTTTAATTTTTTTTATTTAAAAGTACAAAATCTGCATATTCCGTGTTTTTTTTAGCCCAGTGGATATTTAATAAATACTTTTTATTAATGTTATATGAGAGGGAAGTGTAGGAGCACTACTGTAGTAGTGTTAGAAACATTAGTAATAAAATACTATAAATTCACATACATTTTCTCTAAGGTGCTACTAGCGCCAGCCTCATGTTGTATATATGCCTCATTGCCTTTGTTGTAGACATTTCTAATTGTGCACTCCGTTGGCAAGAGATGGATCTTCTGCAAGCAGACCGGTATCTTGGCAAGCCAATGTTGTGGTTTTTGTGTGTGTGCACTCGTGCGTGTGCATTGCAAAGTAGGGAGCATGTTTGGGAATCAATGTAATGCCTCCCTAATTTACGCCTGCATAATCCAATTAGTACCCTATCAACCGGCATGTAGATGGAAACTTGTTTCACGATTCTCAACCTCAACATCTACTTCCATATCTTCAGTCTGTGCAACAAGAGTAGTTGTTGCTTCTATTTACAAACAACACATTAATATAAGAAATAGACCACCGATTTGTATATTAAAAAACCAATTAAACTAAATAGTCACTGTTTTACTTGTAACTTCCTTGCAATCAATATGCATGCATCCAACACGCTGTGTATTCGGAACACAAAAGCATTTACTGCACAGCTTGTTGCCACTACCCGCACTGTGAATCTGACCTCCATTATTGTCAAATGTCTGTGCAGAGTTAACTAACCACTGGGTGTTTCCACCATGCACTTTCTTGCAATACAAATAGTCAGTGTTGTAAATGTCTGGCTCGCCATATACTTTTACATCCAAATACCAAGTAGGATATTTGTCGCTAAAGCTTTTAATGTGTTGCTGCCTTATCGTCGGGGGTTTCTTTGCTGATGCTAGTGGCTGACCAGCAGCCAGATTTGCGACAAAAAATGCAGAGTATAAAAATGTACAAATAAACATGTTTAATTTATATAAACTTGTGTGAATAATGTTTAAAATAAATAACGTTGATAATTTTTCTAAGATGCACACAATATATTCAATACTTTTTATTATCAGCATTGAGAATGCAAAACATTTTTATTTATAAGGACTTATATAATAAAAATGTCATGGAGAAACCTTACAAAAAAATACACCCATTTTAATAAAGATTTCCTTACTAGTTTTAATTTATGTATGGCTTATTGCCGCAAAAAAACTACAATCTAATCATAGGGATTGTGGCAACAGAAAACTTTTACACGCACAAAAAAAGGTTAAAAAAGATTTCAATATATATATTTTTTTACAATGTTTGGCTTTTTTTCAGTGGTGGCAGATGGGAAACTTTTTTTTAAAAACATTAGTTGGTGTAAAAAATTTAAGATTTGAAATCACATGGGCTGCCACGCTTTGCTACATTGTACATGTACATTTTTTTAATTATTTACAAGGACAAGTTACCATGCATATTATAAAGTTTGGCTCTTTATTTTTTAACCCTATACTTTAATACAAGTGTTTAGAATACACAATTACTGCAAGATATAACTGGAAAATGAGGTATCTATTGAATGTAGCCAGCTAATGATATAAAAATATATTTATTATCTAAACTTGTGTAAAAAAGTTTAGAAAATACATAGAAAAGGCTGTATAGATAAAAGGTTTGGTAAAAGCAAATTTGTTGATAAAATTATTGTTATCAAGTATACATTTATAGTTGAAAACTCACAGATAAAACAAGTTTTTGTTATTTAATAATTAATTAAAATCAAATGAACAACCGTTTTTTATAGTTGCAGAGTTTTTAGATCTGAATTTAGTCCGGCATAATTATACCGTTTTGTTTAATGCTTATAATATACTATTAAACATATTTAAAATAGTAAACACAAACACATTTGTTAACCACTAGTATTTTAATACAGATGCATTTTACAAAAGGGTATATAATCAAAAATAGGATATTTATATCTTCCAAAGAAAGCAATTATTGACTGCCCGACAGACATTCCTTATATATAGTTTCCTTGACACATAAATAAACTATAATAAAACCTCATTATTTCTCTAATTGCCACGCACGTAATCCATTAATTTCAGTAAGGCTGAATATTTGTTTACGCAACATTATATCCTTTCATCATATCCTTTAACTGTGGCATATTTGAATACAGATGCATTATTCCCAACAGTTAATGCACATGTTCAGCTAGTTGAATTTTAAGTAAATGCTAAAATATGCGGCCTGGACATATTTTTTTGGAAATAAATTGATTTTTAACTTTCTACTAATGTGCAAATAGCAAAAAATAAAAGGTTTCCATATTTTATTTATTTGTTAAAAAATTGCCCCTTTTTTATTTGCGGCATACAAAATGACAACTTTTGCTTGACAAATATCCACGGGAAAATTATTTTTCCATTCTATTTTTTCCGGGACTAAAAGTAATTGTAAGCGGCTGTCGTAGAAAATAGCTTCCATTTTTTATTATTATTTTATTTGCCATCTATTTTTGAGAATATTTACATTACCAATATTAAAATTTTTATTACTGCAACCAAACAATTTTGCTTGTATTAAACATATCTAGCCTCAACAAGTTTCCATTTTCTGTTATAAAACAAATTATTTGCTATGCTATCTATGAGGAAGAAAAGGAAATTAGTAATTGAAGGAGCAGTATATTGCTGTTGGCTGTGTATCACAATTGGAGAAATTTGACGCTAAGGTGGATTTACTGTAATGTAATCTACGACAGATATAATAAAAACCTTCATAAGGGCTACTATTTTTTAAATACCCCAGCTAATAAAAATTTTGTTCATACAAACATTGGCCTTATTATAGATATTGGAAACACATATATTTGGTTAAATCAGAATTTATTCATGTTAGTTACTAGACAAATTATAACTGGTTAGTCGATAATGCAAGCTCAATATTCTCACTTGGAAAATTTGGCTAGAGCGGGGTCACTAAAATTGCACTTTGGAGTTATTCAAAAGGAGCTTATAGTATTGTGGAAAATAACTTTATCAATTCTATCTTAAGCTTTGCCAGGTTAATAGCCAAACATATGCCTTGCATGTGTACGCTATATTAACTAGGTAAAGATAGCATGAAATATAATATTGCAATAGGTAGTTTATTGTCAAGAGTGTATGCAAACAATTTAAAATATCTTGCCATGAGTAATACCATGTTTATTTTATGACTCAATATACTTTAGCCAGCTGACAACATTTGATGTGAATATAAAGTTTACAAGGTTTATTCCGCAAGCTTGCCGCAAAAATTTACAGAGCTTGTCGTTGCACAATATAAAACACATTTTTGTGGAATAACTTTGCAGATATTAAAAACAAGGGTGTTATCACATTCCTAAATTTGACATATTTACATTTAGGCTTTGAATCTAAAGTGGCATTGGAAAACATACATAACGGCAATATTCTGCAATTCCCAGTTCTCAACAAATTGAAACTTACATTGAATCCCATGTGACTATTGATCACATTACAAAGTTTGGAAAATACCAGTGGCCAAACATTACTACTACGCTTAGAATATCTGGGTTTAGAAATAAACTATACAACCCAGACTCTTGTTACTTAATAAAGCAGAGTGATAGTCTGGCAAGGCGTACCAGGCACGATATGCCTAATATAACTCAAATGGTGTTGAACTATTGTACCCATGATCGTGGGATTTATTTTTACAATATATTGGTAAACCTCTATGCTGACCAGCTTGTCAAAACTAACTTTGCCAGCATGGTATTGTTTGCTGCGACGGAATTATCACGCAAAATGACACATTTGACATTGAATACCAGCTCAGCTCCTTTGACCATTTATCCGATTGTGTATGTTGTCACTGCAATACTTGAAGCTTATCAACATTGATTCTGCTTTCACATGGGATATGTTTAAAAATCAACAAATGGCAAGCTTAGCTTTAAAAATTTTGAACAACTATTTATTGAGTACAATACAGATGCCAAGGACAATATTGAGGACTATCAGCAGTTTATAACCACACAGTAGCAAAGCCAATCCACATTGAATATTAGATTCCCAAAGGTATTTGAATTAAGCATTAAATATGCCACAGGTAATAGACTTTAATAAGTAATGCGCTTTGGTGTTGACAAATGGTTGTGTTGATAGAATAAAAAATTGAAATAGTTGGGCTTAACATATCGACAATCACGGAAAATATAAGTTGATTACATGCAAACAATGTCTTTGTTTGCTAATACAATTGTTGATAAGCTTCCCAATGTCAAAAATTTAGCGTTTTCTAATTTATGGCTACAATATTTATTCAAATCATTTTAGCAGTGCCATTTCTAACAATTAGGCATCAATTAAAGTTGTACAAATGTAATAGCCCTGTTATATTAACCGCTACAAATTTTCTATCTGAGCTTAGATACTTGGATTTCAACTCTAAAAACACAACAATTAACCCGTTTCCCACAATGGATGCAACAAAAATTAAAACTATAACAATGTTGGGAGATTTAAACCAATTCACTTGGAGTAGTTTTTCAGACAACAGATGTGCGGGAATGGTAACGTTTAGCAATTTGATGAGCCTTGAAGCTATTCATTTAGACAGCGGTCGTAAATACAATATATCCAGATTAAACTTTTCTTCAGTAGATATTAAAGAGCAGCTTATTACATGGTACATGCCAAATTTGAAAAGGCTAAATATTCCTATCAAGGGCAGAAAAGATGAAACAATTGAAAAATTAAACACTTTAAAGTTGCACAAAGTAAAAATTATTTTTTTACTGAGAACACGCCAAATGTATTTAATATGATAGATGGTGAAGAGGCCAATATTTCTTGCAATGATGACCAGGGAAGCTTAGATTTGAAATCTGATTCGGATAATTCATTTTTTGAAATGTAAATTTAAATGGGCCTGTCTCAAATTTACAAGCTATATAAATTTGTTACGCCTATAAATTTATTACTAGGAATTAGGCGGGATTTGCTAATAAACTGTCTTTACTTTTTAATAGAGTAAAAAGTAGACATATTGCCAAAACCAAAAACCAAAAATGGAAATGTTGGCACATTTCCATTTTTGGTATTAATTGATAATAAGCAATTGGGAAATGCTAAAATTAAAAAAATTTTGTTGTCATTTATCTGCACTCTACTATATTTTGCTAGAATTGATAAATAATGGACATTGTGCCGGAAATTATGACAACAGATTGTATAAGAAAATATTTAAGCATTAACATTTGCGTATATATTTTTTACATATTGTCAAATAATAAGTATTAAACCACTCCCGATACACGTTTAATTGTTTAATTTAAACGATAAATTCAATTTAATGTTTAAATTATATTTACACTTTCTAATAATTTATTAACAAACTTTAATATGGTTAATTAAGATAACTCATAAATGTCACAAATTAAATCTGGACAGGCTTAGCAACAGGTGAACCAAGACTGTACTTGTTAATAATGTTGAGCAAATTATCCTCAGTCATAGACATCTGCTTGCCAGAATTGACAGCATCAATAAGCTCCTTGGTGTAGTAACCAAACAACCTGGTGATTTTCTCACCCGGGTGGACAAAATCAAAAAAGTACGACTTGCTTGGGTCAGCACACATGAGGTTCTCCTTGGCATCAAAAATTAACTTCATAAGCGCAAGCAGCTTGTTATCCGCCTGCAACAAGTTCAGAGCGTTTCCACCAACACAGGAAGTGCTGACGCTGGTGAGCCCGAGGGAATTAGCAATGGCTTCAGAGTTGACTGTGGTCTCGACGAACCCGCCAATATCGGCTATGCTGAAGGACGTCAGGCCCAAGGCTTTGCTTGCCCACGCATTGACCTTTCTAGTCAGCTGGTCGTTGTACCGATGTACAGTGGTGTTTGCCAGACTCTCGAGGTGCAAGATATCCGCAAATGGAGTGAATTGGATAGCGGCCAAATTGGTAACAATGATGTTCTTGAAACCAATGCTGCGGATCTGCTCCAGCTGGCTGACCACGCTGTTGGACAGGGTCTCAACAAAGCTGCCAACGGGCAATTTGTTTGTCGACATGTTAATCATCTCGGCAAAGAAATCGTTGGCACCAATCTCGAGCACCGCAATGTCCTTCTTGACACTGTACGAAAGCTTGTACTTTGGGTTTTTGAACTTGAAAGTGTCGATCTGGTCTTGGGAGCTCGGGATACTGATGGGGAGCGGAATGGGCAAAATGTTAAGGAGCGCCGAGTTGGCATTGTCGGAGGTGCCACCGCCAACAGCCTTGTTGTACAGATTGTAGCCGAGCAGCTTTGCCAGGTACTCGTTCCAGACGGGTCCCGAGGAAAAACGACCCTCCCAATATGGCTTAGGCGGGATTAAGTTCAGGGTCAAATCCTTCAAGGTGCCAACGTCCGATAGGGAGTCGCCAAAGATGTGCAGGGTCGGTATGGTAATGGTGCTGATGAGACCAGCCTGGGCGCTGGTGAGCACGGTGACAACAAGAGCCGAGAACGAAAGCTGGGTCTTCATAATTAATATGATCGGTTACGACAGATTAGCAGAGTAAAAATAAAGTAATAGCAGAATAAAATAAAGTAATAGTAGATATGGTAAAAGTAGCAAAATGTGAAGGTGTTGAGAAACTGGGTGGCTAATTTGTTTTGTTTTGTTTTGTTGGCAACATTTGCTTCCATTTTTATACATTGCGTACAGACCACCAACCGTTACGGACATTATCCAAATAAGCAGCCATTTGAAAAGCGAGGTGAGTGGTGGTATGTTTGTGCTTTTTTCTTCCTCCTCGTTGCAGTATTTTGTAAGAGCAATCACAATTATTTCGCACTATGCTCAATCTCATGAAAGGACAAAACAACAAAATAAAACAGCTATATTTTTTTCCAAACTAGGGAAGTATAAAATTATTTCAAATGAAAAATCTTGAAATCATTGTCCATAGGATGAGAAGCAAAAAGAAAAAACATTTACCATATATATATTTCTGATACAGGGTTCACACAAAGACATTTCTTTGAAGCAATTTTCAATTGATAACCAACTTGTTTGTATCTATCATATTCAATGGTAAAGACGCATTTTTTTACGTTAGAGAATGTATTAAGATTAGCGTGTGACAGAAAATCTTTGCTCCAAGTTGCATATTTTTATGTCACCAAATGGGAAATACAAAAGAAAATAATAAATGATATACAATAGAAGGATGTGTCAAACTATCCTTTCTTTAGTTTAAAATGCATGTAGGGATAATAATAAATAATAGTGTCTATTGCAAGACCGCTGTCAACAGTGGGCATTATTTCTTTAAAATAAAAATTGAATATTATTGTGAAACGAATTAAGTGAAAAATAAAAGTGGATGTACATGACGAGTACCGTAAGGTCTGATACTTCTTTAACAGAAGTTTGTAATTTAATTTCAAATATTAATTTGTTTAGACTTTGTAGAACTTTGTTAATTTGTAAAAAAAATTGAGAATCAAAACATTTAGTAATTGTAATTACGATTTTTTAAAAAAAAAGTTTGAAAAATTGATACAATTGTGTTAAATGAAAAGATATATATAATCTTATTGGTACACCATTGGCGGCGGCGTAGGAGCAGCTGTATTTGCATTACAAGATGGTTTCTTCGCTGAACCATCACTCACATCAGCCCCCGGCTCATCCCCCACGGCGCCACACTCCAATTCCTCAGGCTGCGGCTGTCCTTGTGCACCAAACTGCAGCGAAATAGCGCCCAAAAAGCCAAAATTAACCGGCTGCCTATACCTTCCCGCCGACACCGATGCAGCAGAAAGCGATTTCTGCAGCGGCTGCGGCGTCGCACTATGCCTCATGTGCAGGTCAGATAGCGCATTTACATGCACGGGGAGCGGTGGCGTCACTGATCTGATGATCGACCCTGTGGAACCATGCTCATCAGTCTGACTGTTATGCCGGCTGTGGAATATTGCACGCACTTTGTCCGAGATCTTGCCATTGGTCAGGTACTCTGGGAGAAAAGAGCTGTGTTTGGACGAAATGCTCGACCGCCGGCTTCTTTCCGTCAGAGTATCGCCGCTATGCGTGAGCAAAGCAGTGTCTGTGGAGTGTTGCGCAGGGGAGGGCGCCATCGCGGTGGTTGTTGGGATGTCTGAGATGGGCTCGGCAGCGCGGGTGTTTCCGGCCGGGCTCATTGGCGGCGAAATGTCTGGCGATGCCAGGTAGAACTGTGACTCACTACGGTGTAATGGGCCCGGGAAGCCATCAATATCGGTACCCTGTCCAATTGCCGGGCACAACTGCTCTGCTGCTGCTGCTGCTGAAAGGTCGTATGCCGGCGGCAGTGTACTCGACCGCATTATAACGGTGCCCGGGTTAAGCAACGCAGTCTCGTACCTGGGCAGAATATTCGAATCGTCGCGCGCGGTAACCGGCATGATCGACACGGGCACAGCAATGAAGATATTGTGCACCAACATGGACGCGTCGCGGATCTTAATGAGGAACTTGATGCGGTGGCGTACCTCAATAAGATCTGTCAGCACGTCATACTGGATCCCATCGTATGCGTCGGGCACGACCATCGGGATCTGCACGCTAGTGGCGTCCAGCAAATCCATACAGGCATCGGCCCTCATCGGTTGTGTGCTGCAAGAGCCTTCGGGCCCAATATAGTTTTCATTACGTGTGATTACGCGCGAATTGCGGGCCAGTGGCTCACCCAGGGCGCTATAGTAGCGCGCATACTCCTTGATCAGCACGCCGACGGCCATCAGCTTCAACCCCTTGGTGCGCGGCTCCAGTTCAAAGCGCGTGTGGAAGAGCTCGCCATCCTTTAGTGACCGCGTCGGCACCGAGACGCGGTACTCCAGCTGGCGTTCCCAGTTACCCGACGTCTCAATGCTCTCCATCAGTGCCAGCGCCCAGGGCGCCCCAGGCATCGGCCCACGCTTCACTGCCACGTCCAAGTTGGTATTCAGATTGGCATGAAACCCGGTGCGCTCTAGCGTTGCGTGCAGTTGGTATTTGACTTTCCCCAGCGCAGTTACAACCGTCTCGGGGTTGTCTCCCGGAAAGAGCATGTCGAAGGCAAACACTTTGCTTTCCGGCCCCCATGTTACCGCTGGCTTCTGAGGCTCGAGAAAAACCCACTCTTGCGCTGTGATTTCGCGGTGCTCGTCTTTGCTGCTGTTGCCGCCAGAGTTTTGGCTGGCGAATATGTCGATGCGCCCGGAAAAACTGAGTTTGAGCGACCGCACGCGGATGGTCTCATGCAGGTGGACTACGAGTTTGCCACTGATAATCACCGGCGATGCTTCGTCGAAGGACCCGCGCACAAGGACCTCGGGATTATCCAGGACGATCTCTAAGGAATTACCAGTCCACATATGAGGCGAAGTGTGTGTTTGTGTGAAGGTCGACGATTATTTACAAGGAAAAAAGATGTATAGAAGAAAACAAAAAACAAAAAAGTACAAATAAAAAGAACAATAAAGAAAGATAAAAGAGATGACGGTTGGTTGTGGCAATGGCAATAAGGACCCTCCCTTCCTTTGTCTTCTGAATGGACAGCTGGGGTGGGTTGTACAACAACCAAAAAACAGGAAAGAAAAGAGAGATGGCAAGAATAATAAAAGAGTTGCGGAAGTCCTGCTAATTTCTTGGGTTTGTGTGTTTGGTCTGCTGGCTTTGTAGTCCAAACAAAAAATTTGGGCAAATGGCAAATATAACAACGCACAGGGTTCGCCCCGTACAAGAAAAATTCAAATAACCTCTCCGCCTTATTAGGAAACAGTTAAAAATACCCTATTTGTTAATTCTGGCAATAACAACCAAAGACAGAACAGAACAGAACAGAACAGAACAGAACAGAACAGAAAAGAAAAAGAAAAGAAAATATTGGCCTTTTTTTTACGAATGTACGACGAATGGCCAATCTAATTGAAAACCGGATACACACGCGGAAAAATAATAACAACAAAAAGACAACGTAATTAAAAATATCTACGAACGATAAGATATAAAATAAAATAAAGATGAAAATGTCTGAGAAGGAAAAAACAACAACAAAAAAAATGAATGGTTGTTTAATCTGTACACTCTATCACACAAAAGAAAAAACACTACTTTCAGTGTTTTTTATCTTCAATTAGTAAGCGCCACTATCAAAGCACATGAAATTTGTTATTTGCGAAGAAAAAAATTGACATTGATTAGTATAATTTACATTGTTTCTTTTTCCTTCCTTTTTTACTTTAACGCATGATTAGCCACCAGTTCAACAAAAAAAGAAAGGAAAAATTAATTATTTTGATGTATATGCAGGAATAGGGTAACGCGAAGGCCTTTGGTATTATCGATAACCCTCTCTCTGCCCCCCCTTCCCCTTTCCCTAAAACTTTTACTTTTTTTAACCGCCTCTTTTTTCATGCAATCAATTTTTTCTAGGTCATTTTTTATTGGATTCATGCATTGATCAATCGACTTTTCAACTGGGCATTGTTACTTCAATTTTTTATTTCCATTTTTCAGAGTAACCTCTTTTTTTTTATAAAAAAAACTGGTAGTTGTGTGTGCATGTGGCTGGCACAGACGAGAGAAGAAAAAAACTGAAAAACTGAAAATTTTACATCAATTAAACAAACAATGAATTGTCCGCCATCAGCGGTATCCTCGTTCGATGATTATTCAAAACCGGCACCTGTGCCGGAGCAGGACCCAGCTCATCAATACACATTCGCATCGGCGCCTTAGCAAACCCGCCCTCATCCAGGCTCTTCTTCCCACCAACACCATTGGTGGCAAACTCCATCCAGTCTTTTTTTCCCTCTTGCTCGCCGGGCATCCACGCGTCCTCGTACATTACCAGGTACTTTTGCAGCAAATACAGGTCATTAAGGGCCAGGACCACATGGCTGCCTTGCCTTGAGCCCAGGGCAGAGGCTGGATCCGAGAGGTCGGGTGTGTTGCCCACGGACTGCACACTGACGTTTTCCGTGGACAAGGAAAGATGTGTGGTTTGGAGGTTGCTGCTATGGGCCGTCCGTGGCTGGTCGATTGACTTGTGGTGCGGCAGTGGTGGCAGCGGTCGAAGGAATAACGAGGGCAACCTTGAGCTGGGCATCGGGCTGGCCGCAGTGGGGGCAAAGGACACCCCTATTGCTGTGTCTTCCCTATACAGCGAGCGCACATAGCCTTTGCCGGGCGAAACTTCGGAAGCCAATTGCTGCTGCTGCTGCTTTTCCTGCTCAGGTGCCAGCTTACTGATTATTTCTCCCGCCGCTGCAGAGGCCAGTTTGTTGCAGACTGCGTTGGTATCTGGCATGCTGCGGAACCGTCGGTTTCGGGGAGCCAACATGCGCTCATCATCGGAGCTCACTGCGTCTTCTGCCGTCGCTGCTGCTGCTGTTGCTGCCGTCACCGCTGAATTTGTCGATGCTGTCACCACAGCCTCCGCCGCCCCCTCCGCTCCTGGCCCAGTGGCCAGCGCAACCGACGCGCCCATAGTCAGCGAGCCCAAGAACGAGTGGAACCGGCTAACATTAGCGCGCATAAACCTGCGCTCATCCACCGGCCATTCCTCTACGGGCTTCGCCGAGTTATTCGACAGTCTCTGGATAAGCCTAGCGACCAGCTTCAAATTCGTCTTCATCGCAGCCTGGGGCACAAAGTCCAAAAGCCCATACTGATTGGGCGATGTCAATGCGGCATTGACGAAGCGCAAGAAAAAAATACCGCCGACCAGCGAAAACGCCTTTGCCTGGTCGACCTGTGGGAATTTGCGCTTGGTCGCGCGGAGTGTGCTGCGGCAGATGGAGAGAAGCCCCAACGGGATGTGTTTGCGCGCGCGAGTGATGTCGCCGAGGCAGTGGGTGGCGAGGTAAGTGAGGTGCCGGTGGCGCCGCCGGCTGAGGTTCTGCACCTCGGTGTAGGACGCGGCTTCGGATTCGCTGACGACCAATGGCAGCTTGCGCAAAGGCTGTGTGCGTGCCCAGTCCTGGTAGACGCTGACTAGGTCCGGGTCGAGGCTGGTGCTGGTGCCAAGCCTCACAATAGTTTGGATTGTCGGCCCGACGGCAATGTGTAGGTACTCGAGGCAGCTCTGTTTCCGCAGGTACGCCGAGAGCATGTGGACGCTGGGCGCGTCGTTGCGCATCACTGTGTCGATGGTTGTGGTGCGATCGACCTCGATCTCGATTATCTCCTAAGATTAAGCAACAGTCAATCAATCAAAATAAATCGATTAAAAAAGGTTGGGAAAGGCGGGGACGGAATAATTAAGGTAAAAAGCTTGGGTAATCGGGGGGTTCAAAAGCATAAAATAGGCGGTCCCAATCAAAACAGGTTCTAGCGAGTGAATTCCCCTTTTCCATCCAAACATAGCGCAGATCCCTAATATCAGAAGATTTCTCTCTTTCAGTTTTTTTCTTCTTCGTTATACTTACTGTGAACAATGCGGTCAACGCGGGCTCGTACGCCGGAGAGCCAAAAACTGAGTCCAAAACAATAGACAAGAGCGCGTCGCACTCGTGGTACTTGACGTGGCTAATAACGCGGGACAAGTAAGACGGATTATGCACCAACAGGGTCACCATCATGCTGTAAAGTGAGGCGCGCTCGGAGCTAAACATGACGTGCGCTGGAATAACCGCATTTGAATCTTTCACCAGGCCGACCAGAATGGCTCCGCTCTCGATGGTCGTTTTGCTGCCATTGTTGCCGGAGAGTTTTGTTCGTGACTTTTTGCTGCTGCTGCTGCTACTGCTGATGCTGGAGGGCGGAGACTCGCGGCTTTTGCGTATGCCGTACCATAGTCGGTTGAGCCAGCTCGATGGTGTGGCATCGGCGTCGGTGTAGGCGCCGGCGTCGACATCGGTGGCTTCCTTTTCCCTTTTGCTGGGCATGGTCACAGGCACAGGCACAGGCTCGATTTGGTTAGAGGGCGTCTCGTCTGCTGTATCCCGGTGGTCTACTTGGTGCTGCTTTCTGCGTCGGACTTTAGACATGTGCTCTGTGCTTTTTCTTTATATGAGGTGAAGTGAAGTGAGGTGAGGTGAATTTTCGTGGTCGTTAACAAAAAAAGGTGCGTGCGTAAAAAAAGAGTAAATGTATATAAGAATATAGGTAAAAAAGAAACGTTATTTAGCGTTAGATGTATAGACAAGAAGACGTAAAGAAAAAATAGATATACAAAAAAGGGAAGGAATAGAAAAAAGAAGAAAAAGTGAGCGAGCGAGAGGAGATTGAAAACTAACTATAGCAAAATAAAAAATAACGTACAGAAGGGTGCTTCTTGATGTTTCTTATGTCGGCTATATTTGGCCAGAAACAAAAAAACCAGGGAAAAGAAGGGACTTCTTTTTTACTTTAATTTTAAGCAATGCGCCTTTTTCTTTTTTTCCTTTTTTTTACCGCACCACAATGAAATAATATGCGTATTGTTGTGGCAACTTTCTATTTCTAAAAGGGAACCAAAATAGTTTGGAGGAAAAATTAGGTGCCAAAGTTGTGATTTTCTTCGTATGAGCATGTGAAAACAAGCGGCTGGTGAAAAATAAAATAATAGTGAATGCAAATTGCAAAAGACGGCTATACTCGTTTGAATTTCGTAAAAAAAAAAGTAAAGAAAAGAGAAAAGAGAATAGGGCAGGGTAGGGGGTAAGAAAAAGAGTAAAAATAGTAATACAAATAAAAAGGAAAAGAAAAACAAAACTATTTTCCCTTTGATTTCTTCTACTATTCAACGACAATGACATCTTTACTTTCTGGCCAAGTGCGCACCGAAAGTTTCATGAGCAAATAAAAAAGGTTCTTTTTATATCAGAGAACAAATGAAAAGCGTTCCTGGCTAAAAAAATGTAAACAAATATAAAATTATTCCACTGTTAACCAAAGAATTTATACTCTTATTTCGCATTCGCCACATTCTATAAGGAAAAAAGGTGCACAATGCCACTACTGGTCATGCACTCGCACATGCACGCACGCATCTATGCATCAATGCTATTAAAAAGAGAAAGCACGAGAGCACACTAATGTCTGAGCGCCTTCCCTCTCCTCTTCAAATTACCAGATTAGTTTTAAACAAGGCGGTCGCTTTCCCCATGATCCTTTCCAAACCGCTCTCCCGAGCCTTTACTCGACTCCGCCGCCTGCGTCCTGCCATCCATATCATCCATATCATCCATATCGCCTCCACGCTGCTGCTGCTCCATCGCATTGTTGTCCGTGACCATATCGTCAAACTCAAACACGTCCTCGGGGCGGTCAACGACAAACTGACGGCGGCTGCCCGTGTACCCAAACGCCTCGTCGTCGTCGTTCTGCATCGTGTCCAGCGCCGTCCACCGCGCCGAGGACATACGGCGCTCGCGGCGACACATGAAGAACAGCACGCCGAGCGCGCTCATGACGCCGCCGGCAACAAACAGCAGCGCGGACAGCAGCAGCGCGACGCTCTTGCGCATAATGCCGGTGCCGGCTCCCGCGCCATCGTTCTCCAAGGACGGCTGACTGACGCGCTCGGCGCCACCACTGCCAATGGGAGTGTTGCTGGGGACCGGCTCAGTCACGGGAGTGGTGGAGTTGGTGGCAGGGGGTTCGGCCCGTTCTTCGTGCTCGGTGCTTTCGCCAAACACAGTGAGTTGCCAGGCCTTGAGCTTGCCCGCGTACTTGGGCTTGTATGCGTTGCGCACGTGCAGCGACCAGGTGCCAACAGGGTCTTCGCCCCAGTGCTTGACACTCATGAACCGCCACCCCTTAAGCCCCTCCGTGCTGCTGTCGCGCTGGCGCATGGCGGCCAGCTGCGACCTGATACCGTGCGGAGACTCGAGCCAGATCTCGACGTTGCCACGGAACTGATGCTCCATATCCACCATCACCGTGACGTGCTCGATCCCGCGCATATCTGCCGCCTGCACCTGCTCCGGCGTGATCTCGACAGACCGGACGATCCCCTTGCTTTCGCCGCCACGCTGCTCCAGTGGCGGAATCTGCTCATCGGCATCATCCCGCGCCACCTCGATCCTTGTCTGCTTGCCGACGTGCACCAGGGCCTTGGCCTCCTGGACAATGCGCCAGGCGTCCATCTTTCCAAACCCATATTTGTGGTTGTATCGCCGGCCCTGCGACACCGCCGTCCAGTCGCCGTCGCCTAGATCAACCGGCACTGCGGAGCGCACCGCCACATGCTGGACGTCGCGCCAGGTCAGGTCTGGCCGCACCGAGAGCGCCAGCGCAAAGATGCCGGCGCCCAGGGGGGCGGCCGCTGACGTGCCGCCGTGCTTGTTGGTGCAGGCGCGCAGCCCCAAGTCAGTCGTCACAATGCCGCGGCCATCGCCGTTGCTGTACGTGACGGCCAGCTGTGCGCTGCACTGCTCGCTATAGTACGGGTGCTTGTCCTGGTGGTCAATGGCGCCGATGGAAATAGTGTAGATGGAGTTCGTGTACCCGTCAAAATTGCAGTTATCCCCAGCACTGCCGCCATTACCTGTGGCAAAGACAAACACCGAGCCGAGGCCCTGGCGGCCGTTCTCGACGCCATTGATGAATGCATCCTCGACCAACTTGTTCGGACCTTGTACTGTTGCTCCGTCATCGTTGGGCCCCCAGGAGCACGAGTAGATGGCGTTGGTGTCCATTGCGTAGTTCAGCGCAGATACCTCGTCCTGGTCGGTGACTTCGCGCGAGAGCATGCGGATGCCGGCGACGCGCGCACCATAGGCGACGCCGACGCCGCAGACATCGTTGCGGGCGGCGGCAATTTGCCCGGCGCATCGCGTGCCGTGGTAGTCATCGACGAGCCGCGGCGTCGGCAGTTTGGTGTTGTCGTTGAAGTCGTAGGAGCCGCGGTAGTCAAAGTTGTTGATCAGGTCCTCACTGGAGTAGTCCAGCCCGTCGTCGATCAGCGCAACCGTAACATTAACGCCAGTGATACCTATGCGTGAGAGAAGATTAAAAAATATGGTGAGAAAAATGCATATCAGTAACAAGCATGACAAGGACATTTGAATTGTTTTGTTTTCTTTGTTTTTTTTGGGCTGCTTACCTTCGTGCCATACGCTTGTTACGTTGATGTCATGGCCGCGCTCAATGGCATTGACCAGATGCCATTGCTGCGCGTACATCGGATCAGCAATCTCGCGCCAAGTCGTGGCTTCAACGGCAGCATTCTGCCCCTGCTCTCCAAACCCACGCTTAACCAGCCTCCTCTTGTTTCCCATCATCTCAACATGCTCAACACCCAAAGTGTCTCCCGCCCTCCGATGCATCCTCCCATGCGCTTCCACCACCGAAGAATCACCCGCCACCACAAGATCCTTCTTCTGCCTAAACACACGGTACCGAGGCAAAGAGCCCAATCCACCGATGTGCTCCCATCCGGTCAGCGCAGCGTACTCAAGCGCTTGGTCGTCTATGGGCAAAGTTGCTGCAAATTTTACTGCCGTGTAGTGGTAGGCTGGGTCGGTGTGCGTGGCAGGGATGGCTGGCGGCTCTTGCGCCGCTTGCTGTAGCCATGCGTTCACCTTACTGCTGTGGTCGCTGGGTGCGAGCCCGAGCCCGGGACCAAGGATGAAATTTCCTAGCGCGAGGTTGAATTGCAGGTAGTAGGCTGCTAGTTTTAACACCTTGACCTTCATTTCTGTGCTATGATGTGCTATGATGTGCTGTGCTGTGCTTGTTTGACCTGTGTGTGTATATGTGCGTGAGAGGAAACTTGTCTATGTTGTTGTCGAAAGGAGTAAAGGAAAAAAGGAAATAGAGAGAAAAGTAGAAGAAAAACAAGGCGTATATGTTATAGTGAAATGAAAAGAAAATGAAAAGAAAAAGGAAGGAAATTATAAATTTGCGGATGGGACAAGAGGGAGAAATAAAGGGAGCTTTGTAGATATATTAAAAAAGACGACACTGTATATGCCAAGTGCTATTTACAAAATCGACAGCACAAAGATCCAACAGTCCGCCCTTTTCCATCTTCCATCGACACAGCTGCTTTCTATTCGCTGGACCTCTGTTTCTCACTGTGGTTTTATTTATTTCGGAGCCAATCACCTTGGACGAGTACGAGCATGAGCGAAGAAGAAAAAAAAACTACCTATTTCGACTTGGTTTTTAGTTATTGGTCCACGTGAGCATTAAAAAATAATTAAAGCAAGGCAATTATTAAAGCCTCAGCTTTAGCCCTCTGTTTTTAACCCTTTGCTTATCTTTGTCTTTTATTTTCATTTCATTCTATTTCATTTAACCGTACATGGCATCATCATCTCCAACAGAAGAAGCGTATTTATCAATACAACACAGTGATGCCAGGAGTGCAGCAGAGGCACCCTTGCTAGGCATCGCCACTGCCACTGCTGCGGCCGCCAATACAACCGACATCATCAAGGACACTGGAACAGCCAACGAAAACCTTCGCAAAGAAATCGGGCTTTTCTCCGCATCCTCGATAATCATAGGCCAGGTAGTCGGGTCAGGCATATTCTCCACCCCAGCATCCGTCGCGCTCCTCTGTGGCACACCCTCCATGGCACTTATACTCTGGGTTATCTCCGGCGTATTCTCTCTGGGCGGCGCCTTGGCCTGCGCCGAGCTCGGCACAATGTTTCCACAAAATGGCGGCATGGTTAGATACTTGGCACACGCATTTCCGCGTCCACGCGCCCTTGTCGCTACACTTATGGCATATTCCGTGACGTTTTTCTGCCGCCCGGCGGCAATTGCTGCGAACGTGTCGGTTTTCCCAATGTATTTTTTTTTTGCTGCTGGGAGGCAGCAGGAGTATATCGCACAGAACGATTATTTATTGCGTGCGATTGGCGCTCTGGTTATGACCGCGATGGTTGTGCTGAATGTTGTTTCTGTGCGGTGGTCTTTGAGGCTGCTCAATGCACTGGCAGTTGTCAAGATTGTCACTTTGGCGGTTGTCAGCCTGACTGGGTTTCTTTTGATGGTCGGTGCGGTTAAGCGGACTTCGGGGACGAATTGGTCGCGTGGGTTTCAGGGCACCAAGTTCGACGCGCAGTCGTTTGCCTCGGCCATGACGCGCCTGTTCTGGTCCTGGGAGGGCTGGAGCAATGTCAGCTACGTCGTGGGTGAAGTCAAGGATGTCAAGCGCACACTGCCCCTGTCTCTGGGCCTGTCCATGGGCACGTTGGCTGTGATGTACCTTTTGGCCAATGTCGCGTACTTTAGCGTCATCCCATTGGAAGACATTGACAACGGCACTTTGCTGGCTGCTCAGTTTATGGATAAGGTCTTTGGTCCAACCATGGGCCAGATTGTTCTGCCCACGTGCATCGGCCTGTCCATCCTGGGCGTCGTCATGTCGGAGCTTTTTGGCGGGGGCCGGCTTATGTACACCGTGGGTAAGACCGGGTTCGTCCCCTATGGCACTGTGCTCGGCGAGATCCACCCGAGATTCGGCACGCCGATTTATGCTCTCGTAATAATGTGGGCGCTGTCTCTACTTTTTCTCTTCGCGCCGCCTCCCGGCAAGGCCTTTGATATTCTGGTTGAGCTCGTGCAGGAGGGCATGTGGTTCTTTTATGGACTCACTGCCTTTGCTGTCATTATTCTGCGCTGGCGATTGCCCGTGTACCCATTGCGGCGATTCCGGTCATCTCTTGTTTTGAGCTTTCTTTTTGGTGCTCTTTCGATTATCCTGGGTGTGTTGCAGTTTTATCCGCCGGCGGTGGTGCCCGGAAAGAAGAAGCCAGAGGTGCCTTATTATTTGGCTCCGCTATTGGGGCTTGTGTTTATCTCGTTGTGCTTGGTTCCTTGGTATCTGCGCATGTGGAAGTACGTTGATAAGACTGGAGTCCAGTTGCTTTCATGGATTGAGGAGGAGGAGCAAGAGGTGCTGATGATGGCTGGATAATGGCGATATCGAACAAAAGTGGATGTTGAATCAATATCATACACGTTTGTAGTGTATTTTAAAATAATGCAGTAATGTTTAATTTACATTTTCTTTGCCTTTTTTTTGCTTTGGCAGTTCAAATATCGTAAAAAAAAATATACACATTTCATTTTTTGTCAATGAGTATAATTAAATGGATGAATGAAAAAAAGCCTTGCTTCTAAATTTTCCTATTTATATTTCGGGTAGGATTCTTCCATGTATGGATAGATATTGCAGTAATATCAATCTATGTAATATGCAATTGCCATTTTGCATATGTAAAAAAATGTTTATACTGTTATTTGTCTGTTCAACTCGAACAGTGACAAGATAATAAAATAAAATATGGATCTCAATATATTCTCAATTATCCTTTCTCGTATCTAAATCACCCTGAAATACTATTTATTGTCTCTTGTTTTTTTTACCACCGTTCCATTTACATAATTAAATAATAATTATATACAGCTGTTATGAGATATTCAATTTACTCGATTATTGGGCTGGTTGCCATGGGGGTAACAATGGCAGAGCCAGATGTTGCCGGAACCAGAACTGTATTCATTTCCCTTGCGACCGGTGACCAAGGCGAGCTAATCCCGCTCATTTTACACAAAAACAGCGATGGATTCGAGCCTGTCAGCTTGCCAAGCTTCAGCTCCAGCGAAATCACCACTTCAGAATCAAATATTGTTGAAAGCGGAAGCGAGATCGAGAGCGTGGAAGCAGATGGATCGGATAGTAGCTCGAATGAGGAAGAGGTCGACAGCAATGAGGTCGAGTCCGAGGATATTTCGGCTGAAAGTCATCCGTCTATTGACGCTTCCCTAGAGACTCCATTCCCGGCGGAAAACACCAACATGAGTCAGCAGGAACAGCCGAGCCCTGAGGGATCTTCAAACTCTGAGGAATCTGCTGACCCGGAGTCCTCCTCTGCCGTTGACGAGTCCGCTGACCTAGAATCCTCTGCTGACGAGTCGGCTGATGCTAGCTCAGCAGAAGAGATCGCCGAGAAAAATAGCAAGGAAATCGACTCTGACTCTGACTCTGACTCCGAAAATGACGAGGACAACAGCGAAGTGAGTGCCGGGGCAATTAACGCCGAGGAGAGCAAAACGTCCATGGCCCCAGCCTCTGCGCACAAATTGCCCAGTATCATGCTCCTTGTCATTCCCGCATACATCTTCGCAGTAGCAGTCAATAAGAGGCTGACTCATTATTGAAATAAAAGTATATTATATTTTTTTTACAAATGATAAATTATTTTAGCAATTCAATACATATCGCCCTCTTCGTCATCTAGCTCATCCACGTGCAAGGACTGCACATAGTCAAAGACTTCCGGATACTCTCCACGGAAATGCGCCTTGAGCGCTCTTATTCTGGTAAAAACATCCTGCAGATCATCTTTAAGCTTATTCACAGTGCCAATATGTGTTACAAGTGATTTTGATAGCACAGGAAATAGCACTGTTGTCTCTTGCTCGGATGCCGCTAGTGTCTCTAGAAGTTGCCGGTATATTTCCAGTTGCTCTCGTTGACTGACCAGTGTTTTGTTTAAATTTAGTGCGGGTAGTCCTGCTACGGGCTTCTGTGCGCTCGGATTGGTCGTGCTAGTGGCAGTGGTGGTTGAGGATGAAGAAGACACAGGTGCCGGTGCCGGTATCAGTGCTAGGTCTGCGACGGACGCTGCTGCTGTGGACGCTAGGCGTGAATTTGAATCGACTGATGAGTAGAGGCTGCTCATTTTTAATAAAATTACAAGTGAATTGATGAGAAATAAAATTAAATAGGCGGGAAATGGTGCCAAATAGAATAAAAAGATCACGATGTTTATTTGTTTTTATTTCGTCTTCCATGGTGGATTGGATCTGCTACGTCGCTGTTGCTCTTTTGAAATAATAATCAACCGAGATCAAATCACGACCAGCTTTTTTCTTTTTCTTTTTTTGTTTAAAATGATTTTTTTTGCTGAAAGTGAGTTTCCTTTTTTCCTTTCGCATTTCAACTTTCACATTCGTCCAATTTTTTCTTCTTATTTCAACAAAAAATATCTACATTCGCATTTGACAATGGGCAGCAGTAGCAAGGACGCCAGCACGAAAAGCAAATTGTCCTCCAAGAGCGACAAGGCTGACAAGGTCTCAAAGTCGTCCAAGTCAGAGAAGAAGGAAAAATCGGTAAAAGACAAGAAGGAAAAGTCCGACAAAAAAGAGAAGAAGGACAAATCGGACAAGAAGGAGAAAAAGGATAAAGCAGACAAGAAAGAAAAATCGTCCAAGCGCGAAAAGTCGAGCAAAACAACAAGTAGCAGCGATAAGTCAACGACTCTGTCGAAATCAAAAAAGGATGGCAAGCGGAAGTCCCGTGAGAGCATCTCCAGCAGCGATTCGTCCTCGTCTGAATCGGAAGCAGAAGCAGAGCAGCGTGCATCCTCAAGCAGCAGCAGCGAAGACTCGGACTCGGACTCGGACTCGGACTCTGAATCCAAAGCAAACAGCGGCTCGGACTCTGATCTGCCAAAGGAAACCAAGCAGTTTGAGAAGCTACAGCGGGAGGCCGCGCGCACATTGCAGAATCTCGAGAGCGGGCTGGAGAACTACGTCGCGACCAACCTTGATCTGGTACAACACATGCACAAGGTCGCAGATTCGTCGGCTGCTGATCTCTTGATCCAGGCAAAGTTCAAAGAGGTGTACATGGATTACGTGACCACTGGATTTGGCGCGGATCTGGATGCGTTGCGTAAGGAGGAGGAGATCGATGATGAAGGTCTCGAGATGCTCGTCGATGCGCTTGAAACGGGAACGCGGTCGTTTGCGTTTGCCGATCAAAAGATGATTGTCGAAGAAATGTCTTAGGATTTTTTCGTGTGACTTTTTGTTGTTGCAAAGTAAATGGGCCAACGGAACGCGTTTCATTAAGGCATTTATCGATTTTCCATGTGCAAATACGATAAAACCCCGGGATCCGAGATTTAGCTGGAGACAGAGTTTAGAAAAAATTGTTGATATTTGGGCACATTTGTTTATATTTTAACCTACCTCGTTCATCGCGGCCAAATTACTTCTTTCGGCTTTAAAACTGAGGCTTTTTGAAATTGACTGGTGCTATACAAGCAACGCAAATCAAAAATAAAAAAGCATGGCTGACAGCCCAATGGATAATCGCGCCATTGTAAGCACATCAGCATTCGAACTTGTATTTTATTACTTTGCGATGGCAATTGCAGGCGTTTTATTTAGAACATTCAACATGAGGAGAAATGTGGGGAAGGCTCTATAGAAAAAACTAACAGACTAATACCAGTTATCCAGAGCTATTTCTAAATATGGAAGGATATTCAAATGCACCTCTTTATTTCGTCAATAGTAAATAAAATACAATATCAGTTAGAATGGCAATCTCACATGTATTATAAAAGGGAGCATCGATAATGATTTGGCATTATTGGACTTACTGTTAGTCCTTTTGATAGTTCAAATGTTCTTTATAAATTTTGCGTGTTTATGTTCTGCAGATCTCGTTGGGAATTTTAATGAGTGGTCTTTTTATATTCGAATATTAGCCTTCCCAATTAGTATTTTTGTTGCCACCGTGCATGCGCTTCCTAGCCACTGCCATTAATATTTATTTTTTCCAAATGTTGCCATTGAAGTCGTTTTGGACGTATTCGCATGTGAATAGGAACCAGTTCAAACACACCAAGTAATCGATGCGGGATAAGATTGGCTGCTCAAATAACATTGTAAATCACTTCCACTTAACAATTGGGCACCGCTCAATTGTTCCATGGAAACCTTTTTGCAGTAGCCGTTTGTTTTCTAGCGTGGTTAAACCTTTTTTCTTGGTCAGGACAATGCTTTGTTGAGTGAAGAAAAGTTACAGTGACCACGAGGATACAATTAAAAAATGTTGAAACTGAGCTAGCAAAATGTGATTTTTTAAGGCTGATTGAAACGAAGATAAGGTGGGCGAAAAGATGGAGAACATGTTGGCACATATAAATAGCGCCTCCTCGTTTTCCCCCTTCCTCACTTCCTTTCACAAAATTTAAATACGCATTATTTTTCACTCACTATTTCTCCGGATTATTTGGCTGAATTTTAAATTATATTATTTTGGTCACTTTGTTAGCTTCATATTTATATTTTAATATTGTACTAATATTATACGCATATCCGCACATCCACTTTATTTTTCCTCTTTTTTCTTTAATCGGATGGCGACCAAAATGGACAATCAGCCAGAGTCCCTTGGCATATCTGAAAAGATAATCCACGGCAGTGGCAGTAACCCAAGCTATGACAATGACTTTGACTACAAGAACACCGACGTGGAAGCTATCGAGCCGCCTGCTGACATGGTGCGCGGAATCGCCGGCAAGCTCAGCGTCTGGACATTGCTGGTCGTAGTCATGGAGCTCTGCGAGCGCTTTGCCTACTACGGCGCGTCCCTAATGTTCAGCATCTACTTGCAAAAGGTCCTCCACCGCACCAAGTCGCAGGCTGTGGCACTCAACCGCGTGAGCCAGTTCTTTGCCTATGCCACAACCATTTTTGGTGCGGTTGTTGCTGACCAGTGGCTGGGAAAGTTCAAGACTATTCTGCTTTTTGCCATTGTCTACTTTATCGGCCTGGTTCTGTTGACCATCTCGTCGGCCGACTTTTCCATTGACGGCGGCTTTGGTCTGGCCGGATTCTGCATTGCAGTATTTGCCTTTATTGGGTTTGGAACTGGTGGCATCAAGTCCAACGTCTCGGCGTTTATGGCTGAGCAGATCCCCACCGGATACAAGGCCACAAAGACGCCAGGCGTCTACGAGGACAGCAAGCTGACGGTTGAGCGCGGGTTCCGCTACTTTTACTGGGCCATCAACGTCGGCGCCTTTGTTGGCCAGCTCATTTGCCCGCAGGTCGCCAAGAACAAGAGCTACGCCCTGGCTTACATGATCCCGGCAATCATGTTCTTTGTCGGTATTATATTCTTTGTCGCCGGGTCCAAGCGCTACATCAAGAAGAAGCCCCAGGGTACCGTAATGCTTAAAGTGTGGCGATGCATGAAGTATGCGCGCAAGAACAAGCGCGAGGGCCAGAAACACTGGCTAGACGGCTCTCTGGGCGCTGTTGACCAGGGCTGGAACGACGAGTTTGTCATTGGCCTGCAGCGCAGTCTGAGAGCATGCAAAGTGTTTATGTTTTATCCATTGTACTGGGCGCTGTACAACAGCATGTCTGACAATTTTATTAACCAGGGCTTGACGATGAAGCGTCCCGACTGGCTTTCCGTTGACCAGCTCAATGTGATTAACAGCTTGGTGCTGATCGTTTCAATCCCGCTGTTTGACAAGTTCGTCTTCCCACTCCTTCGTCGCTGTGGCCTGCGTATGGGCCCCATTGCGCGCATCACCACTGGCTTTGTCATTGTCACCCTGGGCTTTGTCTACGTGACCGTTCTGCAAAAGTTCATCTACACCAAGGGCCCGTACTACGATTTCACCGGGCCTGATGTCCCCGAGGGCGCGACCAACGATATCAGCGTGTGGCTCCAGATTGTGCCGTACGCAGCGGTGGCCATTTCGGAGATTTTTGCATCAGTCACCGGTCTCGAATTCGCTTTCAGCCAGGCGCCGTCCGAGCTCAAGTCTGTACTTACATCCGTTTACTTGTTCACCAACTGCGGAGGCGCGCTCATCGGCATGATTCTGGCCATCTGGGGCGGTGATCCTGAGGTTCTTTACGTGTTTGCCGCAGAAACTATTCTTCTCGGGATTTTGGCCGTGATTTTCTACTTCTGCTTCCGCCACTACGATGATATGGTTGCTGAGCAGGAGCAGTTTAACGGCTAACTGTGAGTTTAATGTATTTTGGTGTGCTGTGTTATGCTGTATATGTTTCTTCTTGTTTTTATAAATTATAAAATAAAGCAATTATAAACGTTTTGAAATCATGGCAACGCAGTCGCGCTCAGGATACTTTGGCGCAGTCATGGCAGTGACCATGGCTGGCATAAAAATTGGGTTTCCAAGCTTATCGACATGATCCGGCGTAAACAGCGCGTCTGCGGGTAGCTTCAAGTCGTACTTGTTGATGATATTAGCCAGTGTTGGCAATACCTGCATCCATGCAAGGTTTTTACCCGGACATGCTCTCACACCACTGCTAAAACTAAGCATTTGTCGCCAATTTTCTTCGTTCTCCATGAATCGCTCTGGATAAAACTCTTCTGGCCTTTCCCAAATGGAGGGCAACCTATTAGCCGTGGAGAGGCTGACCAAACATGTATATCCTTCGGGAATATAATGTCCTTGAAAAACCGCACCACCTGGTGGCATACGTCGAGGCAACTCGTTTGTAGCAGGAACCAGGCGCAAAGTCTCGTAGATACACGCCTGAAGGAATGGAAAATGTTCTCTAGACTCGTTGAATGTTATCATGTGGTCGCGGTCAAATTGGCTACGCACTTCTTTAATGACTCTGGAATAGGTGTGTGGATGCAGTAAGAAAAAATGGATAGTCCATGCAAGAGTACTGGAGCTGGTGTCAGAGCCAGCCATCAGCCCATTAATGGTTTCGGTGGCCACTTGGCCCGACGTCATGCGGATGCGCGATTCGGGATCCTCGGCGTCAATGTATGACTGCAGGAGGTCTTTGGGCTTGCTATCGCCTGGCTTGAGGTTAGACAGGAGCTGCTTGCGCTTTTCTATGGCCTGGGTGCCAACAGCAAAAAACGCATCATACTTGTCATAGAGTGGTTTGATAATGAATTGACGGAATATCTTGGACTTGATAAAAGGAAATAGTCCTTGCAAATACATCAGCACAAATGTGGTATGGACCCAGTCTACAATTTGAGTGTCGCCTGATGTCAGCGACCTGTGTGCTTGTCCAAATCCCAAAGAACTGATAATGTCAAAATTCATAAGCATAAAGTCAGTGTGATAGCACAGTTTTGCTGTTTTCCCATCTTTGGATTGTCCGATAGCGCGGTCCCATTTGCTGCACAGTTGTTTGGATCCAGCGGCCATGATTATCGGCTCCATGTGCTTCAAGTTGGCCAAGCCCATGGTTGGGCCCAATTGCCTCCGCCTCTGCTTGTTCAGTTCGGGGTCCACGGTCAGAAACATGTTTGGCTCCATTAGGTCCACGTTGGCATACCCTTTATCCTTGAGGAAGGAATGTGACCCAAGTACTATTATACAATCTTTGGGATTGCAAATTGTTACTCTATCTGGACTCAATACATATATGGCACCATATTTTTTGTAGTGGGACCTTAATATTGCAGGAACATTGCCACACATGCCATGGTACAGCATGGGTATCTGAGAGATGCGTGACCAGAAGGGACCTGGAATATTGCGTAAAGGCGAAAAAAATAGCGCATAAATCACGTTCCAGGCAAAGTATGCGCCCAGTCCGCAAAAAAGATGCAGCGGTTGAAATAGCCACCCCAAGGTGCTTATCAAAAAAGAAAAGTCAGGATGGAGCATAAAATTATAATAGTTATTACAAAACAAGAATTTAGACGTAAAAATGTATTGATCGTTCAAAATGATAGCATGAGAGGGGCTTTAAATACCCAAAGAGTAAATGAATAGTTTTTATAATATCTTCCAAGACCCAATTACAATGCTCCCATTGAACATATAATTTATAATTTAAATTTGATAGCACTTGTTAGTCTAACAATTTTGTGTAAAACAACTGCATATATGATATGTTAATATAAACTTGTAAATTTATATTAGTGCTAATATAATAAATTATGTTTACAGAGTAATTAATCAATAGTCTCTAGCGCAGTAGAACATTAAAAACAATCACAATGCTGTCAACAATGTAATAGTTGGTTGATAATAAGCCAAAGGTATATTTGAAACTAGCGCGGCGCCCCTCTGTGGCTGAATTACACGCTGACATAGAAATAAAGTAATTGGTTCATTACCCAACATTCAAATTTATAATTAAAGCCAGCACCATGCTTAGGTCATTTGATAATGGCAACACCTTTTTTCACAATTAATTTTATAAATATCTATTGAGAAGAGGGATTAGCAATTTTTACGGACGCTGCTATCTAAGTAATATTAGCGGCCGTTTACCAAATTATATATGTATCAATTATATTACTGAGAACCCCACGCGGGGCTCACAGCCCGTGCTGGTGACCTGGGCTAAAACCCATCGGCGCGCACAGATGTATCGGACAAAAGTGAGGCGCCAGTCAACACCCCTATCTAATCGAATCAATTGCAAAGCCGCATGGTGTTCAAAATTGAACCTTTTTTTGCCGGAGAATGATAGTAGCAGATATTAATGCAATTTCGAGGTGCATTAAATCGAATAGTTTAAATATAATCACTTTTGCTGCTATTTGTTTGTGCATGCGCAGCACGGGATGCGGTGCGCATTTCTTATAGTTTGTTTTTTATATGTACTGATGCGTTCCTGTTATGAGAACAGGATACCCTTGGTTTTCTAATATACCTTTATTTCCTATTTTAGCAGTATTTCCTGTAACTGTTCAGTTGGTTATTATTGGTCACCCTCTTTGGGCACATTCACAACAATAGTTTTTTTTAGCGCGGGCCCAATGTTTAATGCAACGCAACAATTTTGCTTAGCAGAATGCACATGTTAGTCAATGACAGTACATGTAATTAAGGGGTGTAGTGTTGCACAGACTGAAGATATAGAAGTGGATGTCAAGGTTAATAATTGTAAAACAAGTTCCCATCTGCATGCCGATTGATAGGGTACTAATTGGATTATGCAGGCGCAAATTAGGGAGGCGTCATAATAATGCTCAGACATGCTCACCATTTTGCGATGCACACGCGCAAGTGCACACCCACAAAAACCACAACATTGACTTGCCAAGATACTAGTTTGCTTGCAGAAGAACTAGTTCTCGCCAACGAAGTGCACAATTGGCAATGTGTACAACAAAGGCGATGAGGCACATATACAACATGAGGCCGGCGCTGGTAGCACCTTAGAAACATTAGTAATAAATCACTTTATAAATTATCCCCACTTTTCTAACACTAGGCAACTAGTTCTCCTCACACCCCCCTCTTACATAACAATAGCATGGTCATAACCAATTACAAAAATACTGTTTCAAACATAATTATACATTAGACTATACTAATAATTTATTGAAAATATTGGTTAAGGCTTTCGATTAAGTGAAGTAAGCTTAAGTGCGTTTAGAAATCAAGGCGACGCAGTCGCGCTCAGGATATTTTGGCGCAGTCATGGCAGTGACCATGGCTGGCATAAAAATTGGGTTTCCAAGCTTATCGACATGATCCGGCGTAAACAGCGCGTCTGCGGGTAGCTTCAAGTCGTACTTGTTGATGATATTAGCCAGTGTTGGCAATACCTGCATCCATGCAAGGTTTTTACCCGGACATGCTCTCACACCACTGCTAAAACTAAGCATTTGTCGCCTATTGTTCTCGTTGTCCATGAATCGCTCTGGATAAAACTCTTCTGGCCTTTCCCAAATGGAGGGCAACCTATTAGCTGTGGAGAGGCTGACCAAACATGTATACCCTTCGGGAATATAATGTCCTTGAAAAACCGCACCACCTGGTGGCATACATCGAGGTAGGTCATTGGTAGCAGGAACCAGGCGCAAAGTCTCGTAGATACACGCCTGAAGGAATGGAAAATGTTCTCTAGACTCGTTGAATGTTATCATGTGGTCGCGGTCAAATTGGCTACGCACTTCTTTAATGACTCTGGAATAGGTGTGTGGATGCAGTAAGAAAAAATGGATAGTCCATGCAAGAGTACTGGAGCTGGTGTCAGAGCCAGCCATCAGCCCATTAATGGTTTCGGTGGCCACTTGGCCCGACGTCATGCGGATGCGCGATTCGGGATCCTCGGCGTCAATGTATGACTGCAGGAGGTCTTTGGGCTTGCTATCGCCTGGCTTGAGGTTAGACAGGAGCTGCTTGCGCTTTTCTATGGCCTGGGTGCCAACAGCAAAAAACGCATCATACTTGTCATAGAGTGGTTTGATAATGAATTGACGGAATATCTTGGACTTGATAAAAGGAAATAGTCCTTGCAAATACATCAGCACAAATGTGGTATGGACCCAGTCTACAATTTGAGTGTCGCCTGATGTCAGCGACCTGTGTGCTTGTCCAAATCCCAAAGAACTGATAATGTCAAAATTCATAAGCATAAAGTCAGTGTGATAGCACAGTTTTGCTGTTTTCCCATCTTTGGATTGTCCGATAGCGCGGTCCCATTTGCTGCACAGTTGTTTGGATCCAGCGGCCATGATTATCGGCTCCATGTGCTTCAAGTTGGCCAAGCCCATGGTTGGGCCCAATTGCCTCCGCCTCTGCTTGTTTAGTTCGGGGTCCACGGTTAGAAACATGTTTGGCCCCATTAGGTCCACGTTGCTGTATTTTTTGTCCTTGAGGAAAGCATGCGATCCAAGTACAGTGTGGTAGTCTTTGAGGTTGCAAATAGAAACTCTATTTGGACTCATGACAAACACACCTTTGTATTTCTTAGCATGGAATCTAATGAATTTGGGCTCTGTGCCACATATTGCATAGTACAATAACGGAATCCTGGAGATGCGCGACCAGAAAGGACCAGGAACATTGCGTAGAGGCGAAAGGAAAAACGCGTGAAAGACAATCCAAATAAAGAAAACGCTTAGCCCAAAAAAGATGTGCAGCGGCTGGAAAGGCCACAGAAGAAGATTATTCAGATTTTCAATACCTAAATTTGCCATTTTGTAAGCAAAATGAATATTGGAAAGTTGCGGAGCAGTAATAATATGAGTCAAGCTGCAAAGATTAGTTGTGTTGTGTAAAAAATGGTTGAGATAATGAATGGGTTTTATACTAGAATGTAGGCTCTGAAAAACACATGTAATATTTGAAAATTTTAATGCAAAAAATGTGGTTCCAGAAAAATCAATACCAACAAATATAGGGAGCGCGGCTTGGGTTTAAATTTTTGTATGTGCAATTGCCACTATATTATATGCAAAGTGTATTGTTTATTTGCAATATTTGTACATTTTTCACATAACAAATATTGTCTATATATATGGACACAGTGTAGAATACAGCTGGCTGATTGGGAGATAAACCTGATTCAAGAACAGAGTTGTTGGATTTTGCATTAATTTTTAAAATTTTATTGCCAGTGGCTGTCACTTTGGTATTATTATCCATTTTGGGCTTTCTAATATATTATTATTAGGCTGTACTGCGGGCAGCTGGAAAGTCTTGTTAATGATACCCAACTAATACAAAATGTATACTGATTAAATCATTTGACGTGTGGCTAAGTTTTAATGACATACGACAATAAGCCTTTTTTACTCAACAGAGCATTATTCGGGTAAAACAACACATTATAATCTACGTATATTTATGTGCTGGCGTACATGGCGATTTGTCGTATGTAGTGTTTTATTTACTATCTAATATGTCATTAATTTAGATTATAAAATTAAAAGTATTATAGCAAGGACAATATAGTCGCGCTTGAAAAGTGGGAGAGAGAATATAGAACCATTGGGCGAGATATAAAACATCATATCGGTCGCACTAGCCTTTATTGCACACGGGTCATTAATTGATGATTTCTGCTGTAATATTTTTCTATCTACGGTTATTGTAAAGGGCACATTCCACTGTTGACGCATGGACAGCTAACAGGCTGGGGGGAGGCTCTGGTGGCCATCCGATTTATCGACGATACTTTACGTACTAGACGTCCCAGCTAATGTGTATATATATATCCTAACGACTGGGAGCAAGTAAAAATGTTGCCTTGAAATATCTCTTATAAGCAAAATAGGAGGAAAATGTTTAAATATGGAAAAAAAAGGAAAAATGAGCTCAGAAAATTACATCTTTACATCCTTGAGATGACGCTCTGCAGCTCGCTCTCGGAATAAATCTGGAACCCCTTCTCAAGCGTAACCTTGGCCAACTGTACGTTGGTGTTGCTGAGCTTCTCCTCCATAACCTGCTTCAGCACCTTGAGCGCCAACACCTCAGCATCCTCCAAGGAAATATCCCGATGATACTGCTCCTGCAACTCCGTCTGGGCGCCCTCCGAACCAGCACCAATAGCCTTAGCCTCGTATCTCAAGAAAGTTCCCGACGGATCAGTGTGAAACAACTGCGGGCCCCTCTCATCCACACCAGCGATCAAAAGAGCAACACCAAACGGACGACTCATCGAGGATGCCTGTCCATCAGCACCCTCACCGAACCGCAGTGCCAAATCACAAACAGCCTGTGTGACACTCTCCACGGGGATGGGCTCCTCGTAGGTGAAAGTATGGCTCTGGGCTTCAACCCGCGCATGCTCGATCATTGTGCGGGAGTCTGCCGTGTGGCCAGACATGGCGCAGGCGACGTGCGTGTCGATTTCGAGGATTTTTTCAATCGAGTCTGCTACGAGAAGCGGGCTGGTTACGCGCTTTTCGACTGCCAGGATGACACCAGAGTCGGTTCGGATTCCAATGGCTGTTGAGCCCAGCTTGATCGCCTCAATGGCGTACTCGACTTGGAAAAGCCGGCCCTCGGGCGAGAATGTGTTGACGCCACGATCGTACTCGGAACGGGTAAGGAACATTTTAATAATAAAGAAATTTGGGGTGTTGGATTACAACTATGGACTTTAAAATATAGTAAAAGTGTTGGCAAATGCTGTTTGAAAAATGTAAAAACAATGAAAAAGGATTCGACCTGATTTTGAGCGAAGCAAATGAAAAAAGGAACTGGCGGGTTACAATAGAAAAAACCGAGAAACGTAAGCGCGTTTATTTTTTCCTTTGGCTCTGCTCTGCTTGGCCAATTCATGCTAGCAGTGGCCGCGTCACTCGAGATTATTTTTTGCTTAATTTGGCCCCCCCGAAAAATGGGCAGTTGAAAATCAACGGATGAAAAAGGGTAAAAAACAAAAGGGAGAAGGACATCACGCCTCAAGTCAACTGTTGTTGTTGGTGCGTGGCCGGCGGCCAGGAGGTGCCGGGCGCTTGAACTTTGGCTGCGTGACGTGCGCATTAGCAGCAACCGCCGCAGTCCTCGCGCCGACCTCCTCAGCGAGCGCCTCGGCGCTCAGCTCTGCCGTTGGATTATCAATCTCTAGCTTAACGTCAAAACCAATACCCATCCCCTTAATGGTGACCAAAAAGCCATACTTGAACGACGAAAAAATCATGCGCTCGCGAATGCTACTCGTAGTTGGACACGAGTACACAAACAAGCTGGTGGAACTACCATACCAGTACAGCACGTAGCGCGGCGAGTCAACAGGCAGACACTTTGTGAGCTCCTCATGGGACTGCAGCGACTCGCAGCGATCCAGCACAAACTGCTCATTTTCAATATCAAAGGACAAAGTGACAAGGTTGACTGATCCCGCAGCGTACTCTGCTAGTGCCTGCTCGGCGTCGCTGCTGAGCGCAATGGTGGCTCCCGATACGTGGTTGCGGCGGGTGTCCATTGTGGGCACCTCCGCCGCTGAGCTCTCGATATCACGAACGCGCTGCATCTCCTCCTCGCGCTCCGTCAACGGCGCCCCCGACTCCACATGCCTCCTATGCTGGCGGTACCCGTCCGCCGAGAACTCCTCCATAGTAGTGCCAAATACTTCGTCCGAAAAATACGATTCTCCCAGACACTTTGTCAGCGACGCCTTGCTCGACGCATAAAGCATCTTTGCGCGCACCGGCGCAGCATCCGGGACATACGTGCATAGCAGCCATTTTGCTATCAGCGAGTCATCGGTATCGAAACAAACAAGAATGTAGCTGGGCAAGGTTGCGTCGAGGAGCTGGCTGAGGTGTGCGAAATCGTCTTCAAACGTGCCTTGGACTGCCTGTGTGGCTGTGGCTTCGAGCCGCTCGTTTGCTATGCTCACTTTGATTGCGCGCGTATGCTCGCCGGATAGCGCTTCGCGAAAGACTGCTGAGAGGTTGTCCGATACGCTGATTCCGCTTTGGTGTGCCATCTGAAGTAGAGAAAAAATAAAGTCAACTGATTTGAGCTGAATTTAAAGAGGCGCTGAAACAGAAAAGAGAGGGCGAGTAGGGAAAATAATAATGGCTGGTTTCGTCACTTGCATGAGTTGGAATTGAAAAGGCTTTGCATTTTTCTGCATACAAGTGACGCTCTTGGCTCTGCATACGACGAAATAAAATAGTGGGAAAAGGCCCTGCCCTGACCAATGGAAAGGCATGTCTGGTGCACTCGCTGGAAATTATTAAAAAATACTTCGAGGCTGCAAAACGTGGTCGGTGTGTGGCCAGAAAAGTCCAATTTCTGTCTTGGCTTAAAGTTTCGAGTGGAAAAAGACAGCAAAATTCACACTGGCTAATAAGAAAAAGATGAAAATAAAAAGGACAAAATTGCACCGTTTTTGCGCTTTTAGGCTCTATCCATTGTTTGTGTCGCCAAATATCCTGTACGCGGAAAGAGTATTCACAATTTCTAATTGTCCCTTTTTCACAAGCGAAAAATATATCAGGTCCAATGAAGTTCTAGTAAATGCAGGCTCCCCTTTAATAATAAAGCTCTGGAAGACGAAAATTATGAGTTGTCATATGCTAAAATCTCATGTCTATTTTGCTGCCTCTTTGGAAACGTAGAAAAAAAAAGTGGTGCGAAAATCCGGTTTCAGAATTAAACAAAAAAGTGATGATTGATTTGCCACATAACAATGAGCACATGGCCGTATTTCTGGCCTACAATTTTCTTTCATCATTCCCCCAAATTTTTCTGTCCCTAATAGATGCGAAAAAAAAATTGTGAAGAGAAACTGTGCTTCGTACACGTCTATTTAAAAGTAAACCGAAAGGCATCCCTAAAAAATAATTTTGTCTCTGAATATTTCTTTTTTTTTGTATTTAATAGTATAATAGTTATTTTTCTACACTTCCTTTCCGCATCCCTTGTCCTCGCAGCTATTATTTTTTGTATTACCTTGTACTTGTTGATCCCTTTTTAATATTCTATGACACGGTCCAACAGCAGCATCGAATAGGTACCGGTACGCGGCTTTCCCACCCACCCTCCATATTGCATATTTCGTACGCAACCCAGAAATACTAGCGAATTCCAAATTTACAAAAAAAAAGTAGAGAAAAAATCACTTCTTTTTCATGTTTGATTTTTCTCAGACTCCCCCGTCAGTGACGCTATCACGAATGGCCGCACTCATCGAAAACATAGCCAACGCCAACCAAAATTTTCTAGGTGCAACAATGAGCGACGTCACACCCTTCCATTGTCGGGCAATACCCAGAATACCAGTACATGCCTATCTGACGCGAGTTCAGGAATTCCTATGTCTGGGAAACGACTGCTTGTTGGCGACCCTCGTGTGCGTGGACCGCATTAGCAGGGCACAAATGCTTCGACCGGCACTAGCCGTTTCACCCATGAATATTCACCGACTGCTTATATCAGCTATTGTTGTTGCTCACAAATTCAACTCTGACGTGTTTTTCAACAATGCTCGATACGCAAAGGTAAGTGAATAAAAAATTTATTTATTTATCTATACCAGAAAACTACGCACCCCTCAAACTAATTATGCTGACATGCTATTCACATTTACGCTAACTTGCGCATTGTGAATTTTTTTATAAAAAATGGCAATGCAGTTGTTTTGTAGGTTGGCGGACTTCCACTGGCAGAGATGAACCAGCTCGAGCTGGAGTTTTTGTTTCTAATAAAATTCGAGCTAAAGGTTGACGATAGCGAGCTGGAGCTAATAGGCGAGTGGCTAATGACAGAGTCCCAGATACAGTACCGAGCAGTGCATGATACAATATGCGTTCTCGATGCCTATTATGAATCGAAAGCGGCAATTTTACCAAACATCAGCAACTACCATCTGCAGTACCCGACTCCATCAATGGACCCGGCCGCGGGCGCGCCGGTCCCGCCGATGCAACTGAATGCCCACGAGGGATACCCGATTCCACAGGCGAGCCGCAAAATGCAGGAATCAACTATGTCCTCTGAGGGCACGAGCATGAGTAATTATCAGGATTTGATCACACCATCGAGCCTTGGTACGATTGTGACGACACCCGCTTGCCGCGATGTGTGCGACGAGCAGGGTGGGTCGTGGCGAGAGTCGATGGCAATGCCGGTGTCGCCCGAAAACGACGTAGTGAACAACTCGCTCGGCGGCATGACACGAGGGGAGATGATGCAAACAGGCGACTTGTTTATCGGGAACGCCCCTGTGTTAGCGTCATCTGCTGTTGCTTTAGGAACAAGACCCTTGTGTCGCGGAAACAACGGCTAGGGCACTGTAATTCTTTCTTTTTTTGGTATTTTTTTAAAAGCTGCGAGAAAAAATAATACATTTATTAAACAAATTTATACTTTCACAAGTCCCTGTACATCCACAGGGTTCTGATTTCGCCAAAATCCTTTGTCTCTCCCTTGTTGTAAAATCCGCATTTCTCGTAAAACACTTTGGTTTCAAATCGACTCCACAAGTTTACATGATTAAAGCACTTGTACTTGCCGTTATTCTTTATGTAATCTACAGCGTAGTCGACGAGCTTTTTCCCCAAGCCTCTGCCTCCAAAAATAGGGTCAACGACTATGCGACCTAGCAAAATGGATTCGTAGCCATCGTAAATTCTAAGGTTGCCCACGACCCGGTTTGCATGTATCATGACAATATTGCAAGTATAGGCTGTATCCATGTCGTGCTCTTCGCTGAGGTTTAGTTTTAGCACTTCGCGGAAGACATGTGCGCGGAGAGCCTTAGCCTCTGTGTATTCCTCCTCACTGGCAATATGAATGTTGAAATCGTTATCTATCTGGATTCCAGGCATTTTTGTCTAAGGTGATCTTAAAAAATAGGTACGTATAAATAAAAAATATATTATTTGGCGATTTCTGTTAGTATTGTATACAGGTTGTTTTATTTGTCGGACAAATATCTGGAGACCCTCGCGCAGTTATTGTAAATAAACACTAAAGAAAAATATAATTTATAGATCAACTTAATGTAGTGTTGGTACAATAAAGTGTGGATGGTGTGGGTGAATAATTTTTTTGAGAAATATTGGCGATTGCGCCTTATTTAAATACTAGGCTGGAATTGAAAAAGACGCAATTACCGATAAATAAGTCTGAGACAGACTGCTTGATAGAAAAAGCGTAAGGTTAGCACGAGTTGGATTGAAATAAAAGTACATTAAATGGACTTTGGTAGACAAATTTAGATTGTGTAAACAGGTATAATGGTATTTTCTAAGGGAGATACCGAGATATTTGTCATTGTATTTTTATTTTTAAAAGCATGCGCGCACAAGCGCGTTTTCGTTTTAGTTAAACAGTGACCCGTTTGCTCCAAAGCCGAAAATCGTTTTCTTTCAAGCTTTTTTTCACATGGTGCATATTGCATTTACCTAAGTATTGTGCAAAGGAAATTCCGCTGAGCTTCGATCTCAACCAATATATGTTGCTGATCCTGTAAGATTCACATATTTTTGGCTGGGGGTGTTGATTTGCACTCAGCCAGCGATTAATAACAGCAACACTTTATAATTTAAAGTGTCTTTGACACAATTTCATTACTTTCTTGCGCTCTTCTCACTTTTTACAATCCCTTTTTGAATTGCTCCAACATGACAATCAAAAATTGGGTTTTCTATATCAAGCCAATGGCCAGCACGGCATATGCCAAAGTGTCTGCTCTTGTAAGCCCAATCCGGCCAAAAATCACGGCATCAATTACAAATTTAAAACTGTTATAATTCACAACGTGAGAAATGAAGGTTTCTATAATCATTAATACGGCGATTTTCATTTGAAATTGTATTTTTTGCTTGCCTAATTCGAATACCCCCAAAAAATTATTGCCATTTTGAGTGCTATTCGCCAGTTGTCCGTAAGCAGAACAAAAGCAGTTATTTTCTAAAGCACATCTATTCTGGGTTTCAATAGAACTGGGATTATGTAAATGACTGGAAACTAAAAACATAGATAACAGCAGAAAATATTGTTATTGTTGCTGGTGTAGGAGATCAATTGAGCTACTTGCCATACAAATACTGTGACCTAATCCGGACGAGAAAAATTACCCGGGTCCGACATAACTGCTGGGGCGCCATGATCAAAATTATAATATGTGACTCGTATCAATTATGATTTGCTTTTTGGAATATTTTACAAAACCAGGGATTTTCCTTATCGTACATTTTTTGTTGGTTGTTTTAGTGTGGCAATTTTATGTAAATATTTGCAATAGAAAAAAAGCAAAAATAAATTATAATATGTTTATTGCAATGTGTATGTGGATCGGCCAGGATGGCGTCGGCTGACACCATGGTGCTTGTAAACCAGTTGTGACAGATTTCCATGTTTGAATGATTTTAAATAAAACAAATTCCGCAAGCCTTTTCTAGAATTGAGCTTAAATTGAGGACAGCGCCGACAGAATAACGCTAGCTGTCAGTAGAGACAGAATATATGAACATTTTCAGTCTACGATTGCAATTTGATCATATTTGTACTTCGGGTCCCAAGTTGGCTCCTAAATTCAATCTATACTAACTCGAGGCTATTGGCTAAAATTGTGAATACCCTTGTGTGGTAATTACGGTCAAAAGAATTATTAATAAATAACCATTACTGCATGCGCGTGCACAATATTTGTCAAGCATAAATAAAAATACCGACATGAGCGCTTAGGAATTTGATTATCCATAGTATGTGCTTAATTGTGAAAAATTAGATTGGCAAAAGACATAACATCATTGTGCACCCAATAGCTCCGCCTTTTCCACAGAAACAACAGTTGCAATCTTGCTTGAAAGACGCACCACCATTATCGCGAACGCATTTCTCATAGCCTTCATCCTTATCTATGCTAGTACTGGTCAGCTTGACAGTAATGGAGCTGTTCAAATTTGGCTTTACGCATGCCATTTTAGTGCATGCTATAGCGCCATCACTTGCACAAGTGCACGAGTTACTCTCACGCTTGAAGGACAAACCGCCGTTGATTGACATACATTGGTTGTAGCTGTCGTACTTGAGTATGTTACTGCCAGATAGTGTTGATTTAACTTGCTCAGAGTTTTGATGCAGCTGCAACCATCCTTTCTAGTCGACATTATTCTGCAAAATAGCCTTGGGTATTTTGCCTACTTCCTGCGCCTGGCCAACAACAAACACTACGGACATGTAAATTACAGCTAAAATAATTTTACGAAATATTAATGTGAGAAAGTTTAATTGAAACAAATATACAATTAAGAGATATTTGGATAGAAATGATAAATACTTTTGAAGGTAAGAAATTTTTCTATATATTGGTTGATGGCGATTAACTGTTTAACCAGTCTTGGCTATTCCAGCCAAACACACAATCATCAATAGGTCATACAGTTACTAAACAAAGTAATATATTTTTCATATTCTCCGGTGCATAGCACTTATATACTCAATACATTTTTATACATAGTATTTTATCTCTGCACGTTCATAGAACGTCTTTCCCAGAATTTAACATTTTTATTTAAAGCTAACAATGTCAACATTTGAGACAATGCTTATTTATCAACGTGTTTCGAATATCTGTATTAATTTATAGTCAGTAGCAATGCACTTTTTTACTGGGAAAGCTTTTATAATAGCATTGTTTATCTAACCGCATTGTTTTTAACTAATTGAATGCAATTTTTTTAGTTGACCGCTGCTTTGTTATTAAAATATTTAAGTTAGGAATTATTGTAGAATGTAAGTTAAACTCCCAATACACAAACAAACAATAATTAAACAAGGGATGTTAGAAAAAGTTTTTTTTAAAAGAAATTTCAATGTATACATTAGATCAACATATCAAAAAAAGTTATAAACAATACTTCATTGATTCTATAGATGCTGTGTTTTTAACCACTATTTAGAACAAAAAATAGCAAGTGTCATACATTGTTGTTGCTTTCAATCAGCTAATTGTGATATTTGTCCTTGCATATTAGACGCAAGCCTTTATTGTGAATTTCTTTTTTATTTCAATAACAGTTACTTTTGTTGTTTTACTTTATACTACACTATCTGGGCCTTTGTTTGCTTATAATTTTTTAAAATATTTTATTTTTAATATTCATGCCAGCCAAGTATTAGCCACTTGCATTTTTGTTGACAAGCGCAATACAATACTGATTGATAATTGGGGAAGTCAAAATACTATGTTAATCTGGTATCTGAAGCTACATGTTTAGCAGCTGACGTTAGCTATTTTCTATTAGCTGCCATTTCAAACAAGCTGAGAAGCAAAACGAGTGTCAAATGACAAGTTGCTTGAATAAGGCAAAATAAATTATTTACGCATATTTGATAATAACTTAATAATAAAAAGAAAGCAAACAATTGACAGGTGATAAATGATTAAAAGAAACACGCATGCATTATCTTGCCTTTTAAAATTTTTATAGCATAACAAAATCAATTATTTTGCAAGAGCAAAAATATGTGCATTTCCATCTTTTCTATTACATAAGATTTTGCATATATACAGCAGACACAAAAACTGTTAATTTTTTGGACTATCGACTTTTGTACTTGGTGTATTTTTTACACTGATGGCTCAAATAATATCTCGGTTTACTATTAATATACTTTACTCCCACTACACATAGCAATGAAACTTGCGGGATTGTTTGCTAATTTGTTGTACAAGTCAATATTAAACATCTAAGTATTTTAAATTTATGCATGGATTATTGTGTAACAAAATTCAAAAATTGTATAAAATATATGAAGCTTAGACTTTAAAATTTGAGCACCAGGCTTAGAAGCGGCCTATTAACACGAAATATAATTTTAAATTATAGCTGCGCCATTTTTATTTTATTCTGTATTACCAAGAGTACATTCATACATTTATAGCAATTACAACAAAATTTTCATAATTTTACTATTTCTCAGTTATGGTCATCACTTGTGACAAGGGCAACATCATTAAGTCAATGACTCATAACGGCTTCACTTCTACAAAAATTAGAAACAGAATACACATCAAGCCAAGCACAGCTAGAACGTATTTTAGTCGGCACTGTATCTACATCAAAAGGCCCAAGTGAGGTCGTCCTACAAGTTTGACCAAGGATGGCGAAATCTTTATTCAAAGATTTCTCTATCACAGGGAAGGGATTGGCATCGCTACACTTATTAAAAAGATATCAAGGGAAAAAGGGTTTCAACTAAATAAACAAACTGTCCAGAGATATCTTTCTCACACTCGGTGTAATAAGAATAGTTTATACAAAATATATTTATAATTAAAAATCTATTATAAGGGAGCTTAAAGAGCCACGCTTATCTATTCAAAATTATTGACAGTGAAAATAGAAATCGCGATCGTAAACAATCACAATTGCAGTTTTCACGTGTCATTTACGCTCAAATACTGGGGAAAAATTGGTGCCCGCTTTGGGGAGCATCAATCTTCCAAATGGAGCCAGTGCTATCTTTCAGCAGAACAACAACCCTAAGCACATAGCCCGTGGGACTCGCCACTGGCTACAGAATCATGGTATCAATGTCTTGGCATGGTCATCACAATCTCTCAAGCTTAATCCTATCAAAAACCTTTGGGCTCTGCTGAAAACCCAGCTTTGCAACTATGCCATTCATCCAAAAAACATTGGCAAACTATTCGAGCGAGTACAAATTTATTGGGCAAATGTTCCAGCTACTACTGTAAAAAATTTAGCACATTCAATGCCCAAGCGCATAAAAGCAGCTATACGCTTACGAGAGCTTCTGGTTTAAAACATACAAAAAGGTTTATTAGACAAACCATTTATTATAGTTTTAATGATTTTATAAAAAAAATATTTTTCCTCCACAAGCAACTTGTAACCATTTTATATAAATATTATAAGTAAATGTTTATCTTTCGAATGATAATTTTAGACAAGCAAATAAAAGCAAATTGGTTTATGGATAAGCTGAAAAAGATGAAATAAAAATAAAAATAGACAGGTTTCATGTCTGCTGTATATTCACTTACCAAACAATTACAATATCGTGGATATTTACTACAGCTTGTGCATATAGACTGTTTTTGCAATAGTTCTTCCATATAATTCTATTTCTATCTCCGGCGTATTTGAACCACCACTTTATCTTATTATAAATAGAATTATCCTTCTTATTTCTTAGGACCTTTTCTGGTATGATACATGGAAGAACCTCTTTTTGTTATGAATTTCTGGGGGTTAAACATAGTACCCCTCTCTAGCTGAACACATGGTAGGTGGATGACTGACCCTCCCAGCTAAGGCCAGAATAACCCGTCTTCGTGTAACTGTGCCTTCAGCAAAAGGAGGGGGGCGCAGTCTCCAACCTCCAAACGTCAATGGCTAAGCAAGGCGTAACAAGCAAACAATTCAAGGAGTGCAGGGAGCAGGGGGGGATGGGGCATTTTTGACAAGAAATTTATAATCGAGGGCATTTCTGACATTATCCTTTTATTTTAACCAATACGAAAAACAGGGGGGGGCTGGGTGCTATTTGTATTGTATTGTATTTCTTGGCTAAGCGGTGAGTGGACTAACACATTATGACAATTGTTTGACCGATATTGCAAACCACTTTTTATAATTGTTCCTACACGATATATCCTTTTTTCATCAAACAAAATTTGTAAATGTATTCACAAACGTGGTTTTTAACAATAATATAATGATTAAATATCATATATATTATGCAAGTTGTATGTGTAGTACCTAAAAATATAACATTGTTTCCAATCGAAGGCACATCCGCCAGTGTACAAATGGCAAGGCGATATGTGCAATCACGGCGGTGATTTGATCCGATCACCGGAACGGTTGAACCGGGACTGTTTTTTTGTGAGTATCGTCCGACATCCAAAAAGCGGTGAGAACATAAATAAGACACGCGACCTCACTCTACTCATCCCCTTAAATATATATTGTAGCATTTTCCCCACTCCAATTGCAATGCAAAAATATTAGCGCGAGTACATAAATAAAAAAGCTCCGCCTGAGGAATTAAGAAGCATATGCGCAGAGTGTGACGAAAGGCGAATCAGTGATTCGGCTCCAAGTGTGCACACACGTGTTGTGGATAAATGGTCTTTGATTGACATTAGAAAATACGCTGACGACCTACTCAGCTGCACTCATCAGTGCACTTTTACAATAAAAAAAATGGGCGTCAACATTTATACTTTGATGTTTCAACTGTTTTTTATTCTCATTCTACAATGAATCGGAAAAAGAAAAGTGAAAAAGAAAATTTCACAATTCAAAGCTCCAAAGTGAACAAGCGTTTAAACCATCATTCTCGTTTGTTTCTTTCTTTCTTGTACATTTTCATCTGAACAACATTCAATTTCAAGAGCACTCTTTTAATATACAATTTTATTTCACCATATGGAAGCGGTCACCGCCCCTTCAGCGGTCGAAACATCCCCAAATACACATTTGAGTGTTGCCATAGGACTGACAGTCGCACTTGTCAGTGCCATCATAATTATAACCTACGCCATGACAAGACGCCGCTTAGGGCGTATGCGCAGTGGAAGCGAACAAATGGAACTGCAAATGCAAGCTATGAGACAGCGACAACAACTGCTTGAAATCATTGAGCGAGCTCGAAGTATCGAACGCCCTCACCTGAATGAAAATCAACTAAGAGCCCTGATCCGCCGCACAATTACCGATGACGCAGCTGCAGCTGCGGCTGCAACTGCGCCAGAGGGGGTGGCTGAGACTGAGCATGGCGAGCAGTACGAGAGCGCACGGTGTTGTGGAATTTGTTTGATGGATTACTTGCCCGGAGATTTAATAGTGGACTTGCCTTGCAGCCACGCATTCCACGAGGCTTGTGTCTTGCCTTGGCTAAAGATCAATGACAAATGCCCGTTTTGTAGTAAATCATGCTGTTTGAAATAAACACCTGTTTAATGTACAAAAAATAAATTTTAAATACAATGGTTATGACAAAAGCCTATTCAACTGCCTAAATTAAAACAAAAACCTTACATATGCATAACAATATAAATAATAAAAATGCTTTATAATAATGTTATAGCTGGCTATAAAAAATGGGACTGACTAGAACCTGCACTCTTGCTGGGAAAGCAGGAATGGCCAGTTCTCGCTGGAACTCGCTGCTGCCTCGACTCCTCCGCGCTTGAGGCAATGCAGCGTCACTCTCGGTCCAGCGGTAAGGTACATTTACTAGTTGCAGCCCACTACCTGGAACGGATACCACTTCCGTTACAGTCTCAGCATCGGCCCCAACATTAGCTTCGGTGCTGGCATTGACTTCAAAATTATCGCTGACTTCAACATTATCGTTGTTGTCAGACTGCGTTGCCAATATTCCCAGTCCCTTAACCACATCTGCTTTGCACAACGGACACAGCGTAGACTTTTTCATAAGCCAAGGGCCAGCGCAGTCAACGTGGAATGCATGGAGACACGGCACCAGGTACACCAGCTTATCTCCGCTAGCGACATCCGAGAGACAGATGGAGCAGCTCTCGGGCTCTTTGTCAAAAAGCTTCTCTTGCAATACGTCTTTGCTGTTAGTCTTACCGTCTATATGCTGCGCATCATTATCAGACGCGTCGTCGTTTTTTGCGTCCAACAATGGACCCCTGGCAATATTGTGTGGCAGCAGGTCAAACTGGCTCTGACTAAGAACAAAGAGATCTTTGCGGCCATTCCCTTGTAATTGTTGTTGTTGCTCTGCCCCACTAAACGCGCCGATTCTTCTTTGCTCGAGCTCCCTTGCTGCATTGCGATTTCGAATTCGCATCCGCTGCATAATCGTGCCAAAGAATATCAGGGCAACGAGGACGCATGCGCATATGATTAATATGTAGTAGATGCTGATTTTTCTCTGCACGCCGTTGTTTGAAGTCTCAGTCGGCGTGGTATCTGGTGGCGACGTTGCCTCTAGAAATATCGATGTTGTTGGAGGGGGCGCACCAAGCACGGTGACTATGCTTGGTGACGCTTCTTCTTGTGGTACGGGCGACGCGCTCGTGATAGCAACCCACATGCTGCTTATTAGGAGTGTGAACAACAGGGGCAGCATTGGCGCCATCCGCCGCGCTAGAGTGAAGGTCGAGCGCTTGAAAGAACACGACCACGTCATGATGATTGAATTGAGGGGTATGTGTAAAAGGTATAAAATGACAGCAGTGGTGTGAATAGGTTTTCTGCCTCGATTTTCTGGGGTGTGGGTTTTTTTTACGTATTCTCTGGTATGATTGACTTGGTTGCTCGATTTTCTCGACAGTGTTGATCGTGCTCAATGGGAAGCTATGGCTGCGGTATGGTTTGGCAATGACGGCGGGTGGTTGGTTGTTGTGTGCCTTGTCTAGTTTTGTGGTCGTGTGCGTAAGAAGATGAAAAATTGGCTTATACAATAAAAGGTCAAAAAGAAATGTATAAAAGAAATCCAAAGAATTACAATATTGAATTAAAAAATTGGTTTAGCAAAAAAAAAACTTGATAAAAAGAGAACAGAAAGTAAAGTCGGAGAATGAGTGGACGTACCCTTATATTTTTAAAGGGGTGATAACTTTTGCCCTTTTGCACAAAAAGAATAATTGTTTTATTTCAATTGCAGAAAATAACATTGCTCATCCGTGTCCTGTCTCCGCACTCTGTCTGCTGGACAAGCAGGCGCAATCGGGTGTTGGCAGAAATCTCAGGAAAAGGGAATGGCACAATGTCGGTTGCATCTCACGAGCCCATTCTTCTGTCTTTTCTCTTGTTTGTTCTCTCATTGTTGTAAACTGTAAAAAATATATATATCTTGGCAAATAAAAAAAGTCGTAGGCACCAAAAACGAGCACACAATCAAGTTTTGCAAAAACAACTCGGACGATGACAGATCCGCCCCAACTGAATATATGGAATGTGTAAAGAATATTTGTAGGAGTGCAATTATTTTACATTCCTCCTTTCATTTTTGAGTACTTTACAATAGAGTGGGAATAAAAAATATCGCACAGAAAGACTGTCGACAAAAGCGCGCCAAAGCCTTTTTTGGAATGTTAAAATGGAAAATATAAAATTTTCTCATGAGAAGAAAAAAAAAGTTTTAAAAGCTAAAGTAAAAGGGTGGATGGCTGCTATCCGGCTTTCTAAATTATAGTCCACTCTACTCGACGGCACCGTTTTTTAGTTCTAATCTTGTAGATATTTGTTGGGCAAGAGGCGCACATTCTGCATATAGCGAATTGGCGCGAAACCCAGATAGCAAATTGCGGATACATTTGGGTTGCAGAAAGTAGCATGGCTTGTCTGCCACCTGTTCGCTTTTTATATCCTGAAATCAGCATCTAAATCCGAATGTGATCCAAATCAACCAGCTCCACCTTTGTCGTCTCACTAAAAAAATACATCCGCTCTGGCGACAGTGGCTTTCTATAGCTGTGCAGTACACTAAGCCAAGCTAAGCCTTGTTGACAGCGACGATGCTACGACGAATGATACTGCTTAGATCCTTTTTTGTTTTTAGTATGCCTAACCGAAAGCCCGCTTTTAATTTACTACTCGAGATTGCCCACAAAAAATGGAAGATCCCAAGCCCTGCTTTTCGGATAATGCGCTTTCTTGGACCCAACAACCAGGAGCAAACTTTTTTAAAGGTGGCTTTTTGTCTTGACAGGGCTAGAGTGACCAATCATCTGATTGTCGATGAGAGGTGGCTGCAATATTTAAATTTTCAAGGTACTAATTTCTGAGCTTGATTTTTTTAACTGGGCAAGCATTCGGGCAGAGCGCATTGTAATTTCTAAAAGACTGCGCAGCCAGCCACCCAGCCACCCAGCCAGCCAAGCAACCCAAAAAGCATATAGGCTGTCATTTGGCTGGCGTCATATTGCGTTGGTTTTATTGGGCTTTTCGGGGTTTTGAACTTGCCTGCCGAATATGCAATATCAATCCAACGTGTCTCTTTATATTCCTGTGATTGCTCACTCCCCGCTTTTTTCTTTTGCAAGTCATTTGAATAATGCCTTTGGCTCTATCACGATGTTTAAACGGTGTCTTTTTCTTTCTTTACTTTTTTCTTTCATTCTTTCGATGACCCCATGTGATACAGATGATACCCGTGATTATGCAACAGGCAAGTGGACAAAAAAATAAAACAAGGAATTTTTTCCAAGAAAGAGATGCGGAGAAAACGACAATCATGCATACAATTATTATTTCTAGTTACTATTTTTCCCCTCTTTTTTCTATCCCTTTTTTCATTTTGTCTGCCATTTTTGGGGGCCTAATCGCACTGGTACAAAAGTGGGGTTTTTGTCTTATGCGGCACATGAGCGTAAAGTAGTGCATTGTCTATCCGAAAAAGAACCTGCAGTGGTAAATACCCGAAAAGTGAAAGAAAAAAACGCGAGTGCACTTTCCATTTACTTTTCTCCAATTCACTATTCTTAGACCCCTGTTTTTTCCTTTTCTTTTCAAGCAAGAACAAAAAGGTTGAAAACTTTGATTTATTTACTTGAATACCCTGCAAAATTTTACTGTTGATTTTACTCTCATTTCCTTTTCTCATACGATTTTTTCTCTTTTAATCTCTATTTTTACATTGATTTTTATATCGGTTTTTCACATTATTTTCTAGACTCGGTTTTGTTTTATTTTATTTTATATTTATTTTACCCATTTGTACCAACACTCTGTTTCTCAATTTTGTTCCCTTTCCTTTCGTTTCTATTTGTATTTATTTATTTAGCCTTCAACTTACATTTATTTTTTATATATGCAAGCACAGACAATTGTGTTTGTTGTGGTCGCTATCAGCGTAACAGTGCTGACCATATCACTAATGTTCGTAGTGCGCAAGTTCTTCGTGCCCACTTCGCATCCATCCGAGCAGTACTCAGGCAGCACAACCACCATCAGCGCACAAGAGAGGCGCCGTCGCGTGTTGCAGTTTCGGCCGAGCAACCGGCCGGTCAAGCCCTACAACCCATTCAGCAAAAATGAGCTGCAACTTCTCCCAATAATGGTACTGACACAATCCAACATTGACCTAATAAATGGCACAATAGCGGCAGAAAGCGATGAAAAGCAGGAGCAACAGCAGCGCAAGTCGTTTGAAATTGAACATGACAACCTGCGGTATGCATCCCCTGAGTGCAGTATTTGTCTGGTATCGTATGAGGCAGAAGACCTTGTGCGTGCGCTTTCGTGCAACCACACGTATCATGCCGACTGTATTGATGTTTGGCTTACTGAGCGCAGTGCCCGGTGCCCGATTTGCAAAATGGATTGCCGCGAGGCTTTGGGTTTGGAGCGTCGGTTGCGAAAGGCAAAGTCAGAGACAGCTGTTGAACAGTCATCTGGTAACGCCGATTCCGATGCCATGACTCATCATGCTATCGATATACCCTCCCCGCCGCCCGCTGCCCTGCTTTCTCCAATTACACTGTAGATTGGTGTTTAAAAATAAAAAACATTTACCATTGTTTATTTATCGTAGTACAAATTAGAGAAAAATATGTAATTGCACTTGTTTTTTCCGTGGGAAATTCAACAAGAACCTTTGAAATTATATTTGCGGGTAATCATCTATTTCTAAAATTACACTATTCCCCTTTTGTTAAATGGATAGTTGCATTATTCATATATGGACCCGAGGATAAAAAATAATTAATAGTTAAATTAGAGCAAAAACAAAACAAAATAATTAAGGGGTTAAACGTGTTGCGGGTTGTTGATAATAATGTCTGCTGCGGTCATCACATCTCGGTGAGCTGAGAGAAAATGGCAGCGTCCTTCACCCCTGAGTGGATGGGGCTGGATCCCGCATATTCAGGCTCCTTCTCGCCCTTAAACTTGATTGGCAGCGCAGCTTTGCGCTCCTCAATGCTAGCATCTGCAGCGGAACTAGACCCACTGCCATACGTATTGATGCCCACAGTAGCACCGGCACCGCCAAAGGCATTTATCGAGCCGCTAGAGTAGTCCTGGTTAATAGGCACAAACATAACCTTGGTGTTGGCAGCTCTAGACATCATTACCATGCTGTCGAGAGTGCGGATCTGCATAGCCGCCGGCGTGTTGAGAATCTCAGCCGCCTCGCGCATCAGCATAGCGGCGTCAACCTCGGCCTGAGCCTGGATAACCTTGGACTGGCCAATCCGCTTCTGCGTAGCAGCTGACGACAGCGACTCTTGCAGCTCACGGCTTAGATCAATATCCTTGATGAGAATCGACTCAACGGTGACGCCCCACTCGTGCGCAGGCTTATCGATAATCTCAGTGATGGCTGAGGCAATATTGTCGCGGTTTTCAATGAGGTCCTGAAGATCGCGGCCACCAAGCACCGCACGCAAGGTTGTTTGCGTGCGCTCGGCCAAGGCATCGTGCACACTGGATACTCCGTAAGTGGCTAAATACGGGTCGTTGACATGCCAATAAATGACAGCCTCAATTCCCACCGAGACATTATCCTTGGTTACAATGGACATAGACTTCATAGGGTTAATTTGAATCTTCGTATCCACTCGCCACATACTTTCGGTCATCGGGTTGACATTGACTAGACCTGGGTCCGCTGTCTTGTAGTAGCGTCCAAAGCGAGACACCAAAGCAATTTCACCCTGCTTAACCTTTTTGTAGGGATTGGGGCAGCAGAAGCAGCAGGGAATTTGTCCAAACCCGCCAATAAATGTTCCCAGAGCGTTCATTGCCCGCTCGTAAGTGCTGTTGGAGGATATTGGATGCGATGTGGCAAATTTTGGTGGATTGAACGCTGCTGGCAAGCCGCGAGGCGGCGCTACTGGCTGTGCCGGAGGCACATAGCTTGAGCTCGCTGTCGAGGTCTTGATGTCATATGGGGGAGCAGCGTTGGTCATATTGGTAATGTTGGTGCTATTGATAGGTGCAAAGTAATAAAGTATGTGAGTATTGGTGATAATAATATTGTAAAATAATTAGAAAATAATTGAAAGATTGAAGACATGAAAAAACAAGCATGTCCACGTTGGTAATTTATACATGTTTGAGCGCACTAAAGAAAAATGGTTGCTTTGATTTCTCAAATGCTGAGGTTTTTTGGCTGCGCCATTGTCCCTTATTTTTTATTTTAAAAAAGGATAAGCAAATGGGATGCGGGGGAATGGAGCAAAGGGCGGAAAAGCCAAGGCGCAGCTCAGAACAATATATTTTCTAAAGTAGGAATTCCATGGAAACCCAAAAAAGAAATAATAGAAAGAGAAAACAACGTGATGTTTTTTTGTTGCTTCCATTTCTCCAGAGACTTTTGAATGGAAATCAAGAAGAATAGGAATTGTACTCTGAACTTTTTAACATCCTTCCAGTATATTCAAGTGTAAAAAATTAATGTACATGCAAATCACTATGCAGAGATGTATATATGCCTGAGAAAACAACCAACACGAGATTGCATTTTCTTCATACGTCATTTAAAACATTTTCAATAGAATGTTTCCAATTACATAAAAAAAGAAAATAATAATGTACCATGTGCATGAACCCGCGTACTGTCAACAATGAGCGTATATGAAAACGAGGGAGGTAAATTTTTTGTTTTATTTTTGACGGAAAATAAAACGGTGTTGATACTTGGCAGGTGCACGCATAGCTTTCAAGTCAAGCATAATTTTTTAAGTTGATGAATGAACTATACTAATGCAAATGGATTTTGGAATTTCCAGACATTTATAGCGAAAGTCCGGATTTTTAAGCGGGGGATTTTCAAAAATCGTTTTTTCCAGATTTTTTTAATAAAATTTATTATTTCGGGACGAATTAAATAAAAAAATTAGAAAATACCGAATGCGTACCAAACAACACCCTTTAAAAATGTGCATCCGCCGGGAATCGAACCCAATCAACTATCTTGTACTGCGGCGTGCAGGTTTACTTGTACCAGTTACACCATCAGGTATTATGGTGCATGTGCATTTGTTGGATTCCTTATGAGGGCAGGAAAGTACAAAATCGGGTTTGCAATTTGTAGTAGGCTTCATGGTAAGTAGTAATTATAAGATAATTTAAGTTTTGTAGGAAAATATATAATTGTAAAATAAAAATAAAAAATAAACGCAAATAGGAGTGAACCGGGGTTCATTTTATATGTATTGCAAAATACAAAAAATATCTTTATTCTTTCACATTTATGTGAAGAAATAAGAAAATGAACGCTGCGTAAAAACAAGGTTTACTCCTTTTTGTTTACTCCTTTTTGTTTATTCCTTTTTTGTTTATTCCTTTTTTTGTTTATTCCTTTTTTTGTTTGTATCGATTGCTATAAAGTCCAATAACAATGTAGGCGACGACAAATCTACATCTTTTCCTTCACCCAAAAAAACAAATGTTTTAATGGTGAATATTTCTTATAGGATTGCATGTTAATACAAACCCTTATGATAGGCTATGAAAATGACAATTAGTTAAAAAAAACCATCCGTGTCAGTCGTTAAATGATTGAGCCATATACGCAGAGAGGGGGAGGACAAACAAACAATTTAAAAGCCTGGTACAGAGTAGTGAGCGTTGCTGCTGAATGATCAAGTCTGTATGTTTATGTGTAAAAACTAAAAAATCCAAGCTAGCATAATTATCGCATAAATTGAGTTTACTAATAATTAAATTTATACGATTATATTATATGCCATTAAAGCAACTACGTTTGGATGTCAAAGTAACATTTAACAATAACTCAATTTTCACTGATTGTATTAAAAGGCAATCAATATCCCAGTATAATTGTTTAAATAAAATATTAAAAGTAGCTATAGGCCTACCCAAGTGCAAGTCGCTATTGCGAGATTATTGTGGGACGGAAGGAGCAATGATGGTAGTACTAACGTAGACAGGAGTGGTCTCATAGACAGGTGTGGTCTCGTAGACAGGGGTGGTCTCATAGACAGGGGTGGAGCTGTACTCAATGCTGGTCTCATAGACAGGAGTGGTCTCATAGACAGGCGTGGAGCTGTACTCAATGCTGGTCTCATAGACAGGAGTGGTCTCATAGACAGGTGTGGAGCTGTACTCAATGCTGGTCTCGTAGACAGGAGTGGTCTCATAGACAGGAGTGGTCTCATAAACGGGAGTGGTCTCATAGACAGGGGTGGAGCTGTACTCAATGCTGGTCTCGTAGACAGGAGTGGTCTCATAGACAGGAGTGGTCTCATAAACGGGAGTGGTCTCATAGACAGGTGTGGAGCTGTACTCAATGCTGGTCTCGTAGACAGGTGTGGTCTCATAGACAGGAGTGGTCTCGTAAACGGGAGTGGTCTCATAGACAGGGGTGGAGCTGTACTCAATGCTGGTCTCATAGACAGGAGTGGTCTCATAGACAGGGGTGGAGCTGTACTCAATGCTGGTCTCGTAGACAGGTGTGGTCTCATAGACAGGTGTGGTCTCATAGACAGGTGTGGTCTCATAGACAGGTGTGGTCTCATAGACAGGCGTGGAGCTGTACTCAATGCTGGTCTCGTAGACAGGTGTGGTCTCATAGACAGGAGTGGTTTCGTAGACAGGAGTGGTCTCGTAAACAGGGGTGGTCTCATAGACAGGAGTGGTCTCGTAAACGGGAGTGGTCTCATAGACAGGGGTGGAGCTGTACTCAATGCTGGTCTCGTAGACAGGTGTGGTCTCATAGACAGGTGTGGAGCTGTACTCAATGCTGGTCTCGTAGACAGGTGTGGTCTCATAGACAGGAGTGGTCTCGTAAACGGGAGTGGTCTCATAGACAGGGGTGGAGCTGTACTCAATGCTGGTCTCGTAGACAGGTGTGGTCTCATAGACGGGAGTGGTCTCATAGACAGGAGTGGTCTCATAGACAGGAGTGGAGCTGTACTCAATGCTGGTCTCGTAGACAGGAGTGGTCTCATAGACAGGGGTGGAGCTGTACTTAATGCTGGTCTCATAGACAGGAGTGGTCTCATAGACAGGTGTGGAGCTGTACTCAATGCTGGTCTCGTAGACAGGTGTGGTCTCATAGACAGGAGTGGTCTCGTAAACGGGAGTGGTCTCATAGACAGGGGTGGAGCTGTACTCAATGCTGGTCTCGTAGACAGGTGTGGTCTCATAGACAGGTGTGGTCTCATAGACAGGTGTGGTCTCATAGACAGGTGTGGTCTCATAGACAGGCGTGGAGCTGTACTCAATGCTGGTCTCGTAGACAGGTGTGGTCTCATAGACGGGAGTGGTCTCATAGACAGGAGTGGTCTCGTAAACGGGAGTGGTCTCATAGACAGGGGTGGAGCTGTACTCAATGCTGGTCTCGTAGACAGGTGTGGTCTCATAGACAGGTGTGGTCTCATAGACAGGTGTGGTCTCATAGACAGGCGTGGAGCTGTACTCAATGCTGGTCTCGTAGACAGGTGTGGTCTCATAGACAGGAGTGGTTTCGTAGACAGGAGTGGTCTCGTAAACAGGGGTGGTCTCATAGACAGGAGTGGTCTCGTAAACGGGAGTGGTCTCATAGACAGGGGTGGAGCTGTACTCAATGCTGGTCTCGTAGACAGGTGTGGTCTCATAGACAGGAGTGGTCTCATAGACAGGAGTGGTCTCGTAAACGGGAGTGGTCTCATAGACAGGGGTGGAGCTGTACTCAATGCTGGTCTCATAGACAGGTGTGGTCTCATAGACAGGCGTGGAGCTGTACTCAATGCTGGTCTCGTAGACGGGTGTGGTCTCATAGACAGGAGTGGTCTCGTAGACAGGGGTGGTCTCATAGACAGGTGTGGTCGCATAGACAAGCGTGGTCTCATAGACAGGGGTGGAGCTGTACTCAATGCTGGTCTCATAGACATAGCTCGACTGGTACACAGGGGGCAGAGGCGGATATTCAACAGTAACTGAATAATCTGGTCTGGGGATGCACTTGTTAGCGTTGGTGGCGGCAATGGCCGACAGAAGAGCAAGTGAGAGCTTCATTTTGATTAACGAATTAGGGTTTATAAACAAGAGAGCCTTTGTGGGTAGGTGTAAATAAAATTAAAAAGGGACACAAAAATGTAGGGTGTATCACAGTGCGTAAAGATGGAGAAATTTCAAATAAATAGTTGGTCAATAAAACAAACGGTGAATGTTTAGTATCTGTTTGGATAGAGAGAATTCCTTGGTCGCCGTATCCTCTTTATAAGCACGCCTGTCTCACAAAATATAATATTCACTTTTTTGTTTTGTCGCTCTGTTTCAGCATTTCTATTTTCATCCGGCTTGCATGATTCAATGCAGCGAGTGCGCAGAGCAAGTGATGCGAGAGAAAAGCGCACATATATTTTTAGAGTTCATTCACTGCGAACAATGACCCCTCAGTTTGGGGACAAATACAAAATCAATTACATTTTGGCAAATGTTATAATACAATTCCAATAAATAAATGTCCCTGCGTTCGTTCTCCCCTCACCCACCCCTGCTTCCCACAGAACAAACGCGCCTGCTTGCACAAAGCGGTACTATTTTAATACTGAAACAGCTTTGAAATGGCCGCACTTGCCTTTAATATGTTGCGCAATTCCTGTGTATTTTTAGAAATCAGAGAAAATTTGTAAAGCATTTGTCACCATAGTATACTTACAAGACAATTTTTAAATACTAAAAAAGTGAGCATGGCGATTGCTATCTATTTTCCCTACCAATGTCCCAACGGGCGCTGCGGTATTCAGTAGAATTGGCAGAACAGCGCTGCATAATTCGAAGCGGCTGCCTTCCCTGGCTCCTCGGCGAGCTATAATTTTCAAACAAAAATTTGGTGCAAAAAAATTAAATAGATGATGCGATAACTGCTTATATTAGAACACGACACGAGTCAACAATCCAACAGCCGCACCAAGACAGTCAGTCATCCGGACAACCAGACACCCCAATTTGTTAAGTATTTGGAATCACTGGACACATCAACAGCTAATTTTAGCATAGTGGGTGGTAATTACAGTACGCGTTTGGGTTGTCCTAGCCAGAAATTTCCAACTAATGACGAGAAAAAGGCGGCGTTACATGATTTTTGAGACATCAGCATCAGCGGCAGCGAGCCAGCTGATTAAAATAAATGTACCAAAAGCAGGGTTCCAGCCAGTAATAGCACGCAGCGCATTGCTGCAAATTGCGTTTTTTGGGACTTGCAAGGCAAACAAAGACTAAAAAGAATAGTGCAAGAAATGTGGATGCAGCAGAATAGAAATATGATATTTCTAAAAATAGGTGCCGCCAGCTGCTGAGGCACAGAACAGCATATGAGTTTTCACTATTTCTGTATCTGTCAACATTACCAATTACATTCCTACTTGTCGCTCGCAATACCGGCATAGAACAAAAAATTGGCACAGCACAAAATATGACAATACAGCCAAGGATAGAGATGCGAAAAAACAATGCACTATGAAAATATGAAATGTGCTTACCATTGTCGCCTTGGTGACACGCTTGCGCTGGGTTCCGGCCTGAAGCTTCAGCTCGCCCAATATATTACGCTGCTCCTAAATGTTCACAAACAGATACAAACCATTTTATACAGTCGTTGAGATACATGGAATTAAACAATGATGTCTTGACCTCATTAAATGCAATATCAAGTGCATAAAATGCGCGGGTCATTTTTTACGAGTCAGTCTGCGCCAAGCCACAATGAACCCATCGGACCGAAAGAAAAAAAGAAAGAAAAAAGATATCTTACTGTAGGTAGAATATCGACGGCCTCGGTCCCGGAATAACATTCGCCGCCATGAAGTGCCGCGACCATGTTGGCGAGTGAGCAGTCCCTACACAAAAAAATAATTGCCATGGAGTTATGAGCACGACACGTAGAAGTAGTGCGGTACTATCTGACTGTTAGTAAGCAGGAGCTGAAGCATAAAATAACAATACAATACAAAACGACACAACAGCGATCCATGATCCGACGTGGGAACCCGTACTGTCGCCTCAATATCCCTAAAAGAAACCTACATTTTCCGCTCAAGGGCCTCTGCTGTCTTGACCTCGGTGCCGATGACATCCCGCGCATTACGACCAAGTACGAGGCTGGTTTTTGCATCGGCCAACAACGCATCCCAGCTTGTGAATACAGCACCATCGCTGAGCCACGATTCTTGATTCTGCACTCGCAACTGGTTCTGCCGCATTTCGACATCACCATCATCGCCAACGTCCACGTTCAAGCCACAGCCACTCGAATCCGCCGATGACGTTAACATCGGCCTGAGCAGCTCTGACACTGACGCAATTTTCTTAGCGCTCGCCAAACCGGCTGTTGACTGCGATAGCATAAGGACCGCCTGGTTTGCCCTGCTCGACATGGACAACAGCCGCTTGAGCGACAGCGCCAAATGGTCGTCTGGGTGGATAACCTGCCGACCACTCGGCTCCACAGCTCCTACTCTTTCGAGATCAGTCTACAGTTCGTACAGACATAACGCGAACCAAACATGGATTTAATGATCTACCAAATTCAATGAGGGAGGGTATGGCATATTGAAAAATAATGCAGCATTGCGTGCCCTCGCCATACTTACCTTCTGCTTTTCGTTGTCTGCGTTGTCGCGATCTATGCTGGCAGATACTGTGCTCCACAGCTCCGACCACCCATCAAGCATATCGCGCTCGTTCACAAGCGTGCCCAGTATATGCTCGACAGAGTGGTGCTGCGAGTCCAAGCTCTGTGCTATTGACTCCAACTTTCTGCTGAGCTGATCTGACTGGCTTTGGGCCAGCGCGTTGTGGCTTTCATTCAGCAGATCCAGTGCTCGCCTGTGATCGGCCGGAACAGCTGTGCTAAAAGTGTCTGCCTGAGCATTCTGCGCCAGCTCTTGCGCGCGCTCGTTAATGATTCGATCAATGTCAAAGCCGGATGTTTCGCTTGCAGTCAGCTGTTGGCAACGGTGCAAGAGATTGCTGCGGTTGTTTTGACTCTGCGCCCGACCTACCTCTTCTCCAATTGCCCTGACAAGCTCACACTCGACTTTTAGTTTCAGCTTGGCCTTGGCCAGGTCCAACGCACTGGCACCGACACGCGCATGCTCTGCAGTCGCAAGATGCAGCAGCTCGGGGACGCTATTTGCGGCAAACGGCCGAAACTCTTTCCAAGGCGAAGGTAGTTCGTTGGTCCTTCTCAAGTGCAAGGCAACTTGCTCTCCGACAACCTTAAAAATCCCCTGCATTGCTGCGCCCAGCTGGTCTATTGCCTCGAGACTCTGATAATGGAATCGGGTGTGTCCCTTTGAGTTCTTGGGTGCGTCCACTTTTAGCTGCGCCATGAGTGCTTTTGCCGCTAGCGATGCCTCGTCCAATTGGCCCAAGTGCATTGTCAGCAGGCGTGCCAGCTCAGAATCAGTCGAAGTAGCCGCTCGTGTCAGTGCTTCTTCCTCCGCCCTTAGCTCTGCCAGCTCGTGCGCCATTGAGTCTGCCCTGCTAGTCAAAACTGCGTTCTGCCCGCGCAAAATCTCTGCATGCTTCTCCAGGCGCGCTACGTTCTTCTGCACCTTGTCCTTGCGCATTCGCATTTCAAATGCAGGCGCGCCGCTTTGGGCAATACTATCGGTGCTAAATTGTGAGTTGCCAGTGCGTACAGGTTCATTCAGCAGCAGCCGATGCTGCTGTGGCTGCTGGTTTGGGTCCGAGTTGTGATAATTGGTGCGCTCAAGATACTCCATCAGCTCTAGCTCGTCATCAGTGAGTCCGTTCTTTGCAGCGGTAATGTTGTCGGCCAGCCAGCGTAAAAGCCCAGTCTTATCCGCTGACTCGTGGAATGCCCAAGAAATGCTAGACGCGTTTGGTTGCCGCTTCCCAGTCTTTGCCTTCCCTGTGTTGTTACTGCTAGTGTTCTGAACGCCAAGTGTGTCCAGCAGCGTTAGCAACCGCTGTGCTGCTTGCTCTGCCGTCAAATTGTCGTTCATTTGGGCTGAGATTTGCGTGTGTAATTGTAAATATAAATGAAATTGAAATCGAAAAGGAAACAAAAAAGTTGAAAAATAAAGCCAAGTTGAAAATATCACAAAAACACGAAATACATGAGAAAAATATTGAGTCGGGGCTGATCGCTGGTTTATTTTTTTACTTCACTTATCGCTTGCAAAGCAGAGTCCGAATACAACTGACCGCGCTGCAATTGTCAGTCTGATATGTTTGGCCTGCTTCTTTGGTAATATTTTTTAAGTTTGAATGGCATACTGTTACTATCAACTAAATAAAAATGAAACAATAACCATTTTTATCTTCTGCTTAATAGTACGCCCATGTCAGGATATATGGGGCCTTCGGGGAAATCAAAGTAGCAAATGTCTGAGGGTCCTGCTCAATGGTTGTTGGTGGCGGAGGCACGTTAGCATAAAAGTTGCTGAGCATAGTGTCTATCTCGTTCAGCGCGGCTGTGCTCGTACTAGAATAATCTGGATACTGAGACAAGATTACATCACTGTCTGTATTTTCCATTTCACTTGTTTCCGAGTCCGTTGTCATCAATTTCGGTGCGGAAGATGTCAGGTCGGAATAGCTTTGAACCACAGTAGTAGCACTAGTCGAGGACGACGGTTCATGGTAAGTGGGTACCGCAATAGCATATGCTTCTGAGAAATAAATATTGTTGGGTGGTTCCTGGTCAAATAAGCTGGAGTATAATAAAGCAGTTGTCGGCGAAGTGCCATCAATTGTGCTTGTTTGCAGAGATTCTGTTGTTTCTACAGAAGGATCGGCAGCTGTAGTATAGCTGTTGGAAGCAAAACCAGCGTGTGTGTCGCTAGAGCCACCTCCATAGTCCGACGAATTGGTATTGCTGCTTGTGCTGCCAGAAACAAACTGCGAAGATGACTTGTATGAGTATACATCACCACTGTGCCTGGGCGGCGGCATCGACGTGCATGAAGATGTGATAGCATCAAAACTTTTTTCTTGGCTTGTGGATGGCACTTTTGAATAATAATAATGAGTCGCGCTTGACGACAATTCATCCGCACATGTGGCCACATCAGGTACAGGAGCGGAAGGTGCAATTAACGCAAATGGAACTGCTGATGCCTGAATCAGGCCCATGGCTGAATAAACGGCGCCAGAAATGCGCTTTTTCGCCTCGACTGAGAGTGTGGCGACAATGATGGCGAGTATAAGCTTCATAATTAATGGTGTTGTTTGTGGCTTTAAGATAGACAAATGATGGATATAGGATATAAAATGTTTTGACAAATGCCAGGGAAAATGCAATACAATTTGGATACTGAGTATTGTTGAGATTTTGCAGCGCACAGCGCAATGAGTCCTTTTAAATGTTTTTTGCTGAGAAAAGTATTTGCGCAGTTTTAAGCAAATTTTATTGTTTTTATTTGCAAAATAGCAAAGCTAATGGACACAATACATGTGTATTGTCATTAAAACAAACTAATAGGATTTAATGTTATAGAAATATATCGTATTCAGCCATTGTCACCTGGTAGTGAAAATGCCAAAGATCACAACTCGGCTTTCTGCGTATTTTTATTAATAACATTTCCAAAATAAGCAAAGCATGAATACATGTTGATGCAAAGTGGCACTCTTTGTGCTTTCTGGCAAACACACAACAAAGAAAGTGCTGCACATTATTTTGCTGGGATATCATTTAAATTCAGGCTTTAAGACCACACACAGACTCAGTAATACAGGTTTTACTCCCCCCCTCTTTTTTTGGGAAGCCTTTTGTTACACTGAAAAAAATCCTTTCCGAAAAAACCCTTGATTTCTGGGAAATGCATAGATGATGGTCCTCATGGTCTGAATTAAAAAAAACCAAAACAAACATAAAGTTTATGAAATTAACGTTTATTAGTCAAAAATAAAAATTCCAATACACAATTAAATAATATTGAAGAAGAGAAAGCGCACCCTTTGGCCTCGAGACGATCAAAATATATCCGAGACCACCATCAAGCAATTGGTCTGGTCGCTATCATATCAATTCCTAATTAGAAGGGGACCTGGGGAGCGGTAATGGTGGGGAGATCGACGCTGGGCTCATCGGAGGTGGTGGGCTCATCGGAGGTGGTGGGCTCATCGGAGGTGGTGGGCTCATCGGAGGTGGTGGGCTCATCGGAGGTGGTGGGCTCATCGGAGGTGGTGGGCTCATCGGAGGTGGTGGGCTCCTCGGAGGTGGTGGGCTCATCGGAGGTGGTGGGCTCATCGGAGGTGGTGGGCTCCTCGAAGGTGGTGGACTCCTCGGAGGTGGTGGACTCCTCGGTGGTGGACTCCTCGGTGGTGGACTCCTCGGTGGTGGACTCCTCGGTGGTGGACTCCTCAGTGGTGGACTCCTCGGTGGTAGACTCATCGGTAATGACAGGGGCTGAGGAAGTGGGGGTAACTGTGTCGTAGGTGGGAACGACGATGTCGGTGGGGCGGGGGATGCACTTGACGGGGGCATCAGCCAGGGCAACAACGGCCAGAGCGGCGAAAGCGGCGACAATTGAGAACTTCATTGTAGAATTTGATGAATGGCGGCGGGGGGTAGGGAGAGGATAATAATAATAATAAAAATGGAACAAAAAAGTCTTGCGAGAAAAAAGAAAAAGATGAAGTGCTTTATTTCCTTCTGGCCGTGTGGTGTTCTTTAAATAACATTTCTTGTATCCATATCAGTCTGCATCCAAAGCACACAATTCCGCCCACACACCCCCAAAAGCACACAAAGTGGTGTTTAGAAGGGAGAGGATGCCCAGAGGAAAAAAAACCATAGAAATGTAAATACAATGACGATCTTTTATTTGTGCACTTTAAAGGGACAAAAAATGGAACAAAGAAACCAACCAAATGCTGACCCACCTTTCAAAGCGGAGGCTTCCAAAAATAAACCTGCTATTTCCCAATTGGCTTATAATGAAAGATTGCTAATAGCGTCCATCCACACAATTGCAGCGCTGCCATCACATGTAGATATTTTTCTATTTATACTGAGATGAGCGAATAATGTCTTTGTAAAGGGATCAGCTGAGTCAGCGCCAAAAGTTTGTTTCGCTTCGAAAGCTCCACAGATAATTAAGCCATAGATGAGCAGCGACACATTCATATTAGGTTGCATATGTTTACAGTGGCTCCCCGCGGCTCATACTGATATCATGTTGGGTAGCAGTCGCCTATACGCAATTTTGAACCAGAGTAAGTGCGCGCTACTTTTTTTGTCATCATTCTGTCATGGATCGCCTTGTTTACAATAGTTTTGACGTTCTCATAATGCACAGTGGAAGTGAATATTTATCTTGCATGTGCTGGTGGTATTGCCTACCAAATAACAACAGAGAGCACATGCTGCTTATATTTTTATCAAGCGATGCAACAAAAAAATCGAGTCTCTCGTTAGTATACTATTGAGAAACAAAATATGTTCAGTTCTTTAAACGCAAAAAAATATTTATTCATATATAGACAAGTTAATGCATGTGCTATTTGTTCGACGTGATAAAAATAAAACAGACGAAAATAATTAAAAAAAATGAAGCAGAATAGTGCGATATTCAAGCACTACATCCCGTCGCCCCAACAGCCGCTGCCGCTGCCAGTGTGGTGACTGGCATTTATCTGGTAGACGCACACATTGTTCACATCGAGTGAGCGCTGCTGCTGCTGGTTCTGCTGATTAGACCCAGGGTTTGCGTTTTGCATGAATTGCCGAGAGTTTGACACATTTAAATCATCTGCAAACGGCGACGCAAGGGTATTGTAGTCGCTGCCAGGTGTGCCAAAGTATGCCCCCGTTGACGATACCACCTTGCTGGAAGCAGAGCCCGCGGCGTCCTCAACAACGTGCGGAACAAGCATCATTGGGTCGTAGCAACTGGCAGAAGCAGCGCCCGGCGGCTGCGCAAAGTGGTCAAACGCCGGGGCTGGGTGCGCAGACAAGTTGTAATGTCTTGAGGTTGACATGGGCAATGGCTGGACAAACTGGGCCAGCATGTCGGGGCTGCCCAGCATTGTACCCAACGACTGCATCGCCATGTCGTCCCACACGGGCATTGCGGCATTGCCGCCCTGTGGGTATATAGTCACAGAAGCAGACGAAGAAGACGATAGCTGCGCCGATGAGCTACCTTTTGCTCCAGTAACATTGCTCGCAAAGTTTGCTGCTCCCGACGTGTCTACTCTCATAGAAGCAGTTGCGACAAGGTTGGCAGCAGCCATGACGGCTTGCGGATTGGGCGAGTGCACGTCAGAAATCTGGTCACTGGAAATGTTCAGCGTACTGCCAACCGGCGTAGACAACATGGCTTGCTGCATCTGGTGCTGGAGATCAGTGCTCGAAAAGTCCCAGAACGTAGGTGATCCGGTCATTGTGCTGCTGGGCAGCAGCGTGTTGGCATCAATGCCCGCGGCGGCAGCGGCGACAGTGGCCACTGAAAGTGCGTTCAAGCACCCGGTGCTCACATTACTGCAGTCAGCTCCCAAAAAAGACATATCGGGCTGAAGGCTCATTGTGGGCGTGTTTCCAGAAGCTATAAATGCAGCATCGCTGAGTGGAGAAAAGAGATGCATGTTGTCGTTCGGCGTGCCACTGCTAGCGGCAATGCCATTTTGATACTGTTGCTGCTGCTGTTGCTGGCCGACGTTATCAAATGGAAGACCACAATACGGCGAATTGGGAAGTGACATGGACATGGCAGCCATATCACCAGTCGATGGAAACGAGTGGAAATTGCGCGGCTGTGGTGAGAGAAACTGATTGTCATACCGAGAAAGCACCGTCAAATTACCCAGGTTGTTGCTGTTGTTGCTGCTGCTGCTGTTGTTGTTATTGCAATTGTTGGCGCGACCTGAGAACCCTGGTGCTCCTATGTTTCCTCGTGAGGGCTGTCGAATCAACAAGTTTGCAGCGGCAGCTGCGGCCGCAGCAGCAGCAATAGCGGTACTGTTGCTACTCACAAAGTTAGAAGTCGCGGGCGCTGCAGCAACAAGACTTGTCGACAAAACATTTTTTTGCGGCCGGCGGTAGGGCGAGGCGTTGCCACTGCTGCTCGCATAGCCATTATTATTGCTGGCGCCTCCCATTGAGGAAATGGCGCTGGCGCTGGTGCGCCCTCGATTTGAACGCGAAGACGAAGGGTTGCGTCGCCGAGATGCGCCAATATTTGGGTCGTCGGAAATCCGCCGCGGATTAACCGGTGTGGCAACGCCAGTGGGCCCGGTATGAGAAGGGATACCGTCGAAAAAACCGTGGCAGAACAGCCTCAATCCGTAGAGCTCAACCATGCCGGTCAGCAGCTTCTCCGTGTCCTGGTGCATCACACTCAGCAGCGTGTCGCGAGCCACGAGGGCCGGCTGCCAGACCGGGCGCGGGTTGGCAGGTTTAATTGTTGGCGCCCACTCCTCGTCACGCATCATCTCAAAAAAGTGACCGCGAAGCCGGGCAAAAAATGTGTAGCGAATGCCACTCTGCAAGTACGCAAAAGCAACTCGACCAGCATTGCTGTCCTCCAACCTCTGCCGGGGTCCCGACGATGATTCATGCCGCATGTTCAGTCTTACGTACTCGTGCCACATACCTTCGGAGCCAGCGACCATGCGTGCAAACATGGCGTCGTTGTGCGGAAACCCGCCAAAGCGCTGAGAGTTGCTGCCATGACTCACCAAAAGTGACAGCGACATTTGTGACTGAGTCAGTCGGTCTGTCAACCAACACAAAGAGAGAATCGTAAACTGGTCATTGTCATCAACCAACTCCAGGAATTCCAGCAGGCTGTCAGCCAGGGCATTCCAAGTGAATCCGCGCACCGAACGAGCGCGCCCCACGGCCATCTCAATGTTGGCGGCATCGAAAGACCCAGAAAACGCTGGCACCATAGTCAACGGCATGACAGCGGTGGAGTTGGAAACGTGCTCCGGCACAAGAGTCAGCAGATGCTGGGCCAGAAACCCTGCCTCCTGCTTTTGCCAGTCATCCTTGTTGACGTAGCCCAAGCCTAGCGACACCCAGCGGTTGCGTTGGCTGAGAAACTTGTGCCACGAGTGCCCGACCACAGCCATCAGCTGCAAGCTGTCGTGAGACGTGTCATCGGTGGCATCGCTATGAAAATCCGACCCAAAGTCTGCCATCACCACCGGGCTGTGCGTGTGGATCGCCGAGTCAGACAGCGGCTGCGACGCTGGCGCTGGCAAGCCCAGCATTGGCAACATTTGATCGTGCTTGTTGTCGGTGGAAACAGCCGAGGCGCGGCCGCGCTTTTTAAACTGGGCTTTTCCTTTGCTGCCAGCATGTGACTGCTCGCTTCCTACATCGGCCGTGACACCCATTGCACTCTGCAGCTCGTGGCTTGACGCAAACCTCTTGTAAGCATCAACGGATGTATCCCAAAGGTTCGGTGCCTGGCGGCGAAAAATGTCACAGTAATAGTTGACGCTTTTGACCGATACGGCGCCGCCGCCACCGCCGCCACCTTTGGAATTGGCTCCTATAGAATCGCCGATATACGTTGAGGCCCCGTGATAGTGTGTATTAATGTAGCTATAGCTGTTCATATCTCCATCGGCCATCTGCACTGCTCCTACCGTCACATCGTACTCCTCAGTGGCCTCTGGGGCATCAGGAGCAAAAATGCTGTGGACGCTTTCGCGGGTCTTTGGGTTTGTCAGACACTTTTCAATCCGTTTCAAAGTGCGGGCATCCGTGGTCGGCGCGGCCCACTGCAGCAGGTAGCTATGCGGAGTGAAGAACCGCTGCCGTAGGTTTTGAACCTTGTTGTACAGCTCGCGCGGCGGCCTGTCAAATGATAGTTTTTGAAACCGGGCGTCTGGTGCGTGGCTCTTGCTGTAGGCTGCAGTTGAATAGTCTGAGGTGATAAACTCGCTGACCAAAATCTCCATCACTTCGCGCGTCTCGGGCTCGGTCCAGTTGTTACGCAGCCACGACCCGCCGCGCCCTGTTTGAGCCAAGCCTGAGTCTGAAGCTGAGGTTGGGGATAGAGCCGAAGATACCTGGCTGTGAGCGGGCTTTCTGTTGTTGTTTGACATGTCCAACCGTGCTGTCAAATGTGTGTGGTAGAGTTTCTGGCCGAGCTGGCAATCCAATTAATTAAGAGTTGGAGTATATTACTGATGTGCGCGTGTTAATGAGGAATTGGGGGTGTAGAGAAAGGGTCTGTTTAATCGAATGACTATAAAAGGGTGGGGGGTTCCTGTAAACAAACAGGCAATAGCAACAAAAACCGGAAGATAATTAGCCGAATATATAAATGTAAGGGTAGTGCAAAGTGGATTAACAAAAATAGGCATAAAAAGAATCAATAGCAAACAAAATTAAAAATAAAAAAGCAAAAAAAAGTGCACTGTGTTATTCCAAAAAAAATAATCTAAAAGAAAGAAAGAGAAAAAATGTGTGGATGGGTGTGTATGTTTGTATTTGTGTTGTCGGAAGTGGTCACTTGCACATTGGCTGTATATGAGGAAATAGGAAAAAAAAGTGGGTGAATTAAAAGGATTCCAAAAATAACAAACAAATAATTGAATACCAGCTATATTTAAATGCAGCTGGCTGGTCGGATGTAAACGTCGATTATGCTCGTGCGAGGTAGTGAGCGAGCGCATTTTAGAACAATATGTTCAAAATTGTGCTTCATTTGCTTCCCAGTAAATAGCGCTGAAACCACCTCTCTGAAATTTACCAACTAGCACTGACCGGCTGCTGAATTATCTGGTTAACCGGCTGACAAGGCAGCACAGAGCGTGGTAAGTTTAACAGGACAGCAGCAGCAGCAGCAGCAGCAAAATAAAAAATGGGATTGTGACAGTGGGTACAGTAGGCACTTTGTTGACCCTACTCCTCAATGTAACATTTAAACAAAATCCCATCTAAGTGCAATAAAAATGCCAGAAGAAGCAGGGAATTAAAGGGGCGATGAAGAACAATTGAATATTTTCTTTTCTTTTTTTGCCAAGATATGCGGCTGTTGTGCTGTTTTTTATTGCTTCTGCAATGCTCTGTTTATGTTTTTCTGTTTGAAAGTAGCATGTTGCTAATTAGGCCGATTGATACATATGCGATTCTGCACATTTTCTGGTCCGGAGAAGCGTGCAGATATTAAAAACGGGGGTCAAAAGCTGCTTTGTTATGCATACTGGGTTCTTGTCGCGCTCTTACAAAATCAAAAAAATGACAGCGAGTTGAAAAATAATAAAAGTCCGCGAGGAGTGCCAACTTCATAGGTCAGCAAATACTCATATGGTGTAAAATGCGTGTGAATATGAGTGTGTGTGTAAGGGATGTAGGCTTCAATGAAGGACTGTGGTGGTGCAAATGGAAAGAAAGAAATTATAAAAGGCCCCAAGATACAAGAGTAATTATAAAAACATGTAATCCCAAATTGCTCTGCTGTGCGAGTGGACAATGTTCCAAGTGCTTAGTTTGGGTGCTGTTTGCTGATATTATGTTCCAAAGTTTTGAATGGTAGCTTCTTTGTCTATATTTTTGGTATTAACAATGACCATACAGATAAAGCAAGAAATAGGGTATAATGACATTTTGCAAGTGCGCCCAAGGTAGCACTGCTGTTCTTCGACGCCTCTAATATAAGCCAATAGGCGGCGAAAGCCAGGGAATTGGAGCTTTCAAACGCAAGCAATGGCAATAGAGGATATAATCAAAAAGTAATGTGGAGGGGGGTGGGGTGGCGAGGGGAACGCAAGGCAGGGCAAAAAAGGTGAAGTGAAGCTATTGTCGATAAATAATATTTATCTGGCGTCGATGGCTTACAATTTATTCGGATCCCGGATGCAATTCGAGGCTAAACACGTAACGGCAATGATAGCGGCAGACAAACGGTGCGATACTAATTAGAAGCGGCGTGAATATGACCGAAATCGAGCTCAAAGGTGCTGGGCTAAGCCAATTCCGATATAAATGAGCGTGGTGTTGAGTGGGAAACTTGCCGCGTGCAATTCGGCTTTTGTTGGCGGTGCTTGAATAAAAATTAAATAAAAATGGAAGATGGAGAAAGATAACAAAAGATGGAGGGTTATTTTTTGAAAAGAAATGTGGAAAAGTGAATCCATGCGATGACAGCGCGCAGCCTATGTGCTATTTATTCAGACTGGCATAGGATTTTGGATCCCTGTTTATTACACTGAGAACTGTGGCGGCTCGCACAACTACCATAAATTGGAATGAGCAGCAAAAAGGGGGCATGTAATGAATAGCAGGAAAGGGAGGGGCAGACAAGTGCAGCACCAGAAAATAACAGCTGGCTGGCAGTTTTCCTTCTCAATCGCTCATCCTTGCGAGTGGCAGCTCTGTTTTCGTAAAAGCGTGCGTCAGCTCCCCAACTGAACAGCTTTTTCATCTTTGTTTTTTATTCCATGCTTATTCCGATTTTTGCACGACCCCGGACGCCGGTCAAATACAAAAAAGCGAAACATACACGAACACGGCCGTTTTAGCAAAGACGTGCTTGTGTGGATGCTGCTCCCTCTTTCTAAGGGGATTTGCTGTTTAATTTTGCGCAGCCATACCCAACCACATATAGGCGAGAGGCGATAAGCAATAGGATGCGCGATGCACATGCACCGCGCATGAAGGAATTGTAAAAACAAATAACAAAAAATGTTGTGCTTCAATTAGGGCTGATCAGCCGTTTCTCTCACTGCCTTGCTGCAACTGAGAGAGAATGAATGGAAGTGAAAACCTGATTGTGCTGGGCGGGATTTATTATTATCACGCTTGAGAGAAAAATAAATCATTCAGGAATCGTGCTGCTAGAGGTTACTTTTTTCTTTGTGAGCTTTGAAGATGTTCCTGTATACGCACAACTCAAACTTGAACGGGTATCTTTTTATTGATAGGCGTGCAGCGTATCTCTTGTATGCCCCCGGATTTGCCAATCAAACCGCTCGCGCTAACAAATACAGGTTGTTGCCGGCCAATGTATGGCGAGAATACATTATGGTGGGTTTGTCCACACACGAGGTTCTCCGACGTACATATTGTTTTATATTTGTTGTATACACGGGGCATGCCTGACTCTGTGGAACAACGAGTGTGCGCATTTGACGCTACCGCTAGATATGCACTGCTTGACATCCATTACAAATGCCAAATAATGACACCACTATACCAATGTCTGTACATGAGCTCCTAATATTAGCTTGCATTCCAAAAATAGTCAAGAGTATATTGTATTGCTACACGCTGTACATGCATTGGATTTGCTCGCCAAAGACCACCCCAACAACACATTTCATGATTCTCAGGGATTTTTAAATGTTCAGTGAATCCTTGACAAATGATTTGAACCAAAAAAACATATTTCGGTGCCTAAATACCAATTTGTTTACACGAAGCAAATAAAGCAAAGCAAAAAATTGTCTGTTTACAGCTCAAATGTCAAAACATTGTTGTTGACCTGCACTTCCAACTTGAAACCGCAGAGAATTGGACAATGTCACACAGATTCTAATAACAGTTGGCTAAATTGATTGGCGTTTTAAAACATGTGAATATTTGCTGCCATTTTTGAGCGACAATAATACAGCTGAAAATAAATTTCTACCGGATTCCTTTTTTCGACCTTGTTTGCAATTTAACCAGAATCACAGCCTTGTTTTACCCCAATAAATAATATTATCCGGTCTCTCACAAAGCCCTTTTCACCTTTTTTCATGTCAATCGCTCACTCACCCGATGATTTTTTTGAATATCCCCTTTCTAAGCAGAATGAGCGTCAGAAGCAAAATATGGATGGTGACTCGGATTGAGAATTAAAAATGGAGCTGCAAGATGTGTATGTGCCAGGTTGACGATGAAAAGAAATAATATTATGTTTTGTGGATCGTCCATGTGGTGTGTCTGCAATTAATGTAGCTTCCTTTTAATCAGTTTTGCTTGTATTTGCTTGCCAAAATGTATTGTATCGGAAACCAGCTGTCAAAGAATATGTAAACAAAAATGTAGATATAAGCTGGCACTCACCTAACGCCGCTTATATGCAAAAGTTCTAAAAGATATGCATGCTCATGTTTTGCTAAAAAGTCAATTGTCTTAAGCAATAGTATGAGAATAAAACATTAGCCAAAAAACCCAGAGATAACCACCCCACTTCAACCAACAGTATCGTTTTCTATATGATGTGCGCATTTGGTTTTTTGTGGGTCATCTTATGTTTGCCCAAAGTTGGTGACCCCAATTCCAACTACCGGGCATGAACAAGCAAACTTTTAGCTGTGTCAATTGTTTCTGTCTTGTTAAAAATATTGCAATTTTATTTTTGTACAATGAATTCTTGGGGGAAAAATGGAAGCGCATTATTTACATATCTGTGCAATACACGATGAAAAATGTGGGGTGAAGAAATACTTCATTTCTCCATTTTTTGCCTGCCTAAAATAAAACTTCTTTATTGGAGGAAATGGATAAATAATTTGGGTTTAGCGCCTAAAACATGAAGTTTCTCATCAATACCTGAATTAAAAAAATTAATTTTTCATTGAACAGTTCCATAGAGCAATTCTGTAGAGCGATTCCATACGAAATTTCGGAGTTCAAGTATTTTAGATTGGTTTTTAGGGGTTTTATTTATTGGAAAATACTATAAAAAATTCTATAAAATAGCTGGTATTTAACATTCCCTGTACCTACGCCTATTCCTCAGCACCATTTTGGGCTGGAAATAGCAGGGAATCAGGGCGCTGGCCTTTGGGCTTTTGGCACTTAGACCAGTACTGGTGCTAATGTCAATGCCAATGACAGTGCTGGTGCTTATTATTGTTTTGTACGCATTGGATATAATAATCCCTCCCGAACGCAATAAAGTCGATGAGACATTTAGTTAGTTTTAGTTTAGGAAAATATATTTATATAAATTTTGGAAAATAGTCTTGTTATTCAACTTTTATTTTTATTTATTTTTATGCCTATCAGCATAGAGGCCCTTCTTGGCCTTTGTAAAATGCACTGTCCCTACTTTTGACAGTTTTGCGCAAGCATGTCATGACCGTCTACCGTGTTACAACACCCATATACAGGATCACACAGTATATCTTTTTACAAAAGCTGGATAATGAGTGATTTAATATTGTCGACTATTTAAATCAAGGTTTTTTAAAGAATGTTTCATCACCCTTCGCCTCACCGCCGAAAACAAACCATGCAGCAACATGAACAACGCAAATAGCAAACTCGTTAACAAGCACAGCCACACGTTCGTCGAGGAGACCAAGTTTGAGTATCCGGAGCTCATTAGTACGACCTATGTTACTAATTATAAGGGTACGACAATCCTCGCCGCATATAAATCTCATATATCTCAGCGCTTTAACAAGCAGTTAAAATATATGGTCGACATAACACTTGACATAAAGAAAAGAACTAAACGGCGATACAAGATACTTACAAAGGAGGGTGGCTACACCAAAAAATAAATACAACAGCATATTAGCAAGGAAATTAGAATTCCAGCAGAGCCAGGAAGCAGATCAACACCAAACAAATTTTAGATACTGTGCTTCTTGACAGAATGGAGCATTTAATTAAGAGGATTTTTGGCACCTACCCTGAGGACTACAGTTTCGGCGACAAAGGCCTTCAGTATGACTCTGTGGTCAATACAGTGAACCACATTGGGGCTTTTGAGATTTTCTGGGTTTTAACTCCCAACAAAGGTGTGCGGACGATTTCCCTTTTTTTGATGAGGACGTCTATTGTACCCAGGGTTTATGACAATTGACAAGACCATTCTTGCACGGTGTATTCTGTCCATCACAATAAACCGACTCAGAGCACTACACAAGGATAGTCTTTGCCTGAATATCAAGGTCATTGAGATTCTGCCTTTGACAAAGCTTTTAGTCAAGTCATCAGAGGAAATTTGGTCCCTATTTTGTGATATATCTTGTGGTTTTTTGTCCTTTTGATAATCGAGCGAAAACGGCCAACAAGTTCGGAGGGATCATTCGTACGGATGGGGTTGCGATTGTTGTATTACTTGAATCACCCGCAAACACACAGAGGAAGAGGATCAAAGCTGAGATGATCAAGGCTAAGAGTATTTCACAGCCTCGGAAAGGTTCTGGCAATGCTGAGAGCAATAGCAACAGCAACGACAACAGCAGCAGCAATGGTGGCAACAAAAACAGCAATGGCGTACCCCGCGGTAAGAATCATTCCACTCTCGATTAGATTGATACTTTGCCAAAACATGTCATTCATGATATTGTTGGTAAATCGGTTCTTTGTGATACAGGCCGTAGGGACATGCTCTATTGTCTGGGATATGACAGCAATTATAAAAAGGGTGAGATAATTATTTTCCGCCATACCAAAAACTCTGAGGTTAATAAACGTCATGAATACATACACCTTTCGTTGGATCCGCAAAAATGCAAAAAAAAGTCTTCAAGCTTGATCCCACAAAGTTTGCCAAGGCGGAAACAAATGGTTGGTATACATCTGTTGAGGATGCCGAGCGCACGCTCAACCACCCTGGCTTCAGTACACTTGATTGCAAGTTATATGTTGAGTACCTCCTTGAGCGCCCAAAGGGTGCTTTTGTTTTGGGAGAATATTACCACAACACGCAGATCCTCAGCAAGAGTCGGAAACATGACAATAGCAGCTCAATTGACCCCTTGCACTGCAAACTCCGCTATATTTCCTCTGTTGACAGAAAGCGCGCCGACGTCAAACTCTCAATCTTTGCGTGCAAAATTTGAATCAAATGCAGTCCTTATTCTTGGTAATTGGACCCAGGCATGATCCGTCATCACGAGCCAATTCGTGGGAAGGGGCTGCGGGAAATGATAATAGGCCAGTGATTCATTGTCTACTTGATTGGCGAGTATTGCACCTCAACATTTTTCCTGGCGTGCGAGAGCAGGATGGAGAAATTTAACAAAATTGATGATTCTCGTTTGAAGAATCCCAAGCACAAGCACCACGTCGCAATGGCAGCAGCAACAGAATGGTCAGCAGCAGCAGAACCAGGTAGCCGCAACAGACATAAATATAATTCCAGCAGTAAAAAACCTCGCCAAATTTTATGCTACAGCTTACTCCAGTGCACAATGGAAAACTGCCTGCATACCTTCAGGGCCAACGGAACCAAGATCAAGGATGGCGAAAAAGTATCATCAGCCAGATGAAAGTGGAATCGTGACACGGCTGCAGTGCTAAACTTTCGCATAATCCTTGATGCCCTGCTTACAGGTGAGCTTCCTCCCCCGTTTCTTGCACAAAAAGGCATCGTCAGAGTCGGCTGGAGCCGAGTCAACAGCGACACCCGAGACTTTGCTCAAGCCGAAACCCAAGCCCAAGCGTGTCCGCAAGAAACCATCTTCCCCTGCCTTTTCTCTTCAAAAGAAGCAGCGAACTTATTAATATCGTCAATCATAGTGGTCTATTGCCACTAACTTTTAAACACTTTATTTGGGGGAAGGATGCCGTTTTGAAGTGTATTTGTAGCCTCATTATTTTCTTATAGTGTACCATGCACAACATAATACCTGCTTATGCAAGGCAGCCATTTTCTATACTACTTTTGACTCAGCGAAATTAAAGTTTCATTTGTAAATAAAATATAAAACAGGAATTTCTATTTTTTGTGCAATTAGCAATGGTTAGTTCAAACAATAGTGGTGGACATTTTACAAACAGCACTATGATTTCCGTATTTATTAAATTGTCTGTTTGTGCTTCTGTATGGAAAATATATATATATATATAATTTGCAATGCACGAAACAAAGTAGAACGGCTGCGTCAAATATATTTTACTTGATTATAATTTGAAGCAGCCATAAGTAAAATTTTTGTTTTTTAATCTGATCGACAAATAAATCACAGTTGGTGTCCAAATTTACAATAAACCAATGTTGGCATATATTTAGGGTTAGTAGTTTTTTTTTACAGCCAACTGAAAATAAAACAAAAAGCGACTGAATTATCAAGCTCAAAGACAGCGTGTTCTTTTGTTTTCTACAAGTACAACTCACAAGTGAGCTTCATTGCGCAAATATCTTTCTTTATGCAGCACATCTTAAAGATTGACGATTATAAAACAGGCAATGATTTGTTTGCGCAATATTCTTTGGTTTCCAATTTCACATTTGGCTGGTAAGAAAATTAAATAGTTTCTTTTTCTTTTTCGAGTCCAAAATCATGCATTGCCGCAAAACAACGTCTATTTCTGTTTGCCCTTCATATTTGGTGCCGTATTTAGTTTTAGCTATTTTTATAATCCAAAGGCACGCACGCAGAAATGACCATAAAAAGAGAGGAGTCTTGACACCAATATTATTTATTATTATATGTTTATTATAATTTTTATATCTTCCAAAGACGAATGGAAATACCAACCAAAAATAATATGCCATTTGCGCTCAGTAAATAGAAATCATACCTCTACGATGCAACATATACATACATTTAGCCCGATTGTTTGCTTGAATTGTTGAATATAAATCCGCTGTGGCCGCCCGCCTGAAACATATGTGATTCTGTCATCTTATTTTATTTTATCTCATCTCACTTCATTTATTCATATTTATTACTCTTGCATTGTTATCCTGCATTTTTCATTTATTTATTGCATATTTCATTTTTCATAGCCTTTTCACCCACTGCATCAACACGCGTTTAATTCACTCTGACAATGTCGTCGATTCTCAATCCCAAGCAAATGCTCACCGAAAGCACAAAGTTTAGAATTCTCTGTCTCATGTTCAAGCACTTCTCGCTCGAGAACAACAGCATCTCTGCACTGGCCAATCCAGCAAGCGCCTCGTTCAACTTACTTATGGGCAGTGTTATTGCACACCAGCCAGACCTACGCACTGCTGGCGATTCCCTCAACCCCGTGCTTGAGTCGTTTGTCAGCAACCAGAACTCGCGAATTTTTTGCGCGCTTACTGACCTGCACGAGTGGTACACATCGGGCATGAGCTACGGGATTCTTCAACTGACGACTAAACATATCAACAGCATATTTAAGCGCCCGCCTTATGAGGTCCGTCCGTACACCCGAGAGCTCACCTATGCGCAGCGCTTGGCCATGATCTACCACGTATGCAATCCCAAGCCCTGGAATGTGTTGGTCCAGGCCTACGAGGCGCTGTACAAAAGCCAGTTTGATAAGATTTGGCCAGATAAGTCCAAGTTTATGCTGGACCCAAGCTGCATATCTCTAGTGCCGTCCGACATCTACAAGATTATCCACGAGTGCATATCTACCGGGTTTTCACCACAACCCCTGGCGCCTGAACACAATTTTGCCATCACTGCGCCCAGCCATACCCTTGCCAAGGGCCAAGTGAGGCAAGGTAAAGTGGCCAAGCAGCGCTCAATGTCAACGACAATCAACAGCAAGATGTCTAGGGATGCAATTAGGTTGGCTATTGGCAAGCCGCGCAGTACATCGTTTGCAAATAGCTCAGGGTGCGGCTCGAAAATGTTCCTTGCCTCCAACATGGTCTCAGAAATGCCGCTGTTGGCCAGCAGTTTTTCAAATCTTGCTTCCGAGCTTTCCAACTCGGATATTTCCGCTGCAAACTCTACTAATGATGCCGCTGCCGCCGCCTCCATCTCCTCTGCCAGCAACAACACGCCACCATACAACACCAGCTGGATAGGCTCGGCGGGCATGTTTCAGCTGCCTGCAAACAATACCGATAGAGGTGCCGCTGCCAGCTACATCTCCCTGGGACTTGGCAGCATGGCCCACCAGCCCACACCATTGTTTGACAGTACATTATACCCCAGCAGCACATATGGCTCAATAGCAGGCATGACACGCGCGTTAAGCAGCCAGACTGGAAGCCAGCCAGCAAGTCAAGAGCACAGCCAATTCTATACACCGCCCTTTGATATGGTAAATCTGAGTCAGGAGGACTTTGCTCGCGCTCTCAACTACGCGGCTGCATCTGCCGCGGCCGCTGTTTCAGCTACTTCGGCCATTCCAACATCGATGACAGTGCCCATGACAACGCCAATGTCAATGTCAATGCCAATGGCAATGGCAATGTCAACGTCTTCATTTACAATTCCTGCAAGCTCGCTTGGAGCATTTAGTGACAACTCGGCTAACTCAAGCACTCTTGGATCCGGCCCATTGTCTATCTCGTCCAGCGCGACATATATGTCCAAGGCCAGCCCCAATGGGTGCAACCCTGCATTCCAACATTCACCCTTCGTGGACTCCGCATTTGGCAGGTTGCAAGAGTGAATTAAACAGACTATATGTCTTTGTTTCATTATCTTTAACTACCCACAATAATTTTATGTTTGAACTATTTTTATATCGTATTTTACAATTATAATGCTGACGCCTTTATCGAAATACTTTAGAAAATACTTGAATTACAAAAGCATTTCAGCCAGCTTAAACTTTAACCGCCGTTTTTACTCATCGGTTCGAAATGCCTTTTCAAACGCCTGGACAAATGTCTCTGGCGCCTCGGCACCCGAGATTCCATAGCGGTCGTTGATGATGTAGAACGGAACCCCAGATACACCCAGGCGCTGGGCATGCTTGATTTTCTGCTTTACTGCATCTATGCCATCATCAGAATCCAAGTACGCCTTTGTTGTCTGGCGATCAAGCCCGGCATCCTCAGCCGCATCAAGCAGCACATCTAACTCGCCAATATCTTGCTCGAGCTCAAAGTAACGGTGCATCAGCGATTCAACAGCCCTATTCTCAGTCTCGCTGCTCTGAAGCCTGGCAAAATCAATCAAGCGATGCGAGTCCATGGTATTGGACATTTTGCCGCCAAACTTGAACGCGATGCCCTCCTCTATGCCCGCCGCCGATAAGCGCTCAAAAATGGCTGTCGCTCTGTCTCCAAACTTTTGCCGATATACCTCACCCTTATTGAGACCATTTCCCATCGCCGAGTCTAGCTGGTAGGGCATGTAGTCAATAGTTGCGCTAAAGTCAGGCCACCGCTGCTTGGCCAAGGCAATGGCCCTTTCAATCCTACGTTTGCCGACGAAACACCAGGGGCATATCGTGTCGAGAACTATGCTTATACTGATGGCGCGAGAGGTTGCCATATTGTGTGTGTATGTGTGTGTTTCAAATAAAATGTGGTTGAATTGTGATAATAATTATAATTGTAATTGTATTTTAGATTTCAAAATAATAGTAATAACGACACTTTAACAAAACAAGAGAGAGCGTGAAAATAGATCGCATTTTTATACGGGTGACAGATGCACCCGCATTTTCATTTTTGAGAGCAAGGGCAAGATTGAAACAACCAATCAGTGGCACTTACCTTTTTCTAAGCAAAGTTGTGGGGGGCCTTGTATTAATCGGCAGATGATCACAATTTTTTTCTTTGCTGACTAATTATTTCGATGCTTTCAATATTTTGTGCAAACGGTAAGCCTTGTGCATTGCACGGGGCCGTCGTCAGCAAAAAGAAAAAAATGCACTTTGCTGTGCGAATTACGACTGGAAATCAAAATGACAAAAGGGGGACGCAGTCAAGCTTACAAATGTTTGCGCCAATCGTGCTAATTCACACTCTACAGCAAAGAAATTTGTCTGGATGATGCCAAATATTTTGAAAGAACAGTCAAGCACCCATTGTGTGATGATCAAACATGTACAACAATCATACAATTTTTTTGCCGTTGATTTAATAAGCAAGTGAATGTCAATATTTTCAAAAAAAGGACAAAACCCAGGTCATGTTAATAAATAATGCAATGTGCACACGTTTCAGCACTTGGTTTTATTTTTAGACATGATTGGCCAAAAAAAGCAAGCATATATAAAAGTTTCTAATGAATCCTTATTCATATATTTATTGCTTCTTTAGAATACTTGTATGGTACTGCCAGACCTTTGCACAGGGATCCAATAATACAAGGAATATTACTTTAAATATTTTAAATTTACGAAGATTATTCGCGCTCCAGGGGCTTATATAACATGTGGTAAATGTAACGCCGATCCGCCGCACTATTCTGGTGAACAAAAACTTGAATTATTTAAGTAAATTGCTCACGATTCCGTCATTTGATGTTGAAGTGGCTAATAATATTGAATATATGCAAAATTAACAAATTGCAATCGAATAAAGGATCAGGGTACATAAATTGTTTTAATTGTTTTTTTTACGCGTATAGGGTCAACATTTGCATTGCTTAAATTACATGTGTACGTTTGTAAAAAAAATAGTTTAGATCTTGATTTAAATAAAAGGCGCTGTTTTTTTTGAGCAATACTATATTCATACTTAAAGCATATATTAAAGTGCCAGTTTGTATTTTATTTGCATTTTCACACATGTGAAAGCAAGCAGATTTTTTGCGAGGGCATAAAATAAAATACTTTTGAGTGCTTTTAAATTGACACCACTAAATGCAATTGAATAGGACTAGTGGGTGCACAAAGTACAACGTGCATTGCGCAGGATCGACCTGTCTTAAAACTAAAAAAAATGCGCACGTGTTTTGCTGCATTGCCTATATGGCAAATGACCCGCGTTCCAATAATATACGTTAAGTTGCATTTATTTAATAGTTTTATTTTATATATTTGCACAATCAATGTAAAAATAAATACTGAGGCTGAGCGCGTGCCAAATACGGACCCTTTGGTAGGGATGTGTTGCAATAGCATGTGAGCATATATGGAAAATGTATATATATATGCACACATTTTATTCACAAATAAACGTGAGCGTCTATATATCTGTGAATACGTATATGTCTAAACAAAATTTGACATTATTTTTGATTTGAAATAATAAAATGTCATCCAAAATCTGCATTTTTTGCATTTAGCACGTGTTATAAGCTCACAAATTATGTATAGGCGCTTAGTGATTTTGATGTTGGCCGATAAACTTATGCTGTTGTTATAATTTATAATTTATAATTGCTTATTTTTGACATTCGATATCAACACGTAACATGTACATGTATGTGTGCATGTGCATGTAAAGAGTCATTTATTTTGACAATAACAACCCGTTATTGTTTTTGCTTTGTATAGTTTTTTTTAATTATATATAACCAATTCCTAAAAAGAAAAAGTTCACACCGGCATCAAAAAAACATTAATTGCCGTGCATAAGGAACATACAAATGTAATCCAATGACACAACAACAAAATATGACCTTTCGGAAAGAATGTGGCCGCGCATCTCGGAAATTTCTTTTTGTATGCCATAATGAATTTCAACAAATATTATTTCCGCATTTTTATAGCAAGCTGCCGGAAAGGGAGAAGGACAAATTTGTTTCAGGTACGTTGAAAATCGCAATGCAAATGTCATTGTGCGGTGAATATCTTTTTGTATACGTCAAAATTATTGAATATTTTCTATCTGTCTGTCTGCCTGTCTGCCTGATCAGATAGGTTTATATCTGAATACCTTTCTAACATGCCATTTAGTCAGTCTCAAAAAAGAAATAACAACAATGGACATTATTTCAGCTTACTTTTTTGTTGATTTGCCAATAATGACAAATAGAGATCAACACGTTGACAAAAAAAAAACTGTCAGAGCCGCAGGAAAATACGCATATGTGCATGCGTTTGTAAGTTTTTACTCCACTATCAACTTTGCATTCTGGTCTTTTCATTTTTCTGTACCATATCCAGTTTGTATCAGTGTGCGTCCCCAAAACAGTGCAGTTTCCATTACCAAATGGGGGCGTTGCGATTATTCTATGCTGTGTCATGGAAGGGTCCGCAGTTAGTTTTTCTCACACAAATGGCTTTCATTGTTTACAGCGTTCTCACCGAGTTTATTATATTTTGACCCCATCAAATCAGTTTTTATAAGTGGAATCGGATGAAAAAGAATACAATGGAAACCAAAATGCCCGGCACCGAAATATCTACCACCCTCCCCCTCCTTTTGACCGAACAACAATAAAGAATAATTGGCGGGTATTTCCCATCTCTAAACTCCATGGTTGTTGATTTGAGTGCGCAGTTGACAAATTTCTTTGAAGGCCATTGTTCCTTTTTTAGGCGTCAAAAGAAAAATTGATCATGTATCATCACTCCGCGTTCCCCCCCCCCTCCCCTTTTTTTCTTCTGAAACGGATGTAATGTCTGATTGTGTGGTCCTGAAGAAATACATCCGAGTGAAGAAATAAAAAATTAATTGCTGTGCTTAATGCCGAAGTTTTTGTTTACATTATCATGTATTTTTTTTTACTTGTAGCCATCCTTTCTACCAATCAAAAGTGATATTCCTTGACTCTGTGAGCTGTCCACAAAAAAACCAAATGGGTTTGTTGTTGGGGGTGGCCGAGCGCGTTTGAAAAAGAGAAAAAAAGACAAATAGGAAGAACTTGGAAATGATGTGCGCAAGTTAGGCAGCAAAAAAAAATAAAATAAAAATATGTTTATTTTTGTTTGGTGATCTTGATAATATTGATTTCCACCAGTTCCATTTGTTCGTGCTTTTCTTCCTCCTTCTCCCAGCACACATACACGCTTCACCGATTGCCAACTGTCAAAACGCAGCATGTCCGATGGAGGATGTTTAAACAAAATTGACTCTTGGGGGGAGGCGCGACACAGCAAGTCAAGTTTGCTTTGTCCTGATTTCTCATTTCTCATTTATTTTCTATTTTCTATCTTCCTCTGAATCAAGCACAGTTTTGCGCCATTTTTACTATTTCGGTTTTGCGTGCTGCTCATCATGTTCAGCAAATCAGTGATCAGCTTGTCCATGATGGGCCCCCTCAGCAATGACAAGCCAAGCCAAGCACAGACACGACGCGGTCCCAAGTAAAACGCGGATCTGCTGCCTTTTAAATTACAGCAATACTAAAAAATGTTTTGCGGCGTATTTTTCCCGAGCACGGATCTTTTTTATATATGCCAGCGCAAATACAATATTTGCTGGAAAAAGATAAACCAGTGGAAAATACGAGCGGAGGCTTGCATTCCACACCCAAAGATTTATTTTTATTTTTATTTTTATTTATTTACAAAAAGAGAATAATACACGGATTTTGCTTCTTTTCCTTTTCCATGTCAGCGCCGCTGCAGGAAAAGGGGGGGAGGCGCTTGAAATTTTTGTGGGCCAAAGAGACAGGACTTTTTTTTTTGCGTTATATTGATTGCTGATCCTGAAATTGAAAAAGAGAAAAATAAATCATGTGCTGCATCTGACACTTACACCTGTTCAGCTGTACAAGCAATGTACATTCGCCTTTTTTAATTCTTGTTTTGAAGAATATAGAGGGAGAATAAAAAAAACTGAAATCAAGCAGAGCAGGGCAGAGCAGAGCAGAGCAGAGCAGGGCATAAAATGCAAGCCATGGGTATAGCAAGAAAGGAAACGCAAGGATAAAATACCCATCGACACCCCCTTCTCGCTTTGGCAAGGCCGGGTTGGCAAAAAATGCAATGCCAATTCCTTCACCCCTATGTCTTTCTTTTTTGCTGGATTAGTGGCGAATTCGTTTTCCGCTTTGAGACAGAAAACATATTAGCTCAACCCTGATGACCAAATCTGACTTTTTTGCACTCCTTGGCAAAAAACTTTTTATTTTTTTGCTCTATTCGACCTGTCACTCCATCACTAATACCTGTTGCTAATCAGACAGGAAAATAAAAAGAAAGCAGCAGATGGCGGGGGACACTTATAAATTTTCTTCATGCATCTTCAAGCAATCCTGTCCTTCCCCCCCCCCGCCAAGCTCTTTCTCCGCTTCACCCCTCCATGACCACCAACATGCAGGAATAACAAAAAGGGGGGCTTGTTTACTATACCCTCTTAGAACACCCCCCCTCTCCTCCTCCCCCTCGGCAACGTCAACCCCCCTCCCCCCTCTTCTACTTACCCTCGTCATTCTTTTTTCTACAAGTTCAGCTTGTTTTTTTGTCTCCCAGAGATTACATGACTGCAATGACGCCCAAAGAAATGGTGTTTAGAAGACATGCGCAGTGCCGGCAAAAAAAAAAGAATAGAAAAAAATAAGGAGTGCCCACGCAGCCAAATGATGGGCCAGAGGGCAAAAAAAAAGATGAAGAAAAAAGTATGATGGCGAATAGTGAGCGAACAAGAGACAGGAAACAGGATAGACAAGGAAAACACAAGGAACAAGGGTCAGGCTTGCTGCCACTGCCGCTGCTGTTGCTGCTGCTGCTGCTGCTGCTGGGTGGGTACATGTCAAGGTCCAGAAATGCATAAAACTCCAGGGACCTTTCCCGCCTCCGGTTTTTTTCTTGTCTGGAAAATTATTGTCTCTTGTCTCTTCTCTGAGTTTCCATCAATTTTTTTTTTTTGCTATTTGGTACATGTTACGTTATTCATAATAATAGTAATTATAACTCGTCTCTACTTTTATTATTATTTATTCACCCCCTTTTCGACACTATTGGCTCTATATATTTTGTTTCTTCATCTATATACCTATTTATACTCTTAACTTTTTTTGTTAGTGTGTACCGCTTACCCCCTTTTTCTCACAGCTGCGTAAATACAATAACCTTGGCAAACAAGCGCACTCGCACACAGACACACTCGCACTTACACTTACGCGGGACGTAATCGAGCATAATCACACACAATCAGTAAGTGGCGACAATTTCAACGAATCTTGTTTGGCATTTATAGGACATAGGATGCAATGTTTTTTCTTGTTATTCCAAATCACCCAGCGCATCCAAAAAAAGAAAAATGACTGCGAAGAAAGGCAGGTGGTCATGATGTTGGGAAAATGGCGGGCAGGTGGACAGTACTTAAAAAAAGAGGCAAATCCTTGACTTTTAGCCATTCTAATGACAAAAATCCTAAAGCACGCGAGCACCGCCCTCTGCCCACCATCACCATTATTTTCCAACCTATCTTGATTAATGCTTTTTTGGAGTTTCAGTTGTCTTTATGCTTATTCATTTATTTACTGGCTCAACTTATTTCTTTTTTATTCCCAAAAAGTTTCCCTCTATTTCTTTTTTTAATCGAGTCCTCGCTTGTAAATAAAATAAATGTAAAGAAAATCTATTCTTGCATCAATCTGCCTCATTTTTTCTGCCACTTTCCTTTTCATTGCTTCCCTATTCTTTCCAATTAATTTTTTTTTGCATTTTAGCTTTTGGTTGTTCATTTAGAGCAACAACTTTGGGCTTAAAGAATTTATTCCTTTATTTTTCTTTAACAGAACCCAGCTGACAGCAGCTTAAAGGTTGGGCTTGGAGATTCAAATAATACACCTGCTTTTTTGCTTTTTATCATTTCATTCTATTTTATAAAGAACTTCTTTATACTAATTAAATTTCTTCATTTTACATCCCTTTTCTTCTCCTTTTTTGCCCTAAAATGCAGTTTTTTTTATTTAGATTTATAAAATTATTGTTGTGCCCTCCTCATTCTTTTTTGTAATTGAATCTGTATCACACGTTTTCTTTTATGCCTCCAATTGTAGCCTTATTATTTTTTTATTTTGTTAAAAGCCAGCTGCCTTCACTATTTTTTATTTATTAGAATTGCCAATTTTGTTTTCTTATTTTTTTCTTTTTATTTTTATTGTGTCGTTTTAGACACATACATACACATAATTATATATAATCGACCTGAAATCCTGTTAGGACTCCTCCAAACTTTTTTGTTTCCGTTTTGTTCCAATTGCCTATTCCATTCCCTTTTTATATTTTATTTGCGATATCACATTTATTTTTGGCTTTTGCTATTAACACCTACAACTATAGAAAAGTGAACAATACTGTTTTTTTCTACACATATACCCACATCCACATATATTTTTATGACAAGTGGTTTTACACTACTGTTTGTCAATTGTTCAAAGTATTTTTACTCATAAACTCGTCACATTACAATAATGTTTCCAGTAGATTCCATTCCAGGTCGTTATTCTCAGGTTCCACTTGCACAATACCTTTCTCTGACAGGCACGATGAACGATAACTATGCAACCCTGCGTCGCAATGACGCTATTCTTGGGACACCTATAAACCGCATCAGGCTAGATAACCCGTCTCTCAGCAAAAGCGGCAATGAAAAGTATGGTCTCAATGACATGTCAAGAAGCCACCCCACTCTGCAACCTCTGGGCCTCGGTGGCTCAACTTTTATTCATATAAACGAGTCCAAAAAACATCATCGTCCTAGAACCAGTTCCGGTGCCAGCTCCAACCCCTATTCACTGCCAGCACTTTCCCACCGCCAATCGGCGTCAGCGTACCCTCTGCCGGGTCTTGCGCACACTCTGCAGGCACCTGCCTACCCTCTTCCAGCACCTGCCTATATGCCATATCCAAGCCGCAAAAGCATGCAGTCCCCGAGCATGCAAGGCGGGTACTCCTCAGGGAAAAACTCACCCACTGACACCCTAACAAACACAACAGCAGCAGTATCTTTGTCGGGTTACGATAAAAGTATGTCATCGCATAAACGGTCGAGAAACGCGTGGCCAGCGGACAAGACGCGTCAAATAATGAATGTTCTTTTGGACGAGTTCCTTGTTGACCCCTCCTTCCGCACAACTATTTACCGCAGCCGCGAAGAGCGTGACCACCGGTTTACCCCCTCTGGCCGCAGCATCTTGCAGGAGTACAATAAGATACAGAATCTCCGTCGTCGGTTTTTTATTCCGCTGAGTTATCTCTTACAATGGGACCAGTTGCGCAACATGCCCTTGTCCTCACTGTCGGGAACGGTGGATGGTAGGAGCCGGCAAAAGTTGGGCATTGAGAAGAAAATGTCCAAGGAGTTGGAGCTCAAACGCCTAAAGCTTATTTTTGGTATGCAAGACAGGAATGCTTCTTTTTCTTCTTCTTCTTCCTTGTCGGGGATGGGGGATGAGCAGGAGTCGGATAATGAGCAGGAGCAGGAGGCCGATACGGATAATAGAAAGCCGGTTTTCGAGCTGGATATCTTTGTTACAGAGCTGAAGCTGAGAGACCCACTTCTGTGGGCACGCGGATATGCGGCATTCCAGCTGTGGACATCACGCAAGTCCTCTATTAATTTTATCCTCAACCATTGAGTTGAACATTTTTTAATCAGTGTTTTCTCCACCACATCCATCCACACACCTCTCCAATCTATTTTATGTACATTTTATTTTATTTTATGTTTATTCATTACAGTTTCTAGTTCTTTATTTTTTAAGATTATTATATATATTATTTAATATAACATGCCATGGCACGTTATGGCACTTTAAATACACATGTACAAATGTTTTAAATACGCTTGTTTGTTTGCTTGTTTGTATGAATAAACAGGGAAATTGATGGAGAGGTGGCGTAAAATATATATATATATATATAATTTTGACACTGAGTTAATTAGTACTTTAATATGCAGCCACACTGTTATTTCTCCATTTGTTTTGTTTTCCTCCACTATTCCAAAAAAATAGTACTTGCAATGGTGTACTCGAATAGGCTTTCTTTTATGTATACCATTGTACATTGTACAAACAATAAGAAAAATGAAAAGTACTTTGGATATATATATATAATTTTGCCAAGAAAATTGAATAATGTCTTGGGTTCATTGCCAAAATAATATATTTATTTATTTGCTCCACATACATGTGCAGTTTATTTTTCATTTAGTCTTTTCTTTTATTAACTTATATAAAGAAAACGACGCAATGGTGTGTGTGTGTGCGTTCGTGTTTGTGTTTTGTATGATTTGTAAAAAAATTCTAAATAGTTGAAAAAGAGACGTAAAAAAAAAGAGGAAGGGGGAAGATAAAATTTTTTAAATAATGTTAGCACTATACTTGCGTGGTCTTCTCCGAGCACCAATAGCAGTTCTCAAGGGAACAACAACAAGGGGTGTGCAAGAAGCCCTAAACAGCCTCAGCAGTGACCAAGCAGTCAAGCAGGCAGTAGCCAGGACAAACCCAGCAAGTTGCAATGAACTATACCGATATCCGTATATCCACCATCCAACAGCCAAGCAAACCACAGGTTTAATCAGTCCAATCATAGCCACGCCCACGACACCGTCGCTCACACCAACCCTGACCATCGCCACCTTGGCCATCAAGGTCAAGGCACCGAGCATTGCAACAGCGACGGAAATACCCAGAGCTTTGGGTGACGCAGCATCCAGAACATCCAAGGGACGCTCCACAAGCGGCCACAATATCAAAAGCATAACAGTGACTATGGATGCGAAATGACGCATAAAGGATGCGGCAGAAAGCGTCGGGTGCTGGGCTAAATGCTGGTCGACAGCCAAGAAAAACCCAGCGGACAAGACTAATGTAGCGAGCGCAAGCAGGAGACCAATGAGGAGTCGCACCCAATGGTTACCGCCGCTGGATATAATGTTCGTGTAGGCTACCATGGAGAAGGCCGGGGACCAGATGGCCAGGGCGGTGGAGATACAGGCGGGGAGGGCGAGCCAACGGCCAAAGGCATTATTGGTCTCTGCAGCTTTGTTGCTCAGACGGTTGCTGCCCAAAGGATGGCTGATCGCCGTGCTCAAGCTGCTCGAGCTGCTGCTCATCCCACTGGCGTACCCACTGGCAGTGGCCGAAAACTCGTCCTCCTCAAGCCTATTCTCTGGCGTCAGCCACCCGCTGCTGCTGCCGCTGTTGTTGCCGGAAGCATCGCTGCCGCTAACGTTATTGGTGAGCCTCTCCAATGCCGCCTGCGGCCAAGAAAGGGCAGCAGCCAGGGATGTGGCGCCGAACTGGTCGAATCCGCGGGTGCTCTTCCGGCCAAGCACCGCGCCAGCCATTGCGCCAGACACCACGGCCAAAGGCATAAGCGCCTGAACAACCGAAAAAGTACCATGCACCGAATCCCAAGCCCGCCCATAGTGCGCAGCTACAAGTGCCAGCACATAAACCAAGGCCAAAGGCACCATCCGCGCAGTCCTCACAACGCCGGCGCGCTCAAACAACATCCACCGACCGCTGGATATTTCCAAAACAAGGGATGCGCCGAGGTGGATAAGGATCAGCGAGAAGAAGGGAAAGTGGAAATCAAGATCATCTGAGACTATGACTTTCTCGATTACCGCGCAGCCGATGGCTGGAAGGCAGATGGCTAGGGCGCCGAGGAACGCTAGGGTGCGCGGGTGCCGGAGCAAATGCAGGGATGGGTGGGAGAAGGTTAGTCGGAGAAGGAGCATTGTGAGATAGGGTGTGTCTTGTTCGCCTGGGGAGCGGCGCCAGAGATTTGCAAACCGGCTCAGAAGGCTTTTCATAAGTGATGGGGTGCGCCGCTTTGCGCTGTCTCCAGAGCTGAAGTAGTCGTTGGGGCTGTTCAGTAGAGTGCTGACTGTGGTGGGTTCTGTTTGGTCGCTGCTGCTTCTGCTGTTGCTTCTGCTGTTGCTTCTGCTTCTGGTGCTACCATTGGTGTTGCTGCCGGTTTCGGTGTCCATCGATATCCTTGCGTGGGATATGCTTAGTGGCGAGTTTGATGTGGTTGAGGAACTGGACGACTGTATATTTGGCATACTGCTGGTTTGGCGAAAGTAAGGACGCGACATTGAAGGTACAGTTAAAAATGATGATGATGATGATAATAATAATAATAATAATAATAATATGTGTATGAAATATAAACGCAAAATGAAAAAAGAAGGTGTAAATAGAAAAATAGGAAAACGAGATGAATGTTTGGGATTTGATAGGCAGATACAAGAAAAAGAAAGGTGATAAAAAAATAGAGGAATAAAAAACAGTTTTTCCTTTTCCTTTTTTTCCTCTAGTTTTTTTTGTTGTTTACTGCATCTTTATTTGTATTCCCCTTTTTATTTTTTATTTTTTTGTTCAGCCATCTCATAGGAAAAAGAAAGACAAGAAATGATCAACAATTGGCAAACTGGCCACCACTACAGTAATAAAAATATTATAAAACGGTTTGTCCTATCACGAGAGCGAGAAAGAGAGGATTTTCAATCCATATCACATCAATACAGAAAGGGAAAAAGCTTGATTTTGTTTTTGGGAAATCTATCGTTCTCACTCACTTGTTCCTAGGAGAAAATAAAAAGGAGCCAAACCAAACCAGCCAATGGCCAATTGCGCTCTACCTTTTGTTGTTCCAAGCGTGTGTTTTGGGTAAGAATTGCACTCGGAGGTCCACCCCCTTCTCTCTCAATTAGAATAGCCGCACGTGATGAGAACAAAAAATTCATCGCTGATCTTGGTCAGATTACAATCAGAAGAACAAAAAACTTGCTTTTTTCTCAAGTTTCTTCAGCTTCAATTTACTTTATTTTTTTGCATTTAACAAAAATCATAAAAGAAAAAATGGCGCTGCGAATGCTCGCACAAAAAGGAGGTCTGCACCTGCAGCCGCACCTGCACCGCTCACTGCGCACAAGTGCAACACTGCTTCTCAAGCAGGTCCCAGACTCGCTCTGGGCCAACCCACGCCCACCACCAGCCACCAGCCTGCCCCAGCTCACAACAACCACAACGCCATCCCCAGAGGTGCTGCAGTCATTGCAAAGCCTAGACGAATGCGTGCGCGATCTATACGCCGAAGGCCTGCGGCACAGCGGGCCGGTATTGCGCGGCACAGACGAGGTGCGGTTTGGGCGCAAGTATATTGGGATGGTGGCACTGCCCGAAGCGGTGACGCAGGGCATAGCAGCGTATTTGGCTGGGAGGGATCAGCGGGCGCTGAGGTCGGATTACTTGCGGATTGCGGATTCGTGGCGGTCCACTGGGCAGATCACGCCGCCAGGAAAGGGCAAGGGAAGAGCCGCGAAGAAATACCGCCGCGGAGAAGAAGATCAAGAGGGGAGCGGCGGCGGGGAGCGGGATGAGCTGCTGAGCGAAATGAAGATGCTCAAGCCATTGCCCGGAGAGCGCATCCAGGTGGTTGTGCCCGGCCACCGGCCTGCGCCCGAGTCGCTGGTGCAGCCGGGAACACGCCTGAAGCCGCATACGCTGGAGTATGGCAGCAGCGAGACTGCAGCGTATGTGGCTGCGGTGGTGCCATCCACATACGCAGTCATTTACAATGTGCTGGCGGAAATCCGTGGCCGCATGCCCAGCGTGGTGCCACGCACAGTGCTGGACTTTGCCTGTGGGCCGGCGCCGGCACTGTGGGCGGCGCAGGAGCTGTGGCCTGGCGGCGTCCAGCAGTACCGCGGCGTCGACGTTTCCGAAGACATGCTCCTTGTGGCCGAGCAGCTGGCAGCGCACACAGCAGTGGCCGAGGTGGATTTCACGCGGTACTTGCCGCCCAACACCGGGCTGCAATCCGACCTAGTCATTTCGGCATTTGCATTGGCCGAGCTGCCCACTGACGCCATGCGGCTGTCCACAGTGGACACCTTATGGGCGCACACGCGGGATACCCTGGTGCTGGTTGACCGGGGCACCCCGGATAGTGCGCGGATTGTGTCGATGGCGCGCGACCATATTTTGGCCACTGGCCAGGCACATACCCTGGCGCCAGTTCCCAATGATTTGCCTGACCCGACTGCGGGAACGCCCGGGTGGATGCACTTTTCGCAGCGTGTGCAGCGTCCGACCTTCACTATGCGTACGAAGCACTCAAAGTCGAATGTTGAGGATCTGCGCTACTCGTACACCGTGATGCGCCGTGGCGCACGGCCAGCAGCCGTGGACGCTGCCTCTCAAAAACGGAGCCAGCAGGCGGAGGCGGTGGCTTCGTTGGCGGCTGCACAGGCACAGCCCGAACTGTACCTGCCAGACGGCCGGCTGCGGAAGACTTCCGAGCAGCTGGCGGCCGAGGCCATGGACTGGGCAAGGCTGATTCTGCCGCCGATCAAGCGCAAGGGGCATGTGCAGGCCGACGTGTGCACGAAAGAGGGCACAGTGGAGCGCTGGGTGTTCACCAAGTCGCATGGAAAGCAGTCGTATAGGGATGCGAGGAAGGCTAGCTGGGGTGATTTGTTCCCGCATACGCCAAAGTCTGCTACACTGCGCCCATACTTTATCCCGTCGACAGCGGCAGCGTCAGCGGCGGCGGCGAAGGATAAGGATGGCAGGCCTAAGAATCGCAAGGCCAGGCGCAGTGACCGCGCGCTCAGCGAGGACCACGACTAGAAATGGTATTTCCATATTGATGATTTTACTACGTAAACCTTTTTTATTCGAAAACGAGAAAAAAAAACCCCATTTTTCACATTGCCTTTGCGATCTTGCTGACGATCTCCTCCTTGGCTATCAGATGCGTGGTCTTTTCGACCAGTGCCAGCAGCCTGCCTACATCGCTCGCCCACGTGTTTAGCTGCTCCTCGCTATCGCTGGGCTTAGCAAAGCTGACAATGCCAGCGGGCCTGTCGATGCGTGCATAAATCGTGCCTCCAACCACAGCCTTGGCCAAAAACTGCTCCACCTCGTCGCGGCCCAAGTCCAGCAGCTCGCCGAGTCTCTCGACACGCGCGCGCGCGTAGTACTTGGCCACAACGCGGATGTTATGCTCGATTACGCGGTCGCGCAGTGCCATCCAGCGCTTCTCGCCATCGGGCGATGTCGCCGCGAATACTTCGGTTTGGCGGAACTCCGCGCCATATAGGGCCTCGACGGCGGGCCAGCGGGCGAGCTCCATGGTGGTGAAGCTGCGGGCGAGCTGCGCGCATAGGTCGAGTTTTTCCAGGTTGTGGTCGAGGCGCACGCGGTGGAGCATCTCGGCCTGCTCGTTGTTGTAGGGCGCGAGCACCAGGTAGAGAACCATGTTCTGGAGCGCCGCCGGCCATTTGGTCTGGTCGTCCTTGATCCCGTGGGTGCCGTAGACCTGCTCGTAGTGGCGGCAGACCTCCAGGTAGTTGGACTCGTGGAGGTCACATTGGATCATCAGCTCGTAGAACCGCAGCTTCAGATCTTCCGTGCCTTCGCGCTGGAAGTACTTGGGGTTAATCTTATGGCTGATGATCGCCAGCCGCACGTAGTCGCGCTTGGCCAAGCACAGGCGCATTTGCTCCAAGATAAAGTCCGTCTTTTCGCGTCTCTCCATTGACCCGAATGTCTCCACTTGGATCTCCTGCATGGCATCGCATGCCTCCCGGATCATCCCGTGGGTCTCGTACACGGCAACGCGCATTCTCGTCAGTCTTGCGCGCTCCACCTCCACGTGAATCTTCCCCTCCGTCACCACCCGCAGTGCCTCAATCAGCTCCACCCTTGTGGACTCATCCGGAGTCCGATCTATATACTCCATAGCCTTTTGCACCATCCGACTAATTGCCTGCTTCAATTGCCCATGCTTCTTCGCCAAAGCCGCTACTTCTTGCTCAAGCAAAGTCCATTCTTGCGCCGTGCCGCAGATGTCCACTATACGCTCTACTAGTTGCGTTGTTGACCAGAGGTCAGCTGCGGAACGCGTTTTTTTCTCTAGTGCATGTAGTTTTTCGAGCGCTTGGTGGAGCTGGCCTTGGGAGACTAGTTGGTCGATTTCGGGAAGCAGTGCTTTGACTGAAGCCGAATGGTCCTTTTCCATCTTGGGCTCATTTGTCGCGTAATCGAGTTCCATCCTTGTTAATAATAAATTTAAGCTAATTTATCTGAAAATTTAAAAATAATGAAAGTGAGGAAATTGTAAAGTTGTAAATTAAAGTATTAAAAAATGTGTGAGAAAGCAAGGGTTTTTTTGAATTGTTGATTCAACTGAATTCTTACATTTTTTACTCTGCGTATGCGTGCATGAGTATATGTGCGTGTACAAAATAAAAATAATATTGTATGTTTTGCAAAGGTGACGTACGCCGCGTGATTTAATCCTGCATAATCACTCTTTTCAGACTATCCACTTCAATCAATCAACACATCCCCCCCCCCCCCCCAAAAAAAAAAAAATGAAAAAAATGGACCAATTCTGTTATTTTATTATTCCTTCTTTTTTATTCCGCTTATCTCTATCATCCTTATTACTATTTTACTCCATTAAAAGCATGCCAGGAACTCAGCCTGATACCACATACAACATCCATCTGGCCAGCCATGAGGAATACCAGCAATCAATTGCCCTGCGCCTATATGTTTTCTGCGACATCCAAGGATTTCCTCGCGGCGATGAGCCCGACAAATATGACGCCCAAGCCCTCCAAGTAGTTATTACCCACACAGGAAAGGTTGTCGGGAGCTTACGCATAATTAAATCACCCGATGCAACTAAACTAGGGCGTATAGTTATACACCCAGAACACCAGGGAAAGGGATTGGGCCGGAAATTGATAGAATATGCGGAGATTGTTATTAGGAACAGCGAGGATTATGATGTAAAGTCTGTTAAGTTGGGAAGTCAGTGGGATAAAAAGCTGTTTTATGAAAAATGTGGGTATGAGCCCAAAGGCGATATTTATGATGATGGAGGGTCCCCACATATATGGATGCACAAGGATCTTTAAAAATATGAATATATATTCAAATTATTATGATTATGATTTAATAAAATTGACCATGTTAAAAAAACTAATGTATACTAGTGTTGAAAGCCCTCACGGGGGGCTCTCAACAGACACACCTTTTGCTTTTCAGTTTATTTAAAACGACAATCAATAGAAGAAAATAGTTAACGTCAGCTGCTAAACATGTAAATTTAATTACCAGATTAATATAGTATTTTGACTTTCCTAATTACCAATCAGTATTGTATTGTGCTTGCCAACAAAAAATGCAAGTGGATAATACTTGGCTGGCTTGAATATTAAAAATAAAATATTTTAAGAAATCATGAGCAAACAAAGACACAGATAGTGTAGTATAAAGCAAAACAACAACAAAGGCAATTGTTAAAATAAAGAAGACAATTAACAATAAAGGCTTGCGCCCAATATGCAAGGACAAATATTACAATTGGTTGATTGAGAGCAACAACAATGCATGCCAATTGTTATTATTTGTTCCAAATAATGATTGAAAAACACAGCATCTATAGAATTAATGGAGTATTGTTTATAACTTTCTTTGATATGTTGGTCTAATATCCACTTCGAGCTTACTTTAAAAACTTTTCCTAGCATCCCTTGCCTAATTATTGTTTGTTTATGTATTGAGTTTTCAACTCACATTCTACAATACTGCCTAACTTAAATATTTTAAGAACAAATCAACGGTCAACTGGAAACATTTGCGTTCAATTAGTTAAAAAAATAATGCGGCCAGCTATACAATGCTATTATAAAAGTTTGCCCAGTAAAAAAAGTTGCTGCTTACTATAAATTAATTCAGATATTCGACACACATTGATAAACAACCATTGTCTCAAATGTCGACATTGTTAGCTTTAGATGAAAACAACATTATTTAAAAACACAATCACTTGACAAAACAGAAAAAACTGATTGGAACCTATTGCTATTGGTATTGCAATTGCAGTTCAATGATTTGTATCTCTCTAATTTGTTTATGTTTTTGCTATTATTTGCATATGTAATATACTGTGTGCCATATTTTAACATCTACTTTTATGTTTTCACCACCAGCTACTCTGTTACTCTCATTATATCTATTAAAATTTTTATTCTGCTAATTTGGCATATCCACTTATTTTTAATTATGATGACTCAGCTTTTGTTTTTGGCTCTCGTAACCACCGTGGTCACCAGCGTTCAGGCCGCCCTTATTAGCAACAACACCCCCACATTGCATATCTTTGGGAATTCCCTGTCAGACGTCGGCACCCTAAAGGAATTGACCATGAGCATGATTCCTTCCAAGCCTTACTGGAAGGGTCGCTTCTCCTCGGGACCCGTCTGGAACGAGTATCTGGCCAAGCTGCTTGACTATAACCTGTACAACAAGGCCGTCGGCGGTTTTACTTCTGACAATTTCAACTCGGGGCTTCTCGACTTTTTGCCCATCCCGCTTCCCATTCCTATCAGCATCCCGAGCACCCAGGACCAAATCAACAATTTTAAGTCTAAGAACCCAAAGTACAAGCTTTCATACACTGTCGAGAAGGACATTGTGGTGCTTGAGATCGGTGCCAACGATTTTTTTGCTGAGATAATTAACATATCGACAAACAAATTTGCCCTCAGCAGTTTTGTCGAGACCCTATCCAACAGCGTGGTCAGCCAGCTGGAGCAGCTCCGCAGCATTGGTTTTAAGAACATTATTGTTACTAATCTGGCCGCTATCCAGTTTACTCCGTTCGCAGATATTTTGCACCTTGAGAGTCTGGTAAACACCACTGTGCATCAGTACAACGACCAGCTGACTAGCAAGGTCAATGAGTGGGCGAGCGAAGCCTTGGACCTGACGTCCTTCAGCATAGCCGATATTGGTGGATTTGTCGAAACCACAGTCAACTCTGAAGCCATTGCTAATGCCCTCGGGCTCACCAGCGTCAGCACTTCCTGTGTTGGCGGAAACACTCTGAACTTGTTGCAGGCGGATAACAAGCTGCTTGCGCTTATGAAGTTAATTTTTGATGCCAAGGAGAACCTCATGTGTGCTGACCCGAGCAAGTCGTACTTCTTTGATTTTGTCCACCCGGGTGAGAAAATCACCAGGTTGTTTGGTTACTACACCAAGGAGCTTATTGATGCTGTCAACTCTAGCGAGCAGATATCTATGACTGAGGATAATTTGCTCAACATTATTAACAAGTACAGTCTTGGTTCACCTGTTGCTAAGCCTGTCCAGATTTAATTTGTGAAATTTATGTTGTTTTAATTGAACGTCTTAATTTTTGTTAATACATTATGTATAAGTGATCAATACAATATATATTTTTAATAAATGTGTAGCCAAAACTATTTATTTGCATACACCAATATAATTAAGCAGCTTAAAATATACAATAACAATAAAACCTAATAATAATTATAAATACATAGGTATTATAAAATTGCACGCAGAAAATGGTTAAAGGCTATTAAATATTATATTCATCATATTTTAACACTAGTCAGATAATTAATTTTTGGCACTAAGTTAATAGTTGCAAAATTAAACTGGCTTTTGTCAGCTTTATTCATTTAATATTTTTTACAACACTTTTTGCTCTAGTCCTACTGCTTAGATCGGTTTCAACGGTCAATGCCAGGGCAAAACAGTAAACGTCTAACTGTTAAACAAGTAAATTTACTTAGAGGATTAGCGCTGTTTTTATTTTAATATATAGGTTTTATTGATATTGCCCAAGCTGTTTTAAACCATTTCTAATAAATTGTTGAGTTGTATTGCTATTGTTATGTAAAAAAAGTTTTTTAATAGGGGCGCAACAGCATGGCCAAAAAATACCAATGACAGCATATCCACTCACACAATTCATTTTTCAAGTTGATTAATAGCTAGTTTGCACATATGCGTGGCCTTGTTTAACAACTAACATTGATTCTTGTTAATATTAATATTAATAAAAATGAAGTAAGGAGTGTGGCAGCAATTAATTTTATACACGAAGATATAAAAAAATATACACAAATAACAAGCCAAGGTACCCATGCCATTTGTGTATAAGAAGATATTTTCACCATCAAAAGTATTTATCATTTCAACCCAAACATCTCAACTGCATATTTGTTGCAATTAAACTTTTTTTTAGATAAATGTTTTGGAAAATAATTTTAGCTGTAATTTTCATGTTCGTGGTGTTTGCCGTTGGCCAGGCGCAGGAAGTGGGCAGAATACTGTTGCACAGACTGAAGATATGGAAGTGGATGTTGAGGTCAAGAATCGCGAATCAGGTTTTCACCTGCATGCTGATTGATAGGACGCTAATTGGATCATGCAGGCGTAAATTAGGGAGGCATCACATTGATGCCCAAAACATGCTCCCCACTTTGCAATGTACACGCATAAGCGCACACGCGCAAAAACCACAACATTGACTTGCCAAGATACCGGTCTGCTCGCAGAAGATCCAACTCTTGCCAACGGAGTGCACAATTGACAATGTGCACAACAAAGGCGAAAAGGCACATATATAAGATGAGGCCGGCCCTAGCAGTATTTTAGAAACATCAGTAATAAAACCTTTTATAAAATCACTCCTACCTTTTAACACTAGACACTAGTGCTCCTCACCCCCCCTTACTATAACAATACCCAAAGCCATTTTGCAGAATAATGCCAACAAAAACAAATGGTTGCAGGTGCGTCAAAACTCCGCGCAAGTTGAATCAATACCACCTGGCAATAAAATACTTAAGTACGACAGCTACAAACAATGCGTTAATCAACCACAGGCCAACATTCGAGTATGGGTGCAACTTATGCGCTTGTATAGATGGCGGCTCTGTACAATTAACTAATATTACATAAGCATAACCAACTTTTACTAGCTCTATTACTTTTGAACCGACTAGCACTAACAATAGCATTGATGAAGGTTACGAGAAATGCGTTTGGGATGATGGTGGTGTGACCTTTATGAAAGATTGCAACTTTTGCTCCTGTGGACGAATTGGTGTTATTAAGTGTTTTTGACACAGCAACTTAGTAAAAATCTTATTATAAAAACTCTACATAACCTACATAGGTCAAGTTGTTTACAATAATTTCCTTGCACTAGGGTGGCGGGACTGCTCGTGTAGCCATTGAGAGGGTATTGGTGCTGATGTCCGAGTGCGAGGGAATGCGTTACTTATGGTAATTGTCGCAACTATCTTGTAGTAGAGTGTTGCAAAACATAAGCGTTTTGGTGAACTCTTCTTCATCAGGGTTAAACTGGAACCACTGGCACAGGACCCGTGTCCAACGCTTCTTGAATATGTGAACGGCCTTGGTATGTGAGATAGAGTAGTAAAATTCTTGTAGAATGCAGCTCATCACTGAGGATTTCCAACCACTAAGCATGGCATCAGCTGTGGAATGTATGTTGTCCATTGAAAGCTCGGTGTGTTGGTATTATTAAGTGCACACTGAGGGCATGTCCTCCTCTGCCAATCTATTTTTTATTTTTTATTTTTTACATTTCAACAAATACTATAAATAATCAAATTCTTAAGCGCTCGTGTTGGTATTTTTATTTAGGAATAATGTCAGAAAAGTACACTTAGTTTGATCAACACAATTGAGTAACAGCATTACAAAGGTTGTAAAAAAGAACACATCTTCAATATTAGTGGGTAACAAACAAGTTACCAGCATAATACAGCTGGCATAGTTTATTTGTTGTAAAAATACACAATTGTATATTTTTGGAAAATCATATCCTATAGCCAATAATGGTGGGAGTTTTTATTCTATAATTGGTATTATTCGTTTTTTCTACAAATAATAAAAAAACCCATCCGAATTGCAGACAATCAACATATGTGTCATAGTACGCAAAACTCAGTAAAATTATTTTGAGAATAGTGACAAGTGCTGATAATAGAAGATGAAATGAGTGGCAAATATTTTGGCCATTATTTGAGTGCGCCATGTTATTTCCGAGTATTAACATTGTAAAAAAACACAATTGCACATCTGCAAAATTTTTAATAAAGCTGTAGATGGCAGAAATGGAAATGTCCCACTTTTTATTACATTATGTAGAAATATTAGACGTCAAACCTGAAAGTAAAAAACAGCAATATAGAAATAGTTGGATTTGTTTAAAATTATGCTGCTTAAGCTCTTTTTGCTGCATATAACCACGGTAGTTGAATTTAGCTTGTACATTTAAAAAATACACACGACAATATTGTCTAGTTGGATGGTTTGGCAAGACAATATATATTTTTATTATCAACATACAAAGTGACATGCAAACAGTTGACACAAAAGTCCGCCCCCCTAAAGTAAAAAAAACAAATATGGTTAAGCAAAACTTAAGCGTGTATGCATCTCTCCTACCTTTAACACCAGCCCCAAAATAACGCCATGGGATACTTTCCATAGTGTATTTTAAAATACTGGACTCGACCTTAAGGTGCATGTGCCATGGTATGACAGCCCCCTACCCCCAAAGATAAACACGTGGTAAATGCAGATGGTGTCCCTCATCTTTACATTTGAGGCTATAGCAAGAGCAAACAATTTTTAAGGTATCATGCATGCCTGGATGAGGTAAAAAAAAATCAAAAGTGAATTATTATCAAATAAAAATGAGCAAATTGGGTATTTTTTTATTTTAACAGTCAAAAAAACCAAATGTTTAAATTAAAAATTGCAAGTAAAAACGTACATTGATGTCATTTGTGCCTGTTACGCAACTCCCACATTTAAATAAATGTTGCTCTAATTGCGTCTTTATCTGTCTGTAAATGGAAAATGGCAGCAAACCCCCACAAAAAGTGTTGAATGACAATGAGGCAAAAGGCAGATGAAGAAAGGGCAGGTATGTGCACGACCAATAACTCCATGCATGTCCTTGGGATTTGAGCTGATGCTGTGGCGCTTATCACCAAGTAAAAAATAAAAGATTACAGCATGTCATCCATAAAGCAAAAGCAAAAAAACAACAGCAAATTGCCAGACAGGGACAATAGCTCTGCTCAAAATAAAAAATTATGTTCAAAAGGAAATTGCGCGACCACAAGAAAAAATTGTAACACCGTATTCAGAGGTTCCAAACCCGCAATTTATGCCACTTTTACCATCCCCTCTCCCCTGTTCACTCTACACCTGGCTGCAATTGTTTGATGCCTTGCGCCCTATTGTTCAAGAAATCAATAACTGCTTACATATAAGAACCCCCCTGGCCTGGCACATACGCACAAAAAAGCTTTTGTTAAACTCAGAAGCACATTACGCGTAATATTTTTCTCAATTTTTATTCTCAAGCAGTTGTGCATTTTTTCTTGGGCTTTAGTATCTTTTAATTCTGCGCGCATCCTTTTTGGTCAATCGTCATATTATATTACTTTTATATTACGAAATAATCATTTGTTATTACTATTCAGAGTATATCGTTTGGGCTTTATTAACTCGTAATACCTCATAATTACGAGATCATCTTGCGCCTCTAATAATAAAATTTGAGAATAAAGGATCGCAACACACAAGCCCAAGCCCTCTATTGACTGGCTCTCATTACCTCGTCGTCAATTTGAAAAGCCCGAGCGCTTTGTTTCATCGTACAACCTCGCATTCAATATTTGTATTCAACGGTATATTTGGTCTTCTTAATTGCTGGTACGTTATCTATTTTTTATTTATCTGTAAATGTGGCTAATTGCTTGCGTATATTCCTTCTGCTCATCACCTGTGCCATCATGATCAAACAAAAAAATGCTTTTGTGTTTATCTGCGATTTCGTCGTTTGTCACCTGGCTTCTACTCGCGTGCATTCTCCATTATTTTCCCTCTTTTTGGTTCTTAAAATATAATTTGCCCTTGTTTTTGCTATTCCACACTCACCAGGGTCACCATACATACATACCAGCATATCTGCAAGGGCGCGCTGTCTTATTACGCCTCCCTTTCTTTGCCAAAAGTCCCTCGATTGCCATGTGATGTCGGAGATCGCGTTCATGTGGGGTGAGAAGGTGAATAAGGGGAGGGAGAAGATGAGAGGGGCTTGACAATATTAAAAATAACAAACAGCTGCAAACTTTTCTCGAATTTGTATGTGTGGGTCCCTGGATTTGGAATATTCCTTGCCTAGTATCCTCTGCAAAAAAAGAAGTCAGTTGCGGAAAATGCATTCTTTGCTTTACTCTGCTCCATTTCGTTTCTGTTGTCAAATCTCGTTTTAATTGCTCTTTTTTACTGCGCATCTCCGCTCCCCGCTTGCCCCCTTTTTGGGGGCCATGCAATTGAAAATATGTGTTGCTTGCCTCTCTCCCTCCCTCTATACTCTTTAATAGCCCATTTTCAGTTGTTGATTTCGATGCCGACCACACTACCGGTCATTATGATCATGTTTTTTGTTTACGGTTCATTCTTTGTCATTCTCATATCATCCTATTTTTTCTTCCATCCTCTCCGCTCTTAACGCCCTCCCTCCCTCTCAACCTCCAAAAAATGGGCGCAAAAACAAAATTTTGAAAACATGAAAACTTGTATACAAAATTGAAAAATAAAAAACCAAATGTGGCTGTATACAACTCCTTTTTTATTCCACTTATTGATTTTTGTACTTTTATTTTTGTATCCCATTTGGGTATATCTTATCACTCTGCTTCGCCTCGCTTTTGAGTGCACTTTTGTTTTATCTGTTTTACCTGCCCGTGGATCAAGCAACCGACAACATCAGACCCACAGATCCTGCTAATCGTACGTTTTACACTACATTTTTACTATGGAAAGCCCGTGCGTGCATGTGCGCGAAGGGACTGCAGATCCTTTTTTGTTTTGTTTTTCATACCCAGCTGTTATCGGGCTTTTGTGAATCTTTGTTTTGATCTTGCGCCATCCATTATCCTTCCTTTTTTCCTCTGACTCTGCTTCTGTGCAAGAATCGTCATCGCCATTGCTTTGAATTCGAAATATTGCTGGCCTATTCTGGTCTCGTCTCGCCTCTATCGACAAGTCTGGCGAGGCAGAAAAACTGCTTACAAATTGTTCGAAGAAATTTTGGGTTGGCGCTTCACAATAACATCCAGAAAAAGACCAAAACACAAGCGCAATCATGGATAATTGTCTGATTTTTTTGTAATGACAGCAAAAAATAGAAGAGTAAACTGCGTTGCCTCATTCTCAATATCTTTTTCGGCTGCAATCTGTTTTCTTTTTTCCTTTTTATTTTGGCCCTTTTTATAAACCCCAAGTATGTGCGTATGTTTACATTAACGCAGGGAGGCATTGTCTACAATGATGCCAACTGTCAGACTTTGCAATAAGGCCGCTCCTTCTTTGCTTGAGTCCCCAATATTGCACGCAAGATGCTCGCTAAAAATAACATTTTTATTTTCTGCTTGACAACCTCACATCCACTTCTTAAGCGCTGTGTTAATTTCCTCCTCTCTTGTGAGCATTTTTGCCGATCCCTACCTCTCTTCTTCGCTCTTTTTTATTTGTCTTGCATTTATGAGCTATACACATTACTAGAATAATTTCAGCCATTTATTAATAGGTCTCTTTTTTATTCTGCACATCGATTACCTGCTTCCTTCATACGTATATAGCTTATTTAATCGCATTTTCTCATCAACAAATGGCTTCAGCGGCAACAATGCATAACACAATGGCCGCCGCCACCGCAGACATTGCCACCACAGCCAGCAACTCTGCCCCGGGCACTCCGAAACACACAATAGAGGGTTCGAAATTGAGCACTGAAAATGCCAGCACGTTCTCGCCACTCTCATCATCGACAATCACCATAGCCTCCCTGGGCTTGTCGCTGGAATTGGGCACACCCATCAATGGTCTAACCCTGGTGAACGACCCTGCAACCAAAACCCCCGCCACCGATACCTTTGACCAAGGCGGGCAGTACATTACAGATATGGACGAAGGATTTGACCACTACGACGATGCTGCACATGACCTGGCTATCCGCGGACTGTCCTGCAACGCAAACATCAACAGGGACTCGTTTTCCTCCAGCATATCATCCACGGCATCGGACAGCAGCAGTAATGGGTCGATTATCATGCCGTCTATTACCATGCGCTCTGTGAGCGCCGACTACTCTCGTGTCTATGCCATGCAAATGCGCAACCTGCCGCCCAGAACCAACAGCAACACTCGGCAAGCAATGTCGTTTGCAACCTCGCGGAATCAGCCGACAGACGCTGAGCTTGTTTTGTCTCAGGGCTTTGATGAGCAGGAACCTCTGCCTGCTAATACCGTGGTGGCTGCTGAGGTGGCAACGCCGGCAGAGTTGGTAGAGGCTGCAGAGCATTCAAATACTGATGTTATTCATAGGTCGTTGGCCAAAAAGCTGTTGCATCCGCTGAGCTGGATGCAGCCAACCGGCGCCATTGCCGCCGCCGGCGACAGCCAGGTTGCTCGGGCCAAGGCCGCTACTAACCTTAATGTTGACGCTCCAAGCATTGCTGCAATTTTGCAACTGCAGGGCAGATCCGCTGCCATACACAATCGCATTCAGCGCAAATCTATGGCTGCAGTGAGGCAAAATGACGTCTCTCAGCTTTTCCAAGATATTAGTAGCAGCGGTGAGGCCACAGCCGAGACCAGCAATCCCAACATTGCCCAAACAGCGGCTCCAGTTGTCAAATTAATAAGCAACAATACGGTTGGTACCTCCGAGCCACTCTTGCAGTCACGCCGGCCGCGACAAAGCGCAGTGCCTTCAAAGTCTCTGGATATTGACCGTGTTGCAGTCACATCTCGGCTTCGTGGGCCGCTAAGTCGCCACACCATGCAACGCAGCAAAGCCAACGAGGCACTAAACATCAACTCCGCGACAGAACCTGATGCTATGGGTCCAGCTCGTTTCCAAGCACTGCCTCGGTCGCTGGTCTCGCGCTTTGGGTTTTGTAACATTCTGGCATTGCGCCGACAGCCTGGAGACTTGCGCTTTATCATTGCGCCACATCCTCGGTTTGCTGAAGTCGTCGAGGTTGTTGACTGCGACGAAATGGCGCCGGTGTACCGCAAAGTCTCGCGCTCAGGCAAGTCCTGGCACGAAACTTTCCATGAGGTTGACCCTGAGGATAGCGGCCACGGTCTTGGTGCATTGCGTGGCTACGATAATGTTGCTACGCTAGCAGACACGGTTATAATGAGTGACTACGAGATGGCGTCTGCCCTGGGCCTTCCTTACCCTGGCGCAGCCTTTGCCAACTATGGATCCATGTATAGCGGTAGGGGCTACACGTCTCCGCGCGACTCAGACTTGTACTACAGCGGCGCAAAGAGCGGCAATATTAGCCGCCGCACGCTTGCAGGCAACGCGGCCGCATCCTGCGTTACTTTCCAGTCATCATCTGTGTCGTCATCCGTAGCCGACAACAACCGGCGCATGCTGAACCAGGACGCGGGCACAAATGGGTTTGGCATAGCTTCAGCAATGGGCTTGTTTAATCAGAGCACAGCGTCATTCCCAAACCCCAGCACGGCGCGCATGCTGCGCGCCAGTGCTAGCATGGGCATGTACGGGCTTTCAAGCGTTGGCAGCGGCGATAACGCGTCATTCGACAAGGGTCTGCTGTGGGAGGCACTGACACCCTATCCCAACCAGTTTCCGCTTCATATCAAGGGTGCTCGCACCATTGAAGACAGTATCTCGCTGGCCTCATTGGTGCTCGACCGCCACTTATTCTGCTACCGCTTCCAACTGGGCGCAAACAAAATGCGTTGGACAGCAAAACGCGCTCGAAAGCACCAGCTGGCCCTGCAGTGTTTTGTGCGCAGCACTCTAGTTGCCGAGGTCTTTGTCGACTATGAGAGAGGATACTCGCCCTATAGTGTTTCCAATGTAAAGGGTCAGAATAAGAATCCAGTGGCCCCCCAGAAGTTTGTAAGCAACAACAGCAGCAAAACTTCCACGCCTGCGGGAGCAGACATACTTACCAGCAGCATTAACAACTCTGCCGAAACCGCTACCGACCTGATGAGCGCGCTTCCGAATGACGGCTCGTACCCCATAATAACTATTCTCCCAGTTGCATTTACTCAGCTGTCGGCCTTTGACTCTGACATTGTCGAGTCCTTTATTGTCTTTACGGGCATGCAGATGCTTGAGTGTCTGCATGTCTGATACATAATTTATTTACTCGATATCAGCTGTTGCAATTTGGGCATTGGGAAATTCCTATTACATTTAATTTTTCTTTTATTTTTTTATGTGTGCAAAATGGCAATTCATTATTTACCGCCGCTTCATTCCTCTATATCTTTTCACGCATTTTTGCCTTTTTTTCTTACAAGATAGATATAGCAGTTGCAACGGGCGCCATTTTTGGATGTGGACCAAGGAGTATTAACAGGACAAATATTTTTATTTCTTTTAATTGCCTTTTAAAAATTAGCTTATTTTTAAAGTGCCGCCCGTATATACTTTCCTTTAGTGAAAGCATAAAAGGGTGCTTATAGCCGCTTTGTTGGTAGCTTTTCTAATTATTTTTTTTACATATTTATTTGCATTGGCTCTTTTGCATTCCCTGCTTGATGCTTGAATAAACATAAAAAAAGTAGCTTGCGCAGGAAAAATTCGAATTTGTTTATTCTACTCTTCTATTTTTCTATTGCATTGTACAAAAAACAGCCAAGCCCTTCCCAACTAAAATTTAAAAAGGAGCGCTATTTAATAAAGAATAAAAAAGAAGGGGAAAAAAGCTACATCTTTTATTTTATTTTACATAGTACGCTTTCTTTTTATTTTCCTTTCAACATTGCTTGTTCAAAAGCCCAATTTTTTCTTTAAATTGGAGGGAGAGGGGAAATGAAAGAAGAGCAAGGAATAAAACAAATTAGATAGCAAATTGTGCTTCCGACAGGCATACTTCAAGTCAACGCGGATGTGTCTACATTTAATGTAAAAAGAGAGCAGCGCGCTCCTTCTCCTGCTCAAGTCCTCTAAAAAATATATAATTTCTCCATTTTCTCTATTTCATTTTTTTTATTTTTTGTTCCATAAACCTATTTAACCGCTGTTAATAGCCACGCAATTTCCGAGCTATAAAAGCATAAACCTCGTGCACGGGACTTTTTGAAACGGTTTAAAAAATAGAATAGCGTCCGCGTAAGGACACTAATAAACACACACACATACACACACCAAAAGTAGAGTACATTGTCTAGCTGTTTTTATAACCCGCCAAAGAGTTGCACTTGTAAATATAACCAACTACAACTACACCAAAAATGGAATACAACCTTCAAGATCAAGCCTTTACGTATCCCCAGTATGCAGACGAGTACGACCCAAACGAGGCTATGTATATTCCATACACCGACCCCAACATCGGCAGCTACCAGCCAGAGTCATCCTTGTTAAAACGGCAGTTGGAACCAAAGACTACCAAAAAAAAGCAAGCATCAAAGATATATTTAAGGCTAAACTCTCGCACCAAGACACCGTGGACCATCGATGAGAACATCAGCCTGTTCCGCACCATGGCCGAGTACATTTACGTCAAAAAGACGGGGATGAAACCGCTAGCAATATATCTCAACCCATCAGAACTCAACCATGTTGTGACGTGCGAAAAAACCATGGCCATGAACGACAGCGAAATTGCCGTGTCTTTGCGCGAGCAAGAAATTGAAAGCAACCCTAGCCGCCGCGGAGACCTTCTTTTTGCAGTTGTCCGCCATCTGCAGTACTCCTCGGGCTTCCATGAGACACGAGTGGTCAATGAAAAAATCAAGAACGTGCGCAGCCGCATCATCAACGAGTTCATGACTATGTTCAACGAGGGCACGCTTCCCACTAAGCGGCCTGTGCGTTATGTTACAGCAATGCTCAACAACCTGGTTACGTCTCCATTTGCCAACCTGGACTCAAGCTTTGGCAGCAACATTAACTTGGGAAATGCACCTGGAGCCGCTGACAACAAGCACGACGTGAGCCTGTGGCTGGCCGCCATGTTCTGGCTCCACGCAAAGGACATGTATGATTTTGTTTACCAGTGCGCACTGCAAGTCGTGCGCACCCAAGCACGGCTCGGCACTCCCGCATGCTGCACTGCAGAATTGCAAGACCAATTGGAGCAGCCCAGCCCTGACCTGTGCATAATTGTTAGCCAGCTGTACGCAATCATCTCTTATCTCAATGCTAACACCCGTGGAGCCAAGGATAAGGATAAGGCCAAGGGTCCAAATGCGGCCACAAGAAATGGTTATGGTGATGCCGAAAACTCGAGCAAGAAGCGCAAGCGCAAGGCTCTTACTCCTCTCGATGTCCGGAAAAAGCCCCCAATGCAAGAAACCATGGTTATTTGCAACGACAACAAGCTGCTGTCGCTGACAATGTTTGAGATCCTCAAAAACGAGGAGAAGCTGCAAATAGCCGGCATGCGCGTCAAGATGGTGGCCTCGGTGGGCGGTGTCATCCGCAGAACTAACGGCCTGGCCATACAGGACATCAAGTACCATATGTATCGTCTGTGGACGTGCGTCTCCCGCTTTAACGATATCAGCCCGCTGCTCAAGCGGCCCAATCTGTTTGGCGACAATATTATACCAAATATTGCCAACTTTGCCGAGTTTGTCGTGGTGGATCACTTTGCAAATCCTTTTAGCAATACATCTGTTGAGCCAAGCGTGCGCGTGAGCAAGCAGCGCAGGTTTGGACACAATATGAACATTGAGTTGCTCATTGAGCAGAAGTTTGCCGCAACCCAGGGTGAGAACCGAAGTCATATTCCCGTGTGGCTGACAATCTGCCGACGCTCTGACGACAGGTATGTCTTTGCACTGATCATAACGAGCGCCGACAAGGTAGCACCGGTAGAAAGCCAGATAGGTGGCTTCAACTTTACCAGGTTCCCGAGCGAGAGCTTCTTGTCTTCCATCGACAATGCCATTGCCAGCGGTGGCAATGTCAACTATCAGGGAGTTCCCATGTGCCAGCATGCGGGCCTAGAACCCTGGCCCTGGTCGCCGAATCAGGTCAACACTTTGACCGCAAGCTATGGCTACGAGGAGAAAGTTGGTGTCAAGATGCAGGATGGATCGACTGTGATAGTTTCCAGCGGCTGGGCAAACACGGCACACACGCTTGAGCCCTGGGCTGAGCCCCGGGTTCTTTCGACAGAGGCGTACAGCTGCCAGCAGGGCTATGCCGGCGCGTTGACTGTTGGCACTACGCCCTGTTATGAGCAGCTTCTGAACGCAGCGCACGGTATCTCTAACCAGATAGTGGACGCGTCGTTGCCAAATACCGCGAGTATAGTTCCTCACCAGTATATCAACGTTGGCGGTAACAGCAACATACTTGCCACTTTGGCACACTCTGAAAACATCCAGCCGCTGAGCGCCCAGTACGTTAACGTTGGCGGCAGCATGGATTTCCAGCCAATGATGCCGACGAGCAACATGATACTGTCCAACACGCCACTAATGACCAGCCCGCAGAACTTCCCGATTGATATTATCAATGAATATGGTAGCAACGATTGGGTCACCGGCAACTATAACAGAGCGGGCAACTACCAGTAGTTATTCCAGAATGGCGAGAACTCTGACCACCCCCCAATGTAGCTGTTAAAAAATGAAAATAAATAAGCTGCGTTATTTTTTTTACTAAAATGTCATAAACACATCATTAAAACTGGTGTGTTCATCAGACCAAAATTTATTTTCTGTTAATTTATTTGCACTTTTGAATATATAAAATGTTTTGTTAAAACTCAAAGAAAACAGAAAAAATAAAAGAGCGAACGGGTGGGGTGGGATGTGCTTAGGGTCGAGTAGGTAGAGGAGGAGAGGAGGCTGTAGTAGGCTGTTGAGCAGCAGCAGCGGCAGCAGAGCCAGGCGGCGGAGTGACCGTCGGAATGCCATGAGTGGTGCCAATAGGCACAGCGTCCTCGTCATACAGGGTCTCGCGCTGAGTGTTTACGCCATACACATTATGCTGCTGCTGGGCCTGACGAGCAGGAGGTGTGCAACGCTCCTGTAGAACCATGCGCAGAACCTCCCACTCCGACAGGCCCTCTGGAGGCTGGATGGCTCCAGAGAGCACCTGGGCCGGGGGCGCTGGACGGCCATAGAATGCCTGGTTGACATCGTTGCGCTGCGCTATGACTGATCCCTCGACAGAGATACCGGCAAACAGGCCCTTGGACTTTGAGTACGAGTACACGGCGGCCACGTTGCCGGCATTGACGGCAGCCGAGATCTCGCCGCTGCGGCCCATAGGCCCAGCAGTGACCGAGACGTTGGAGCCGAGCTGCAGACTAGCGCTCTGCTCGAACGCGCGCACGGCCTCGTCGGTGTTGAGGATCATCACGACTTCAGTCAGTTGCGCGCCAATCTGGCCGCCAACTCCCATGCCGCCGGTGGCGATGGCCGAAGGTCCAGACCAGGTCCCGTTGGGCAGGCGAGCACACACGATTCCCGAGCCGATGCGGCCGCTCCAGATGACTCCGGCCTTGATGATCGAAAGCACGGCGATGCCACGGCAGTGCTGCAGGACATCGGCCGGGATAAAGTCATCGAGGTCGCCAATTCTGGGCGGCACGACAAACTCTGTCAGAATACGAGCGGTGCGCTCGCACTCCTTTGTCAGCGTGAACTGATTGGTGACGTCCTTGAATCCGTCTTGCAGCTGGGCCACGCCCATGCGCAGCTTGTCTGTAAACGAGGGAGTGGCAAACGAGTCGCTGTTGCTGTTGCTGTTACTGTTTCCGCCGAAATTCATTGTTGTGATTGTCGGTGCTAATTATTAGTCAAATAGAAAAGCCAATAAAAGTAATTTAAGGGGTCCAAAGTTGCTTCTACTCAAAAGCTTTTTGGTTATTTGGCATTTGTTTGCAATTTGTGCCTTTGAAAATGACGCTGGCCACACATAATGATTATTTTGGCGTCATCGGCCACGGTCACGGCCACGGCCACATGTCGCACACGCACACGCAGCTTGAAAGCCCAGGCGACATTTGCTTGAGGTTTAGGTGATGGAAAATTAAGGCGCAATTCCAACTCAGCTTAAACGAGCTGAGCTGAGCTGAGCTTTGGTGCTGTTTTGACTAGGGGCAGTCGTCGGCTCGCAACAATAAACAATTAAATAGCACAGAGCCGAGCCGAGCCGAATTTAATTGAAACCAAAACGACCTTGACAGCAAAGTTGGCCCTTTAATAGTCAACAAAACAGCAGTTGGCTATGAAATATGAGCAGCATTCATTGTTCGACTGACTGCGGCCAAAAGCATTGCTCCCAAGTCAGAAAACATTAGTTTGTCTGCTCCCCTTTATTTATTGACATTGGCATTGGCGGCAGGCATGTGACTGAAGCGGCTGCTTTTTAATACATTATGTCTCTACTCCCAGAATCATTTATTTTTGTGCTCTGCTGATTGCTCAGGCATGAGTCAGTGCAAAGGCAGTAAAAGTAAGAAAATGAACTGCAGGGGTAGTGAGGCGAAAGCTTTGTATTATGCATTGTAATTTGTTGCTAATGTGGTCCTTCCCCTATCGATTTTTTTCTCCTGACGCTAAGAAAAAACATACAGAAAGCAGAAACGAACAACGTGCAATGCGGTGCGGTCAACCCTTTTTTCTGTATACGTGCGTAGAAAATCCATCCAAGTGTAAATCACTGACTTGCCTCTTGTTTCTGTTTTTTTAAAAAAATTTGTTAGGTTTTCAGCCATCGTTAACAATATTCGTAGAGTACAAAGAGAACAGGTGAAAAATTGTGGCATTTCAAAATCAGGATGTCAACGCACACGCAAGCTAAAGATAATGAGTGACCGAGACAATCATGACAGCCATTCGTGTTTGTGTTTATTTTTATATATCCAAATTTCTCGCCTATTTTTCCGCTTTGCTGTTTCGAGGTAAAAAACAAACACAAGCGTTAATATTTGAATTGATACATTATGCGACCATGTTAGTTTGCATTTGTATCACGTGAAGCCGGTCGTTTATATATATATATATATATATACACCGGCCAGTAAGTAAACATGTAAAGAGAAGCATGTGGAAAAAAAGAAGTATTTGGAATATATTTTTAACTCGGAAAATATCCTATTTTGCCATTAAAAAGAGCTTTCAATAAAAAATTGTATTATAAAAAGTAAAAAGAAATAAATCGGATATTTTTTGTCTACTTAAGGATCGATCCTGACAAGGTGGTCCATTTTTTTCATTCCTTCATTCTCTAACCAACTTTATTTTATCTTATTTTTCTGTTTATTTAGCCAAACTCAACAGCCTCACAGGCAAAACCCTTGCACATACCGGGGTTTTTATACACTTTATAAACGAGCGTCAGGGGCTAATACCAGGACTCAGTACTGCACCAAGCCCTTCTCTTCTTCACCTACACTTAGAAAGCTCACGCGAGCAATATGTAAGTTTATAAACCTCCCCTTTCCCTATTAAATGGCAATATGAAGACATGGTAATATGACACCATAGCGCATGCCCCCTAATGTAACTTTGTACCCTCAAACCAGCTCCCCCCAAAACCTTCGCTCAAATTTCTACTTTTATCTTTTTTTGCTGTTGCCCGTCTAATAGCAAAGCGTCGTTTCAAGTCAAAAATAGAAATTTTAATGACAAACAGCCAGGAAAGGCAGACCCTGCTGCCGCCAAGAGCAGCAAACAACCCTGGCCATGGCAGCTCACTTATCAAAAGATTTGTGGGCAAGGTCGCCATAGTAATGGCGCTCGGAAAGCTTCTGCATTTTGCGCTGCAGAACAACCTGGGCTACTACCGCCACGGCGATATGGAGTGTGGCAGGGGCGACAACCCCACGTGGACGCTGGCCAACGACTGCTTCCGGCTTGGCGTTGTGTGGCCAGCAGTCAACCTGTTGCTTGCTGCAATGGTGTTTATATATTTAATTTTAACACCATGGGAAGTAGGGCGCAGCGAGACTTTAGTGCATCATGTGTCTGGAATTCTCTCGCATCACGACAACCGACTGCGCATCGCCAGGGCGTCTATTGCCGTATCTGTGTTGGGCGCAGCCACCGCGCTCGGGTTTCTCTCGGTGTCGAGGGGGAGTAGCAGTACCGTTGGAGAACACGAGCGCCTGTACTGGCAGTCACAGATGGTGTACTGGCTGGTGGTCGCTGCTGCGTTTGGCAGGCAGGCGGCAGGGTTCAGGGGTGGCAACCAGAAGCTGTTCCATTGGCCGCTGTTTGCCGCGACGCTGGGCCAGCTGTGTCTTTGCGTTCTTTTCGAGGGATACTACGCCTTCTTCACAGGCGACCATCTGCACGAGACGCCCGGTGCCAGCTCTCACTCGCGCTTTGTGCTTGTCTCAGTGGCACTGTCCTCGGCGTCAGCTCTGCTGCCGCTGGATGCTCACAAGCTTGGCTTTTTCCTGCCCAAGGGTCAGCGCAAAGCAAACGCCACTGCCACTTCGTCTTCAGATGCTGCGGCCGGCGGCGCAAGTGTCGATGACAATGGGGCAGGGGACAATGCCGCAGTTGCTGGAGCAGAAGTAGACAGTGTGTACAAGACGCCCCTGAGCCGCGTGCGCGACGACCAGATCCCGCTGGTGGAGTCGCCCGAGCACGCGTCATCGATATTTGGTCAGCTGGTCTTCAGCTGGGTTACACCCGTTCTGAAACTAGGAACCAAGGTGACTATCGAGAGTGGTGACCTGTACCTGTTGAACACCAAGGAGCGTCCGCTGAGCGTGTGGCGCCGGTTTGTGAGCTTCCACAGACCAGACCGCTCGCTTCTGCGCACGCTGGGGGCCACTTTTGCGCCACAACTGATATTGCAGGTCCTGTTTACAGTGGTGGGTGTGGTTCTATCGTACGCCGGTCCATTTTTCTTGCAGCGCATCCTCCGGTCCATCCGGCTGTACGACAAGCGTGAGGGCAGTTTGGAGGGCGGGTCAGTCACCAACCGGCTGATTTACCTGGACGCCATCGGCCTGTTGCTCTCGTCGTTGCTGCACTCGCTGATTTCCAACCAGGTGCTGTGGCTTGGGCGCAAGGTCAGCATGCAGCTGCAAAGCTTGTTAGTGGCCGAGCTCTCATCAAAGGCGCTACAGCGTCGCAGCAAGAGCTCGGGCGCGGCCGCTTCCAAGAAGGAAAATGAGGATGCCAGCGAGAGCAAGGACAAAGAGGACGAGGACGAGGACGAGGACAAGACAGCGAACAGCGACGGGCGCATTGTCAACATGCTGACTTCCGACCTTGAGAGTGTCGGCTATATCGCATCCTACCTCGACGATATCTACACGATTCCGATCGGGTTCTGCATCGGCACCTGGTACCTTTACAGCCTGTTGGGCGTCCCGGCGATGATAGGACTAACGCTCAGTGCCATTTACTACCCGCTGACCAGACTAATGGTCAAGTACCTGATTAAGTACCAAAAGAAAATGACGGCACTGGACGACGAGCGTGTGACCATGATCACTGAGATGTTCCAGGGCATCCGCGCCGTCAAGCTGTTCGGCTGGCAGACGCGCTTTATCGAGAAGGTGCGCGCGAAGCGTGACGAGGAGCTGAGCGCCAACTGGAAGCTGCTCATCTTCCAGCTGCCCGTGTCGTTCATTCGATCGCTCACCGCGTCGCTGATTCTGGTAGCCACTCTGGCCATCTACACGTTGGTGTTTGGCAACACGCTGACGGCCGACATCATTTTCCCGTCGATAACGGTGTTCTCGATGGTCAGCTCAACATTTAACCGCATCCCGGGCATGTTCAGCTGGATAACCGAGTGCTACGTGTCACTCAAGCGCATTGAGACGTTCATGGTGCAGTCCCACGCGCAGGACCTCGAAGAGCGCGTTGCAAAGCCTGCCGGCTCCAACGGCCCTGAAGATGGCATGCTAGACGCCCTTGAGGCCGGGTCAATCGTTGGGTTTGTCAATGCCAGCCTCATATGGTCGGTCGAAGCAGAAGCTACAGAGCCCAATGCAGCGTCGACCACAGAGGCGACCACGGCAGTGGCATCGGTGAATTCGGGATCGCCGAGCCGAGATGAAGTCGCAGATACCACTGCGCAGACACCGCTGGTGGCCAGCAGCCAGGGTGCATCGTACGCGGCCATCGGCCAGGCGCCGTTTGAAGTGATGTCTGACAGCGAGGAGTACAGCAAGCGTGTTTCTCCAGTCACTGCGGTTGATATTTTACCGGCCACTCTGGAGCACACGAGCAAGGACGCCACTACTAACAAGGCAGGTATGGCCAGCTTCTCACTCAACGATATCACGCTGCTTTTCCCCACTGGCGGCCTCTCGATCATCGTCGGTCCGACTGGGTCGGGCAAATCCTCGCTGCTTGCAGCACTCATCGGAGAAATGACGCTCACATCTGGGCGCATTATCCTGCCGACCGCTGATCCGCGATCACTCGACTTAAAGCTGGCATCTGGCAAGTACGTTGAGGTCATGGAGCTGGCGAGGCAGGGTCTGGTGATGGCCAACGTCGCGTACGTCTCGCAGGAAGCATGGCTGCGCAACGCAACCATCCGCGAGAACATTCTGTTCGGCCAGCCCTACAACCAGCAGCGCTACGAGGAAGTGCTTCGCGTGTGCGCGCTCAAACCTGACCTGCGCATCCTTACGGCCGGCGACTTGACCGAGATTGGCGAGCGTGGTGTGACATTGTCTGGTGGTCAGAAGCAGCGCGTCGCATTGGCGCGCGCAGTGTACTCGGACCGCCGCATCCTACTGATCGACGACTGCTTATCTGCTGTTGACGCGCACACGAGGAAACATATACTGAACCAGTGCCTCGTCGGTGAGACGTCGCTGATGCAAGGCCGTACACGGGTTCTGGTCACCCACCATGTAGCTGCGTGCCTGCCGCACTGCAACTACGTGGTAGTGCTGCGCGAGGGTCGTGTGGCGATGAGCGGGCCCCCGAACGAGCTGCAGAGCCTGGGCCACTTTTCCAACGAGGTTATCGTAGTGGACCAGAATATTGCCACTGAATCCGAGTTTAAGACCTCGGAGCTGGCTGAGCAGGGCGAAGAGGAGGCCGAGCAGCTCTCATCGCCGGACGTGAACGACATGCACACAGAGGATGAATACAACCGCAAGCGCCGCTTGCAGTTAGCCGAGCAGCGTGGCCTGGATCCCAACAGCGACCTGTCGGAGCTTGACGACATTCTGGTCGAGGACGAGGAGTGTGAGCAAGGGTACGTGCGCCCAGATGTGTGGATCGGCTACATGCGCATGTGCGGCCCGTTCTGGTTCTGGGTGTCGATCCTGGGGTTTGTCTTTATTGGCCATGGAGCTTACATCCTGCAGGACTACTGGGTGCGCATGTGGATGAGCAATGCAGGGGAGGGCTCGTCGGTAGTGTATTGGCTGTCCTCGTATGTGCTGATTGGCATGATGGGCACCAGCATTCGCTTGGGTGCCATGCTCAACGAAAACGCGGGTTCCATCCGGGCTGGTCGCCAGTACCATGAGGAGCTGTTTATTCGTGTCATGAACGCGTCGCCACGCTTCTTCGACAAGACGCCTATCGGTCGTGTCATCAGCCGCTTCTCTCGCGACATGCGCACTATCGATGACTCGATACTCGACAGCATTGTATTCATGGTCTCGCAGATCATGCAGGTTGTTGGTGTGTTTGTCATCATCTCAGCCGTGACGCCACCGTTCGTTGTCATTGCTGTGCTGATGTGCATTGCTTACAGCATGCTCGCTGTGTATTACCTAAATGCCACGCGCGAGCTCAAGCGCCTCGACTCGATCTCCATGTCGCCGTTGCTGTCGCTCTTCAGCGAGCTCATCACTGGTGTTGAGTCCATCAGGGCGTTTGGCGCGCAGAGCCAGTACACAATGGAGGCTATGAACCGCATCGATACGCACAACCGTCCGTACTACCTCATGTGGGCCGCCAACCGCTGGCTGTGCTCACGTATCGAGTTCTCCGGCTGTCTCGTGGCCTTTACAACCATCATCCTGATTCTGCTCAACCTCGACAACATTGATGCGGGCCTGGCCGGCTTTGTCATGATGTACGCCATCTCGTTCTCGGACAACATGCTGTGGTTTATCAGGAACTACAGCGACTGCGAGATCAGCATGAACTCTGTTGAGCGCATCAACCAGTATCTGAAGATCGATCAGGAGGCTGCTGCCTTTGCAGACGACGCCAACCGCCCACCCACCAGCTGGCCGGCCAGCGGCGCCGTCCAGGTGTCTGATCTGGTTATTGAGTACATGCCGGGCACCCCCGTGCTCCATGGCATTTCATTTGCTGTCGCTCATGGCGAAAAGATCGGTGTTGTCGGCCGGACGGGCGCTGGCAAGAGCACACTGTCGCTAGCGTTCTTGCGCTTTATAGAGGCCACCAGTGGTAGCATTGTTGTTGATAATGTGGACATTGCCAAGATCGGATTGGAGGAGCTGCGTCGGAACTTTACGATCATTCCTCAGGACCCGGTGCTGTTCAATGGCACTATCCGCTTCAATCTTGACCCATTCGACGAGTTCCCCGAGGCGCTGCTGTGGGATGCTCTGAAGCGGTCGCATTTGGTGTGCAATGACAATGAGCCACCGAAGAATGTGTCGCCAGCCTTAACATCCACCACCAGTTCGTCACTGTCCATCGCAGCCAAGAGCACGGATGAAAACATTGACGAAGTCTCGAAACCTGCGGACACCAGACTTGCCAATGGCCACGCAGGCCGCATGACTGGAGTTTTCAACAGCCTGGACGCTGAGATCAAGGAGAATGGTCAGAATCTTTCGCTTGGCCAACGCCAGCTCGTTGCGCTGGCTCGCGCGCTGGTCCGCCGCTCGCGTTTAATTATTATGGACGAGGCCACTGCGTCAGTTGACTTTGACACGGACGATCGCATTCAGCGCACCATCCGCGGATCCGAATTTGCCAACTCCACACTGTTCTGCATTGCGCACCGCCTACGCACTATCATCGACTACGACCGCGTGTTGGTGCTGGACAAGGGCAGGATCGTCGAGTTTGACACACCGTGGAACCTGTTACAGAAGGAGGACAGCCAGTTCCGAAGCATGTGCGAGAAGACTGGCGAGTACGATCGCCTGTACAAAATTGCGGTCCAAGAACTAAGCAAGGCAAAAATTGAAAACGTAAAATAAAAAAGTACTTTTTATTTTCATTAATTTCAATATTGCACCCAGTTTTTTTGGTCACTGCTAAATTTTTGTCTCGAACTCAAAAAATAAATTAATATGCATTCGTGCCGAAAATAGTTGAATATTTCAGTTATCTTAATCAGTCGTCGTGAATACCGCAACTTTTATAACTTTTGAAAATCTTATCGTTTTACACTTCAATTAATTTTTTATACATTTTTTTCTACACATATTTATTTATTTATGCAAGGATGCGACGGTTTACGAAAAAATGGATGCAGCGCGAGTTTTGGCACGGTCGGCAACACCAGTTTCGGCAATGGCTCAGAGACCAAAAGACACAAAACTATCTCAAGGCCGTGCTCAGCTGCTCGATAGCCAGCGTAATCATGTTCATCCGGCCATTCCGCCTTGCCATTGGCACCATGTACTTCCAGGTCTTGATCACCACAGCGCTGGCGCATGGCGGCATGACAATTGGCGCCAACTTGGAGCTTCAGCTGCAGCAGTTGTCCATAGCCTCGTTTGTCGCCGTGTATATACTTTTTATCCAGGCGGTCGTCTATGGGCTGGGCCAAACTCCAAACATTAACTTTGAAGTGGCCGCAAAGCTGACCAGAGCCTTTGGCCTGGCTGTGTATTGCTTTTTCGTCGCCCTACTTTACGCGTACACGCCCAGACTGACTCTGGCTATGAAGATTAACATATCGTCGGCGTTCATCGCCTTTACGAATTACCCGCTGACACGGAAGTTTCAAGTCAAACCGCTTCCCGGCATTCTTTACGCGCAGCTGGTCGGCGCCGGAATATCGACGCTTGTGAACGTGTTTGTCATGCCGAGCACGTCCAGCCGCAAGCTCGTCGGCGCGCTGCGCACGCTGTTCAAGCAGATGGAAGCCTGCTGCGAGTACTTTGACAAATCGGCGGCTGGGCTTGGCCTGGAGGCTCTGGGCAAGCGAGACGGGACGGAGGATGCAAAGAATCTGCGAATTCTGCTGCGCGGCGCGTCCGAGCGGTTTGGCCAGGTGGTCGGCGGATCGCGGTACGAGACCACGATCGAGCGGTTTTCGCAGCTCGATTACCACCAGATATTTATCCAGGCCAACAAGCTGGCGTCGTCGTTCGGGACCATGTGCCTGCCGTTCGAGATTGATGACGACTTTTACTACCACTTGCAGGATCCGTCAGCCAAGATGCAGCACGGCAGTATGGCGAAGTCGAGCAGCAGGGTGTCTCTTGCATCGTTCAGCAGCGACCACCCAAACCGCCACAGCTCGCCGACTAGGAATCACGGCAATAAGGCAATGGGAAAGTCGCTGGCCAAGGTGGCTGACATGCACCGGCGCCAGGACCTCAGCCGCCAAGGCGTGGTCCGCACGCTGATTCCAATTAAAGCGCAGCTGTCGCTGCACAGCCACATACTGCGCATTCTTATTGATCGCACCAAGGGCGCTGAGCATGGCAGCCCGACCAAGTCGCTGTTTTGCATGGTCTCGCGATCAATCAGGTTCTATACCAAGGATTTGGAGGGCGATATTGGCCATAGCGTTGAGGGGGTGGTCGATATTGATGAAATTGTGCCCGAAGATCTCGCCGTCGATAATGCCGAGATGATGGAGCACTTGCGCGAGAAGCTGGAGCGCATGAGCCTCGGGCAGATGGCCGAGGTGGTCAACCGGTACGCAGATAAATACGAGCAGGCCGAGGCCGAATGCATCAAGATAATTGCACCCTACGGGCTGCATGATGATGCCGGAATGCACGAGCAGCATGTCGTTCTGCTGTCCTTTATTGGGTCGCTCCGCGAGAACGCAGTGTGTCTATCAAAGATGCTGCAGACTCTGCACCGGATAGACGCCAAGAGGCCTGATCGCATGCAAGTTTGGTTTCCGAAACTCAACTGGTCTTGGCTGTACTATGGGCGCATAGACGACGACGAAGAAAAGGAGAACGACATCGACATCGACACAGATCACATGGAGCTCGAGAATGCGTTCAGCACGTATACCAGGTCTCACGGAAAGCGGTCAAAGTTCAAACACTTTTTGGCCCATTTTGATTTTGATTCAGATTCGGACTCTGATAAGGACCTGGGCCTAGAGCCACAGTATGAGCAACAATTAAGATCAGAGGGCCTATCGGTCACCCAACCAACTGCCTCTCCTGCCATAAGTGGCATTGGTACTGGCACTGGCACTGGTAGTGGTAATAGCAGAAGCGATGAGGTCACACCGGCAAGCAGCTCGCTTCTCAGCCCGCCGCCATTGATCGGGCAGCAGGACCCGACGCAAACATCGGCAATATACAAGACCATTGACACCTCAGCCGCCCGCATAGCACATGCCATGCTGAGCTGGTTACAACGGCCAAAGACACGGTACGCGATAAAGTTTACCGTGACCCTGATGGTGTGGTCGATCTGGGCGTTCATCGGCGTGTCGGAAAAGTTTTTCAGCGAAAATAATGCGGTCTGGGGCATGTCTTGCATTGGCGCAGTGCTAGGCGTGACGATCGGGTCGACCATCCACGCGGGAGTAATCCGCGTCCTGGCCGTTTCACTAGCAGGCTCCTGGGCCATCGTCGCGTGGATTGCCAGCAACTACGGGACACACGCGTATCTGCCGTGTTTCTGCTGCATTATCTACTTTGTCGTGTCGTTTTACCTCTCATTTTTCACAAAGAAACTGGCACCAGTGGCGCCGGTGATGGCCATTTCGTTTTCTTCAGTGCTGTTCATCGACTACTTCAAGGGCCGAAAGGCCGAGGGAACTACACTCGGCTGGAAGCACGTAGCCGTCAACGCCGCCGGCATTGGGTTTGCATTTGTGGTCTCTGCGTTGTTCATGCCGTACAAAGCACGCACAGCTCTGCGGAGGGCACTGGCCGAGGTCCTGCAGCTGAACAGCCTTATTGTGCAGTCAATCAACCACATGCACATGGCTAGAGCCGAGTTTCCCATCGTGCATCGCAATGAGCGCCGTCGTGTCGAGAAGTTTGTCTACCGCAGCCGAGTCCTGATCTCCAAGTGCCGAAACCTCGTTCCAGCTGCCGAGCGCGAGCCCAGCTTGCACGAATGGTTCCAGAGCAACGCCCACTGCCAGCTGATCGACACGCTGGAGCTGCAGCTAGAGTGGCTCATGTATTCGTCATTCACCCACACGAGCGTCGATGTCAGCGGCGGCAACCTGGCGATGATGATCCGCCTGGCCATGGCCATGCGTGATGATATTGTCGGCGCAAAGTCAGCGTTCAACAGCATCTTGGCGTCTGCGTTGCACGCAAAGATACGCCTGCCTGCGTATCTGCCGGACATTGGCACCGCTCGACAAGAGTTTATGAAGTACATGCACCCGCTGATGAAGGAGCAGTATACGAAGAGCTTTGCCATCACGTACTTGGCCCGCTGGAACGTTGGAATCTGGCACGTTATTGGTTCGCAGACTGATCTATGTCTGGCTGTGCACACCATCGTTGGCGCCGAGACCGACAACTGGCCAGAGGAAGTCGGCTTCATGCTCGACAGCCTCGAAGTGGCGCCGCCAGGGCAGACCAGCACTGCGTTTGCCCAAGACCACATGGATGATCAGTCGCCGGAGAACTTGCATTCGAAGGACAGGTGGTTCAGCCGGCTGCCAAAATATGCGAGCTAGTTCATATTTGCTAATTGAAATATATGGCCATCCATGGTTTTAATGTTACAAAAAAATACTGTCATATAAGCATAAAATACCACTCGTCAATGGCCGAGATCCACTTTTGCACGTCATCGGCTGGCGGGCTGAGCAAGTACGCGTTGGTGTTGGTGTACAGCGCCAGGACATTTGGCCGTCCAAGCATCTCGGAGACGTGTGGGTCGACGCTGACGCGCGCAGAGGCGATGTTGATGACGTTGTCGAGGAAGCGGCAGTCCTTGTCGACAAACACGAATATGTAAGGCCGCTCGACGACAAACCACCTTTTGGTCCATGTGTCGGGCGCCGCATTGGTGTCCAGGATGTCAACCCAGCCGCGATGGCAAAAGTGGCCCTGCATAGAGATAGGGAGTATATTGCAGGGCAGGCGCCTGACAACCTGCTTTCTGAGCTTATCGGGGTCCATATGATCGCTGCTGCTGTTGATCTCGCCACCGCCACGATCGGTGTGCACGCTGTCCTGCAGCGGCTCCTGCTGTAGACCGAGGCTGCTTTCGGGAATCCGACGGAACTCTGATATTCTGCGCACAGCTTCGTAGACAATGTCCAGGATCCGCTGCTGCCGCGTAGACAGCGGCGGCTGCGACTCACTGGGAAACGAGTGGTCCAAGGAACGCTGCACTGCGGCCTTGTCAGCCGGCTGGGATGCAAGCGGGCCGAGGGCTTCAAGGTGCTCGCGGGTGCGTGCCACCGACAGGCGCCAGGCGTCCTCGTGCTCCTGGCGGTGATACTCGTCAACAAAGCGCACACTGCGGGGCTGCCAAGGCAGCAGTGTCTCCTCGCCGCGCACGTACTTTTTAGCCGTATTCAGGCGCCAGAGATTGCCCTTGCCACGCACGGTTTCGGTCGGGCTGAGCGTAACCGAAAACACGCGAAACATGGGATCGCTGAGCGGTGGGCTGTCAGTATTGCTGCTGCTGCTGCTAATGGCGTCGGACGAGGCCCGCATCATGTCTAATATGCTGATGCTGCTCCGAGTGCGCATAATGCTGCCTGCGCCGTAGATACTGCCAGCTCCACTGCTTATGCTTATGTTGTTGCTGTTGCCATTGCCATTACCGCTACTGGGGCGGAAGAGACCACCAGCGCTCTCTGCAATCGAGGCCAACCAGCCGCGGCCAGCGACGGCTGCCTGGCGCGAGTGAATCTGCACAAAAATGTCGGTGATCAAGCTTAACGGGCCGGCTCCGTTGTCGATCTCCAGGGCCAACTCGAGCGACATCTTGACGCGCATGCCCTTGCCTGTAGGCATGTCGAGCAATCGCGAGCCAAATACAGATGTGTCCCACGAAGCAGCGACCTGTACAAAGCAGCGGTTGTCCAGCCTTGAGCCGCCGGCATCGCTGTCTCCGGCCAGCAGCGCCCTGGTGATCGGCAGGTCTGCCATCATCCGACCGCCCTGCCCGCCGATGCTGCTGCTACTGCTGATTCCATTGCTACCACCAACAAGGCGGCCCTTTTCGTCAACCAGAACGGGACACCCAATGCGCAGGCCAATGACTTTGGAAACATGAAGGTGTTTGCTGGCGTTGTGACCGACAACAACCTCCACGCGGCGCTGCAGCCCCTGCCGCATCAAAAAAGCCGCTGACGAGGTAAGTCCGGCGGCACTGCACGGCGCACGCTCCCACTGTCCGTCGAGTCCCAACTCCAGCACACGCACCCAGACTGCGAGCTCATGCTGCGAGTCCACAAACAGTTCCTCCTCGTGCAGCCGCTCGACAAGAAGGTTCTGGCTTGCTGACATGGCCGACTCGGCCTCACAGCCCAACTTGATGCCACTGCTGCCACCGTTGCCACCCAATTGCAGCGGCACGCCAAGCTGTAGCGCTTGCTCAATCTGCACATCCTCATGGAATGCCCGGCGCAAGGCCAGCGGCTGCGCAATTCCAAAAAACTCGATGACAACGCACGTGTCTACCGTCAGCATGTCAATTGTCCACTGCTGCCTAAACTGCACATTGACTGGACCGTTGCCAAAGCCTGCCAGCGGGCTGTTGTGCCGGGCAGCCTGGTCGGCTGACACGCTGACCATCACCGGCGAGTTTGGCGCAGATGGCTGGCCGCTATTAGGCTGGCCCACCAAACTCGTGTCATCAATCGCCGTGGGTGTTGTCGGAAGCAGCCCACGCATTCGAGTCAAGCGAAGGCGGCAGTGAACTGCTGTCATCTCGCTCTCGCTGACGCCATTAAGCGACTTGACATGCACGATTACGTTCCACGCGCGTGCGCTCCCCGCCCTGTTGCTCTGGCGGATGGGCAGCGCCGCCAAGCTGCCTTGCATGCGGCCACGCTCGAGACCGCTGAGCGAATCAATGACGGGGGCGTCAATTTTCGCAGAGTACGGCCGGTCGCCGGGCCAGATAGGGTACGTCGCAGACCCGATGCACGAATAGCGCGGCGCAGGGGTGGCATGGAACGGATCCAGCACCAGATGCGCGCGGTACGAGCCCTTTACTGTCGACAGACCGCGCATCTTGGCGAGCTGCGCGTGGAACATGGCCAGTGACCACACATACCAGCACGTGTGCCCAATGTCCAGCACTTTGACAACAACCTCGGGCACCGTCCCATCAGACGAGTCCAGCAGCGGATGGCCGAGCGATTTGGTCTGCCACGTAGACCCTTTGCCGCCGCCTGCGGTGTCGTTGTCACTGGGCATGTTGATTGTGTCCCAGTCCGACAGCAGCGCTGGCAGCGCGTCCGGCTCGAGTGGCGAGGCCGGATAGACGTCAGCGCCGCCGCGCAGAATGGCGAACTGATAGACCACCTTCTGCCCGAGCTCCTTGCCAATAACGTTGGCCTCCTTCAGATACACAGCATTGCGCAGCATCGTCTCACCGACCTTGACTAGCTTGTGCCGCCGCCACTGCGCGAGCACCAGCCGTGCCAGGCGCCTCTCCCACATCTGCCGCTCGCGCGCTTCGGCAGCAATACTGCTCTCTACGGGAGACACATAGGGCCCTAGTCGCCTGGGCGGTCGTGCCCCCGAGATATTAAGCCCCGAAATGGTTTGACCGCGCGGCCGCTGTCGTGAATCAAACGAGGAGCTTTGGAGCGCTGTAATGTCGGTTGCCACCGAGCTGCGCCGCTGACGCTGCGGCGCACCGGTGCTGATGCTGATGGCACGGCGCACAGATGCTTGTGACGACGGCCGCCGGAGGTTGCCCTCGGGGGCGTGCAAGTGCGCGTAGTGGTGAGAGCTGGCCAGCGCAGAATATGCGGTCGACGACGTGTTGTCAGGCACGTCCGACATTTCGCTTTGCGAGTCGCTCCAGTTGCTTGGCGAGTAGTATGGCCCCGGGTTTGGCGTGCTGTCCGGGTGGGCCTCGTTCCACGCGTACTGCCAATCCGCATTGTCGTCGATGTACTCCTCAGCCTGGCTGCTGTCGGCCGCTCGCAGGCGGTCCTGGCGCACTTGCTGCGGATGGTTAAGACGGAACACAAACGAGGAGCCGATAATCATGCGGTATCCCGACTTGAGCTCCTTTGGCTGCCGGACCTGCTGCCCGTTGACCATCACCAGGCATTCGTCGCGCGGGTGCAGAAGAACGGTGCTGCTGGCAGCGTTATATTCAAAGTAGCAGTGCAGAGGCGCCACGCCACCGGACGCGCCCAGCCGAATGTCGACGTCGTCGCCCGCCCCGACCAGCGTTCTGCCGGGCTTGAGGTTGTACACCAGGCACTCGGACATCAGTGGGTCCTCGCTGAGGTTGACCAAGTGCGGAATATCCCGAGGCGCGTGTAGCCCAACGCCGTGACCCTCGCGGTTTGTGTCCACCGCTATGCCCAGGGCAGCCAGCGCGCGCTCCCTCTCGGCCTGGATCTTCTGCGTGCGATACAGCTTCTCCTCCCACGTCGTGTTGAGCTCGACGACTAGCTTCTCGCTGGCTGCCAGCTGGTCTTCCAGGTCCTTGCTGGTCTCTTCTTGCGCCAAGCGTCGCCGTAACTGGGCCACCTCTGCCTTGAGATCGCTCACCAGCCGGATCGTTGCGTCCTCGTTGACCGTCGCCTGGTTGACAATGCGCTTGGCGCGGTCGGCATAGCGCAGCGTGCTTAGTGTCTCGGCGTAATCGGCCGGGGACACTGCCGCAATCATAAACGTGCGCGAGTTGCCACCGAGGGAGTCCTTGAGCAGCCATGTGAGCACGCTGTCGCGATATGGCACGAATGACTCGCGCGTGGCTGTCTTGGTGCTGTCCGCATGTGGCTTCTTCTCCCGATCTGCCAGCGCCGATATTACTTTGCCAAGCACTGCCAGCGACTGGTTGATCTTGGCGCCCTCTTTTAGCCGAACGCCGGTCGCCATTGTCGCGTCCGCACGCTCGCTGCCGGCCAGATCAACCAGGCTGATGCGCGACACACGCTCGGTGATCTGGCCGGCAGATCCAGTGGCCGAGCGCCTGCTGAGGACAATTGTAAACACCGCGTGCGACCGGCTGCTGACCTCGTTCATGCTGGTGGCGGCCACGGTGCGCGCCTTGTTGCCCTGACTCATGTGCTCGAACACAGCGCTGTACGAGTCGACCGCGGCCTTTGTCAGGTCCTCGACATAGGGTCCTAGCGACGGGTGTTCACGCACTCGCAGATTGCTCGCACCTTGCGGGTTGAGCAGATCGCGGACCCGTTCGTTGTAAATCTCCAGATATGACACCTCGATGCGGTACGAAGCGTCGGGGGTGCCCCTGGCGACCCTGGCAAACAGCTGCTCGCATATCCGAGGAATCAGCCCTGCCTCTTTGCCGCTGCCGCCCATCATCGTGTAAGATTTGCCGCTGCCCGTCTGGCCGTATGCAAACACGCAGCAGTGGTACCCTGACAGAGCGTGCTCTAACACTGAGTGGCCGATGTCGTTGAATACCACCTCCTGGCTGGCGTACCGAGAATCGTTGATGTCGCCGGCCGTCCAGTACGAGTAATCAAAGTTGTACGTTCGCCGAGTCTTGTCCACGGGCTTGCTGCTAATATTGCTGTTGATATTGTGTAAGGCCTCGGGCTTGTCGAGCACTGTCTGCTGACCGCCCATAGACACGAGGCACGAGGCGCCCCTCTTTATTTCGCGCGAATTCAACGGCCGACACCGCACTGCTACAACCACATTTTTGTGCTCTGCCGACATTTAGTCACCGTGTCGAGTAAAGGGGGGGGGAAGTAAATACAAAATGTTGAAAGGAATGAGCTTTGAAAGCAGTGGCTGGAATTAGATAGAAAATGAAATGAAAAAGGCTCTAGAATGCAGTGTGCATAAAATGGAATAACAGGGGGGAAATGGAGAGAGACAGTGAGAAAAGTGAGGAAGTTGGGAAGTTGGGAAGTGCGTGCACACATGAGGGGAAATAAACAAAAAGAAGAGAAGAGAGACATGCCAAAAACAGGCTTTAGAAGACTTAAAGAAACCTTCGGGAGAAATGGCCGGAGCAAAGTGATGATGTGCAACAAAAATGCCGCCGCTCGCTTTTATAAACGCGCTCTGGCGCATAACGCACACTACACATGGTCAGCGAAATAAAATTATAATCGAATTAATTGAGTGCACTATATCATTTTATTTTGCGGGCTACGCCAAACCAAGCATGACTGAACGACCTGGCCTGCCAGTACTTGGCGGTACTTGACATGCCATAACTTGGTTTGGGTCGAATGCGATGTGCTGTGCTATGCTATTTTTTCGATTGACGATTAAAAAGATCGCGCGCTTTGACATATTGTGCATTCTACAGTACACGCCACCCGCTTTCTTGAAGGACACAATGGCAAAGCAAACATCAACAGCAGTACCAGAGGCATTATACAGTAGTAGGCAGGCGGGGAAAAAAAAAGATATTCAAAGGACTTTAATCCCTCACCCTTTTATTTTTTGTCTTGCGCTATCCTTTTAGGCAAGTCTTCCTTTTTTGGTTACTAAATATTCTGGCTGGCTGAGACATGCTCCGCCCGCTTGCTCGCTCGCTCACTCGATCTGCTGTTCCTCTTTCACAACTTGGTATCCCGCATGTGACGTCGTTTGATCATTGGAGCACCATGCATGTGCTAATATAATTTGGTTCATCCGGTGATCTGATCCGCTGTGATCATATCGCCGTTGATCCTTGCGCCCATGCTAAAAAAATAATGAAAGGAAAGGAAAGGAAAGGGGGCTCAGGAAATGGAAATAGCGCTTGCTCGCGCTGCGAATCGAATCGATTCGAGCATTTTATTATCTCTATGGTGTTTTTTTTCGCACCTAAATTTCAAAGCTTCTTTTTAATTGCATTTTGGTACCTGTTGCTCTTTGCGCTGTTGCGTTCGTTTTTGTGCTTGTGTTCGTGTTCGTTCTCGTTTTCGCTTTCGTTTTTTTTTTCCAATTCAGCTTATATTCTTTCAATTTTAAAAAATGTCCGTCACATCGCGCTTCACATTGCCGCTGGCACGCAGGCTGCCGTCAGCACGAATTGTGTCTCTGCGGACACTGGCCGCCGGCGATAGCAGCAGAGGGTACGCCACCAAGCGCAAGGCAGCACCCCACCCAAACTCGGTCCCACTGGAGAAAGCGATCTCGATTCTCAAGGCGTATGAGGTTGGTCAGCCGAAGCAGACGGTTGAGCTTCACGTGCACTGCGCTCCCGAGAAGGGCCAGCCGCCGATCCGCGGCTCGTGCATTCTTCCGATGGCGTACAAGTCGGACATTACAGTTTTGGTCTTTGCTGAGGGCGAGAAGGCGAAGGAGGCCGAGATTGCTGGCGCAGACTATGTTGGCGGCGAGGACCTGGTGAACAAGGTGCGCGATGGCGAGGTCAAGTTTGACAAATGCCTGTCGACTCCGGAGATGCTGCCCAAGGTCGCCAAGATTGCCCGCATGCTGGGTCCGAAGGGCCTGATGCCCACTGTTAATAAGGGCACTGTCACCAGCGAGGTCGCCGAGGCTGTGCGGTATTCGAAAAACGCCTTGGACTTCCGTGCCGACAAGGCCAATATCGTCCACACTGGCGTTGCCAAGGTTGGTTTTTCTGCAGAGGACATCACCGCCAACATTGCCACGGTTATGAAGTCGGTGCGCGCCAACTCCAAGGGCAGCCGGGCCAAGTTTATCAGCCGTGTTTACCTGAGCTCGACCCGTGGCCCTGGTGTGCAGGTTGCCGACGCTTGATAAATGATACAATATATTTTATCTTTGAAACCATGAAATTCCCTGCAAACCAAGGCTATTAAAAATACTTGAGTGGGCTCTGCACACAAGTTGCTGAGCGTGCTAGATCATCATCGAGCTGGTAACGTCTGCACCCAGCTCGCAGCTCGCTAGCTGCAGCAAATCCACGTCGGCACTCACCTCCACCGGCTGGTCGATTGAGTAGATTCGCGATTGCTCCAGCACATACCGGCCCTCCTTGTATTGCTGAGACTTGTCAAAGGCGTGCACGTACTTCCAGCCTATGACTGAGTCGCAGAGGCGACAGTGCAGATTGCACACCGTGTGCATCCCGGTCATCAGCAGCCGATCCTCGCCCTCACCTAGTCGCGCGTTGACCACTGACTCGGTCAAGTAAGCGCGCCCGAGGCGGCCCTGGAACGTGCGCGAGATAACATCATCTCGTTTTGCAATGTGCGCCCTGCAGATCAAGCACGCGTACACCGACGGTGCCTCTATGAACTCTTGAAGCATGAGTCCCATTTCTGTTTAAGCGAGTTAATAGTGTCTGTTATATAAAAGTACCAAAATGATAATACGTTTGCAAGTAAACGAAAGCACCACATTCATCCAAAATGTTGATCTTGCAAAAGGAATATAATATGCACATGTTAAAGTGCTGGGCATGCAATCATCCGTGTGTTTGTTTGCAAACATCAATGCTGCCGCCACTTGTGTCTGGACTACATTAAACCTCACACCTCCAAATAGTCGCACACACTCAATCGTAAGTTTTCATGCACATGCCTTCAGCACACTTGCCGACTGATTCGATTCACTGATCCGCTTCACTGATCCGCTTCACTGATTCAATCGACCATTTTGATCTGATGAAACTATCTCGTAATGAGGATACGAGGCCGCGCGAAGAAAACACGCGAACTGTATTTATTTGACAGCAATACGGATGGCATGGCACTTTTAACTGCCACAATGCGGTCACCGTTTGAATTGTTTGCTCATGAAAAACATGATTTGTTTACAACAACAAAAACAAATTTGTATCATCAAAAAGAGAATGCAAATAGGGATCATGTAGTGCAATATCTGCTTGTTTTCATTATTTGCATTTATAAGCAAAAGTGTCAACATAGTGGCGTATCTGGTCCCTCTGGCGAATGCGCTTGCCGTATTTAATATGGCATCCTTGACAATACATCCTTTCTATGGTGGTCATAAATTACAAAAATAAAAGTGGAAACCTGAGCATGTAAAGTTGCAGATTTAATATGCGAGGCTGTAGGTGTAATTTTATTTCATTTCCATTTACCTTATTGTTGCAGCCAGTTTTGTAACTTTTGTTGGCAATAACAAACGTGAACAAACGTTAGCACATGTAAACATAATGACTATCCCTCTTTATTGAAAATCAATTAAAATACAATACTATATACTATTAGCATATCCAATTGGTGGCTTGGATACCATACAATGCTTGATATTTGGTCAGTCTTTTGTGCAGATTCTTTCGACAACAATAAGAGTGTACATGCACAACTGAAGTAATTGTCGTATTGCATATCCACTAGAACATCGGAAATGAAGGAGGGCGGTATACATAAATAACCAGACGAAGGCCCATCAAACGATTTTTTCCTAGACCCCTCCTGTTATCGTAGTTTTAGTCCTTATTTTAACATTATCACCTTCCCGCTTTTACCCTTGCTTTTCAGCAGTACCATCATACACTTTTATTATCCACAAACCACTCAAACATGCGTCTGACATCCGCTATTGCTATTTTTGCGCTCGCTTTTACTGCCGCTTCCTCCCCAATCCCTGGCGCGCCAGTACTCGGCGGTGTTGTTGATGCTATCGCTCCGATCACTGCTGCTGTCGGAGAAATTCTCAATGAGAAGACCGGCTTTGACAAGCAGGCAGCTGTTCGTCCCCAGTCTCCTACCAGAGACTATAGCAACGTGGCCAAGCAGCGTGACGCACCCTTCTCTGGTGGCTCCAGCTCAGGAGGCTCTAGCTCAGGTGGCTCTAGCTCAGGTGGCTCTAGCTCAGGTGGCTCTAGCTCAGGTGGCAAACCGGCACCAGTACTTGGTGGTGTTGTTGATGCTATCGCTCCGATCACTGCTGCTGTCGGAGAAATTCTCAATGAGAAGACCGGCTTTGACAAGCAGGCAGCTGTTCGTCCCCAGTCTCCTACCAGAGACTATAGCAACGTCGCCAAGCAGCATGACGCGCCCTACAACTAAAACCTGGGCAAGCGTGCTTTTGTCGCGGGTAATTTCTGTCTTTGATGGCTCCGCTTCTGTTGCTGCCTAAGTCGCAGGCGCTGTTTACGAGGAAACTGCTGAGTAGTTTTGGTCTTTACATTTTTTTTATAAATCAATTCAAATTGTTAATAATACTAATTTTGACATGTGCTATTACATTTTTCATAATAAAATTTTTATTGCATCAAATATTTTTGTTTGCTCATAACCAATGTCTCGGGCCGTGTGCTACTCTGAAAATTAACTTTGAAGCAATATACGAATTTGATAACCAGACGCAGACTATATTTTATTATTTGATCATCAAAATGTCAAAAATATTAAGCCACTACCATATCCCAATGTTGCAATTTGTTTGACTGATAAAAAACAAGTCGATTGCCTAATGCTCATTGTACCGTCACCTTTTGTCGTATTGAAGGCGAGATTGCCATTGTTCTATGAAAACCCAAGGCCCCCTCTCCATTTTTAAAATAGCAATTTTATATTTTTCAAGTTAGCATCACAAAGACAATATATTAAACACTTTTTATATAAAGCCACATACCGATTGTTATATCTGGAAATTACAATAGCGGAAAGATGTCGCAAAACATAAAATCAACTTTTATATCGACATGGAAGTGTGCATACAATGGACATTTTCAATATAATGACAGAAAAGGGGGAGTGCATGTGTTTGCCTGTGTGTTTTTGTTTCTTGATTAGGCTGGTTTCTTTCTTGTTGGCGCATTCAATGGCTTGGCTTGTAACACAATAGCATTGGATTTTCTTTTAAAGGCGCACTCCTTGCATGTTTTTGACATTAATGCAGGCTTAAAAATATTGTTTGAATAGTCAGCCTAAAACAAAACAACCCCGATATTTGTTTTGTGTGTATTGGCCAATTGATAAGGAATAAGAGCTTTTTCACGACACACAACTAATCCGTTTTATTTTTCAAAATAAACAAATGAATATTAAAATAAGCAAACAACTTACAATTTAAGCCTGCAAAGGATGAATAAATTGTAGCATATTGTACTCCTAGCAAAATATCAAAACAAAATATATAATATGAATGCCGTAAAGTTATACAATAAAATGCTTGCTGAATCAAACAGGGGTCATTTGTCCGTTACTTGAAATATTGTCGCAATATTGTCGTATGCAATTTATTTTTTAGTGTATTGGCTAAATATTTTCCAAAATATTTTTAACAGAGTCGCCAATATCGAACCTGTATTTAATACGCGTCTTCTTCGCATCTATTCTTTTGACATCCGCTACCCACATCACACTTTCACACCCCTTACATTCCCTTTCATAACCTCTACGAAACTCATTACCTTTTAACGTCTAATTCCTTTCTTTTTTAAGATGCGCATCAATATTTCATTCGCCATTACGCTTTCGACTATCTCGATGGCCTTTGCCGCACCCGTTCCCACCAGTCTTCTTGGAGGCGTCCTTGATCTTATCTCTCCTCTCACCGGTGCTGTCGGGGGTATTGTCAACGGTCTTCTTGGCTTTAAAGCTACTGACACTATTTATCCCACTAATCGCAACTATGACAATGTTAACGGCAACAGCTACAACATTGGCCCCAACACCGGCTACACTGGCCCTAGCTCTGGTAGCCAGGGCCCCAACACCGAATACAAGGCACCTGACTCTAGCAAATACCCTACTAATGGTCCTAGCATTGGAAGCAATAACCCAGGCTTTGGATACTATGATCCTATAACTGGCGAGCATCACAACCATGGTCCGATCACTGGCAGCTATGGTCTTAGCACCGAGTATAAGGCTCCGAGCACCGAGCACAAGGCTCCCAGCACCGAGCACAAGGCTCCCAGCACCGAGCACAAGGCTCCCAGCACCGAGCACAAGGCTCCCACCACTGGCGATTACCACGCCAATGGCCCCAGCACCGAGCACAAGGCTCCTACCACTGGCGATTACCACGCCAATGGCCCCAGCACCGAGTACAAGGCTCCGAGCACCGAGCACAAGGCTCCTACCACTGGCGATTACCACGCTAATGGCCCCAGCACCGAGCACAAGGCTCCCACCACTGGCGATTACCACGCCAATGGCCCCAGCACCGAGCACAAGGCTCCTACCACTGGCGATTACCACGCCAATGGCCCCAGCACCGAGTACAAGGCTCCGAGCACCGAGCACAAGGCTCCCACCACTGGCGATTACCACGCCAATGGCCCCAGCACCGAGTACAAGGCTCCCAGCACTAACACCTACCAGGCCAACGCTCCCGAGCACCAAGAGCAGCCCCGTTACATTGTCAAGTCCACCCTCTAAACACTTTTATTCATATCAATTCACAAACAAAATCTCTTATTATTTACCCCTATCAATTATGAAAATTTTTTTAAACATTCATTGAAAAGATATACATTGAGACAAAAAAACACATTATTTGTCCTCTTGACTATAACTAGCACATTCAATCTGGCCACGGTGCTGCGGATTTACCATTTGCGATGATGATTCGGGATTTTGCACAACAACCGGCTGCTGCTGTTGTTGCTGTTGCTGCTGCTGCTGTGAAAACCCGTAAAGCTGGTTAAAGTACGACATCTGATCTGCTGTCATCTCCAGCGCACCAGCAGCTTGCAGCTGCTCACCAAGTTCTGTCCTAATCAGCAGCTCCTCGCTGGCGTTAAACGCTGTCGCATCAGCCATACCCTGTGGTGCAGCATATATGTCTTCTGACGATAAATAATGCGGTTGCGTAAAGTTGCACTCCTGATTAGTGGTATTATCGTTACCAACTCCTCCCCCCTCTCCTCCTGCTGCTGATATTGCTGTGCTGAACAGGTATCCGGCGTGCTTGTCAAAGGCCAAGGAGGAGGCCGCTGATGGCGTAAAGTTGGCTAGGGCGGCGGCTGTGGCTATGGCATCGGCGGATTGGAGAGACAGAGGTTGGAGCTGCGCTGATGATTGGGTGTTCATGTTCTGCGTAGTGGGAATCTGGTAATCGGGGGTTGCCATCATCTGCGTCTGCATGAGCAAAGTCTGTGACAGCATTATTCCTGGTGGAAAAATTTGGCGGTGCTGTTGTTGTTCAGGTTGTGGCGGCGGCGGCAGCGACGGTAGCAGAAGCTGCTGCTGCTGCTGGATGCTAGCATCTGCGCTGCCAAGATCTTGGGTATGAGTGGGCAACGGCATGGGTGCTGTAGTCTGCGGCATCGGCGACGATGACGAATACAAGGGCTGTCTGCCTGCAAATCGAACCGAGTCCTCGTTTTCTTCATCCACATCCGAGTCATAAATATTGTATGCGTCGCCATCATCCCCGACGACCTCGATCTTGACGGGTCTGCGGAACCTCTGAATGCGCAGCAAGGGCAGCGGCAAGCGCAGGTTCCTCAGCTCCTCAATGTCGTCCGGCGTGGGCAGCACAGCGGAAGTCTCGGCGCGGAAGTAGGAAATAAGATGCTGCTGGTGTACCCTAGGCACCCGGGGCACCCTGTCGCCATCCTTGATTTTCTCCAAATACTCGGCCTCGTTTTCTGGAACAGCCAGCGAAATGGTGCGTTTCATCAGTCCGCCACTCTTTGGATAGAACACACCCTTGTTATTGGCGATTGTCCCAGGGCGTTTGTACTCGCTGCTACTGCTGACCCCATTTCCGCAGCCACTCATTCGCAAGATTTCGTTGGCTCCTTCTTGGTTTGGCTGCAATTTGCGGTCCAGCTCGCGGTATACAAGAAAGTTGCCTAGGATGCGCGATGGTGTCCAGAGCCGGCCATCCGTCCATCTCTTCATCTTGGCCTCCTTTTCGTCGAAAACAACGATGGTGCCGTCGTTGATCTGCTGTTTCTCGCTCTCGTTCAGTCGCCGGATGACGCGTGGAAGCACGGATTGGCGGCACGCCTCGAAGATCGTGAGGGCGTCGCGTGTTGTTTGCACGTGCATCCCGGTGACAGTGAAGCAGGAGCCGATCCCGCCGATGATGACTTCATCGGGGTTGGTGTCGAGCGAGCTCAGGACGGTGTGGGGATCGATGGGCGCTGAAATGGGGGCTGGAAAAGCAACAGAGATGGCGTCAGTCTCAGACATGGGCGCTTGATGCGCGGCTGACGGTGGAAGAGTCGGCGGCCAGTGTTGCTGATGCTGCTGATGCTGGCTGGCATCCGCGCTTGGATCTTGATTGTGTGGGTGAGGATAACTGTCAAAGGGCATTTTCTTTTTTACAAAATGAAATACAAAAAAGATGCTTCAGTTGGAGGGAGAGAGAGCGAGAGAGAAAGGAAGAAAAAGAGGGAAAAGATAGACGTGCTATACAGGCAGGAAAGAGCACTTTAATTTTTATTTATTCTCAAAAGACTATAAATGCTAGAAGAAAAGCGCTGGATGTTTGCAACATTTTGTTTCTGCAAAAACATATTCTCAAGAGCCAAAAAACAGCAGAAAAAGAAATTCGTCTCTTACTCACTCAGTTGGCTCTCTCATATCCCTTCTTAAGCTAACCTTAAACAGGGCTACGCATTCATTCATTCATTTATTCTTTTCTCACATAGTTTTTTTTTTGATTAGGGAAATTTCATATAACGTGGATGCGAGAATATAAAGAGACTCTGATATTTTTATTTCATTCGGCAGAAATAAAATGAAAAATATCAAAGTAACCTTTTTTATTTATCTCCAATCCAAAACAAGTAATGTTTGCAATACACACGGTGTTGCATATTTTTCCGTTGTGATTTTCTGATGATCATAGAAAGAAAAATAATTCAAAGTAAAAAAAGAAGGAAAAAACACGAGATTATACTCGCGTATGAAGTCTTCACCTTGGGGGCGGAGGAGTGTTGTAACCCCTCGAGCAATTATTAAACATTTACACAAAAACGTAAAGAAGTTGTTTTGTATCTACTGATTCCAATCAACACTAACGCCAGAAAACGAGTCCAAAGCCTCAATCCCCTTCATGGCATTCTCAGCCTCCCACCGCGCCTTGAATTTAACAGCAAACGTGAAGGGCGGCTCATTCCGATCCTCGACTTTATCAATGCCCTCGACGTCGCCAAACTGAGCCATCTCCGAGTCCAATCTGACTGCTGCGTCCTGCCCGACCCCGCGCAAAACAAGCGTCCGCGGTCTCTTGTCCAAACTCATCGATCCACGGTTGACCATGCCGCCGCGCATGCTGCCGCCACGCCCACTGCGCATGCTAATAGCGCTGCTGCCAACGCTCAGGCGGTGGGCCTCGTCCTGAAGCGCCCTGAGTTTGATCTCCAGCGCCTCCTTCTCGCCCTCCAAGGAAGTGGCAGTGGTAGTGGCAGTGGTAGTGGCGACAGAGGATTCGGCGGTGGCCGCCTGAGCTGCTGCTGCCTCTTCGGCTGCCGGCTCGGGCGCCTTGAACTCTGCTGCTGCTGCTGCTGCCGTTGGCGCTGGCTTGGGCTTGCGGATATCGTTCATTTTCTGCTGGATCTGGGTGATCGAGTCCATGATGATCTTGCGTGTCTGCGGCGACATGTCCTTGGTCGTCGTCAGCTTCTTCATCAGCTCCTTCTGTTGCTCCACGTACTTTTCGATCATCTCTGCCATCTTGATAGCCGCTGACTTTGGCTTCCACACTGGTGGGGCCGCAGCACCACCGAGGGCTGCCGCTTGTTGGGCCTGTGCCTGGGTTGCTGCTGCTGCTGCTGCTGCTGGCTGTGCTGAGCCGTGCTGGTGCTGCTGCTGTGCGGCGGCGGCAGCGGCCAGGGTGGGATCGCCGGCGGATGTGAGGCTGAGTCTGGCCGGGTGGGCGCGCACAAAGCGGTTATTAAAAATAGCGTCTGGGCTGTTCAGCGCCTGGTACTGCGCTGAGGGCTCGGCAAAGTCGACAATGGCGTTGTGCTTGTGGTAGTCGATCCGTGCCTCCGTCACTGTTCCAAACTTGGAGAAGAATGCGCGCACAGCAGGCTCTGACAATGATTCGTCAGGGATGTTGTTGACAAAAACAGCCGTCTGTGACATTGGCTGCATGTCGTGGGCCCCTTGCTGCTTATGTTGCTGCTGAGGCTGCTGCATCATTGGCGGCTGCATCTGCATCGGGTAGCTGCCCTGGCGGTACTGCTGCTGCTGCTGCTTCTGTTGTTGCTGCTGTGGGAGTGCGTTGCCCAGAGGCATCATGAATGGCGGGCGCATGCCAGGGGGCATGAACGGCATTTGGTTCGAGCCCGGGCCCTGCGCCTGGCCCATCATCTTTGCCTGCTCGGCCGTGACGTGAGCAAACCTGCAAGAGTCACCGCGCTGGCAGCTGCCCTTACGCATAAAGTCGTAGCACGGACGAAGCTGCCTCTGCTGCTGCTGCTGCGGCTGCGGCTGAACGTTCTGTTGAAAGTCCTGCTGGTTCTGGTTCTGGTTCTGGTTCTGGTTCTGGTTCTGGTTCTGGTGTTGTTGCTGCTGCTGGGGCATCGCCCCGACTCTCTGCTGGTTGCCAGGGAAATTGTTCGGTGCCGATTGCTTCCGATCATTAGCGGGTTGCAAGGGGCCATTGAGCAGGTCAATATCAATATCGCGGTGCTCCCTAGCCGGTCTCCGCCTTTCAGGGCTTCTCCGCCTTTCCGGGCTCCTCCTCCTGTCAGGACTCCTCCTTCTATCGGGACTCCTTCTGTCCCTATCACCGTACCGGCTGTGGCGTGCCGACGGGCTCCTGCTGCGTTTCCTGCCGTTGCTCCTATCTGGAGACCGTCTGTCGGACGAACTACCGCGCTGTGTGCCCTGGTGCCGCTCGGAAGATCCCCGCACCGAAAACTCCGCCTGAAGTGCTGAAGGGGCTGCGATAGTAGCTGAGGCTGGAAGGTACTTTTTCGCGCTGAGCGCGTCAAAAAGCGTCTCCACAAAGGCGTCTGTTTGGTCGCCGAAAAACTCGATGAGGTCGGTTTTGCAGTGGTCTTTTAGCTCGGCCTCGCTCATGTCATTCTGCAGTGTAACCAGGATGTAGTCAGCCATTATGCTGGGGTCGGCATCGCACCTAGCAAAAAAAGAAGGGGAAAGGACAAGTGATTGTGTTAGTGAATGTAAAAAGGATGCATTGTTGGTGCTGCAATGTCAAGTTTATTTTATTTTTCAAATCAGCATTTCATTTCATTATTTTTCATTTGCTTTGAATGCTTACTCTTTCTCAATTTTGTTGAAGAGGAAGGTCTTTACTAGAGCCTCGTCCTTCTCGTCAAACAGTGCCATATTTTGTTCGGGTAAAAAAATATATATAATAGAAATATAAAGTGAGAAAGAAAGAAAGAAAGAAAGAAAGAAAGAAAGAAAGAGAGGAAAATTGAACTAAAAAGAATAAAAGACTACGGTTTTGTCAAGAGAAATGATAAAAAAAAAGATGTTTGAAATTTTGTATATAAAAAAGACAAAACGCGCGTTTTGTAAAAAGAGAGAAAAGGGGAGGAAAGAAAACAAGTAAAGGGTGAGCGGGACTGGACTGCAAACGTATTTTTTTTGGTGATAATTTTTTTTTGCTGTGCTCGAAAAAAAACATTAAAAAAATTGTATGTTTCGGCATACAGCTTAACCACGCGGCATTTTTTTTCGTTGGCTAAGAAAAAAAACCCAACCCAGACCCAAACCCAAACCCAAACCCAAAATATTTAATTAAATTAGTACGCGATCAAGCCAAGCCAAGCCAAGCCAAGCCAAGCCAAGCGCACTTATTTGATTGCGATCATCTTGATCATTTCATGCCAACAATGACGTTACATTTAACAACACGTTGCGAAAAACGGGCTGGAATCCGCCTTGCTCTCGCTAACGCACAGAATCTCTCGTTCTCCCCACGTAGCAGTTTTCAAAACAACATCAAATTGCACATATATATTCCTTTACAGCATAATTTATTTCTTTTCAAAAATATGTCGTTCAATTCGCTCTACTCTATCCTCGACGACCTCACATCCACGCTCTGCATGCGCCCGCTTTTCGCCAGCCAAAAAAGCCGGCAGCGGCTGACCATCAACAACATCGAGTACCGCATAGTGGACCGCCTAGGCGAAGGTGGATTCAGCCACGTCCTGCTGGGCGAAACCCCGCAAAAGACGCACTACGCTATAAAAAAGATGGTCTGCCACCGGGGCACAGACGCGCTAGCAATGGCAAGGCGCGAAATAGCCGCGTATGGCAAGTTCCAGCACCCCAATATCATCCGTATGGTGGACCACAGCATCATACATGATGGGGGGGAGGATGGCGAGAGGACCACCGTGTACATGGTGTTTCCGCTCTACCGCCAGGGCACGCTGCTCGATGCGGTCCGCCGCAGCCAGGACACAGGGCGGCCACTGGACGAGGACACCCTCGTTCGTCTGTTTCTGGGCGTCTGCGAGGCCGTGCGGCACATGCACGAGTTCGGGGAGGGAGACGCGGAGACCGCGTATCGTCGGGGGAGGGAGACGCGGAGACCGCGTATCGTCGGGGGGATGCAGCCGCAGAGACCGCGTATCGTCGGGGGGATGCAGCCGCAGAGACCGCGTATCGTCGGGGGGATGCAGCCGCAGAGACCGCGTATCGTCGGGGGGATGCAGCCGCAGAGACCGCGTATCGTCGGGGGGATGCAGAGGCCAATGCCTCGGGGTACGCGCACCGGGACATCAAGCTGGCCAACATCATGCTGTCCGACGACGGCACCACACCTGTGCTGATGGACTTTGGCAGCGTTGCGCGAGCGCGCCTCACGGTGCGCGATCGCTCCGAGGCGCTGCGCATCCAGGACGATGCGGCCGAGCAGTGCTCGATGCTGTACCGCGCGCCGGAGCTCTTCGACGTGCAGCGCGGCTGCTCCCTCGATGAGCGCACGGATGTCTGGTCGCTGGGCTGTCTTCTGTTCGCGCTCGCCTGGGGCCACACGCCGTTTGAGCATCCGCTTGCAGGCGGCGGCGGCGGGCCTGGCGCGTCCATTGCGCTGGCCGCAATCAACGCCAACTACACCGTGCCGCGCGATAGTATCTATTCTGGCCGTATTGCGCGGCTGGTCGCGTTTATGCTGGAGCCGGACGCGGCCAAGCGGCCGTTTGTTCGCGACGTGGCTGAGCTGGCCAGAAAACTATACCATTGATAACCGTGAAAAAGATAAAAGAAACTAACTGAAAAAGCTGCGTCTACGCAGAGTCCTCGTCAGAGTCCTCCTCGTCGGCCTCCTCGAGCCACGTGATAAAGGGCTGGGCGGCCCTGTGGATCTGCTTGGCGGCTTCCTTGTCGACGTACTTCTTGGACGGCTTCTTGCCCCACTCGAGGAACGCGTCCTCCTCGACAACCTCCTCGTCAAACAGCGCCTTGAAGATGGCCGGCGCCTTGGGCAGCAGCTTGTCCATGTTGGCCTCGATGACGCGCTCGAAGCCGCCGATGATGGCGCGCTGGTGCTTGTCGCTGTCGCCGAACGCCATCAGGATCTTGTCGCGCTTGGCCACGTTCTTAACAACCGACGCCGGCTCGTCGAACAGGCACATGATGACGACAACCAGCGCGCGGTGCTTCTTGTCGAGGTCCAGCTGCTGGGCCTTCTCGAAGATCTCGCGGTCCGAGGCGTCCTTGTTGGCCTTGATAAAGTCGCCCAGCAGGTCATACGGGTCGGCCTCCTCATCTTCACCGCCGGCGCTCAGCTTGATCCCGCCGGAGAGCACGCGCTGGCGCTCGGCGACGGCCTCTTCGGACATGTCGAGCTGGATGTCCCAGTCGTCGTCGTCGTCGAGCTTCAGGTTGGCGGCGTCGCCGGCTAGCAGCTCAAAGTCCTTGTCGTCGCCGCTGTTGGCCTCGCTGCTGCCGCCATCCTGCGCAGGGTTGCCGTTGGTTGTGGCCGACGCGTGCTGGCCTCCCTTCTTCTCCTTGGGCGGCGGGTTCTTGATGATGTACGTGGACAGCCTGTGGCGCATGTCGACGTCGGTGCACTGGCCGCAAGCCATGCACCGGCGGATGATGCTGTGCTCCCTGGTGATGATCAGATCAGTCTCGGGGTTCTTGCAGTTGCCGCACAGCACGTACTTGTCGATGAAGGTGAAGAGGAGATCCTGCAGCTTGGGCACCTCATGCATGCCGTTGACAATGTACTTTTCGTTCTTGTCGTCGATGTTGACCTGCGCGCCGAGCTCGCTGCCAAAGAACTTGGTGGCGTACGCCGGCGGGCGGCTGAGCGCGCGCGAGACGTCGATGATGTTGGGAAGCACAGTCTTGATGCCGTTCCCCTTGCCCTCGACCTTGCCCTGCAGCCGGGGCATCTTGTAGCGGTAGAACTGGTCGGTTGTATCGCGCCGGATGTTGATTTGCCCAGACATCTTGGAAGTCGGTCAGTTAATAAGAAATAGTATTAGCGATGGGTTTTCTGGTATATAAGCGTACAGCTGTGGTTGTTGCCAGGGCGTCGATAAATGTTCTTGAAGTTCTCAGGCATGAACGAGTGAGTCGAGAAAAGAGAAAAAAGGGTTCTGCTCTGATTATCGAGGAGTGAGAAATATACTATCTTTTCAATTCAGCTGAAATTGAGATTGGAATAATAAAAAAGTTTTTATTTTTTGCTGGTTAGCTTTGCAAAAGAGAAAAAAAGCCGTTTATAAAATATAGCTTGAGCAAATGACTAAATTCGCTGTGAATCTTGTAGAAAAAAATGTAAAGAGTAGTAAAGTATTTTGCAGAGAATAAAGAGAAAGGAAGAAAAAAACAGTTGAGAGGACAGACGCCAGACTTTTTCACATTTTATTTTCATTTACTAAAATTAAGGACTTGCATGATTTTTTTTTTTTGGGGGGGGAGGCTTTGTCACAATCAATAGCAGCAAAATAAAGCAAAAACAGCAGAAAAATTTTCTTTTCCTTCTTGCGCCCAGCCTTCCCATCGGCTTTATTTTTATTCTGAGTATCTTTGCGCAAAAGGGTCACTTGGCCTTAAAAAGAGATATTTGCCATTCCGTAATCCATTTCATATGCTGTTACAAATTCCACCTTTAATTTAATACCTCGCCGCCATTATTCGCTGCCTCCCCCCTTTCCAATTCATTCCAATTCACACAACAAATAGGCATGGCGTCCTTTGACCGAAAAACCGACAAGGCCACGCATTTCGAGACCAGCAAGGGCATCAGCGTGGTCAGTTCGTTCGACAAGATGGGCCTGAAGGAGGATCTGCTGCGCGGCATCTACGCATACAACTTTGAGCGGCCATCAGCCATCCAGCAGCGCGCCATCATGCCGATCATCAGCGGCCGCGACGTCATTGCACAGGCGCAGTCAGGCACAGGCAAGACCGGCACGTTGGGCATCTCGCTGCTGCAGCGCATCGACACGGCTCTGCGCGAGACGCAGGCGCTGGTGCTGTCGCCGACCAGGGAGCTGGCGACCCAGACGCAGGGCGTCGTGGCAGCGCTGGGCGACTACATGAGCGTGCAGTGCCACGCGTGCATCGGCGGCACCAAGATGGCCGACGACATGCGGCGCCTCGAGAGCGGCGTGCACGTGGTATCGGGCACGCCCGGCCGCGTCTACGACATGCTCAAGCGCCGCGTGCTGCGCGCCCGCAACATGAAGGTGCTGGTGCTGGACGAGGCCGACCAGCTTCTTGATCGCGGATTCAAGGATCAGATCTACGACATCTACCGCCACCTGCCGCCGTCCACGCAGGTCGTGCTGCTGAGCGCGACGCTGCCGGGCGACGTGCTGGAGCTGACCCAAAAGTTTATGAAGGAGCCCATGCGCATCCTGGTCAAGCGCGACGAGCTGACCCTCGAGGGCATCAGCCAGTTCTTTGTCAATGTCGAAAAAGAGGACTGGAAGTTCGAGACGCTCTGCGACCTGTACGACTCGCTGACCATCACGCAGGCCGTCATCTTCTGCAACACACGCGCCAAGGTCGACTGGCTGACCAAGCAGATGGAGTCGGCCAACTTTACCGTCGCCGCCATGCACGGCGAGATGCTGCAGAAGGAGCGCGACTCGATCATGACAAAGTTCCGCCAGGGCACGTCGCGCGTGCTGATCACCACCGACATCTGGGCCCGCGGCATCGACGTGCAGCAGGTGTCGCTGGTCATCAACTATGACATGTGCATCAACCGCGAGAACTACATCCACCGCATTGGCCGCTCGGGCCGCTTTGGCCGCAAGGGTGTGGCCATTAACTTTGTCACGTCCGACGACGTCAAGCTGCTGCGCGACATCGAGCAGTACTACGGCACGCAGATCGACGAGATGCCGATGAACGTGACGGATCTGTTGTAAAAAAATTAAATTAAATTAAAATTAAGTTAAGTATTTCAGGGCTTTGTATTTGCACAGCTGTGATAGAAGTCAGGAGGCCTAGCGTGCTTTTTCGATGGAAAAGTTAAGAGATATCGAGCCACTATATCGGCAAGTATGGCTAGACCAAGGCTCTGCGGAGGGGGTGGTTTTGCTTTTTAATATGGGCTGGCCTACTGCGGGAAAGGGCTTTTTGATTTCCCGATTGGCGCAGCCAGAGACAATGCCCTGTGTACATAACCTTGTAGTTTGAATCCACAGAGCCATGTAACAGGTTTAAATCAATATATCCATGCAAGCTCACACTCAAGGTCTCCCGCCAATCCTAATCTCCAATCTCCAGTCTTTAATCTCCAGGCAGCCGATTAAGAAACTTTACTTTACACAGAAATCATCGCTCCCGTTTACTTATATGCCTGGCGGGGGTTTCCAAAAGGTTTGTCAGCTTCTTTTGTCCTTTGTTCTTTCTCTTCCTTCTGGGACATTGCAATTCATTTAATTTCCTTTTTATTCTTCTTTTCTTTAAATGTCACTCAAGGCCCTGCTCGAATCGGCCGCCACAGCCAAAATCCCGCTCTGGCAGGTACTGCTGTTCGGCGGCACCACACTGCTCGCCCGCCGCCTCCTGCTGGCCCGCGCCATCCATACCACCACCGCAGCCCCGGGCGCGTCCAAAAAGAAAGCCAGGGAGGCAGAGCCAGCCGTCACAGAGGACACCAAGCTGGTGCTGATCATTCGCACTGACCTGGGCATGACCAAGGGCAAGATTGCCGCGCAGTGCTCCCATGCCACACTCGGCTGCTACAAGCGTGCCCTCAAGCAGGCGCCCGCTATGCTCAGAGCCTGGGAGTACTGTGGTCAGGCCAAGGTCACGCTCAAGTGCTCCAGCGAGGAGGAGATGCTGGCGCTGCAGAAGAAGGCCCATGAGATGGGCCTTGTTGCCCAGTCCATCTGCGACGCTGGGAGGACACAGATCGCCGCTGGGTCGCGCACTGTTCTGGGCATTGGCCCCGGCCCCGTCTCCCTGGTTGATTCAGTCTCGGGCCACCTCAAGCTCTACTAAACATTTTACCATCCATTATTTTGTATTTCTATTTAAAGCGGGTAATAAAAAGACATATGAAAGAAACCCTTAGTTTGCACTGCGACGGCGGCGATAGATCTCGTCCACCCACGCCTGTACCTGCGGGTGGCGGAAGATACCCCTGGTCGAGGCAAAGAATGACTCGAGCTCCTTTGCGTCCGACTTTTCGTACTCCATGGCCTGCTGGATCATCTCACACTTGTCCAGATCATGTACCAAGTGCGACTCCATTGTAGCGTCGTCCTCGTACTCGCGCCACAGGGATTCAATCTCCAGCGCCTGTGCCGAGCTGTCCAAAGTTTCGACCAGCTGCTTCATGCCCTGCTCCTCCATCTCACGCTTGCGCTCCTTGCTGACGCCGTCGAAGGGCGTGATGTCTCCAACCAGCGCCTCGGCGAGGTCGTGGACGATGGCCATTTTGATACACCGTGTGCGGTCCAGTGATGAGTCCTCGATGAGCATAGCCATGATCCCCATGCGGTACATGTGGTCGGCGATTGATTCGGGCGACTGAATGCCGTTATTGATCCAGCCTGTGCGCTTGGTCCGCTTGAGCTGCTCAACCAAGCTGAGAAAGTCGATGACGCTGCTGGCTGCCGTCGAATAGTTTGTTTTTGCTGTTGCTGTTGTAGCTGTGGCTGTGGCTGTAATTGATGACATGGTTTGATATTATCAGTTTTTTTATGTATTTGAATAGAGGGAAGAAAAAGAGAGAAAGAGAAAAATCGTCTGATCGAAACTTTGCTTAACAAAATAGCCAAGATAAAAAATAAATGCGCGGGTGTGTAATAAAACAATCAGTCCAACGCATGCATTTAATAAAAAGTTTTGAATAAAAGTTTTTGCTCGCGCCCTTTTTTGTCTTTGCAAACCCTCGATTTTAAATTCAAATCCAATTTAACATTTATATTTGCCCATACAACCACACCCACACACTCACTCACCCCCAAGGTAAGACACTTGTTTTTGTTGTTGTGCTAACGAAATACATTCTTCTTCTACCAACCAACTCGCACTTAGAACACACATACAAAAATATATACACGCATACGCGCGCTCAATGGACCAAACCTCACAGCTTGCAGCCGGCAGGCTGGACGACTTTGGGCTTGTAGACTACGAGTCACCAAGCCTCGGCCCTCAGGAATCCCCTCAGTTTGCACCCAGCTATACAGCCGACGCACTGCCAGAACCCAACGATGAACTCATCGACTATGAAGAGTTTGATGCCGACGAAGACGAAGACGAGTTGGAGCATCAGAGTGAGAAGGATATCTTGGAGTTTCCGGATCAACCAGCGTCTGACGACCACGATAACCTTGAGCACCAGGATAACCTTGAGCACCAGGAGTATGCTCTGGTTGAGGCTGAGCAAGAGCACCTTGAGCAGGCTCAGCTTGCATCTGAGCAGGAGAAGCGTGAGCAGGCTCAGCTTGCATCTGAGCAGAAGCAGCGTGAGCAGAAAGCGCTCCAAGAACATCCTGAGCAGGATCATCTGGGGCAGGAGCACCTTGAGCAGGAAGCGCTGCAAGAACACGAACGGCTTGCACCAGAGCATGGTCAGGGCGAGCTTATCGGGCAGCAACAAAACGAGCTGATTGAGGCCAAGCAGGAGCACCACGAGCACGGCCTGATTGAGCTTGAGCAGCAGCACCAGGACCAGTCCACTGCTGAAAAGCACTGGACTGATGGTCTGGCGCAGCCTGAGCTAGTAGAGGAGCAAGCCTATGGCGAGCAGTTCGAGTTTGAGCAGTTTGAGCAGCTTGAGCCCCCCGAGCCGCACGTGTCGCAGCTGCCAGCTGCGGTCAGCGACGCCAGCGCTAACTTCGCTGTTAATGCCAACGACGATGTCCAGACAATTGGCAGCAGCGACAACGACCACGATGCCTTTTCTGAGCTCCCAGTGGCTGACGGCGACAGCATTGACTTTGACGCGCCCGACCACTCGGTGATCGACCTCACGCAGGATATTCATGAGCCCAAAATTGACGTTGACGTTGACGCTGAGACTGAGACCGAGACCGAGCATCAGCTCCGGGGCTTGCGTGTGCCTGAGACCTGGGTGTTTAGCGACGGCGAGTGGATGATTTACCTGGGCCCTGGCCAGCCGTCATACAGTGTGGATTACCAGACTGCTTTGTTCGAGATGCCGCTGGATCAGCTCATTGTTGCCCTTCACAGCGACATTCTGCTCAAGGAGGACATGGAGCTGTCGCTGGAGTTTCCGTCATTGGCCTTGGTCATCGATCAGGTAATTTTGAATTATGTTTGTTGCACCAATGCCTCCCTCTTGTGCTTTTTGTATTTTGTCTTTTGTCTTTCGCCTTTCGCCTTTCGTCTTTTGCCTTTCTTCCCTCAATTTGCTTTGCTGTGTTGTTCGCCATTGCGCGCGAGCACAATGGATATGCGAACTTTGATTCAGAAATGTGGGGAGGGGAGGGAGACGAGGGAAGGTTATAACGGTTCGTGTGCTCCCGGGCCTTCTATTTTCCACTTCAACAATCATGCTTGAAGTGTTACGCACATGTCGTGGTTTTCGTACTGCAGCCTTTTTTGGAATTACTTTTGGGGGACTTTATTTGTTTAATCCAACGCGCTCGCTCTGCAAAAAATATGCCTGGCTGCTACTACCCGCCCATTTCAAGAAGAGGAAAAATCAACTCGCAACAATTGTTGTGCTTATTTTTTCGGTCAGTTGTCAGTGTGTGTAGGCCGTGCACTAACAACAAATATTTTCTACTATTTTTCTTTTCATCTCTTTGTTTATCGTAGCGCGATCAAGAGAGCGCCGCGCTCAACCTTGCTCAGATATATAACTGCCATGTCGCAGCCGTCCGCCTGGGAAAGGTCTCTGTTGACATTCTCAATTCGCCTTATTTCTCCTATTCATCTTCGCAGACATTTACTCCTTCTCCTGAATCTTTTGCCTTTATTATCCACACCCGCCCAACCGTTCACACCACCATCTCCCGCATCATGCAACTTGTTGACGAGCTTGAGCACATCGACAGCGCAGGCGTGGACGCTCACGCCGAGCACGGCCATGACTACCAGTCAGAGGACGACGAGCCCACGACAGTGCCCAACGGGGCGTACGAGCACAATGCGGAAGATGAGGATGCAGAGGAGCCCAGTGCCGCTGAGCTGCTCCTCGGCGACGATAGTCTCGGTGAGGAAGACGAGGACGAGGACTACATCTCTGAAGGCGAGGACGAGGGCGACCACGTTCTCGGCCCCGATGCCGTGCGGGCTGAGGCTGACTATGAGCTTGTCGACGATTACAATGGGGAGGACGACGATGACGAGCATGACGATGACGAGCATGAGGACGACGATGACGACGAGGAGGCTGGTGACGATTTCGAGACGCACGTCGACTCGGATACCGGGTCGCCGTCGAACAAGCGCGCACAGGACTTAATTTCCACGAGCAACCACACCGACGACGAGGCCGATGTCAACGATGATGACAACGAACCGCCGTCTGCAAAGAGAGCGAGGGGCGCTGCCCAGAGCGCGCTTGTGGAGGAGCAGCAGCCGGTCGAGGACATTGCTGCCGAAGCGTAATCAGTGATATTTTATGTTGTTTGTTTATTTTATATTGCGAGGTGAAATACACCCGCATTACCTTTCACTATATTGCATTTATATAAACCATTTTATATTCATATATATATATTATTTCTTCACTGCTCCTTCAAATGACATTGTGTTCGAGCATGATACTGACGAGCCTTGAGCGGGACGCCGCAGCCTGTGCGTGCAGCTCGGCTGAAAGCCTCTCGCATTGCGCCTCGTCAACAAAGCGCAGAGAAACATCCAGTGCACGCTGAGAACCGAAATATGTATACGTCAGTTTCTTCGGCACCTCCCTGTTTTCCAAAGACGACGATGGCGGCGGTGGCATCATCGTCGTTGGCGTCGCTGTAAACTTACTAAAGCTCTGCACGCGGTGCTTGGCCGTCGCCGTGTTGATTCCGCCTAGAGACTGCGGCCTGGGCGGATAAAACGGCGCGGGAAACGGCGTATCCTGCAATCTCAGCACGTGCAAGGCACCGGCCGCTGTGGTCTCTGTGCTGCGTGTGACCACCACATCGGCCAGCGGCCACACGAGCTCCTGGGTGTTTCCTTGGTTGATATACAGGCAACCGGAGTGGCAGGCAATGATGGCGGGGAATCCCAGGCGCGTTACAGATTTGGGCAGTGCGTGTTTGCCGTAATTATCAATGACGGTTACAGACTCGGTTACGTGTGCGGTTTCTGCTGGCGGTGGTATTGATGAGCTGGAGGCTGGTGGCTGGGTGCCGAGCCATTTGTGGAGGTCGGGGGCGTAGAGTCCACGGACATTTGCTGATGCTGTTGGTTCGCCTGGCTGTTGGTCAGGACTTAGCGCGGCGCGAAGACGACGGAGGTGGTATGCCTGGTGGATTGATGCAGCCAAAACAACGTCTTGCGGCGTGTCGCTCTCAAAGGGCGAATGCATGTGAGCAGACTGCACCGACATGTGTAGATTTGACCGGCCTACTGATGGTGGCGGTAGTGCTGGTGGCAGATTAGTGGTATTTTCAATGACATTCTGGTACTTGTCTTCGGGATCAAATATAAAGCGGCCCTGCGACTCGACTTTATTTCTCAGCATATCAGCGTTACTGTTGGCGAAATCCACCAGACATTTGACTAAAATCTTCCATGATCCACGCGCGACCATGTTGCTGGCATCGGTATCAGTATCGACGTCGGTATCGGCGTCGGTATCGGTATCGGCATCGGCATCAGTATTGGCGGATGTTTTTGTTGTTTTTGTTGTTGTTGTTGGTGTTGGTGTTGGTGCCAGGAGCATTGCACGCAGCTCTGCCGAATGCGCATAGTGTGCCTGCTCGAGCTCATCGGCCATCCCTGGATCCAGCACGATCTGCCCGCGGCTATTCCTCGTCAGCTGCACCAACAAAAGCGCGGCAAGATCAATAGTAATCCAATTGTGCGCTGGTGGCGTATCCGCCAGCACCTGCATCATGGAAGTGACAATGGTCTGCGTATAAGGGGGCAGAGGCGCAACAGGAATCCTTGCTAGTGGCTTGCCACCAGAACCACTACCACCACCAGTATTGTGCATTGGCTGTTGCTGCTGCTGTAGCTGAGTCAGTGTCAACGTCATATCGGTCCTGCCAGACGACGAGAAACTGCGACAGTCAAGTACAGCAGTGTTTCCTGTCAGCGATTCAAGAAGCGCGCGGGTGCGCAGCATACGGCGTGGCATAAGCACTGATTTAACAAGGGTTGTCGGGCTGATAGCCTTATTGTTGAGAACCTCCAGCGTGGCGCACAGCCAGGGCATCAGCGTATGTGAGGACTCGAACGGAGACAGGACAAACGGATGTGTCAGCCGAGGAACATCCTCCATAGTGTCCTGCACAGCCCTATTGTTATTATTGCTGCTGCTGCTGTTGCTGTTGCGGATATGATGACCCGGTCTAATGCCGTACGGCTGCGGATCGTCACCGCTGTAGGCATCGCTCAGAGACCGCCTGATACCTCCAGGACTCTGCTCCCTGATTGCGGGCGAGTACACAAAGAGCGCGTTGATAGTGTCTGTGAGCAAAGGGGTGTACCGGATAATGGCGAAGAAGTGCGCGATAAACAGCGCCACGACTTGCATATACAGAGACTCCTCGTGCGATGCTCCGGCGCGCCAGCCGACCTCAATGGCATGCACGTATGTGCGGAAGAGTATGCGGTCGTTGAACTCGTCGGTGACCCTGCGGTTGATGCGCTCGACGCCCAGCCCGTATATATCGTTGAGGTACGCCAGTAGGCCCATGTGGTTCTCCAGAATCATGTCTATCGACGCCCAGACCTCCGAGACCTTTCCGGCTTGTTTGCCTGTGGGCAGGTCAACGAGAATGCGGAAGGCGTCGTCATATGAGTCCTTGAGCGTGTGCATGATCTGCTCCCAAAAGTGCACGCATCGGGCCGCGTCCAGGATAAACTCTAGCGCGCGGCGGTCGTTGATTCGGAAGACATTCAGTGTGATTGCGCGCACAGCCACGCGCACCATCGAGTCTGGGTGATCAAACAGCGAGATGGCTGTCGTGTACAGTGGGAAGTCATTGAGGTTGCCGTCGTTGAAGAAAAAGTGGATCGTGTCGGGCGTCAGCTTGAGCGACAGCGCCTTGAGGAATGCCACGTAGTAGGGCAGCACTTCATCGTTGTCTAGATCCATTGGCGTGGTAATCAGGCGATTTACAAAGTTGTTGGACAGCAGCGCATAAAGAAACCCAGTGTCCGTGATTCCGTCGAGAATGATGCTGAATGTCTGCAGCACCTGGACGGCGACAGCTGCCGAGACGGCTGTAGGCGGGCCAGTGTGAGTGAGCAGCCGCAGCATGGACTGATGCAGGTTTTGCTCTATTATCAGGCTGAGCATCTCGGGGTTGCGGCGGTCGCACCAGATGGTAAGCTCAGATACCTGGCGCACGCTCTCGACTATTCGGCTGCATGTCGAGCGCTTGGCTTTGGCTGTGCTGAGGTATTCGGCGAGGGTGTGAATTTGGTCACGGCGCTTCTGTGCGTCCTTGGCATTACTCTGTCTTTTGCTTGCCTCGTCCAGCTGACGTTGGCTTTGCTGCTGCTGCTGCTGCTGCTGCTGCTGTGGTTGTTGTTGTGTCTGGGGCTGTTGTTGTGCTTGGGTTTGTGGTTTGCCGAGAATATTGAGGAACTGCTCAAACATGAGAAATGTATGGTCCACGCAACGTTGGTGGAAGAAAAAGGAGAAAAAGGAATTAAATAACAGTATTAAAAAAAAGTAATGCAAGAATATCAAAGAGGCAAAAATAAAGAATAAAAATAAAAAGAGGGAAACTATTTCGCAAAAAAATGAGCATATTTGTATGGGTGTGGATGTGGGGGGAGAGAGAGAGAAGCAGAGTGATGATAAAAAAGGGTGACTGTCATTTGAACTTTGAAATCAAGAATACACTCTGCCGTGCCTCTCCCCCTGCTTTGCGCTGCGCTACAATGCTTCTGCTTTATCAGCAAAAATTAGAAAAATTAGGAGGCGTGCTGACAAAACGAAAATGATATTTGATGTGCGGAATGTGGAATGTGGCAAGTAGTAAGTGTTGTAGTCGGAATGTTTGTTATATTCTCGCAAGTGGAGCAAGCGGGGTAGGGGGGATGGACAGAATGTGAGAATTGACCCAATAACATTAGAAGCAATAGCGCCAAAGCCGGTTCAATTAGAGTGAACAAGGATCGGTAGACAGGATCAATAAATATAACATATAATGCCCTGTCATTTGTTTGTACTTGACCAACAGTTTAAAACTCCATTACAATAACACTATTCAACACCATTACTCCTATTCATCCTCGCTATTATTACTCTTATAAATTCGCTCATCAACTTTAAAAAAACACGCACTTTCTACATGTCTTTTTTATTTAGCATTGCTGCCTTTGGCAGAAGGCTGGCCACCAAGGCACTTTTGACGCTACTTGCTCTGCTCGTGTTATCTCGGCTAACACTTGGCCAAGACAGAACAAGGCTCAAATGCCACAGCCTGCCGCATACCGCCGGTATAGTGCTCCGGGCATACGACAACGCAGACATAATCGACATAGACTGCGAGACAACAACCAATAGCCGCGTCGGCAATACCACGGTATGGCACCGCACAGTGGACGGCTGCTACGTCAGCAATTTCTACTTTTACGTGCCCAAAGACGACCGCATCCCGCAGTGCACTCTGCTGGACAGCAAGTCGTCCTGCGAGCTGCCTAATCTCGAGTCCCTGAAGATCATCCAAAAGTACGAGCAGAAGGTTGTGACTCCGCGCAACGACGCCAATGGAAAGACGGTTTTGGGGTTCGGCCACCGGTGCGCGTCGCCTGGCTGCGGCGAACTGTCGCTAAAGTTTCCGATTGGCCAGAGGAAGGCACAGGCGGTGTTGCTGCTGGATATGAGCTTGGCCACAAGCTGTCTTAAGAACGCGATCAACGAGAGAATCGTTCTGGGCGACAACCAGTGGGGCGCGCTGGCTTCGTGGGTCTACGACATTGGGTGCCCAGCGGCTGCCAAGTCGAAGCTAATTACAAGGCTGAACGCCGGCGAGGAGCCCAACGACGTGGCTGCCGAGGAGCTGCCGCTGTGGAATACTGGGCGGGTGAGCGCTGCGCCCAAGTATGCTGAGAGGCGCGCTGCCGAGGTCAAGCTGTTTCTGGCCGAGTCGATCAAGGTGGCGCACCCGCGATGCACGTCGTTTCTGAGATTGAAAGAGTAATGATAGATTACAAGGAATAATGGCAAAATCTGGATCGCAGATTGCATCATTGTCGTGGTCATCCCATCATTCATTCTATCGGCCTTCCTTTTCATTATCTCTCCCCCTTTTTTATCCGCCCTCCGCCCTGACCCCTCCATCCATCAATCACGTCCAATTTTCAACACTCTTTCTCTCCTTATCCGCTCGTTGTTTTTTTTCTTTAATTTCAAATTCGAATTCCTATACCTATATTTTTAAAATGGGCGCCGGCCAATCTTCGAATCCAGCCCACAACATTCCGCCTCAGCCCTCGCCAGCGGCAGCGGCAGCGAACCCTAACGTCAATCCGAAAAACCCGAACGGGCTGAAGCCTTGCTGCGTGTGTCTTGAGACCAAAAAGGCACGCGACACGTGCTACTTTGAAAAGGGCGACGAGGCAGAGCAAAAGTGCCACTACCTTATTCTCGCTCACAAAAAGTGCATGGAGGACTTGGGCTTTACCATTTGAAAATAAAAAGACGGTTATTTTGTTTGGTCGAATGCTTGTATAGTTTGGTTGGTTCGTTGGTATTAATAAATAAACTGAGAAAATTAACATGGTGGAAAATTGAAAGAATCATACGCTGGAGTGGCCGGCATGTCATTTATCCGATCGGGATCAATAGAGATACAACATAATAATCACTAGCTGGTTTAAGCTGTGCTTCTAGTATGTCACAAGCTAGTTCAGAAAATGCAAATGCAGATGCAAAGCAGCTCGACTATTGTTTTAAATATTTGGCCTATAATTTTATTACCCAGATTTTGTTTCGCAGCTCACTCAAAAAAAACAGTATTCACAATCAATTTATTTATGATACCAAAAAATCATAAAACGAGGTGTGACATTTCACAGAATTCGAAGCTAGTGCTCAAGAACAAGAACAAAAGCGAGAGCAAGAGCAAGAGCAAGAGCAAGAGCAAGGCTGCCGTCGAGTCCAAAATTAAGCTCATGTGTTGGAACCGCGACATTGCGTCGGTGTGTAATTTTATTCTGGTATTCCTATATCGTTGCAAAATTTTAGAACGCCACTCAGCCCTCAAACGCTGTGATAGACTGCCGATTGATCCGAATGCCGCGTCCAAGCCCAACAAGAATGTATAAATGTTGTCCATTCCCGATATCAAGGCAGCTATTATTTACTGCCTGATATCCCAATCCTCCTTGGGTAAAACCAATGACAGCAGATGGGGGAACAACCAGGGCCTTTGTCCATACTCTCCCAACAATAATTACGGTTTTCGTGTTACTATCTTGTCGATTTAAATATAATAAAACTTTTAAAAAACAATTATTTATTACTTCCAAGCATTATTTTTATTTCAGAGCTTCTTCTTGTTGACTTTTTTCTTTTGGGCGTCCTCGCTCTCAGACCGCTTAGAGTAGATCATGGCGGTGAAGGGACCCTCGTAGCGCAGGGCGACGGTGTACACAAGCCACACATACGCGGTGACCACCAGCCCGGCGGGGCGCGCGTACCACAGCGACGTGCCCAAGAATGACATAGTCGACCCAACGTACATGGGGTTCTCCAGCACGTTGAACGGGAACCCACTGACGCGCTCGTTCATTAAAATGCCAAAGTAGTCTCCCAGAAATGTGCCCGTAATCCCCAGCATATACGTCGACGAGACGACAAAGGTCATGCCGCCAGCGAACAGCAAAATGGCAACGAGGCGCACGAGTGGCGTATCAAGGAGCGGCAACTCGGGCTGCTCGGCCATGGCGGCGCTGAAAAGCAGGTCGCGCAGAATGCCCAGGCCAAAGATCGTCATGGCTATGGAATAGCAGCCCTTGCGCCGGTCGCCGTTGAAGAGCGACGTGATCCAGTGTGTGTGGTACTCTTGGCGCGCGGCGATGTTCCAGAACAGCGGGTTGAATGTAATGCTGGCCAGCGACAGCCACAGCGACGTTTTGGAAAAGTCGACCAGAGACATTTTATGTATTTGGGGGGGATGAAAAAGTGGGTATAATATTGTTATGTTTTGCAAAGTGCAAGAAAAAAGTAGAAAAGTAGAAAAGTAAAAAACAAAGAACAAAAAAGACATTATATTCTACCGCTGCTGCTATCGGCGTGGCATTAAAGCACCGCGCGCGATTACAGCAGACTCGTTTCTACAGCGCATACACAATACGCAATACGACTTTCACATGCTCGTTAAAATGCACAAACCCCAATCCCACTCACAACACTAAACTTGCGCTCGCTCACAATACCGCGAGCCGGCATTATGGTCACAGCTCAGCCGATCACAGCTTCGGCTCGAGCCAGGCCTTCCATTGGTCCAGCCCCCATGAGCTCGATACGCCATCATCGCGGATGCCGTCAAAGACAACGGTGGGCGACACATGGATGCCCTGGGCGCGCGCCAGCTTGATATGATACTTCAGGTCATCGGTCACGGCATTGCCAACATTTTTCGCGTCAGCCGCGTCAGCCTGCTGGATATCCAGCATCTGCAGCACAGCCAGCTTGTCATCAACAGCGTTGACGCTGGTGGCGAGCTGCGCCAGCTGGCGGTAGATCTCGGTGCGTGAGAGGCTGACGGTGGCCTCGTCAAAGTACTCGCACTGCTTGTCAAAGAGCGCCGATGAGTAGAGCGCAAAGCCCTGCGGGTTGATCTTCTCGACGGCCAGGCTGGCCTCGTGTAGGAGCGTTGAGCTGGGGTGCCATGGCTGCACCTGGTGCCGGAAGATCACGGTGACCGGCGCCGGGCTGAGCGACCCGAGCCATGGGAGCACCTGGCCCTGCAGCATGCGCCAGATTTTGGCCGAGAAGGGGCACGTGTAGTCGAGGAACACCTCCAGCGTGTGGGCGCCACTGCTGCCGCTGAGCAGCTTGTGTCCGATAGCGTATGCCGGTGCGAGGGCCATGTTTTGGTTTCCCTTGCTTTGGTTTGGTTTGCCTTGCTTTGGTTTGTCTTGACGGTGCTGGGCTGGGCTGGGCTGGGCTGGGCTGAAGAGAGTTGGAAAATAAAATTAATGCAGAGGATGTCTCAAAAAACCGAAGCGAAGAAGAAAGGCGAAACAAACGAAAATAGGGCCTCGCTTTTCGTTACGTGGGTTGATCGCCGCCCTCTCTTGGAAATGGCAGTGACGCAAGCACCGCGGCCTCAGAGAGTGGGAAAAATACCAGTCAGAGCAGAATCGTTATTTTTCTGCAACCAACTCAACTGGTCTGGCTGATATTCTGTTCCCCCCTCCCCTATTCCGCCTTGGCCTTGGCCTTGCTTGGCCACCTTGCTTGGCCTTGGGCGCGGCCCATCAGCCCAAGGCCAAGGCCAAGTCAAACACTGCGATTCTCCGTCCTGTTGTTCCGCCCGTCTGCCCCCCCCCCTCACTTCGCTACTTTTGGGCTTTGGCGCGATGCCTGTTTGTGTGTGTGATCAGCCAACTGCCCAAGATTACTCTTTCTTTTTCTTTTCTTTTTTCTCACAAAGAACCCATCGCTTCCTGAAAAAAACAATACTACTAATAATTTTTTTATCCTATTCTTGTTATTGCTGTACTTAAATTCTAGCCTTTACATTATTCTGCAATTACTCTCTTTTTTCCACCTCTCATTTCTCCCAACTGTCACTGTCACTATCAATTCTTTACTTTTTACCTTTTTATCACTACTTTTATTTGCTATCTATACACAAAGTTCTATTCCTATTGTTTTTTCCGCATTCAATCCAAAATTTACTTTATTTCGCCCTTCTCCAACATCTCCAAGGTGCCGGTCTCTTGAATTAATAATAGTCGGTAAGTTCCCCCGCCTTTTTCTTGTTGTTTGTTGTTTTTTGTTGTTCTCCACAAGCCTCGTTTATTGCCACACTCCACAAAAATCCTTTTTACCCCTCTTTCTCTCTCCTTCGTTGTTCGTCTCCGCCATCTTCTCTCTCCGCACTTTGTCCTTGTTATTGGAAAGATGGAAAAGAAGCAGAATAAAACGCTTGCAAAAGATGTTTTTCCATCTGCTTGCTTGGGCTCTCTCCTCAATCAACAAAAAGTGTAAAAAAAATCCCCACGTTTCTTATCGCTTATTCCTCACCCGCATTTTATTGTTTTCCTTTGCTCTGGCTGTTTGTTTGCAAGAAAGAAAGAAAAAAACTTGGACGATAGCAGTAAACGAAGAAAAATTTTCATTTTCATATATAAGGTTGAGGGTGGCTTGGCCCCTTTGTCAATCTCGTTCCTTGTCATATTTCTGTGCATTTGGATATATTAGAGTCTCCTGTACAGTTGCATCTGTTCTGTTCTGTTGTGTTGTGTCTCCCTCCCCTCCTCCTATTTTAATAACAATAATAAGAATTGCTGTATCCCTTTATTTGGTATGCATAAACGCTGCAAATAAATATCTTTTTTTCTTCTCTTCTTGCTACTCTTGTTACAACCCAAGCTTTCCTCTCTAATATATACAAACTAATATATACATTTTGCTATACACCCAACCCACCACCACCATATCTAGACAGCATCGACAGAAGCGCGTCGCAATCATCACTCCACAGCAAAAAAACAAACATGGCAAGCTCAAACCACCAGCACCAGCACCAGCACCACCATCAGCAGCAACAGCACCACCATCAGCAGCAACAGCACCACCAGCAGCCAGAACGTCTGCCGGCGGGATTGCAGCCGCTCTTTGACTCGAGCGTCTCACTACCTTACGACAACAACCATATGAAGGCAGACAGCGCGCGCATCCTGTCTCCGCCAATCAACAACAACAACACTACCACCACCACCAGCATTAACAGCAGCGCTGGCTTATTGTCATCGCTGTCGGCAGAGGCCAACGCCAATGTGTTTGGGATGCTGCCGACAAACGGCCCGTGGGCGGTTGCCGACAACCGGCTGACAGCCGCAGCGGCAGCGGCCACCGCCTCTGCTTCCCAGCCGCACCACATGCAGGCAGCGCCAATCAACCGGCACCGCACGGGCAGCGTGGCGGCCAACAGCGGCCACGGGCGAACGGCGAGCTATGGCACTTCGCTGCTGGACACGCTGAACGAGGAGAAGCAGCATCGCTTCAATGGGACCGCTGGCGCCCACAGCCGGTCGGCGACTGGCGGCGGCAACGACCTCATCGGCCACCACCGCCAGTTCACGATCTCGCTGCTGGCCCAGGGCGACGCTGCGGCGCCAACCAACCCGTCGGCGTCGCCGCCAGGCAATGCCAGCCGCACAGCCGCGCATGCGCGCTCGCACACGCTGGCCACATCGCCACCTGGCCTTGGCACGCCAACGCCAACGCCAGCGTCAGCGCCAGCGCCAGCGGCCGCCGCAGTCAAACAACCGCTGCCGACGAACGCGTCGGGCATGCTTGGCGCCCACGCGCGGCTGGGCTCCCTGTCGGGCGGCGTCCCTGGCGCTGGCCAGCAGCTCCTATCGTCGTCGGCGCTGCGCAGCTCGTACTCGTCCACCTCGCTGCGATCGGCGTTTGCCCGCCGCAGCTCGCCGTCGCCGCACGCCGATGCCCAGCAGCAGCAGGCCGAGGCTGGGCGGTTGTTCGACTTTACGCCGTCGTTCAACGACGGCGTGTGGGGCCCGTCGGGGCTGTCGGCGGAGCTGGACATTCTGGCGACGCCCGACGGCAGCGTGAGCCTGGCCGACGCCATGGCTGGGCTCCGCGTCGAGGGCGCCTCGGCGGCTGGCGGCGACGCGTACGCCAGGATCAGGTCGTACAGCTTCAACAGCCCACCTGACGGCATCGACGGCCCCGACGAGCCCGACATCGACGTGCTGCACGCCGCTGCCAAGTCGCAGAATCCGTCGCTGGCCTTCCGCAAGCTGATGGCGCGCACGCACGCCAGATCGAAGACCATGGCCAGCCCGTTTGACAACGAGGCGGACGGTGGCAGCGGTGGCCAGCAGCAGCAGCCACAGTACCAGTACCAGCAGCAGCACCAGCAGCACCAGCAGCAGCAGCCGCAGTACCAGCATTCTCAGATGCATATGCGCACAGGCAGCTCGCTGGCAGGGTCGGCTGCGCACCGGCGCTCGGTGACCGGCAGCAGCAGCACGATCGGCGGCGGCTCCATGGACCAATACCACAGCGGCGCCGGCCACTCGCGCCAGCAGTCCGAAAGCGACGCCTCCACCGTGCACATTGGCATTGGCGGCGAGAGCGTGCGCACGGCGTACGGCCTGTCGCCCACCGGCGCCCAGCGCCCGCCCCTGCCGCCGGCATCGGCATCGGCATCGGCACCCGTAGCCGCAGCCGCAGCCGCAGCCGCAGCCTCGGCGCAGCTGATGCCGTCGACACACTCGCGCCAGCCATCAACACACACGCGCCAGCACTCGGTCGACCTCGACTATGGCGCGCACGCGGCGGACGGCGTGCCGACGCGGTCGCTGTGGGTGGGCAACGTCGACCCGGGGCTGAGCAGCCAGGACCTGGTGGCCATATTCGGCAAGTACGGGCGTGTCGAGAGCCTGCGCCTGCTGCCCGACAAGGAGTGCGCCTTTGTCAACTTTCTGCGCGTCGAGGACGCCGTGCACGCCAGGGAGGACATGCACGCGGGCGCGCGTATCGGCGCCAACACCGTGCGCGTCGGCTACGGCAAGGGCGAGTCGTACGCGACCGGCGACGCCCAGGCGATGCAGCCGACGCGCGCGCTGTGGATTGGCAACATTGCGCCGACCGTGACGCCCGACGCGCTGGCCACCGTTTTCCAGGCCTTCGGCGCCATCGAGTCGGCGCGCGTGCTGAACCACAAGAACTGCGGCTTTGTTAACTTCATCCGCCTCGAGGATGCCGTGCGCGCCAAGCAGGCCATCAACGGCAAGCCCATCGAGGGCCTGGTTGTGCGCATCGGCTACGCCAAGGTGCCGGCCGCCAAGAACGAGTCATCGCTCAAGCTGCGCAACCCCGTGCCTAGCGCGGCGCCGCTGACCGTGTCGGGCCAGATCGCCGAGGCCGACGCCATTGCTGGCACGACCCAGCGCGGCCTGGGCAGCGGCCAGGCGCTCGAGCCCGGCTTCTCGCTGGCCATCGACGAGGACCTGGTGGCCTTCCCCTATGCCACGCAGCTGCCGCAGCTGCCCGAGCCTGCCGTCTGCATCCGCCCCGACCCGGCCGACGCCAACCCCGGCTCTGGGCCTGCCTCTGCCGCCGTGTCGCCGCTGTCGCCACCGGCGCCGCCCTCGCCGCCGCCCCTGTCGTCGGCCGGCCAGCCGCTGGCCGTGCTGCAGCAGGCACGGCTGCGCGACATCCGCAAGCAGCTCGAGGCCGCCACCGGCAGCAGCCCGGTGCTGCCGGCCGCCGATTTCGACGGCATCTTCGCAGAGCTGATTCCGCATGCCGTCGACCTGTGCACGGACTACGTCGGCAACGTGCTGGTGCAGAAGCTGGCCGAGCGCGGCTCGCCTGGGCAGAAGCTCGAGCTGATCGAGCGCGTGGCCCCGCACATGGCCGCCATTGGCGTGCACAAGAACGGCACCTGGGCCGTGCAGAAGATCATCGACACTGCCGACACGCCAGACCAGCGCCGCGCCATTGTCCAGAGCATCAAGCCGTACGCGCCGCAGCTGCTGCTGGACCAGCTGGGCAACTACGTCGTCCAGGGCTGCCTCAAGTTTGCCAACAACGCCGGCGACGACGGCTTTGACGAGCCTGCGACCAACCAGTTTGCTTACGACGCCATCCATGCACGCTGCCTGGAGATCGCCCAGGGCCGCTTTGGCGCGCGCGCCATTCGCACGTGCCTTGAGTCGCCATACGCCGGCAAGCTGCAGCAGAAGCTTGTCGCCGTGGCCCTGGTCACCAACGCTGTGGCCCTGGCCACCAACGCCAACGGCCACCTGCTGATGAACTGGCTGCTGGACTCGTCGCGCTTCCCCGGCCGCTTCCGCGTGCTAGCGCACCAGCTGGCCCCACACCTGCGGTACCTCGCGACCCACAAGCTGGGCGCCTCCACGGTCACCAAGATTGTCGACCAGACGGCCGAGCCGGACGCGCGTGATCTGATACTCAACACGCTGTTTTTCAACCCCGATCCGTCTGTGCTTGACGACGTGCTGCTGGACCAGGCCCAGGGCGTGCACCTTGTCCTGAAGATCCTGCAGGGCAACGCCATTGGTGATGCGGAGAAGGCCCGGATTGCCGACCGCCTGCGCTTTCTCACGTCTGAACAACTACAGAACCAGTCGTTCTTGTCGCCGGCAAAGTCAGCTGTCGCCACCCATCACCACCAACACCACGGCCATAATTATCATCAGGGCAACCGCAACTCGCCGATCTCACCTGCCGGGAGCAATGGCCGCTCGGCATCGTCGTCTGCAGCAGCATCAAATGTGCAGCCGACCCAGCGCTTGACCGATGTCGTATCAAACATTTTGGCCCATACCCAGCAGCCCTACGGCGGCGGCGGCGGCGGCGGCAATCCCTCAATCAGCTCAATCAGCTCGCCCCCTGCGCAGCAACAGCAGCATCAGACTGATGCCATGCCTGTCCCTCAGCACTACCAGCAACAAATGCAGCAGCCACTTGGGTTTCACTTTGTGTCGCCCCCGAGCAACGGCAATGCTGCGGGATCCACGGCTGCCTCTGCCGGCAGTGGTGGCGCTGTGGCGATGAGTTTCCCGGCCAATGCCGCTGCAGCCATTAGCATGCATCATCAGCACCAAATCCCGCCTGCCGGGTTTGGTGGCATGGTTGGAGGAACCAATCAGCAGCAACAGCAATTTATGCAGCAAGGTGATATGATGGCCGCATACTACCATCGCCAGCAACAACAGCAACAGCAACAGCTTATGGATTCGTCGATGGGCACGAACATGAATATAAACATGAACATTGCTGGCCTGACACCCGGTGGCTTCTATGGTGTCGACTACAATGCTACAGCCAACCGCTCGGCTATGCCGTTCTACCCTTACGGCAACGCGGCTACGGACATCTATATCGGAGCCAACAACTCTGACGCCCGCCATCATCTGACCTCGCCTCCATCATCGTCACTGGCTTCTGCGCAGAACGGATTCGAGCGCGGCAGCGGCAGAACCAGTGCTGAGGGCAGCGTCAGCTCAAGAAAGTAGACCTGTTAAACCCAATTTTTGTTTTTGTTTCCGTTTATTTTTATTATTCAATTTATTAATTTGTAATTAATCTGCAGTGTTACATTTTGTATTTTTCCTTGGCTAAACATTAATGTTTAGAACTGCGTTATCGTGCTCAAATGTTCAGACCGGTGTGGCTGATCTGCAAATATATATACTAGAAAAAGTAATATTTGGCCAAAGAGAGCCCTCTCATCTTTTATAAAACATTTTATTTTGAGTGGACACTATCATTAAAACCTACTGCGTATAAACAGTGTCGATATTTACTAATTCTGTTTTTCATAAATTTAGTTTGTCGTGAGTAATTACCAAGTTATTTGCGATAAGGTAACTTTTTAACTTTATTCTCCGCCAAATTAACGCGTGGCAACAATGCCATGCATCCAGAAGTCGACAAAACGCAACGCGCCACAATTGCAAGCCGATTCATTTCATGATACATTCGTTTGTACAAAATAAAGAGTTTTAGATCGACGAGCGTGCAACAATGATGTGATAGTCCCAACCACTCGCACAATATGTTTTCTTTCCATTGTTTGATGACATAGTCTGCAGAATATCCCCCTTAGAATATATACATTTGGCCGACACTTTGTTTGTAATTAAAAATTGTGCTGGCAAGTTGGCATCATCCTAATTAACATGATTTGTTCGGGTTTTAGTGCTACTTAATTTATAAAAAATAACATCATATTTTTTGGATAATCATTCAGGTATATTGTAGACATGTACTTAACAGACCCTTTGCAACTATTGTTTTTGCTTTTTTTGTTGTTATTTTTGCATGCAAATTGTGGTAATCCCATTTTCGGTTGGGTTTTTTACGCTTGCTGCCATTAATTTTATGGTTTATTTTACTTTCCGTTAGTTCAAAATGGATTACCCATGCAGGTATTATTTGCACTGTTGTGTAAAAATTAGTATCACAAAAACAAGTATGCTGTCTGGTGGCAAATATGGCGCCAAAGTTGACATGAAAACAATATTGCCTGTTGCATCCAGAAAAAAACAAATAATCAATTAAATGGAAAACACACTGGAAATCTTTGAACTTTGCAATGTCCATGCATTCCTATCCTCTACCTTATCTTTAAGTATTCTAATCAGGTTTTATTAATCTTATTTATAACCCAGTGCTTGCCAACCCTACGGTTTTTTCGTTCATTCATTTTCATTTTCATTTCAAGCGACTCATATTTCGCTTCTTTCATCTCATTATTTTTCTACTTTTACTATCCCTATATTTAAATTTATTTCCTTTAATATTTATCCGCGCGCTGGACCTCGCTGTGTTTGTGTGTAGGTGTAATATTATTTGAACTGCTTTTATTACAACGTACACTTTCAAATCCTAAATTTCTCCTTTCCAATAAATGGGTAATCACTTGTCATTCACAATAACGGAAAGCGAGCTGGCACGACAAAAGGCCAGCGAGGGCACAGGCCCGACGCTGGAGCCGCGAGGCACGCCCGACGCTATTATGGTTATTGTTATTGCCCTGGTTTACGTGATAGACTTTATTGCAACCATCTACGTGCTGTGGAACAGAAATTATCCTCCGCTAAAAGCGAAAAACCCCATCATCATGGCCTGTGTGATGGTAGCAAACATCATGTGGCTCGTCGGAGACCTCCAGGCCAACGGACACGTACCGTTGGCAAACACGCCCATGGTCAAATGTATGGTGTTTGGAGTATGGTTGCGGTTCTTTCTAGGCGTTTGTGCCATGTTTTCGTTGGTCTCGCTGAGGACGTACGGGTTGTATCGCGTGTTTAGGCGGAATCTTCCATATCACACCTTGGGACTGTATCTTCCGTTTGCCATTTACTGTTTGTGCTCTATTGTTTTTGGGATTATATCGCTGGTGCTGCAGCCCACTCAAACGGCCAAATTCAACCCGCAACTCGATCTGTGCAACTACAACGCAGACTACCTGATTGGCATGTTTTTGTTCCTGTGGGTGACCGTGGCCATTGGAGTAATCCTTCAATGGAAGATTCGCAATATCAAGAGCTCGTTTAACGAGAGCCGCGAGACGCTGATTGCAAACATAATTATATTTGTTGCTCTTATGTTTGCCACTGTCATGCGCTATGTCCTTCCGAGATATCCTCTAAAAATAAGCCTGCGCATTATCAACACATGTCTGGACCACCTCGTCGGAAATTCAGTGTGGTGGTTTATCATGGGAGTGCCCCTGTACAAGTGCCTGTTTGATCGCGAGCGGTACCTCAATCAGTGGATTTCAAAGCTGCGCAAGGACGGGCTACAGAAGGAGTACAATGTTGTTTTGGATTCAACCGCTACTAGCAGCCACGGAGCATCGAGATCACACAAAATGCAAGGCTCACTGTTGCGCATGAACTCAGTGGGCAGCAAGGGAGGCGGGGCGTTTTACCCGATGAACGACAGTATCCATGATGACAAGGATGCCGGCTTTAGCACGCTCGATTTAAATCAGCAATTTGGGCTGTTTGATACCAACAAACATCGACTTGTTTAGCAAAACAGATTTCTTTAATAAATATTTATTAATTGTCTGCACTTTGTATAAATTTATTTTACATTTAAATATTTGAAGTATCAACAATTGCACGCTCATCTGCGTAATTATTCGTTATCAATGCAAACATTAAAGGTTATTCTAAGAATGTCAAAACACTGGCATTTCAATTTGGTACTAAATTATTAAATAACAGTGCACTTTGCTTTATGCAAGTCTATGTATTTTGTTAATTTTTCAAATATACATCACAAGTGTACTACATTTGCATGGTAAACACTACATCTAAACACTAATAAAAGTATAATGATGATCCTACTAATGGTGAGTATTAGACTGTAATGTCTTTACTCAAAAAATGACATTACCTTTATTTCTATACAATTGTCAGTCGTTAAAGTTTACAGTTGAAATGGTATGCCACTTTGCGTTCTGGCATTCGTTGGGTTGCAGAATATGATGGCTTGGAGCTCTTATTCTGTATTTTTCTGCGGCAACAAAAGCAAAGCAACGTATAGTGTAAAATTGCATTACTCGCACAACGCAAAAATAAAACAGAACGCTTGGAAAACGGCACAGCCACGTACAGTCATGACGACTGCTTTTTTTTACAAATAGATTCCCTTTATTTGTCCCTACTTTTTCTTTTCAGGCACACCTTTTCTGTCGATCGTTGAGGAAAAAATGCAAGTATCATGTGGATCGACGTATTATATCTGAGCATATTTCCACTCTTTCTAATTTGTCCATTTTTATTTTCAACCGCCGGTAATGTTTGCTTTGCATTTTACATTTTAAATTTTACATTTTGCACTGCAAACTTTTACATCTTTATTTTTTCCGCATTTGTGAGCACGGTTGCGGATCGATTTGGAGATGAGATATGCACACGATGTGAATTCACCCTTATATAAACAACCTGGATGACCTTTCGGCTGTTTCCTTCACTACTTTTAATATTTCTTTGATAACAAACAAACAAACAATACTTATTTTAAATTTTATTTGACATTTCACTCAGCAATAAATACACCATGTATCTTAATCCTGCCGTTTTGGCAAAGACGCTATGGCAGTCGTTCCAGCCAATCCACATACTCTACGGAATAGTCGCGTACTGCATATGGAAGGTGTTCTACGAGGTCTATCTGTCGCCCCTCAGCCATATCCCTGGCCCCTTATGGTACCGCATCACCAGTTTGCCCCTGCTCATCCACGAGCTCCGTGGCGATGAGCCAGAGCTTATGATAAAGCTCAACAAAAAATACGGCGGCCTCTTTGTCATTACGCCGCGCAGGGTGGCCATCTGCGACCCGAAAGACAGTCAAATTATCCTGGGAACGCATGCCTTCCTCAAGGACAAGCGCTACAGCAATGTCGAGGTCATGCAGCCGAATACGTTTTTGACCGTCGACCCCGAGCTGAATAAGCAGCGCCGGAGGCAGATTGGTCCTATCATGAGTCTGGCCAACTTGAAGCACATGGAGCCCATTATTCTGGAAGCCGGAACTAAGCAGCTCTACAACAAATGGGACCGCGACATTGCACACGCCGGGGAGAAGCACAAGGCCAGAATCTGCTACTACGACGACCTCATGCTCATGACCTTTGACATTATCAGCACGCTTGGATTCGGACAGAAACACATGTCGCTGACGTCGGGCGACACGCACATCGCAAAGTCGGTCGGCAGCACGCTGGTCATTATTTTCTTTGAATCGATCCTGCCCTTTTTCAAGACTAAGCTGTTCCGCCAGCACATTGCAAAGTCGCTGTACGGCAAGTTTGACGCGTTCTTCGCGCTGTGTACCGACGCCATCAACAACCGCAAGAAGCTGCTGAGCGGCCTGCAGCCCAACGAGGACAAGCCCAAGGACCTCTTGCAGGCATTCATTGACGCTGAGGATCCCGAGTCGCGCATCCGCATGACGTCGGACCAGGTGGTCACCGAAACAATCATCAGCTTGCTTGCTGGCTCAGATACCAGCTCAAACACAATGACCTGGACTATTCACCTGCTTCTCTTGCACCCGCACTATCTCGCTCGTGTCGTTAAGGAGGTCCGCGAGGCGTTCGGCCGCGACCACATAATCAACTACAGCGAGTCCAAGGCCAGCCTTCGGTTCCTCGAGGCGTGCATCTACGAGTCCCTGCGCCTGATTCCCGTTGTCACTGGAATGCCCCGTCGCATGCCAACGGGCGGCGCTACTCTCCACGGCTATTTCATCCCCGAGGGGTACAATTGCTCCGTCAGCATTGCCGCTATCAACACGAATCCTGAGGTTTGGGAGCGGCCCTACGAGTTTTTCCCAGAGCGGTTCTTAAAAAACGAGGCAATCAAACGCCAAGTGCTCACTTTCAGCACTGGTGTGAGAGTATGCCCGGGCAAGAATTTGGCATGGATGGAAATTCATTCCACAATGGCCAACATCTTTAACAAGTACGACTTGGAGCTGCCCGAGGACGTGCTGTTCACGCCGGATAGAGTCGACAAGCACGGCCAACCCATCACGATGCCACGCATGGCCGCCGCGACCTACGTGCCCCGGTTCCCTGAGCGCGACTGTGTTGTTTTGATCTCGAAGCGCTCAGACTAGACAGTGCATTGAATATAACAAACTAATATATAAATTAACACACGCACGATATATTTTTAAAATAGCTACGCTCCGTGTATGTGTGTACAATATATTATGTATACACTATGAAAGAGGAAAGCATAAAACTTTGCTGATTTATTAAACACTGACTAACACGCTTTTTATAAAAACAAGAAAGCTCAGGCCTCGTCGAGGTCGCGGGCGTTAATGGTGTGGTGGGGTGGGTTAATGTCAAACACATTGGCATTCGCCGCAGCGCCACCAGAAAGCTGATCATGGTGAGCAAAGTTACCAGACTTGTCGCCGTAGAATCCAGCTGCCGCGGGATCGTGGTTGACGGAGTTTGCAATGTTGGGGTTGGAAAGTGCAGCGGGGTCGTACTCAGGGAACTCGTTATAGTCAACGCTGTTGTTCAAGTACGCCTTGCGTTGGTTGCGTCTGCGCCAGAGCAGGAAGCCGATCATTGCGCCGAAAGCCAAGAGCACTCCAATGACAATGCCGGCGATTGCGCCGCCGCTCAGGCTGCTGCCGGATGATTTTGATCCCGACGAGGATGAGCTCGTGCCGGTGGGTGTCGACGTCGCCTTGGTGCTGGTGTTGGTAGTGGTGGTGCCGGGCTTGGTGTTGTCCGCCGCAGTGTCCTCATTTTCTGTCTCGTCAGTATTCGCATCCTCGGCATTGTTATCTTCCTTGTCCGTCGTCTCGGCTGTCTCCACCGTATTTTCTGTCGTCTCAGCTATCTCGCCCGTTGCCTCGTTCGTCGTTCCATCAGCTGGCGTCTCCGCTGGCGTGTCATCTGCGGTCGGGCTATCGGTCACCTGGGGATCAATAGGGGTCACCGCTGGATCAATCGGCGTATCAGGCGTTGTCGGCGTACCAGGCGTTGTCGGCGTATCAGGCGTTGTCGGCGTATCAGGCGTTGTCGGCGTATCAGGCGTTGTCGGCGTATCTGGCGTGGTTGGCGTATCAGGCGTTGTCGGCGTATCGGGCGTCGTCGGCGTATCGGGCGTCGTTGGCGTATCCGGCGTGGTTGGCGTATCCGGCGTCGTCGGCGTATCGGGCGTGGTTGGCGTATCCGGCGTGGTCGGCATATCGGGCGTCGTCGGTGTATCCGGTGTGGGGTCCACCGCTGGGGTGGGCTCTGAAGTCGAGTTGCCTTCATCCGATGTCACGGTCGGTGGATTCTCCGGCGTGGTAATCTCTTCGGGCTCCGATACCGCGGGTGTTTCGATGGGCACATCCATATTTTCGGTGGGAGCCGTAGTCACATCAGTTACCGCTGGCGGCAACGCACCCACGTCATCTTGCGCCTTAACGGCCACTGTGGCTAAGAGCGCAACCGCCGAAAAGCACAATAAGCGTTGGATTTTCATTAGAATGTCGCCTGCGTCTCTTTATTGCTGTTGTTTATTTATAGTCTTTTGTCGCTGCGGTCCAAATAGTGCAAAAAAGTTCGCTCTCGATTTTGAAAAGACAGTCTAAAACTAAATAAGGGAAACCACTCTCAGAGCTGTTGTCGTAAAGGTAGAGAACGTCAAAGTGTATCGGAAAAGGTGAGGATGCTAGTAGAGCAAGGGGAAATTAAAAGGCGAGTGTGATAAGAGGATAAAGGGTAATAATAGACGTTTAAAGTGTAAAAATAAAAAGGAAAGAAAGAGAGAAGTGGAGGCGTTGAAGAGAGCCAAAAAAAATATAGAGTACGGATAAATAAAAATAAATATGTATTGCAGGCTCAAAAAACTCAAAAACGTCAACGTTTCAAAGAAATATATGACAGCAAGAATGACACGAAGGGCCAAAGAAAGAAGAAAACATGCAAACAAACAACAAGCGCAAATGCAAACGCAAATGCAAATGCACCAGCAGAGGGAGAAAAGTGCCAAAAAAGATGGGCGTATACAAAAGCAATAACAATACAAAAATAAACGCAAAATAAGAGTATAAAAATACGCCTCCTCAGTCCCCTTCTCCCTCCCCACTTTCTTTTCCTTTTGTGTGCACATCGTTGATGTCAATCGTCCCAGCTTGGCTTACATCCTCTCTCTTTTAATGAGCGTCTTTGTCGGCCCAAACGACCATGCATAGAAAACTTCTTTTTTTCTCCCCACGCCTTTTCTGTCTTTTTATAGTTCCGGCCCACGGTCCTGATGGGCTGATCACTTTCCAGCCTGGTGTCGCTGATTGCCGATTTCTTATTGATACCCACACAGGACATCACAGTGCGGAGGAAAAAGAAACAATAAAGCTGTGCTATCAAAACACTTCAGAACAAACATATAGTTCGACATGCCAACTATGAGGATGTTGGCTTAGGTGAGCGTGTGCATTGTTCTCCACAAACAATAGATACTAATGTGACCATCATGGCCTAGATTTTAGATTTTACACGTCCCTTTTGACCTGCATGACGGCTCATGCCTTACACCATTGTGCCTTGTGTTTCTAATGCAGCAGGATGAGAGTCGGATGCTATTATTCATTGTGTGGTTAATACGACACGCAGGAAATCCGAATTGACTGGCACCCCCACTCCCATGGCCCAGTTCATTTATAATCATGTATTCTCCCAATCCCCCTCTGCTTGAGCTATTTATTGTGCTGCTAATGGTTGATTTGGCAATGCATGTATTTTTATTTGTTTAAATAACAAGTGCAAACTATTGTTGTATGTAGCTTTGCGACAAATACCTTTTATTACAACACAGCCACAGACATTTCATCGGACTCAACACGTGCGCTCACATGCACTTACCGCGCAACTGCTTTATACACAACAAACATAGCAGCTTTAGCATGTTTTTCTGTAGTTTTTCGTGGGCCATACTGCTTGCGCTTTATTGCTGAGAAAAAAGAAAGTGACGTGGTGGTGGTCAACACATCCCAGATATGAATGTCATGCAAAGTCCATATGTGCTGCACAATTCACAAAAAAAGAGCGTCGGGGAGGCTCATTTTCAGGCGTGTCTAACAAGATGAGAGCCAGTGTAGACAATGATGACAACGCTGCAGTTCATTTTGTCAGACGATTGCATTCGTCAACCGGGTAGTCATTTTTAATTCGGTTTGCGCTTGTACCAATGCCAGCAAACCCGGAAACGGATCAATGTGTGCGGAGAAAAATGGGTGCCTATCGCAGATAAAGGTCAAGATAACAGACAAAACAATAAACCAATTTTTTGCTTTGTTGGGGTACAAGCCAGATTAGGAAATGGTGATGGAATTTTATTATTTTAGTGCCGATCCTTGTAGCTTCTCTCACTCGATTGCCTCACTATAACTCATCACTGCCTGAAAATGACTTGTTACATGTATTTCTCATACGCACTATTTTTGTTCACAGTAGTCCCGAAAAACAGAATTGGCGCGTCAATAAACCTGTTTTGGTTAGATTACAAATATCACTGAATTTATCTGTGTGTATTTCCTCTTATTGTGTTTGGGGAGGGGGGGTATATCTTGCGATTGCGCGCTTGAGTTTAGGCAAAAAAGATGGGGAAAGGAAGGATGTATAGCCCTTTTTCTGCCCGCACAAATTTTTTTGAAAAAAAGTACGGCCTTCAGCCAATAAACGCCATTTCTGCTTCTCCTATCAGACCCAGAAGCCCGCAAGTAATTACACGTGATTTTTGGCCTTCTGATTGTGAGGCGTGCACATGACCACGGTCTAAACAAAGTTTGGGCTGTTTTTTATTAGTGCGCGAATTGTTCGCGATATAGTCTTGTTAGTTTATAATACCATATTTCTGGTAGGCTAGCACTTGAACATTGTACAATTTAATATCAATTTAACTCTGGTAGTCTCCCAGGGATTTCTTCTGCTAGTGAACTATTTTATATGTTGTTATATATTTTTGTATTTGATAGTTACAAAACAGCAGAAACATTAATTATTCAAAACGTCAAAGCATGAATTGTTTAACTAATTTTGCCTTTGCTTTTGATCTTATAAGGAAAACCCAATTTGAAATTACAAACTTTTAGGGCAGCATTTGCAATTGTTTTGCTGCGCGCAAAAAATACACACGGATTGATTGGTTTATGTGAGAAGTATACCTGCATGGTCGAATATATGAACTGATCAACAAATGGCCAATATATCTTTGCAATTAAATTAAATAACTTGTTTCATTCCATATTAGTTTTTGCAAAGCAACTATTTATTTTGTGCGTGTCTAAATAAGATTTTGGCTGCAAATGCAATGTCAGATAACAATTATCAACTAAACACACTTTTAATAATAGCAATCGTCTAATTAAAGATCATGGTTAAACTATAATTTTGCTATATTATTCGCAGCACCGTCCACAGTAGCTACAACATGCCAAGTTGTATTTACAACTGTATTCATTTCTACTCAATAAAATATAAAATTTTTATAGTTAAATCGAGTTGATTACACATGCCGCATTGAACTATTTCGCACACACACACACACATACACTTCATAGGGCAGGCAAACCTGAAACAGACAATGTTGCAAAGTGCACGAATGTTTTTAAGCTATATCTTTGTTACTGGAATTTATAGTTGATTTTTTGGCATAAACTATCTGGCAAAATATATTGATATTGTGTTTGAGTGATGTGCAAAAAATTGTTTGAACCAGCCCTAGTATTCTAGTAAATATAATGTGCGCGTGGTTGATAAATAAACAATTTGTTTAAAACACAATGTCAGCTGTTGGCTAGCACAAATACCAACACATATAATACAATAGACATAAAGAAAGCAGTGTCAGCTACATGTAATTTTACGTAAAATCGATGGCAAATAATTTGCAAGGTTCCATTCTAATTAAAAAAGGACTTGCAAAACTAAAGTGGTAATGCGTATTCCAATTGCTCTCGGATCGTCATATTTGATGGTGGCCGCCGCGCGAATGTTTAAGTTTATATAAAAGTTCAAGTAGTTGTGGATTCTTCTGCCATATTAGATATAGATATAGAAATTGCAGATCCTGCTCAGCTGAGAGTTTGTTCTGTAAACAAAAATTATTTGCGCGCTTTCCATCACGCCGATATACAGCGGCAAGAACGATGCCCATTTGTTAATAAAAACGCGCTGGCGGACCTTCAATCCAAATATTGCGTATTTGCTTTTGTGTTTTGCAGTTAATTCGCAATATTCTTCTTATTTTTGATCAACACCAAATTTTGATTGACCAAAAAAGCCACAATCCTACCATTTCTTTTCTTTTCTTTTCCTCTTGTATATTTTATGTATTTATTTGCATTTGAATTATCCTGTATTTTTATATTCTCAATTCACTCATTCACTTTATTTGTCATTCAAAATTGAACACCACGTTAAGAAACTAACGACGCCATAAATAGTTTTATTTTGAACGGCGGATTCGGCACTCTGCAAACCTTTCTTATTTTCAACTTGAATCGAGTGACAAATCAGCGGCCAAATCGCAGGTTGGGCGCAGAAATCCGGCGTTATTATTATTTTTATATTGTCCGACCAACCAACCAACCGAACAAACGAACGAACGTCATAACACAGAAGTTGCAGCAGCAGCGGTCTGTTTTTATACTTTTGTTGGTAGCTTTCTCGAACGACCACACTGTAAGCACACAGCCGATTCATTGGCACGATCTATTTTGCGCGGGCCATCGTCAAAACAGCCTCGCGCTCTACAGTCTCAATATTCTAGTATGCCACTGCCAACACTAATATGTTTCACCTTACCAGTCCCACTTTTGCAGTCGTGGCGCAAGCGCTGTTTTTGGAAGCGGTTTCTACTTGCTAGCAGCCACCCCAAATATCACAAAGCACAAAACACAAGCTCAATGTAAGTACGCAGCTCGATCATTCACTTGCTTTATTGGCTTTGGCATCATCAATACACACATACACATTTGTTATTGTATTTAATGGCATATCACTGCAAACAGTGCTAATTCCAAAATTAATGTGTTAACCCATACGAGCTTCCTGTAGTCATGACAGATCAGCCTTATCAGCAGTCACGTATTTATCCATATCGTTCGCGTGACGCGCGACCTCGGAGTCATCAGAAACACGCCGTCGCACATATCAGCGACTCTGATGACGACGTGTTATCTCCATTTGTGTTTAATTTTGCCAGCGATTCTAGCGATGCGGAAATATTTAATAGGCCGCGGGGTGCTCGGCAGGTGAGCATGGAGGAGCAAATGAGCTGCTATGACGCACACGGTGGGTCCTGCTCACCTCCGTCATCGCCGTGTCCGCGCCGCATCTATCTATACTCTGCGCACTTCACTGGCAGGTTTGCACTCGTCCGCTGCGACGAAAGTGATGACGATTTTGATCCCGAGGACATGGTCCCGACTGATGTCCAGACCATGGCAGCGCGCATTGCGGATGTGACAATGCAGACTACCCCATCACTTGATCACATTGTGGCCGCCCAGGTCGCGATAGCCGCAGCGAATGCATCTTCGAGAAGTCACAGCAACAGCCACAGCCACAGCCACAGCCACAGCCACAGCCACAGCCACAGCCACAGCCACAGCCACAGCCACAGCCACAGCCACAGCGAGGGTGAGGGCGAGGGCGAGGGTATTGGTTTCAGCCACTCGAGCAGCAGCAGCGAAGACATTGGTACGGATAGCGAAACCCAGTCTTTGGATATGATGATCAGCAATACATCTGAAATGAATGTCGACGTCGATGGATATGCTGCGCCGCAGACCATGCAGCTTGACCAGCCGCTTGCCGATAGCGACCACGCTCTGGGCATTGCAGCCGCCAGCAGTACACTGCGTGAGTGCGTGCTGCCTTATCTTGGTTCAGAGACCAACTCAGAGCTTCTTGTCCAGCAGCAGCAGCAACAGCAGCAGCAGTCGGACGAGCGGGCAGCAACACCATCCATGCAATCGCCTACCACACACAGATATGCGCCGATCGTACCGCCACTGGCACTGTCAGTGTCGCGCCAAAACTCGTTGCAGCTGTCGCCGATACTCGCGCTTGGTGACAGTGCAGTATTATCTTTGCCGCTGCACGCCGCAGGTCTGGCTATTGAACACACATCGCTAGTCACCACACTGCCGACACTGCCCGAGGTGCACAGCCAACCCCAAAACGGCGGGCAAGAGCTGCAGTCAAGTGGAGACCATGATACTTTGTCTTTGCATGCACAGCAACCGGATCAGAGCCGTGCTCGGGACAGCGGGCATGTCATTTTGCAAGATCATGGTTGCGTGAAGGAGAGACGTCTCGGTGATCTGCCCACCACCAGTGTAGTTGTGGCGAGCAATACGACCCTTGAGCATAATCAGGACGCTGGTCAGCAGCAGCCGAGAGCATGCGAACACAAGCACACGCAGTCTTGCGAGTATAGCTCTAGTGACCAAGCATTTGCGCCGGACTGCGGCCTTCAAGCGCATGCCTCTGTGCGCCGCAGCAGCAGTGGCAGCCTTACCACAGCAAAGGGTCTTGTCGTCAGTGACTCGAGCTGTCTAACGAGTGCATTGGTTATGGCTTCGGCAGCATCCAAGCAGCCACACGCACGCGACACCAAAGAGAGTTCACAGACTGCCAAGTCTGAGCTCACAGTGGCGGCATCGGCCGATCCAGAGCAGCTTGTCTATGCGTTGGGCACGGTCAATGCTTATCAGAATATCGACGACCGGCGCGCCAGCGAGCATGCGCGCAAACCACAAGTGTGTCTTGCAGCGCAGTCGTTTGCACGTGCACAGAGCGAGGATGCTGGTGAGGACGAGGATAGCACTGGCAACCAGGCGTCTGCTCAGAAAAAGGTGGATTTCCTGGCGCGAGTGTCGCCCGCAACGGCAGATGTTTGGCAACATGAGCCGCATAGTTTGGAAGCCAAGCAGCAAGTGCAACAAGCTCTGCCTGCTAACCCTGCTGTGGCGGCAGAGGGGGCAAAGAAGCGACGCATAGCCCCTTTCTTGGTGAGCACTGAGTTGACTACGCAACCGACAGGGAACCTGGTGGCCCAGCAGAACCAGCAGTTGGTGAGCAGTGCCGGCATATCGGCCTTGCTGTTGTCATTGCACACAGAGGCAGAGGCAGCGGCCACAGTGCCACAGCTGGATCCTGTTTCGGCGCGCAATCAGCTGCAGGCTATTTTTGTCAGCTGTGGTTCTGCTGGGTCTGATACAAGCGCAGGCCGAGTGCTGCGCAATGCGAGACAGCACCGCCGCGCACTCGCGTCATTGGACTACTCAGCCGATCAGCCGCCTTGCGCTGTGGACTTTCAATTCGTCGCTGGCGATACGTTTTGGTTCCGCCGCCTCGCCAGCTGCAAACTCACTAGCAGCAACACGCAGCGCGTCGAGCGGATGACTGCGCGCGCGCGCAAGGGCGGCGGCAAGGGAATGCATGGGTGCGATGCTGGCGCCGTGGATGCGAACTCAGCCAGCGCGCGGCTCTGGCACAATATGCAGCGGGTCCAGGCATGGCACTGGCAGCACGTAGCGACCGTCGATGGCATAGCTTACGGCGACCTTGGCTCGCAAATCGATGATTCAATTTTGGGTGTGACAGCAGCAGCAGAAGCGACAGCAGCAGCCAGCGCCAAAGACTACGGTGCCACCAATGACGAAGACAAGGTGCTGCCGATTTATGGCGACTCAGAGTCAGAGGGCGAGTATCCCGACAATCTGCTGCGCGAGATGGACGCCGAGCGGCGCGATGTTGACAAACACAGGGCCAGAGCCGAAAACATCGAGAGACAGCGCGTCGAGCTCGTCAGAAACATTGTCCAGGAGAGGAAGACACAGTTTGAGAGCGACTGGCAGACGCGCGTGCGGCCCAAGCTCGAGGCGCTTGCGTACAAAAGCTGGAGGCGGCATATCGGCAGGCGCGCGCGGCTCGAGGGCGAGCTCGCCAGGCTGAGCATACAGCGCTTGCCCAACGAAGAGAAAAGCGTATTCGAAAGCGGCTGCTCGTCGCGGCGCGAGCTGGTCACGCTGTGCGAGGGGTTCCACTTGACCATCAACCAGATCGCCGAGACCAAGTGGATGTTGCAGCTGATTAGCTTGCCTTGTCCGCCGCACCCCATTCGCAAGCAGCGGTGCTCATCGCTGTCGTCCTCCGCAGTGGCAAATCAAGCGCAGAGATACAGCGCGCTGCTTAAAGGGCGCGGCCAGTTGCCAGAAACCAAGGGCGTTGATAGTGGCAGTGGCAGTGGCAGTGGCAGTGGCAGTGACCGTGACAGTGCCAGTGATAGCGACAGCGACAGCATGGTCGGTTTTATCGACGATGAAGACGATATTAGAGTCGGCAGCAATCCACTCATTAACGCTCATGGCCGCAGGATTGGCAGCGACATGGCCGATGGTCCAAATAATGACCTTCAGTCACAGGGTCGCTCGTCACAAAAATTGGCTCAACAGCCGGCCTCTAGAGTTGCGGCGGGCAGCTTGGCGGGCAGTTTGGCGAGCACAGATGCGGGTGCAAGTGTGATGTCGCCGGTACAGCAAAGGCTAAGCCAGCAGCTGCATGGTCGCCCGCTGTCATTGGGAGAGGCAGCGGTGGCAGAAGAGGCGGCTCTGGCAGCCGAGGAGGCGTTGCTGATCAAAACCAAGGGCAAGGAGCTAGCAAAGTATCGCGAGGCAGTCAGTCGGCGGTACGCTCGCAATCGGGCCCCCACAGCCCGCAGCCAACGCTCGCGCGTAGGCTTGGACTTGGGCCCAGACCAAGGCGAAGGCAAGGCCCAAGCACACGACAACGCCAGCGTTGCTGTGGGCAAAGACACGGACGAAAAGGGCGGAGCTGCTCGACAGAGTGCTCAGCAGCCAACTGGGTCTCCTGTCGTCACAACAACTGTTGCCATGTCGAACGAGCAGTTTGTACGCGAGCTGTGCCAGCACAGTGCCGATGAAATTCACGATGCGGCGATGTTTTTTGTCGTGCGCATGATGCGTGGATTGGAGTCGCTCGCCGATCTGGAGGCCGGGCGGCTGAGCCCAGACTGCCCCGAGCACATGCCTGCTGTCAGCATGCGCATTGCGCTGCGCATGTGGAGCGAGTTTATGCAGTGGATCAATGTCCCGGGAGACCCGATTCCGGACAACCGAGCCATGCCAAACACCAAGACAGACTCTCGCAGTGCGAATGATACGGGCGATGCGGCGCTGGTGGTAGTGACGTACCCCAGCTCCAAACAGCGCGACGAGCAATTGGCAATCATCAGGTCGGAGCTGGAGCGCACGCCGCACCCGTCTGTAACAGATGAGCAGCAGCGCCATGAGCTTCGGCGTATGTGCCACGACACCTCGCTGGTCGCGCGGTCGCTCATCGAGTGCCCCTTGCCCGTGTGGCGTGTTGGCCACGCCCGCCTTAAAAGCGCCAGCGCAAAGAACACCAGAGACGCAGGTTTTGCTAGCTTTAAGCGCGTCAAGCGAACTAATGGATGCAGTGGCAGCGGCAGCGGCAGCAGCGATGGCAGAAGCACCCTTTCGATTCACAGATGGTGCTTGCCAAAGCTAGCGCGCTTGGTACAAGAGATCAAGGAAATTCGCAGGGCTGCGTTTGCCGCGTTTTTCCATTGGCGGCGCACTTGTCGCGTTGAAGCAAAGGGCGCGGAGAAGCAGCCGACGTCGCCATTGGGCGTTGGCTCTTATGGCACTGCTCGTTCCTATGGCCATGAGGGTGGCGGTGTTGGCCAGTTGGACGGTATCAGCGCGGTCGAAGACGATGCCGGTGTTAATGCCGATGCCGGTGTTAATGCCGATGCCGATGCCGATGCCGATGCCGATGCGCAGAGCGTTTGCGAGGACGGCGAACTGAGTGATAGTGGCAGCCAGCCTGACAGCAAAATTTCAGCAAACCGGAAACGCCGGCGCAGAGAAGTGCCCGTGCATACCGAAAGCCAAGAGGTTTTGGACATGCGGCAGCGCGAGAAGCAGGCAGTGCTAGATCTCAAGCGGCGCGCAAAAGAGCAGGAGGCCGATATTGCGCGCAAGCGCATGCGATCCGAAGGCACTCACAACGCAGCCGCCGCTGTGCATGCCAGCGCGGGCTTGGGCACGGCTGATGAAGACGAGGTGCTGACTTCGGGCATAAACCTTGTGCGTCCACCGGCGCAGTTGCTGCTCTCCCCACTGGCACGGCTGGCATCGTTGAAGCCATTGGCTCCGCCCATGATGGCGCACACATTGACACCGCTGCCGCAAGTTGTTCCAGATTTTGACGTCAGCACAATCGGCACGCCCGTGCATATCAATCTTGGGCACGAGGCCGATCAGCGCGACGTGTTTGTGCCGGGGTTCATCGGCAGCCACCTGAAGGAGCATCAGGTCGAGGGCGTCCAGTTCATGTGGCAGAACGTGGTCGCGCTCAGCGATCACAACTCGGCAGCTGGCGACAGCGACAATGGTGGCAGCAAGAGCAAGTGCGCTGCCCACATGCCAAAGCAGCATGGCTGCGTGCTCGCGCACTCGATGGGCCTGGGAAAGACGCTGCAGACGGTTGCGTTCGTGTACACTTTGCTTAATGAGATTCTGGAGGGCAGCGCCGATTTTGCGCACTCGACATTTGGCACCCGCCGCGTGCTCGTGCTATGCCCGCCTACGGTGCAGTCGAACTGGGCGGCCGAGTTTGAAAAGTGGACGGGCGTCGGCCACACGATATTGTCTTTGTCAAAGCCAAGGGGGCCCGTGCTACCTGCGCCGTACGACGCGGCGTCGGATCCTGTCCAGCAGCAACGTGTCTTGCACGCAGTGCGGGTCCGGGCGCGGCGGGTCATCACGCAGGTCGTAAGCTTTGGGGCGATGGCCAGCAGCAAAATGCAGATGGCGGCGCTGAAGTCGTGGCATGCTCATGGCGGCGTGCTTATAATGGGGTACCATGTTTTCCGGAGGCTTGTGCAGCGGGCCACCACTGCCACCGTTGCTAGCAGCGACAAGCCCGCTGATGCAGACGGACGGTTGCCAGATTCGGCACGGTCCATGCCGTGGTCGGGATTGGCGACTAGCACCAACGGTCTGGCAGCACCTACATCGCCGAATGGCACTTGGCAGCAGCAGAATTTATTGCGCAAGTATCTGATCGACGAGGGGCCGTGCCTGGTGATTGCCGACGAGGGCCACTGTATTAAAAACCCCGAGACACAACTGGCAAAGGCAGCCAACATGCTGAAGACGCGCGCACGCATCTGCCTGACCGGGTACCCTCTGCAGAACCGGATCGAAGAGTACTGGACGATGGTTGACTTTTGCTACCCGCAGTTCCTTGGCGATCTGGCAGACTTTCGCTACCGCTACATCAAGCCGATCAACGATGGCATGTATGTGGACGCAACTAAAGACGACAAGCGCCGCAGCAAGCTGCACATGGGGATGCTGCAGAAGCTGCTCGAGACGATGGTCGACCGGCGCGACTCGGGGCTGCTATATCACGAGCTACCGCGCAAGGTTGAGTATTTTATATCGTGCCCACTGACGCCGATGCAATCGCAGCTGTACATCGAGTACCTCGCGCGTTTTGCGGGAATCGGGCTTGGGGCCAGGGAGGGGACCAATATCGGGCTGTTGCAGCACGGCCACTTGCTGCTGACCATATGCAACCACCCGGCCGTGTTTAAAGCGTCAGTTGAAGAAAACCGCCGCCGTCGCCAGCAGCAGCAGCAGCAGCAAAGACAGAGGCAGCGGATACAGCAGCAGGCGGATTTGTCGGCGATAATAGATGATGTAGCGGATATTTCGGCCATCGATGAGGAAGGCAAGTGTGATGGCGACGAGTTGACCAGCCGCATTGCCGACGACGACGCGTGGTGCCGCGAGATTTACGAAAGGCACTGCGGGAGAAGCCAGTCGGGCATTGCTATCGCGGATGATATCGCGGATGATATCGACAACAGCGGCGTGCAAAATCCCGAGCACAGCACGAAAGTGCGCATGGCGCTGCACATCATCCGCGAAAGCATTGCTTGCGGTGAACGCGTGCTGGTATTCTCGCGCAGCATCCCGACGCTCGACTACTTGCAGCGGGCCATCGAGCACGCAGGCATTGCAGGCTGTGATGGCCAGAAACAGAAAGGGCGGATCCAGAGCACACCCAATAAGATGATGCGCATTGACGGCGCGACGCCCGTCACCCACCGGCAGAGCTTGATCGATGGGTTCAACGCCGACGACTCGCTGTATCGCGTGTTCTTGATTTCTTCGGGCACTGGGTCGATCGGGATCAATCTGGTTTCGGCTAGCCGTGTTATTCTGTTTGACATTGGCTGGAACCCGCTGTACGACGACCAGGCAGTCGCTCGCGCGTACCGCTACGGTCAGAGGCGGCGGGTGTACGTGTATCGGCTGCTGACCACCGGCACTTGGGAGGATCGGCTGCTCAGCAACAACATTTTCAAGGTTGGGCTCATTCGGCGTGTGGTTGACAAGCAGACAATGAACCGGCGCGTGTCGAAACAAGATTCACAAAAGTACTTGCAGCTGCCGCCAGCGCGTCCGCCCTTGATTACTGGCGACAAAGTTGTGAAATTAGCGAGCGAGTACGAGGACGACTCTGTGTTTACTGGTCTACTGGCGGCGTTCAGTTCGCAGATATCTAGAGTGACGCCGCAAGCGACGCTGTTGGCAAACGAGGACGACCCACTGCATCCAGATGATCTGGCAGCGCTGAACGCATATGTGCTCCGAGAGAAGCAGCGGCTTGGCCAGCTGCCGCCATCACCGGGCGCGAATTCAGCTGATGCGGCGACAATACTCAATGGATTGGCGATTTTGCCACTGCTGTCACCGGCAGCACCGGCACAAACACTAACAGCAGATTCAGCATTGGCAGCGCTGCGGTACCCACAGCAGGCGCGCCAAGTGCAAGCCGTGACACAGCGGCCTGCAGGGTACCAGCGGGCCACACACTGGCCATCGGCATCAACACTGCCATTCAGTTCAAATTTGGATTCGCAGCAGCATCAGCAGGACCGCGCAGAGCCACGGATGAGAGCAAGGCCAGGGACTGTATTGCCACACGGCGCCAGCATTGTTGGTACCAGTGGAATGCATGCAACGCACCCGTTGCGCCCAGTCGCAGCAACATTGGCGGTCCCGCCATTGATGTTCGGCGCTGCCGGTAATTGTAAGCATCGGACGCAATTGCACAATAATGGTGAGAGTGAGAGAGAGTATTTGTGTATATATGTTTATTGCTAATTGGCACATTAATGCGTTTTGTATGCGGATTTGTTTATATTTCATATCATTGTTTTTTTAAGTAGCAACCACATCGTCGAGCAAAATTGTCAGCGGCAGGAACAATGGCACCAGCACAGCTGCCGGCGCTGTTAAGCGCATGGCGCAGCCCAACAAGACAGTCATCTCTGTTGAAAACATGCCCGTGATCTTTGTGATGGCGATGCTGCACAAAATCTACACACGCATTGTCATGTTGCCAGACGTGGTTTGTGGCACGGTCAATCACGAGGAGCTGGAGCTGCTGAAGCTGATTATTCTGTGGTCCGGCGAGCTCGATAAGTATGTCGACAAGAGCCGGGATGGATATGAGCAGCGGCAGAAAAACCAAATACACATGGCGTCTCACTGGTTGACACGGCCATCAGATATTTACAAGATTGTGCCGATGCTGCACCGGCAGGACGATAGGTTTCTGACATTGGTCATCCAGCGAATGGAGAGCACGAAAAGCAGTGCGACCACGGCTCAGCCATGAAGTTTGTTTGGTGACATCAGGTCTGTCATTGCGGCACAGGCGGTGTAAGGTGAGTGAGCGCGTGGGCCCTCAATTTTATATTTATAAATTCAAGGCGACCAAACGCTTAAAAAGAAGTTAAACAGCTCTTTGTTCGGATGGTTACAAGCGCAGCCTCCAAGGTATATCTATCCAGCTCTGCAGCATTAACAGAGCTGATCTCTTGATTCAGATTAAATGCAAGCAGCAAAAGTCGGTAAAAGAATTATATAGGAAATGTATAAGAAAGCGCGATAGCTCAGGAAAAGCTTGGTTTTCGGGGCGGTTAGTTGCTCCAGGCAGGGATCCATAGTGAGGCCCGTGGCTGGTGCCAATTCCAAATGCTAGGCGCGTCGCAAGGCGTTGATAGCGCGAGGACGAAGCTCCGAGGCATTAGGAGCGAGGCGCAAGTCTATAAAATAGAATGAAGCAGAGATAGCAGATTTTTGCAGCGCGAAATTTTGAGTTTTGGGCGGGGGAGCAAAAAGCGCTCTGCGCTTTTTGCAAAAATTAGATAATAAATAGAGATTCAGCCCTAGTTTGTTGTTTAAAAACAATTTATTGAATTAATCCCCGAAAACTAAACTATAAAAGTAAAACTATGGCGGAGCTTGAGAACAGATGATATTGAGCGACCATGGGTGATGAGGCGCCCTGTAAAAAGCGTGGCAGTGACTGGAAGTATTGGATATTAGGCGGTCCTATAGCAAAAAGAAATTAGCTGAGAAACATAATTGTAAATTAAGCGTGTGTAGTTATCTGGTGGCGATTTCTTGTGATGGGTGTTGAAAAGAGAAAACAAAGAAAATGAAAAACCGGTGCCACGAGAAGGAGCGGCGCGCACGAGTTTATTTAAGCAGGTGGCTGAACGGCAGGCAAAAAAGATGCTAAAATATTTTGGCACTGCAAGGGCTTTTTTTGATACGGCTTTTTATTACACCATGCACCCGCCATTATTTGGTTGGGGAGATGAGCAAAAAAAGGAAATTGCATGTATGTGGATATCGGAAGGCCAAATCAAGCAGCATGTTTTTTGTATGTCCGCTCATTTTTAACGTGTAGTGCAAGCGAACAAATAAGAAATATAAAAATATATTTCACAGTGGCCATTCATACTCACCATCACAGCACAATTCAAAAAAGTGTTGAGCGTGAGAGAAAACAATAATCGAGATGAATAAAGACATGCACCACCGATCTCACGTGCATTCAATTACATAAAAAAGCACTTTAAATATCCAAGTGGGCACATTCCATTCTCCAATTTAAAGCGGAGTAATCTGACATTATATCTGAAAATGCTCAAAGTCACTGAGAGCACGCGCAGATACCATATGTTTTATCGCTGCCTTTAATAGCAGAGCGGAAACAAATAGTGGGAAAAATAAGCAAATTGTTCTTTCTGG